TGACTTGTTCTCGATGCATTCATCGCTTTCTTGAACTTCTCAACAATTTCTTTCCATGTCATTTCTTCCTTCAATTCAATCGTCTCAAATAACTTTTTAGCTTCTCCACGCAAAAATTTTGCTTTCATTACAGCTGCCATTTCCATTGAACTTTCCATATTTTGCTTATATTTCATCTCAAACAAACTCAAAAAATCATCCAAATTTTCCTGCGGTTTTCCATAATAAATTTCGGGATCTGGCATCGTCGAGATCTTCATAAATCTTGCCACATTCATAAGTTCCTCACGAACACTTTGTTTCGAACCTGAACTGCTCGATTTTCCCGATTTTTTGCCCCGACTACCCGCTTTTTCAACAATTTCCACTTTTTCATCTCTAAAATTCTCAATATTTCCCGCTTTTTGCTCTTTCACCCATGTTTCAACTCTTTTCTCTTTGACTTTTTCAGTATCATCGCTGCGCGAACTTCCCAACCTTTCCGACTTACATATTTCCATACTCTTCGTTTCTCTCACAGTTCCCATCTTCAATATATCCTCAACTTTTTTCATTGTCTCATCCATCTCATTTCCATCATCAACAATATCCAAATTCATCATTCGCACACTCGGCGTTGGTGACAATTCTCTTTTTCTCTTTTCCTCATTCTCCATTTTCAGTTTCATCATCAATTCATCTTTTTGTTCCATCAATACCATCATCTCTTCGAATTTCTGCTCATATCTCTTCAATTTTTCGTTTTTCTTCCAAATCTCTTCCTCATTATTCTTCAACTTTCCATTCAATTCTTCAACCTGCAAAATAAACTTTTGTCTTTCTTCCTTGACATATTTCTCAATGTTTTCAAGTTTCTCACCATTTTCTCTTTCCCAAATAACCAATTCTGTTCCTTTCTCCATCAGTTGTGCCAATTTCTTCACATTGGTCTTGTTTCCTCTTCTCAAATATCGCAAACATCTCATTTCATCCCGATTTGGCATTTGCGCCCACTTTTCCTTGACCATCCCGCGCAAATCCTCTACTCGTTGTTCGACTTTTTCATCAACGGATTCAATACGACATCCGCCTGTCTTTCACTCAATTTCCATTTCTTCGCATCTTCTCGAGCTTCTTGTGCAATCGTAATCCAATCCGCTGCTTTCTCATCAAAAATCATACCAATATCTTCTTCGTGCCCCGTTGAATCCTCCAATCCACTGCTCACTGATCCAATGTGTTGCATAGTTTCACTTGCCGCAGCCATTTTCGCTGTCGAATTCTCCACTAGTCCAAAATATCCAATATCCTTTTGACAATCGAACAATTCCTTAACTCCAGTCCTGAAACTAGGAAAGGATCACTAGGAACGTGTTCAACAATCAAAAAAATCGACGAATACACGAAGTTGAATGAATTTGGGGTTGTGGTTGGTTCGGCCCCCAAGTTGCACTCCTCCCGGTTCTCCTTTGCTTGATATTGCAAGGAGGTTGACGTCAAAGATGGCAGTGGATTTAAACCACTAGCAAGGAAAAATAACAAAACACGGATTTTAGGCCAAACTTTATGTTTTTGACCAAAATAAACAATGAAAATACAAATACAACTTCACGAGGAAGTGTATCAATAATAACAAAAGATGAGTTAATTACTTAACACAGAGAATTCCGAGAATTCCCTGTGAAAACAACGAAAACCTAGAAAAACACAAAAACGAAACTAAATATTTTGAAATGCACGTGGAGAGCGCACACACACACAAAATACGTCAATCTTTTACAAGATGGCGCATTTGCAGGTGCACATCCTCTTGAGGATGACTGACCAATAAGAATGGAATGATCAAGAGAAGCCTGGAAACGATGAATAAAAACTTCCAATTCATATCTAGTGCAAATCAGCTGGATAAACTCCGAGAATTTCATCGACTGGGGAAATTTTTTTCTAGAATTTTGTTTCTGACGAAAGTATTTTCAAGGTGAAATTTGAACGGAAAGATGAAATTATCTCCATTTGATAACTTCTGAAAAATTTTCTGAATTTTTTTCAATTGTTATGTTTCCATGATTTTGTTTTTTGTTTTCATAAATGGATTTGTAAAAAAAAAATGAAAAAAAAAAGTTTGCCTCGAAGCGGGATCGAACCCATGACCTAAAAATTTAAGAGACGTGCGTGTTTACCACTCGGCTACGCGCTCCTGTTTTTTCTGCCTGCAAATGTTTGATATATGAAACGAAGAAAAAAATGATGATTTTTTGATAGCGCAAAACACCATTTGGGTGCACTTGTGGCAATTTTTGAAAACGAATTCGAGATCAGCGGGTTCGAATCTATATGTGTACTAAATTGCAAAAAAAAAGTTCAACACCTACCCTTATGCACTTCCCTTGTCAGCTTTATTTTGATACCAAATCATCCTATTTACTCCAGAAGCCCGAAGAAAATCAAAGCAAAAAATCGCTATGATTTTTGACTCGTTCCATACTTTTTTTCTAAAAAGTAAAACATTTTGCGAAATGTTTGAACAAAAACCAAAAAAAAAGAAAGAAAAACAATAAAAAAATTAAAAAAAAACGTGGAACGTGTCCCAGTTGACGTGGATTATTTAGAATGACGTGGAATAACTAGAGCATCGAAATCAGTATCGATTTATTTTGGTTCGACTACTAGACTCTCTTGAGAAACTGAAAGGTATTTTGGGGGATTCCTAGGGTTCCCATTGATTACACCCGGGGAAAGACTTCCAAAACATTCTTAGCACTATTGTTAGCCTCGCTGAAAATTCCCCAATACCGCGAATTCCTAAAAATTCGGTTTTCAAGCGATATCCGTTGAGATTTCGATTTTCAGCTTCTAACTATTCTGAAATTGCTGTTCAGAATAAAGTACTGTCCGTTCGCCAGCGAAGGAAACGCGGCCAAACGCGCCCCATTGATAAACAACGCATTTTTGTGCGGCGGTTCAAACAATAATTTTTATTCTTTTACTGTTTTTCATGCGAAAAAAGGCATTTCTACTAATTGAAAAATGAGGAAAATGGTTATTGTGGAAACTACTGAGTTGAAAAAAAAGGTTTTACCTGACCATTTTCACTTAAAATTGGTGCATTTGGACAGAAATGAGCATAGAAAAAGTGAAATTTTCCTGATATTTTCTGATTTCGATTGGAAATGATATATAACTAGTTGGAAAACAAAAACTAAACAGTTTATCAACAAAATTAATCGAGAAAATAGCCTAAATTAGTGAAAAATCACAATTTTCGACCCAAAACACGGCTTCCTCATCGTTTCTATCAAAACTCCGAGCGAACCGATGACTTTTTTGCATGAATCTTGATGAAAAGTAGTTTGCTTCGTCACTAATGTGCACTTGCATCATTTGAATAGCATATTGATTGACTTGAGGCATTTTTGAGCAAATTATCCATCACATATCGCCATTCATTTCAAAATTGCGATGAAAACCGCAAAAATCACCAATTTTCAATCAACAACCTGAAAATTGCATCATTGTCATAGAAAATACATAACTAAACAACTCACCTTCGATTTGAATTGAACTGCGACTCCAAATCACTCCAAAAATCGATTTTATAACACCTTTTTGATCGAAACATCGAATTTCATCGAAAAAATCCATAAATCGCTACCAAAAACCATTTTGTTCGGGCAAACTTGGAAGATAAGTATAATTCGAGTTTTGCCAACTTCTGAAAGCAGAAAAATTACAAAATTGCTTCTTTTTTGGTGAAAAACGGAGAAAAAAACAAGAAAAAACGGAAAAAAATGAAAAAAATTGGGTCGGCAACACACCCGTTCAAGCCACGCAATGAGTGTTTTCTACTGTAAAACGAAACAAAAAACTGTGCAAACACTTTTGTCTAATTCTCTCTGTTCGCCGTTATATTTCGCACTACAGTATTAAAGGAACATGATGAATTTAATGCGTTGGGTCTTGTCGCGATTGCTAACTTTCTTCGCAGGACCCTAAAAAGTTCGAAATGCGTAGTCTCACACAGATCTCGATGCGCTGATTCTAATGGTATATTTAGTTTTGCCACTTGGTCAGCTAATTCCTTTGCAAATTGTGGCGCAGTGTGAATAAAAGAAATTTCTAATTTTTTCATTGTTTGAACGGGTGTGGCAAAAAAAGCAAACTACGGTATGTAGTTGGAGCGCGTTTCCTTCGCTGAAAAACAAACAGTAGATAGTTTTCTTGATTCATCTCATCGAGACGAATCAGCTGATATACTCAAAATTCCCTGAAATTCCCTCCAACTTGCTGAAAACGCGCTGAAATTTCGACATAATTGCGTGGTCTGCAAACACCGCGACGCACAACTGCACATTTTGTGTACCGTAGTGAAGACGCCAAAAAACTGGCTTGAATTCATGAATTCCTACTGAAAATAGGCTCGAAAAAGGTTTTTCAAAAAAGAAAAACAGAAAATTTTCGAAAAAACGTGGAACGTGAAACGTGTCCCAGTTTCGAAATGATGACGTTGACTATCTAGAGCAGCGAAATCAGTATCAATTTATTTTGGTTCGATAACTAGACTCTCCGGAGAAACTAAAAGGTATTTTGGGGGATTCTTAGGGTTCTCACTAATTGTTAGTCTCACTGAAAGTTCTCCAATTTTTGTATTTTTCAGCTCAACTCACTCATTATCAAACCAAGTTTGAAAAGTATTTTTTATCAAACCAAGTTTGAACGGCGCCCATCAAATATGTCGATTACAATGGTAAACGCATGCCAACAGCGGATGGACAGACTGTATACGGTGTCAAATTGGATTGTGAAATCCCAATTCCCAATATTATCAAACCAAGTTTGAAAAATCAACATCGACATCGATGTCAACAAGCCCGCATATGTTCATCCAGGTCTTGCGAGAGCTCAAAAAATGACCGCATCGGAAAGAGAGCGAATGACATCGTTGGAAAAGGCTGAGGAAAAGAGCCCGTCGGCGTATCTTATGGAAGCAAGTACCATCCCCATTGAATACACCGACGAGGAATTCGTAAGAATGATCGACGATCAAGATTATGCCGATAAATTGATAAGAAAGAAACTAGAGGAGGGAGCGAAGAAAATGAAAGAGGCAAAGAAGAAGGAGAAGGAAGAGGGATCAGGAAAGAAGGAAAAGAAGGATGAGAAGTCTGGAAAGAAAGCGAAAAAAGATGAGAAATCGAAAAAGTCGAATGAGAAAGTTGTGGAAAAGAAGGATGATGGAAAAGGAAGAGGCAAAGCTGGAAAAGATGGAAAGAGAAAGGGCAAAAAGCGAGTTGGGTCTTTCGATAAAGATGGCTTGCTTATGGGCCGCTTCACGCTTCACCCCATGCCTGAACACATGCTTGTTTACCGTGGAATCGGTCAAAACCCGGCGGAGAATGATGGAATTGGGATGAAAAAGGCCGAAGTTGATGGAAGCGTGAAGAAACCGCCCAAAAATGTTGGAAGCCGGAAGGAACCGCCCAAAATATATGAAGATACCAAGAAAGCCGCTAGACTTGATGACAATTCCAAGAAATCGGCCAGAACTTGATGAAAATACCAAGGAAGTGGCCAAAATTGATCAAAGCGAGATGGAAGCGGCCAATGGTATTGAAGATGGCAAGGAATAGAACTTGTACTTATTGTGTTGGTTGCGTGAAGGTTAGTCGGATAATCACATTTTCCAAAATCTAATAAAATTCTGTTTTTTTTTTTCAGATTTCATCTTCATCAGCACCTTCACCAACTTTTACTGCCAGTTTTGGCATCGACAAGAATGAGGGATCGAAAAAGTCGGATGGAAAGTCGGGAAAGAAGGATGAAAAGTCAGAAAAGAAAGCGAAAAAGGATGAGAAATCGAAAAAGATGGAAAGAGAAAAAGCAAAAAGCGTGTTGGATCTTTGGATAAAGATGGATTGTTGATGGGCCGCTTCACGCTTCACCCCATGCCTGAGCATTTGCTTGTTTACCGTGGAATCGGTCAAAACCCCGCGGAGAATGATGGAATTTGGATGAAAGAGGCCGAAGTTGATGGAGATGGCGAAAAAATGGCCAAGAATGTTGGAAGCCGGAAGAAACCGCCCAAAAATTATGAAAATGCCAAGAAATCGGCCAAAAATGTTGAAATAGACGAGAAATAGTTCGTCTACTCGTATTTATGTATTTATTGTGTTGGTTGCAAGAAGGTTAGTTGAATTATCTCTAAAATTTCGATAGTTTTCCAAAATCTAATAAAAATCTGTTTTTTTTTTCAGATTTCATCTTCATGAGCACCTTCACCAACTTCTACTGCCAGTTTTGGCATCATTTTCTTGTAGCTTTGTGGCCAAGAAAGAAGAAAATGCCAAGAAATCGGCCAGAACTTGATGATTATTCCAAGAAAGCAGCCAAAAATGTTGAAATTGACAATTGCACCAAATTTTTCTTGCCAGTTTTGGCAGCTGTGAATAAATGATTCTTTTGTAGCTTTTTCTCTGCGTTTTCGGGACTTTTTCCGAAAAAGTCGCAAGATTAGAATTTGCTGAATACTTGGAAATTTTCGAACTGCAAACGTTCTATATTTTGGAGTTCGGGTTACTGTACTGTTTGAAACATTTTCTGCAAAATTTGTTGATTTCTGGTGTCAAATTTCAATAAAATCAACAATTTTTTTGTTTCTCTTTTTGGCTATAAATACGAATTTCCAGAATCTAATTTCAGTCAGTCTGAAAATAAATTCTCTGAAAATCATGGACATCAACGGCACACATCTCAACGGGACTTTGGAGTGAGTTTCGGCCAAGTTTTTCTATAACATGAGCAATGCGTGTTTTTTTTTTCAGTGGATTGGGTGATTTCGAGGCTGCGATTCAAAATGGTGCAAATTTCGTGTCGACCGCCATTTTCACCGTTTTGCTTTTGGTGATCTATAGAATTCTCTAGAAACAAATTATTGATTGATTGATTGAATTTTGGGTGGTGGGAATTTTGAATTTGAATAAATTTTTCATATTTTTTTGCAGTTTGGATACTGTAACCCAGAAATCCCTATTTACAGACAAATTTTTGACGATACAGTACCTCGAACTGCAAAATCGGATTACTGTAATTCAATATTTCAGAATTTTGACAAAGATACAGTAATCGAACTGCAAAAATCTTAAATTATAAGAATTTTGCAGTTTGGATACTGTAATCCAGATTTTCAGACCATTTTTTGAGCTACAGTAATCCGAACTGCAAAAATCGAATCTTTTGCAGTGCGGATTACTGTAACTCAATAATCCAGAATTTTGACAAAGATACAGTAATCGAACTGCAAAAATCCCTGATTTTTTCCATCGAAAAAAATTGCAGTTCGGGGTACTGTAGAGCTAAATATTCAATTTAGGCCACGCCCCTTTTTGCGGCTCACATTTTTCTCAAATTCTTCAAAAATCCTATTTTTTTTTGTGTGTTCCCCTGGAAAAAAAAATGAATTTTTCATGGAATTTTTAAGTAGATCAACAATTTTTACAATTTTTTCGGCCACAAAAAATAAAATAGAAGAAAAATTTGTGTTGTGTTTGTAATTGAAAGTCCAATTTTCGTGACATTGTTCAATTTTTCCGGGCTCGAGAAAAAAGGGGCGTGGCCTAGAGAAGATTTTTTTCGCTCCTCACACATCATCGCATTTTCTGAATCACTTCTTAATTATGTCATGTCAAAAAAAATTGTTTTTTTTTTCTTGAGAAATTTTTTCGCCCTCTCATTAAAATCCGGTAAGGTGAAATTTATTTAGAAATGTTCATTTCTCCCGGTCACGTGAAATTCTGATAAATATATATTTATCAAAAATGCTTCATTTCCTACCTACACGTGTGGTGTAGGCGGGGAGAGCGATGCCTTCCAATCAGGCAACCCTCCTTCTTTTGTGGGTTCGAGCCCCACTCGAGAAAAATTTTTCCCTATATCGAGTAATGCAGATTTTCGGAAATTTTGTTCCTTTCTCCCCGAGATTGCGAAAATTTGACAATCCAACGCGGCAAAAAAAGAAAAAAGAAGATTGAATAAAAAAAGCTCAATAAAAAGAGAAAATCGAGAAAATATCATGCGTGACCCATGAGCGAAAAAGCCAGATTCTTCAGATGCTATTGGCATTGTTCAAGAATTCCAAATTCCTAACGGGCCAAGAATGTTATTCGAGTATTCAATACGAGAAAAAGATTGAATAATAAGTTTTTTTTTGAAAAATTGATGGGTGACTTCATCCATGGCAAAATTAGGAAGCCTTCCTGATTTTGCCACGAATCATTTTTTGATCAAAAAATTTGAAATTTTTTATGAATTCAATTGTAATTTGTGTGATTTACCTCTTACGAGTACACTTAATTCACAAAAATAATTAAATAAGTTTTTTTTTCAAAAAATTGATCGATGACGTCATCCATGGCAGAAATTTTCTTTATCTAAATTTGGTCGTAATTTTCTTTCAATTTTTTTAGCTTCAAAGTTGCTTCTGAGTGGTTTACTAAGCCTAAACCTGAGAGGTAGTGTCATTTAGGTCGCAACTCATCGACTTCATTTTTACATTTTTGGATTATTCCAAATCTGTTACTTTTTTTGTTGACTGTACACGAAAATAAAAATTTCAATTTTTGTCAGCTACCCGCTCAAATCGAAATTTTCATTTGGGCGGGTATTTTTGTCAAACAAAAAAAAATTTTTTCACCCAACAAAAAAATCGGACCGAGTTTTTCTCAAAAAAAAATCGGCCCGAGTTTTTCCAAAAAAAAATCGGCCCGAGTTTTTTCAAAAAAAAAATCGGCCCGAGTTTTTCCAAAAAAAAATCGGACCGAGTTTTTCTCAAAAAAAATCGGCCCGAGTTTTTCCAAAAAAAATCGGCCCGAGTTTTTCCAAAAAAAAAATCGGCCCGAGTTTTTTCAAAAAAATCGGCCCGAGTTTTTCCAAAAAAAAAATCGGACCGAGTTTTTCTCAAAAAAAATCAGCCCGAGTTTTTCCAAAAAAAATCGGACCGAGTTTTTTCAAAAAAAAAATCGGCCCGAGTTTTTTCAAAAAAAAAATCGGCCCGAGTTTTTTCAAAAAAAAAATCGGCCCGAGTTTTTTCAAAAAAAAAATCGGCCCGAGTTTTTTCAAAAAAAAATCGGCCCGAGTTTTTTCAAAAAAAAAAAATCGGCCCGAGTTTTTTCAAAAAAATCGGCCCGAGTTTTTTCAAAAAAAAATCGGACCGAGTTTTTTCAAAAAAAAAAAATCGGCCCGAGTTTTTTCAAAAAAAAAAATCGGCCCGAGTTTTTATCAAAAAAAAAATCGGCCCGAGTTTTTTCAAAAAAAAAAAAAAAAATCGGCCCGAGTTTTTTCAAAAAAAAAATCGGCCCGAGTTTTTTCAAAAAAAAAAAAATCGTCAATACAAAAAAATATTAAATAACTTTTTTTTTCAAAAATTTATCCATGGCAAAATTAGAAAGCGTTCCTAATTTTGCCACGATTCATTTTTTGATCGAAAAACTTGAAATTTTCAATGAATTTGATTGTAAGTCAATTTTCCACAGAAAATTGAGAATAATCACAGAAAAAAGTGAAACGGAAATAAATGAGAAGACTGTTACGCCTGGGGGCTAACAGCCCCTAGTCTGTTGAGTGAAAAATTGCGCTGCCAAATTTTAAAATTCAAATTCAGAAAAATCGGCATGGCCTAAGTTTTTCAAGATTTCCTGTTTTTTCAGGCTTACGTTAGCCTAATTAGGTGTCAAATTTTTTCTTGTTATTTTTTTCGCCCCGATCAAATTTCACCAGGCACTTTATCCTATAATTTTTGAGTTTTTCCCTGTGTTTTTGTCCAATTTTGGCTTGCGTAAAAATGCTCGTTAATTTTTATGCGACTTTTTCTTTTTTGGGAGCCTATTTCTTTTTGAAAAATAGAATTTTTTTGAAAATCTATACATTTTAATATTTCTCTGCGTCTCTTACCTACAGTAGCCATGTTAGAGACGCAGAGGAATATTGCTCATATTATTTTATTTTTTAGCCATGAATTTCTCAGTTTTCTGGCCAATTTTTGTTGTGCTTCTGTCAATTTCTCAAATCTCAGCCGAAGTTATGGCGATTTCAAGCGATCCGAATTTCTATCAACTTTTGGCGCCAAGGTAACCACAGTACCCCCTTTAAACTCTACAGTAACCCACGTTGCAGATTTCGCCGCGCTGAAATTTGGCGTCGATTTGACGGCGGCGAAACGGCTCAACTTCAAAATCTGCTCGAAAATTTGAGACCGCGATTTTAACACACACAAAAAAATGAAATAATTTTTGTTGAAACAATTTTTTTCGCGTTTTTCTCTGACAGGTAAAGTTACAGATGCAGAAAAACCATGCCGCAAAATTGCAAAAATCATTCATTCCGCAATATTTTACTTCAAATTAAGTGTCACTCCTCCAAAACACCATCATCTTCTGCTCTGCGTCTCTCACATCTCTCGTCGTCTGATTCTCCTCCAAACACGTGGGGCAAACGCGCCCCGCCGCACACCAACAATAATAACATGCGACGTGTCCGCACGTGGCTCCGCGCATCGCCGCAACCGGCGGTTTTTGACACGTGGCACATAGAAATTCGGAGGAGGATGATGACGTGGCGAATTTTTGACGTCGCTCAATGATTTTTTGACGCAGGAATCGGGCGATTGGGAGGATTAGAAGCAAGGCGTCGCGGAAAGTGTGCCAAAGAAGTTCGCGATTTTGTGTGTCGTAGTTGATGTTGGCTGAAAATTTGGGGAATTTTGAGCTGAAATTCGAGAATTTCTGAAAATTCTCCACATTTTGAAACCAAACTTGATGATTTTCATGAAATTTGGAGAGAAAAATGCAAATTTTTTTTCTAAAAAATTCAAATTTGAACTTTTCCGGACCAAAAATCAACGTGGAAAAAATTTTCACAACCAGAAAATTTCAAATTCAAAAAAGCTTCAAATTTTCAAAAATCCACGTGGCAAACTTTTTTTTTTTCAAAAAATTTCGAATTTGAATTTGCCACGTGGCATCAAATTCAAATTCAAATATTTTCCCACCAAAAATTCATCAAATTTTCGAAAATCCACGTGGCAAATTTATTTTTCAAATCAGAAAATTTGAATTTTCAAATTTTTCTGCCAAAAATCAACTTTTTCTAAAAATCCCACAATGCAACACATTTCTCCCGATATTCACTCCTCTCCCGCTTTTCTCTGCCTCCTTCTTTCATAACTTGACAATACGCGCATTGTTTTATGTCTGCATCCTTAGCGCAGTCGGGTAGGGGATGGACTGCCAAGCAATGTGTGTGGTCATTTTGGTGGGTTCGAGTCCCACCGCAAGCTGTTTTCGTTCCTATATCCTTCTAATGTAATTTTCGATCGAAAATCTTCATTCGAAAATGTCCCAAAAAAGCGTCAACATTTCTGTTGAAAAGAGAGAGGGCGCAGAGAAAGATTGAAGGCAGAGAAAAACGGAAAAGAGATTGGGAATAGGTATTTTTTGCTAATTTGTGCTGTAATTAACATCAAATTGTACAGAATTTTGTGATTATTTTGATAAGACTGTTGCCAATTCAAAGGAGACCGTTACGCCTGGGAGCTAACAGCTCCTAGTCACTGTGGGAATTTTATTGGAAAATTTTAAATTGAAGCTTCGGAGTCAAAAATCCACGTAGCAAAAATTCAAAAATTTTCCCACCAAATTCTTCACTCACAAATCATGGGTTCTTGATTATTCCAATTTCTCAATCCCAAAATCGTCTCGGAAATCGTCGAAGTTCCGCCAACTCGCAAAAACGCGAAAAAATGAAGCAAATTGAGCAGCTCGAAAATCGCCTCCAATTTCGCGAAAATTCGCGCGTCGCCAAAAAAATCGTCGCGAAAAAATAGGGAAACATTGTGGAAATTGCGAAATGCGAAAAAATTCGCGGATTTTCGTAATTTTTATAGGCAATATCCATTAGTTGTTGGCCTGGAGAGGCTTTGAATTTGAGACGATTCGTCCATAGAATTGCGTCGAGGAAAATGTGAATTTCAGGGCGAATCTGGAAAAATCGAGGGATTTTGAGGTGGAATACGAGATTTTCAGAAAATTCAGAATGTTTTGAGTACAAATTTGATGAATTTTCTAAATTTTGAGCTAGAAATCTTCTCATTTTTGCTAAAAATGTCAGATTTTCAGTCAAATTTCATATTGACATTCAAAAAATTCCCCAAAAATTCACCCACCTTCTCACAAAATCTCGAAATTCGAATAGGCAACTCTTGGACAACTTCATCAATCGAATTTTGTGTCAAAATGCGAATTTCGTCGTCCAAAACATTGGCGTCCAATTGATCGACTCTCAAACATTGACATGCCATTTTTGGCGGAAAAAATCGATAAAAATGAATGAGAGAAGATAAGAAAAACAACAACAATGAGAGACTAGAGTGTAGTCTGCGAGAGAGTGAGAGACGCAGAGGAAATTTCGAAAATTGGCGGTGAAATTTGTAGATAAAAATTTTTAAATTTTTGGATTTTTAAAACCAAAATTTTCAGAAAAACATCGGGTTTTGCCACGTGGATTTTCAGGTTCTTCAGAAAATCGATAACTTTTTAGGGTTTCAAATTTTTGCCAACTGGATTTCTAGAACCTAAATGTTCGAGTTTTGCCACGTGGATTTTCAGTCTCACAAAAAATCGATAATTTTCTAGGCTTTGAATTTTTGCCACATTTTTTTCTTGTCCAAAGTCTAGTCTTCATAAAATTCAATTTTCCAACAAAAATTTCCCAATTTTTCTTTCAAATCTAAAATGTTTCTTCTTCTTTTCATTCTCAACTCCATAAATATTCTCCATTCCGAAAATAATTTTTTCAACAAAAAACAACTTCTGAAGAGCTACACTGATTTGATTCAAAATCAAGATTCATTGCTCAGAATAGTTCATGAAAGTTTCGCAGTTTATAATTGTAGTGGGCATCGAATCAGTGGATATGATTTCAATGTGGGAAAACTCGATAAATTGATGGACACGGCGGATAAAATTCCAATTCGCCCTCTCATTAAAATCCCGTAAGGTGAAATTTATTTAGAAATGTTCATTTCTCCCGGTCACGTGAAATTCTGATAAATATATATTAATCAAAAAATGCTTCATTTCTTACCTACACGTGTGGTGTAGACGGGGGAGAGCGATGCCTTCCAATCAGGCAGCCCTTCTCATTTTGTGGGTTCGAGCCCCACTCGGAAAAAATTTTTCCCTATATCGAGTAATGCAGATTTTCGGAAATTTTGTTCCTTTCTCCCCAAAAATTGCGAAAATTTGACAATCCAACGCGGCAAAAAAGAAAAAAGAAGATTGAATAAAAAAAGCTCAATAAAAAGAGAAAATCGAGAAAATATCATGCGTGACCCATGAGCGAAAAAGCCAGATTCTTCAGATGCTATTGGCATTGTTCAAGAATTCCAAATTCCTAACGGGCCAAGAATGTTATTCGAGTATTCAATACGAGAAAAAAGATTGAATAATAAGTTTTTTTTTTGAAAAATTGATGGGTGACTTCATCCATGGCAAAATTAGGAAGCCTTCCTGATTTTGCCACGAATCATTTTTTGATCAAAAAATTTGAAATTTTTTATGAATTCAATTGTAATTTGTGTGATTTACCTCTTACGAGTACACTTAATTCACAAAAATAATTAAATAAGTTTTTTTTTTCAAAAATTGATCGATGACGTCATCCATGGCAGAAATTTTCTTTATCTAAATTTGGTCGTAATTTTCTTTCAATTTTTTTTAGCTTCAAAGTTGCTTCTGAGTGGTTTACTAAGCCTAAACCTGAGAGGTAGTGTCATTTAGGTCGCAACTCATCGACTTCATTTTTACATTTTTGGATTATTCCAAATCTGTTACTTTTTTTGTTGACTGTACACGAAAATAAAAATTTCAATTTTTGTCAGCTACCCGCTCAAATCGAAATTTTCATTTGGGCGGGTATTTTTGTCAAACAAAAAAAAATTTTTTCACCCAACAAAAAAAAATCGGACCGAGTTTTTCTCAAAAAAAAATCGGCCCGAGTTTTTCCAAAAAAAAATCGGCCCGAGTTTTTTCAAAAAAAAATCGGCCCGAGTTTTTCCAAAAAAAAAATCGGACCGAGTTTTTCTCAAAAAATCGGCCCGAGTTTTTCCAAAAAAAATCGGCCCGAGTTTTTCCAAAAAAAAAATCGGCCCGAGTTTTTTCAAAAAAAAATCGGCCCGAGTTTTTCCAAAAAAATCGGACCGAGTTTTTCTCAAAAAAAAATCGGCCCGAGTTTTTCCAAAAAAAAAATCGGCCCGAGTTTTTTCAAAAAAAAATCGGACCGAGTTTTTTCAAAAAAAAAATCGGCCCGAGTTTTTTCAAAAAAAAATCGGCCCGAGTTTTTCAAAAAAAAAAATCGGCCCGAGTTTTTTCAAAAAAAATCGGCCCGAGTTTTTTCAAAAAAAAAATCGGCCCGAGTTTTTCAAAAAAAAATCGGCCCGAGTTTTTTCAAAAAAAAATCGGACCGAGTTTTTTCAAAAAAAAAATCGGCCCGGAGTTTTTTCAAAAAAAATCGGCCCGAGTTTTTATCAAAAAAAAATCGGCCCGAGTTTTTTTCAAAAAAAAAAAAAAATCGGCCCGAGTTTTTTCAAAAAAAAATCGGCCCGAGTTTTTTCAAAAAAAAAATCGTCAATACAAAAAAATATTAAATAACTTTTTTTTCAAAAATTTATCCATGGCAAAATTAGAAAGCGTTCCTAATTTTGCCACGATTCATTTTTTGATCGAAAAACTTGAAATTTTCAATGAATTTGATTGTAAGTCAATTTTCCACAGAAAATTGAGAATAATCACAGAAAAAAGTGAAACGGAAATAAATGAGAAGACTGTTACGCCTGGGGGCTAACAGCCCCTAGTCTGTTGAGTGAAAATTGCGCTGCCAAATTTTAAAATTCAAATTCAGAAAAATCGGCATGGCCTAAGTTTTTCAAGATTTCCTGTTTTTTCAGGCTTACGTTAGCCTAATTAGGTGTCAAATTTTTTCTTGTTATTTTTTTTCGCCCCGATCAAATTTCACCAGGCACTTTATCCTATAATTTTTGAGTTTTTCCCTGTGTTTTTGTCCAATTTTGGCTTGCGTAAAAATGCTCGTTAATTTTTATGCGACTTTTTCTTTTTTGGGAGCCTATTTCTTTTTGAAAAATAGAATTTTTTGAAAATCTATACATTTTAATATTTCTCTGCGTCTCTTACCTACAGTAGCCATGTTAGAGACGCAGAGGAATATTGCTCATATTATTTTATTTTTTTAGCCATGAATTTCTCAGTTTTCTGGCCAATTTTTGTTGTGCTTCTGTCAATTTCTCAAATCTCAGCCGAAGTTATGGCGATTTCAAGCGATCCGAATTTCTATCAACTTTTGGCGCCAAGGTAACCACAGTACCCCCTTTAAACTCTACAGTAACCCACGTTGCAGATTTCGCCGCGCTGAAATTTGGCGTCGATTTGACGGCGGCGAAACGGCTCAACTTCAAAATCTGCTCGAAAATTTGAGACCGCGATTTTAACACACACAAAAAAATGAAATAATTTTTGTTGAAACAATTTTTTTCGCGTTTTTCTCTGACAGGTAAAGTTACAGATGCAGAAAAAACCATGCCGCAAAATTGCAAAAATCATTCATTCCGCAATATTTTACTTCAAATTAAGTGTCACTCCTCCAAAACACCATCATCTTCTGCTCTGCGTCTCTCACATCTCTCGTCGTCTGATTCTCCTCCAAACACGTGGGGCAAACGCGCCCCGCCGCACACCAACAATAATAACATGCGACGTGTCCGCACGTGGCTCCGCGCATCGCCGCAACCGGCGGTTTTTGACACGTGGCACATAGAAATTCGGAGGAGGATGATGACGTGGCGAATTTTTGACGTCGCTCAATGATTTTTTGACGCAGGAATCGGGCGATTGGGAGGATTAGAAGCAAGGCGTCGCGGAAAGTGTGCCAAAGAAGTTCGCGATTTTGTGTGTCGTAGTTGATGTTGGCTGAAAATTTGGGGAATTTTGAGCTGAAATTCGAGAATTTCTGAAAATTCTCCACATTTTGAAACCAAACTTGATGATTTTCATGAAATTTGGAGAGAAAAATGCAAATTTTTTTCTAAAAATTCAAATTTGAACTTTTCCGGACCAAAAATCAACGTGGAAAAAATTTTCACAACCAGAAAATTTCAAATTCAAAAAAGCTTCAAATTTTCAAAAATCCACGTGGCAAACTTTTTTTTCAAAAAATTTCGAATTTGAATTTGCCACGTGGCATCAAATTCAAATTCAAATATTTTCCCACCAAAAATTCATCAAATTTTCGAAAATCCACGTGGCAAATTTATTTTTCAAATCAGAAAATTTGAATTTTCAAATTTTTCTGCCAAAAATCAACTTTTTCTAAAAATCCCACAATGCAACACATTTCTCCCGATATTCACTCCTCTCCCGCTTTTCTCTGCCTCCTTCTTTCATAACTTGACAATACGCGCATTGTTTTATGTCTGCATCCTTAGCGCAGTCGGGTAGGGGATGGACTGCCAAGCAATGTGTGTGGTCATTTTGGTGGGTTCGAGTCCCACCGCAAGCTGTTTTCGTTCCTATATCCTCTAATGTAATTTTCGATCGAAAATCTTCATTCGAAAATGTCCCAAAAAAGCGTCAACATTTCTGTTGAAAAGAGAGAGGGCGCAGAGAAAGATTGAAGGCAGAGAAAAACGGAAAAGAGATTGGGAATAGGTATTTTTTTGCTAATTTGTGCTGTAATTAACATCAAATTGTACAGAATTTTGTGATTATTTTGATAAGACTGTTGCCAATTCAAAGGAGACCGTTACGCCTGGGAGCTAACAGCTCCTAGTCGAGAATACAAAATTCTCGAATCAGAATTCGGTAATCAAACACATTTTCAAATTCAAATTGGATCACTTATTAGTGAATTTGAGGTGGTCTATACTAATTGTGATTCACAACAAACAAATTGCGGATGGCAAATCAAATCGGAGAAACATCAAAAATGTTTATCTCGAAGGAGAGCGTATTATTCGAGTTTATTGATTGATTACGAGCAGATATTTGCTAGAAAATCACGAGATTTACTCGAAAAATATGTGAATAACCTTGAGATTGGTGAATTTCCAAAAGCGAAATATTTCCGGATAACTGGAGAGGATGTCTATGATATCATCAATTTGAAACATATTAATCCTGTTCTAAAACTCATTGGCAAACTCCCAACGATCTCAAAACATCGATTTTCAATCGATAAATCTTCCGAGGAGAATCTTCAATTTGATGTTTTCATCGATGAAACTAGTAAAAGCAAAATGATAACAATTGATATAATTTATAATACTACAACTGGATATTATGAAGTTACATTGGAGCAACAGAGAAAATATTCGAGTGATGATTCGAAACTTCAGTGGTTCACTTCGGCATTTATTGATTATCGAGAAATATATCGAAAAATTGTTGAGGAATTGATGAGAAGGTTTGAAAATGCTATTGAAACCAAGGAAATGAGAGAGGATGATATATTTTCGATCAAAAATGTGAATATTTCAGAACTTGGATATTATACGGCTTTTATTCCAATTAGGGTTTTCGATAATTATTATGAAGAAAACAACAAATTTTCAATTGATGATAAAAAATTGGTTGAATTTAGCTTTGAACTCAAAAACAACAAGTTTTACCTAATTTCGGACAAAGAGAATTCAATCAAATATTTTGAATACATTTATGCAGAAAAAGCCGAAGTTCTGATGGATGACTATAGGAATGTATTATTGGCAGAGAAACTGGAGTTGAAGAAGATATTCAGCGAAAACTTCAAATTATACATTTGTGGAAGGGGAAGTTTGAATTTGACACAATTTGAGAAACAACTCGAAAAAATGGGAAATGTTGTTGATTTTGGTGATTCGTATGATTTGATTGAATTCGTTTCCAGTGAATCCAATTAATGGTGATATTGATTTGTTGAGAAATAGAAAATCAAGATTTTTGGCGAAATTCAACTTTGATTTGAGAAAATATGAATTAACATTGGAGTATCGTTGTCAAGATGAAGACTTTTCGAAATCGAAAGACTGGGAAAAATGTGGGAATTTACAACGAGGAAGAAACTTTTGATCTTGATGAACCCTTGATTGTTTTCGGCAAATCACGTGGGTTAAAGGAGGGGGATTCTTTCGAGGAAATATTATTTTTCAGCGATGCTTCTTAAAAACCCCACTATTGTTGAATACCAAAGGTTTAATGTGACAAAAGATGTGCTAAGATTGAAGAGAGCTTTATTGAAGAATGAAAAATCCAAAGTATTGTTTGAAAACTCACAAGGGAACTTTCCCAACTTGCAATCGAGATTTCTAATGAGATATATGTTTTCTAGTAGTTTTCGACACGCTGATCACCATCCCGCTATCTAAAACTGCAAAGCTCGACTCCTAACATGAGTTATGACGTAGCAAAAGTTGGAAAATTTTGAGAAATTGGGACTTTGGAGGGTCCGAACTTGCCTTCAAAATTATTTTCATGAAAATTTCTGATGGCACAGCGTTGTTCAGAAGGATTGTGATAAACTTTGAAATTCTTTTGGTACAGTGAAAAAAGTCAATTCAGGTTGTAGATTTCAAAGTTGTTTTGAAAAATCTTCCGGATTTTTGTACGGACCTTCTAAACTCATGTAATCGACCTTCCTGAACAACCCTATGCAATTAGAGTTGCATGAAAATAATTTTGAAGGCGAGTTCGGACCCTTCAAAGTCCCAATTTTTAAAAATTTTCCAACTTTGCCACGTCATAACTCATGTTAGGAGTCGGGCTTTGCAGTTTTAGACAGCGGGATCGTGATCAGCGGGTCGAATTGCAAGTTGAAACAGTTCTCTTGTCAATTTCTCAACAACAATCGATATTTCCAGATGATAAAACTAGCCTGTCGTCGTTCACAACAACAACGTCTTCAAATTGCGCAAGAATATAGAAAAAGGTATAACGTTGACTTGGTGAAAAAATTTGGTTACCGAAATTTTCTAAACCTGGAGGTTCGACACTTTGAAGAATTCCGAACTCTCATGAGTCGATTATTTTTACGTCAAGTCGATTTGGATATTATGACAATTCATCAACTTCACCCCAGCGCGTATACTGATGGAAGCCCGCTGTTACATGATATTCTACAGATTTTGATGACACGAACGAATCAAGAGATTGAAGAACTTAGCAAAGAGCATGATATTAGTTACGGCGGAAATAATAGTTTGGTAGCGTTTCTAGATGATTTGGATGTTCGAGGAATTTTATCGGAATTGGTGAAAGTAAAAAGAGATGAAAGTTGGTTGACAAATCGAACAAAAGCTGTGGAGGATGCCGAACGATTGCATAGAGCTAATGAATTATTATACACTGAACGTTATTCGAAAAGTATTGCTATAACGGAGCAAGAAAAAAGTTGTGATGGAAATTTTCACCAAAAATAACTTATGCCAACTGAAATTGATGTTAAATATATATTACAAGAAATATGGAAAGTCCAAAAAACATATGTTTTTCGGAGAACTCAATTCGATCGAGTGAGTTAGTCTTGTTTTTGTCTCTAAATGATTAATTTTTAGTTACACTTTAACGTGTTATCGAATAATTATTTCAATTATAACCAATCGTTCGAAATATTATGCAGAAGAGTTTGAAAATCTAATGACTGGTGTTGGAACTCGTGAAGATCGCTTGATAAATTTGATCATTATGAGATCAGAAATCGATTTGCAATCGATTCGAGAAGAATTTGATCGTCAACATCCAAATGAATCATTCATCGATTGGATTTCAGATGATACTTCTGACAAGTATCAAGAAGCACTTCTAGCTTTAGTTCGAGGAAACAGAGATCAGATAATATGATTTGGGAAGAGGGGATTTGATAATTAAAATAAAACATTTTTAAGTACAAAACTTTTTTTATTCCCATAAATTTCAGGAATAAAAAAACAACAGACTAGAGTGTAGTCTGCGAGAGAGTGAGAGACGCGGAGGAAATTTAAAAATTGGCGGTGAAATTTGAGAATCATATGTCATTGAAAGAAAAAAAAAACGATTTTCAGAAGGATTTACAACTATGAATAGTCTAAAACTTGAAGAAAAACAAATTTCCAGCGAAAAAATGAAAAAAACTGGTAAAAATCGATTTTCTAACCTTTTCAAGAGTTTTTTCTCGAAATTTGCAATGAAAATGTGTTGCTCAGATGGAAAATAACGATTTCCAGCAATTTACAAGACTGAAAATCATCTAAAACTCGGAAAAACAGGTTTTCAGCAAAAAAAAAGAGAGAAACCGCCCGAAAGCTTCGAATGTGTGCAAACACTTGCAATGCACACAATGCAACCTACAGTACTCCAAGAATATATTTTAATCGACTCAGCTGAGTTTCAGATGCAACATTGGATTTTTAGCCACATATAAAGAATATTTTGACTCAAAATGTAGCTGAAATTGTAATTGTTCAGCCAATTTTCGTCAAAAATCAATAAAAAATAAGTAAAAATGGTCAAAACACCGTGATATTTCGAAAATTCAAACAAAAAAGCACAAAATTCAATATTTTATTCAACCAGCAAAAATCAAAACAAATAACAATTTTTCAAATTTTATTCATTTTTCAATATCAGATTTTTTAGAATTTCCATAAAAATTCAAAAATGTGTGTTTTGTTTTTTTTTTGATCTTTGATCAAACAAACAAACACACTGCAGGCTATATTATATCCAAAAATGATTATAATTTACAGAAATCACTTAGATAGTTATAAAGACGCATAAAGCGCAAAAACTGAACGTAAGTTTTTCTAGATATAGCAATATCAAAAAAATCTCCTATTTTTGCAGAACGCTAATGTTAATCAAATGAACGTCCCAGATCGCGCTGGGACACCAAACGTGGTTCAAGATCAACCGGAGCTTCGCCTTCCGCAGCCAACCGATCCAGCAACTCAACAACAACAAGATTCAGCCTGGTTTGATGCGGATTTGATGCGCGAATTGGCTCGTCAGTTGGAATTGGAGGCACAGATTCAAGCTGTCACCACGGGTGTTCCAATTGCTCCTCCATCGCCGATTTTATCGATCGAGGAAATCATAGAGCTGTTGAATCCCCGCTCTAATTCGGACAACGAAAATGCTGCTGAAGTTGATATGATGCCAGTCAATGATCCGAAGATCGCAATCGAATTAGAAGGTGATGAAGAAGCTGTGGATTTGGAAGATGGTGGAGGGCAAGAAGCGGAAATGGCGGACGACACGACTTCAACGGAACGAGATATGGCGAATCTTCGACCATATCTCAGTTTCGAACACGAATACGGTGCTGGACAAGCTTTGTGTCAATCCCCACAAAAATTTAAAGAATCGAGAGTGAGTATATCAGCGAAACCGACCGAATTGTTGCAAAATCATGCGATTGTCCAACTTCGATAAATGGCGAGCAAGAAGAGATTGTGGATATGTTTTTATACAAAATACAACAAATAAAGTATTTTCCTGATTCTATTTCATTTTTTTTCTCAAAAAATTACCAAAAGTGGCAGTTGTTAAAATGTATTCTCTCCTCTTATTTCAGAATCAGCTAACGTAAATCAATTTTTAAATTAAAAGGCTAGAAGGCTAAACCAAACGTCACAAAGGTCGAAGACTAATGTTGTTAAGACTAAGCCTAATTAAAAAAAAGAGCCTAACGAAGCGAAATTTCACATTTTCAGAGTCAAAAAAGAGCTCTGCACCGAACTCAAAATTTAGCTGAATTTGTAATTGTTCAGCTAGAAAATTGAATTCTCAGTCAATTTTCCTCAAAAATCAATAAAAAATAAGTGACAACGGTCAAAACACCGTTATTTTTCAAAAATTCAAATGAAACAGCACAAAAATTCAATATTTTATTCAACAAGCAAAAATCAAAACAAATAACAATTTTTCAAATTTCATTCATTTTTCAAACTCAGATTTGAGCGAAACTTTTAGAATTTCCATTAAAAATTAAAAAATTGGGCATAGCTTCCGCGTCCCAACTGAAATTGCATTTTTGGAACTGATAAAATCAACCATTTTTCAAGATTTTCACAAAGAAAATCAAGAAAAATAGAAGTTTAATCAGTCTCAAACTGAAATTCCAGAATTTCAATTTATTTTTTTGAGGACAAACTATGAATATCATTTTCTAATTTTGGATCCCCAACATTTTTGAAGATTCTTACCTGAGTGCAATTATTCAAACCATCACATTTTCCCACATCCAAATATTCGATAACTTCTCACCCGAAATTCAATAATTCCAAAACCTCTATTCAAATCATCCAAAAAATTGCATTGATGAACCAAGCCGAATCTAATCGAATCAAACAACTCCAAAATCCGATATCCTTCATCGATTCGTCGTTTTCTCGACCAAATTGAATTCCCGTGAAATTCTGGAAAAAATTGATTGAAAAAATAGAGGAGGTTGGGTGGGATAACTAGAAAACATTTTTGGTTCCAAATAATTTTTTTTTAATTCAAAGTTTTTGAATAAAAAATCAAAAACTGGGCATAGCTTCCGCATCTCCACTGAAATTCCAATTTGGAACTGATAAAATCAACCATTTTTCAAGATTTTCAAGAGAAAAATCAAGAAAACTAGAAATTTTATCAGTTTCAAACAGGATATTCCAGAGTTTCAGTTTACTTTTTTGATTATCTAATTTTGGATTCCCAACATTTTGAAGCTTACCTGAGTGCAATAATTCAAACCATCGCATTTTCCAACATCCAAATATTCGATAACTTCTCAAAACAGCCATTTGATCAGCAAAATTCGAGATCGCAGATGAAAACCTGCAAAAAAACAAAGATTTTTTGAGAAAAATTAGTTTAAAAATAAAAACTTTGGTTTACTGTAAGTAGATCAAAATCTGGTACTATAAAATATACTGTAGTTTGTCTTTTCCGCAAACACCACACAAGGTCCAAAAATACAAGAATCGCAAAATTTTCAGAACAAAAAAAAAAGCAGAGTTTACTGTATATTTATAGTTACTGTTGTTTTATATAAATATACAGTATATAAAAAAATTATCTAAAACTACAGTAGAAATCTACAGTACTCGATTAAATACCAGATTTTTGTTAAAAAAATAAAAAAAACATGTTTCAAAGAAAAAAAAACAGAAACATGTTTGTTTGATCAAAGATCAAACCATAAATAAACAAACACACTGCAGGCTATATTATATCCAAAAATGATTAGGTCAAACTAAAAAAAAAAGAGGGAGAGAGTATGGAAAAATGAGAGAGTTGGCAGGAAATTGGTGCGATTTGGGATGGCGTCCTGGTTTTTTCTCGGGGAATGGTTTTTTGATTATTTTTTTTTGGAATTCGGCTCAATTTTTGGATTTTTAAACTTGGAAAGCTGGATTTTCAGATTTTTTGTTGGAGAAATAAATTTACAGATATTTTATTTTCTTCTGAAATTTTGATTTTGTGAAATTTTTAGGATTTTTCTTGCTTTTTTAATTCTGAAATTGAACAGTATTTGTTCTAGAATTTTTCAGACATTGCTCAGGTTAGGCTAAGAATGGGAGATTTTTTTTACAGAAATATCTGAAAATGAAATTTTCAGGATTTTCTCGATGTTTGAAGCTTGAAAAAAATAAATTTCAGATTTTTTTGCTGGAAAAACAATTTTCATAATTGGGTTCTAATCTAACCTGAGCAATGTTTTTCAAAGGAATTTTCCAATTTTGTTCTAAATTAACCTGAGCAATGCCTGAAAAAACTTTGCTCATATTAGATTTAAATGTTTTTCCTGGGATTTTTCGATTTTCCTGAAATCTTTTGAAAAAAGTTCATTTTTACAGTCCACTCACCTTGGTGTATATTATTAAAAGACGCATCGCGCAAAAAATGAATGTAAGTTTTTCAACTAAACTTTTTAAAAATCAATAAAAATCACCTTTTTTTGCAGAACTTTACTGTTAATCAATCGATCGTCCCAGAACAAGCTGGGACACCAAACACGGCAAAAGACCTGCCAGAGTCTGTTGAAGATGTGACCACTTCTCCAGAAAATTGTCTTACCGAAATGCTCAAAAAATTCGATAAATTGATGAATGCTCAACCGGAATTTGCTGATGAGCTTAGAAGAAATGCTCCGAAAATCACACATGAGCAAATTATTGATGATCTTCGTGGGTTGTTTGGGCAAGAAACGGCGGAATTGATTCGAAATCAAAATGCAAATTTCCATGCATCTTCTTTTGGCAACTCCGAACATCCCAACACATCGGCGCGAGCTGTTGACTTCGATGATAATGTTTCGGATTCGAATATTGGTCAAGAAGATGTTGTTGTTGCACCTGAATTTGAAAATATTGAAGAATTGAGAGCACCAGAAAATGCAAATGCCACAAACATGTCTGAATCTGGATCGACTGCTGAAGAATCTGTTGAAACATCAACAAAATCGAATTCGAATATCTTGAATGGCAATATTGGTCAAGAAGAGGATTTTGAAAACGATGTTGTTGCTTCACTTAAGGGAATTATTGAACAAGTTCTTGAAATGGCAGCGAAATCGACCAAATCGTTGAATCAAGAAATTGTCAATGAATCTCCAACAACAACTGAAACACCAGTCGATGTAAGTTTTTGGTTCGAAAATTGATTTTTCAGATATTTTTGAGCTCTGAAAACAAAAAAAATACCTTTCAGCGACCATCGACCTATGAACCAACTCTATCATCAGCTCTAGCATTCTTGGCTCGATTGGAGAAATTGTTGCCTTGTAGCCAACCTCAAGGAGCAAATGCACAAATGCAACAACCAAATCGACAAGCTGATCCTGAACGTGTTTCTGCACCTGAAAGTGGAAATGTTGAAGATATGCAAATGCCAGAAATTTCAGGCTTACCTGAAACTGGATCGACTGCTCAAGAATCTCGAATTGAAACATCGTCGAATTCTCCATCTGAAAATCAAAAACAAGTTATGCCTGGAAATGTTGTTATAAGGTCACCAGGAAATGGAAAAGCTGTTCAAGAATCTCGAATTGAAACATCGTCGAATTGTCCACCTGATAATCAACATGTTATGCAGCCTGGAAATGTTGTTATAAGGTCACCAGGAAATGGAAAAGCTGTTCAAGAATCTCGAATTGAAACATCGTCGAATTGTCCACCTGATAATCAACATGTTATGCAGCCTGGAAATGTTGTTATAAGGTCACCAGCTGCTGCTCAACATTCTCAACAAGCTGTTCGTCAATCGAAATTCCGGCGACACGTATCGCGACTTCTCAATCCTGCTCCACGGTATGAGACAGCTAGCGAAAGCTCGGAGGATGACGATTTCGAAAGACGCGCTGAAAACCCTGTTAGTTTTTACAATTTCTAGCTAGAAATTTCACAAAGGAAGTGGTCAGGAGTTGAACTTTTGATGAAACATGCGAAATATATCAAATCGACCATGCTGATCACGATTCCGAACTCAAAAATTTGCCACAAATGCCTGTGAGCACTTTTCTGGAGCTCCGAATTAAAAATTGAGTTTTGGTTTTCGCCCATTTTCACCTTGTTCTTCGGTGGAAAATCCATTTTCATAATTTGGATAAGGTTGTTCGCCACATTCGAAAACCTTTCAGCTTTTTATTTTTTCGAAAAATATGAAAAACCCGCCGAATACTGTAATTTTTGAGAAAGTCATGAAAAAACTTTGAAAAACGTGTGTATTTTCATGACTTTCCTAAAAATTACAGTTTTCAGCTGGTTTTTCATATTTTTCGAAAAACTACAAAGCTGAAAAGTTTTCGGATGTGGTGAACAACTTTATCCAAATTATAAAATGGATTTTCCACCCAGGAACAAGGTGAAAATGGGCGAAAACCAAAACTCAATTTTTACTTCGAAGCTCCAGAAAAGTGCTCACAGGCATTTGTGGCAATTTTCGACTTCGGATTCGTGATCAGCATGGTCGATTTGAATGTTTCATCAAAGTTCAACACCTGACCCTATGCACTTCCTTTGTCAGATTTTTTCTGAAAATTTCTAAAATCTTACCGTATCCAATTGTTTTGTTTCAGCGATCATCTCAGCCAACTCAACAACCGGCTCCAGAACATCACACGGCGAATTCATCGCCACTTCGTCGAAAACCTTCCACACCAACATTCTCATCAAATAATTCAACACCAAAATCCTCATCTTCATCGCAACATTCAACACCTCCCGGAACACCGCCACCATCCTATGAAATCCCGCGAACTTCGAACCCAGCGATTTCGGTGAATTCGATCAATAATGGTTTGCACAGTTTGAAAATTTCGCCAAATTTGTTTGCTGATGGTGTCCGATTTATTATCGATGGCAATGAAATACGTGCAATTGGAACATTGAAGCACAATTTATTGGAAGTTGTTGGAGATGAAACTGTTGAGATATTGACACGAAATGTTGGAGTTGTTCAAATGGAGAATTTGATTCGAAAGCGATTGGAAAGAGAATTTGAAGCGAGTCTAGTCGATTATAAGGGAACCAAAATTCCAAAGATTGCTTATGAGAAATTGATAGCATTGGATGCGCTGAATGCATTCAGAGATGATGATGATGATGATCAATTCGCTCAACCAAATCGAATGCAACGAAAACGAAAAGCGGCACCACCATCAAATGATGTTGCGGTCAACCCGAAGCGCAGAAAAGTGATGCGAAAACCAGCGCGAGCTCGTGCGCCAACTCGACTAGCAATTGTTGCTCCACCAAAACCGATTGCACCAACAGGACCGCCACCAAAAAGTGCTCGTTTGGCTGCACGACAACTTGCTGCTGCTGCAACACCGCCTGCGTCACCATCCAATCAATCGCATCATAGTTCAAAACGTCGGTCCGATTCGTCTTCAAATCAATCACCAACAAAAAAGGCAAAAACTGGCCCGGAGTTAAAAACCATCGACGAAGCGCAAGTGGAACTGTTGCAAATTGAGATGGCCTTACAAACTCGAAGCTTTGGTTTTCATGGATTGGATTTGCTGACGGAACATCGTCGAATGATGCGAGCCGTCGTTTCTTATAATAATGCACCGACACCAGATAAATTGGCCAAAATCTTGTCCAAAACAAGGAGTTTGAGTGATGAGGTTGAAAGATTGGCGCAATAAGGTGAGCTTATTTGGCGAATCTACAAATAAAAACTGTTATTTTTTCAGCCATCCGTCTATTATTATTATTTTTTTATTTTCTCCCTGGATTTTTATTATTTGTACTCCTTCCCATTATGCTCACCTGCCCTATCGATTCATCAATAATTGGCCATTTTGATGTTTCGATTTGATACCCTTGGACCTTCACCAACTTCTTAGCACCACCATTCATCATTTTGCTCAACTTTTGGCGTCATTTTCGACGTGAGTTGTTTTTTTTTTTGAAAAAAATGAAAATAAAAAAAATGTGTGCCAACACGCTGACGCGCAAATGCACACATTTTTTTGAGAGGGATTTTGAATTTTTTTTTTTTTTTGAAAAGCATGGTTTTTTATTACAGGTTTCATTAATGAATTGGTGGTGCTACGGGCGTACCTCCGTTAACGACGCGTTGGGCTTTCGGAAGCGGCCCTTCGATAAGTTGACCCCTCAGCTTCATCGCCACAACATCGGCACTCGAGGATCGTGATCGAATTTCGCCACCAGCTTCAAATTCAAATTCAACCTCGACTTATTATGGAATGTTTTATTCATCGATACGCGAATTTGTTTGCTTTTGATCGAAGAATCACAAAAAGCTGCCAGGATTATCCATTGAACTTCAATCACCGAAAAATACCAAATTCCGGATCTGATATCTTCAACATCAAATCGAAAAAAGGCATTGAATATTCGCAAAATTTGATTTTTGACATGTTGACTTTGGTATCGAAAAATGTGGAATTGTTTGATTTCGGATGCAAAAATCGATTCGAAATGTGAGTTGTTTTGTCCAATAATTTCTTTCTCAATTTTTTGTTCTATCGATTTTCCCTGAAACCAGCTTTTTCTTGCAATTTTTGGAAAATTAAAAAAAAAAGAGAAAATAAAGAGTGTGCAAACACCGTTGCGTGCTACAGTAATACTTGATTATTTATTTTTTGAATTTTCAGATGCCGCTGGTTTCGATCTTGGTCGAATCGGGACTCAATAGTGTATTTTGGATGAGGTTCACGTGGAAAACTGAAACTCGATCGATGAACCAGTTAGGATTAATGTCCCTAACTGGTAATTTATTTGATTTCGGTTGAAAAACGAAAAGAAGTCACAAATCATCCAACTTTCTACTCACAAGTTGCCTAATTCCGGATCCGAAACACCATATACAATTTCAATTCGAAACAAGGCTTTGATTATTCGCAAGCTATGATTTTTGTCATGTGGATCGAGAAGAATTATCGAATCATCGGGAAATTTGTCGCTCGGCTTGATTTTTTGCGAAACTTGTTGATCTGATGCACATTGGGCACATTTTTCTTCAAGATTTTCTTGAAAATCGTCGAATTGTTCATGCGATGAAATATCGGAAAATGTGGAATTGTTTGATTTCGGATGCAAAAATCTCTTCGAAATGTGAGTTTTTTTGTCCAATAATTTCTTTCTCAATTTTTTGTTCTATCAATTTTCCCCGAAACCAGCTTTTTCTTGCAATTTTTTTGAAAATTCAAAAACAAAAATGAGAAAATAAAGAGTGTGCAAACACCGTTGCGCGCTACAGTAATATTTATTTTTTTTTTGAAAAAAAACTCTGCAATTTTCAGCCGCTGAATTCGAAAAATGGTCAAGTTCGTGATAACCTGGTTATTGATGGATTTTGTTTGAGGATTGAGAAGAATTTCGGCTTGATTTTTTGCGAAATTTGTTGATCTGATGCACATTGGGCACATTTTTCTTCAAGAATTTCATCAAATTATTGGAAGATCTCGAATTGCTCATGCTTATAATTCTAAAATGATTTGCAAGTTCTTGGTTGTGATCGACACGTATTGAAGATTTTCCAATTTGAGTGAGTTTTTATTTCAAATTTTAAAAATTAAAAGCTTTTCAAAATCAAAAGTAGTTGTTTTTCAGATCGAAAATTCCAAAAATTTCGAGATTTTGGTCGATTCTTTGAATTGTTTGGTATTTATGATGATTATTTGGATATTATCAGTGGTCGATCAAACATTTTGTGATTTAAAAAATGGACAAATTGATGTGGTCTCGAATTTGATGGCTGATAACAAAAAGCTGAAAATTGCACAAGTTATGTCGATTCGGTTATCAAGGAACCTCAAAGAAAAACCGGGCGTTCTCCGGAAATACGACGAAACCTGCATGCCACATTATCACTTTGCCCATTATTTTATGGAGCCGAAAATGCTGATATTGTCGGATGGTTGCAAAATTAATGGGCGTACCTCCATTCGTAGAAACGACGAAATCAATTCAATTTGTGGAACTTGAGATTTTGAATCGTCTTGCCTCATATTCGATTTGGATTCGATTCAATATCTCATTGTGAAGCAGTTGTTTTGGATGGCAATTAATTGATCAAATGAGTGTTTTAATGAGAAAGAAGCGGATCAAAGCCCGGAAATTGATGTTCTATTTAACTGGTCATTAATTAGAATTATCGATTTTTGGTGGAAGTGAAGCAATAAATTGGGACGTGCAAATTTGCCACTTGCTATACGTCATGAATATGGTCAATTGACCTGAAAGGGATCGAAACGTCATATGCTATAGACTCCGGCATATTCCGAAAAGCTAGCGAGGAGCTGAAACAAACCAGTCACCGAAAATGCCAAATTCAACATTGAACTCGAATCCGGATCGTTTTCATTGGTCGATATTGGATTTTTGATTTGGCTGAGTATGGAAAATGTCGAATCAAGGAATCGCTAATTGACACCGAAATTGTTGGATTTTGGAATCCACGTGGAACTCATCCCCACGTGGATAGGAGAAATCGAGTTTGAGAATTCAGATGGGAGTTATGACCCCAAACTGAATGAAAATACTTTTGTCGATAAGAAGTTTCGACGCAGATTTTGGATTCAAAATGAAAAATCGATTGGAATTGATACCCCGAAAATGGTCGAGATTCGATATTTGCTGGTTTTTTGGCTCATATGATTCATAAGTTGTCAAAAATTGCTCGAAACCCAGCAAATTTAGGGTGAGTTCCTTTTTTTGCATCAATTTCTCATTGAAAAATCAGACAATTTTTTCAGAAGTTTTTCAATTCATTGCGTTTGAAATTTGGAACTGACAAGTTCTAACTGAATATGCATTGATGATTTTGACCAGTGGAAGTTTGGTTCGAAAAAAAAGATCGATATTTGAAGTCAGATCTTTGCTATTATTTCCGATTCGAAAGTATTTGGATATGGAAATTTGGGAAGTAATACTCCAAATTAGAAGCGAAAATCCAATTTAAAGGTGAGTTTTTTGCTCAATTTTCCCCTCAAACTCACTTTTTTTTTTCTCCATTTTTTTCTCGAAAATTCAAAAAGTGTGCAAACACCGTTGCGCGCTACAGTAATACATATTTATTAATTTTTTGGATTTTTCAGAAGCTGCTGGCTTTGGATTTGGTGAAAGGAATCGGGACCTAATCCCCCGATTCAAATGGATTCTTGGAATCCACGTTTGGGACTTGACACCCCAAACAGAAGATGCTAGTGGAAGTTACGGTCGAAAAGAAGATCGAACATCGAAGGGACTTGATACCCCGACAATTCTTCCAATATTTTGGAGAGAGATGGAAATCCACGTGGACGTCATTCCCACGTGGATATCGATTGGAAAAGTCAGATTGTGATATTCGAATCGGCTCGATTTTTGTGTGAAGAATTCAATCGATATTTGCTGGCTCAAATACTTATGATTATAGCACTGGAAATTTAAGGTAATTTCGTTTAAAATTATTTTTTGCATCTGGAAAAATCAGACAAATTTTCAGGAATTCTACAAGTTTCGGAGAAATCAAGCAAACCATGGACCTGATCCCCATGTGGAACCAATCAATTTGGAATCAATCAAAAATTTGGGAATTGATACCCCAAATTAGAAGCGAAAAGCCAATTTGAAGGTGAGTTTTTTGCTCAATTTTCCCCCTCAAACTCACTTTTTTCTCCCTTTTTTCGAAAATTCAAAAAGTGTGCAAACACCGTTGCGCGCTACAGTAATACATGTTTATTTATTTTTTGGATTTTTCAGAAGCTGCTGGCTTTGGATTTGGTGGAAGGAATCGGGACCTAATCCCCCGATTCAAACGTTTGGGACTTGACACCCCAAACAGAAGATGCTAGTGGAAGTTACGGTCGAAATGAAGATCGAAAATCGAGTCGGGACTTGATACCCCGACAATTCTTCCAATATTTTGGAGAGAGATGGAAATCCACGTGGACGTCATTCCCACGTGGATATCGATTGGAAAAGTCAGATTGTGACATTCGAATCGGCTCGAAGCAAACCATGGACCTGATCCCCATGTGGAACCGCAAGAGACTGCAGCTCTTGCGGTTCCAACAATTATTGCTTGTCGGATAAAGCTCTCGAAGTTTCGGAATGATTTTCAACTGTGCGGACGGAGGATGAATATTTCTAGTAATCCAATGTCCTATCAAGAAAATTACAAAATAATGTGAGTTTTCTTTGAAGATTTTTGGATGATGAATTAATTTTTGCATTTTTTCAGATGTAACTCAGCTTCAAAAGCTGTCTGTCCAAGAGTTTAACTCTCCAATTCTGCTCGAAAACCAGGAAATTTAAGGTAAGACAGCTTTTCAAGAAACATTTTTAAAAAGAATGGCACATTTGAAGTACAGTAACTCTAAATTTTTGACCTACAAAGAAATTTGAAAAAATTTCTTGCAGATTCCGAAAATCGATTGATTTTCGACGAAATGCTGAAATTCCCGAAGTTTTGCTATTTTCAACAGTGCGGACAGAAGATGAATGAAATACAGTAATCCGATGTCCTATCATGAGAATTGCAAAACATCGTGAGTTTTCTTTGAAGATTTTTGAATGATGAATTAATTTTTGCAATTTTTCAGATGTGACTTGGCTTCAAAAGCTGTCTCCAAGAGTTTAACTCTTTAATTTTGCTCAAAAACCGGGAATTTCAAGGTAAGTTCTTTTTTCTTCAATTTCTTTGAGTTGAAAAATCAGACAAATATTTCAGGAATTCTTCAAATTAATTGCGATGAACTTTGGAAGTTCTAAAAAAATCCAATTGCAACAACTTCAGGACACATTCCAAAAGTCCAAAAATCTGCCCGATTCCAAGTCGAGTCACGATTTATGACAAATGAATTTTGAAGTTCCAAACTTCTTCACCCAAAAATGCTCGATTTTTGATGAGAGCTGAAATTCAAACATTGTATGTTCACCGAATCCAACTCCCGAAGTTTTCGAGGATTTTGCGATTTTCGAAAGATCGGACAGAAGATGAATCAAATACAGTAATCCGATGTCCTATCTAGAAAATTGCAAAATATCGTGAGTTTTCTTCAATTATTTTTGAATGATGAATTAATTTTTGCAATTTTTCAGATGTAGTTTGGCTTGTAAAGCTGTCCGAGAGTTCAACTCTCCAATTTTGCTCGAAAACCAGGAAATTTAAGGTAAGTCAGTTTTTCAAGAAGAAAAATAACACATTCGAACTACAGTAACTCTAAATTTTGACCTACAAAAACAAAATTCTCAAAGCGAATTTTCGATGAAAATTTTGACCTACAAAGAAATTAAAAAAAAATTTTTACAGATTCCGAAAATCGATTGATTTTTGACGAAATGCTGAAATTGCAACCACGTGGATTCGCACCAAATCCAACTCCCGAAGTTTTTAATCATTTTGCAATTTTCCACTGTGCGGACGGAAGATGAATAAATTCTAGTAGTCCTATGTCCTATCAAGGAAATCGCAAAACATGGTAAGTTTTTTTCAATAATTTCTAGAAGATGAATTAATTTTTGCAATTTTTCAGATTTAAATCAGCTTGTAAAGCTGTCCGAGAGTTCAACTCTCAAATTTTGCTCAAAAACCGGGAATTCCAAGGTAAGTTTTTTTAAAATTAATTTTTTTGAGTTGAAAAAATCAGACACATTTTCAGGAATCTTCAACATGTCCAATCATTTGCTGGATTCCGAATCGAGTCACGATTTATGGAAAACAAGTTTTGAAGTTCCAAACTTTTTCGTCCATAGATGCTCGATTTTTGCTGGATGTGAGCTGAAAATCAAACATTGTATGCTCAGAAGATCATTGTATTTTTGAAGTTTCAAACTTCTTCACCCTCGCCAAGTTTCAACTCCCGAAGATTTTGATCATTTTGCAATTTTCAACAGTGCGGACAGAAGATGAACCAAATTTAGTAATCCGATGTCCTATCACGGAAATTGCAAAATATCGTGAGTTTTCCTTAATGATTTTTGGATGATGGATTAATTTTTGCAATTTTTCAGCTAACTCAGCTTCAAAAGCTATCCGAGAGTTCAACTCTCAAATTTTGCTCAAAAACCGGGAAATTTAAGGTAAGTTCTTTTTTCCTTGATTTCTTTCAGTTTAAAAATCAGACAAATATTTCAGGAATTGCAATGAAGTGTTGCGAACAACTCAAAGATATTCGAACATCTCAAATAATTTCCCGATTCGGAATCGATTGACGATTTATGACAAGATTGTGTTTCTCGAACAAAAAACGAATTTTGAAGTTCCAAACTTCTTCACCAAAAAATGCTCGATTTTTGCTGGATGTGAGCTGCATTCAAATATTGTTTGCCCACCAAATTCAACTCACGAATTTTGCAATTATTTTGGAATTTTCAATTGTGCGGACAGAGGATGAATAAAGTCTAGTAGTCCAAGGTCCTATCAAGGAAATTCCAAAATAACGTGAGTTTTCTTAAATTATTTCTAGAAAAATTATTAATTTTTTCATATTTTCAGATGTAACTCAGCTTGTAAAGCTATGCTTCAAAAGCTGTCTCCAAGAGTTTAACTCTCAAATTTTGCTGGAAAATCGGGAATTTCAAGGTAAGTTCTTTTTTTCTTCAATTTCTTTGAGTTGAAAAATCAGACAAATATTTCAGGAATCACAATGAAGTGTTACAACAACTTCAGGACGGGGAAGCGAATTTTGAAGTTCTAAACTTCTTCCAACAAATATGCTTGATGTTTGATTTGAGAAGATCACAAAATCATCTATGTGCCTCTGAAGAGATTCGAGAACTCTTCTGATAAATAATTTCATGTGAATGTAAGTTTTCAGTTGAAATTTTTCTGCGTTTCACCAAAAATTAAACTATTTGTTTCAGATTTCCTGTCAAATGCTCCCAATCATATTTTTTTCATTATTAACTGATCTAAATCGTCTTTCTAAACGTAAGTTGACAAAAATATCAATTTTTCATCTCAAAATCCGATTTTTCAGAAGATCTACTTCTACACTATTTCGTCTTCAAAACAAAAAGGATTCTGTAGGTTAATTTTTTTCTGTATGTTAATTTTTTTCATGTTTCCCCCTCATTTTTTGGCTGAAAATTTGGGTAGAAAATCGAATTCAAAATTCGTTTTTCTTTTGCAATCCCCAGACTTTCAAATGATTTCCACTTTAAATTTTGTCGCGAAAAATTACCCGGGATTTTGGGAGGTTAAAAAATGGGCTTTTTCACTTTTTACGTTGGGAATTCTAAGAGTCTAGTCAAAAGCTGGGCGAAATTGATGGGTTTTTCCCGGATTTTTGGGTGTTTTTCTGGGGGATTTTAGGGGGATTTGGGAGTGGGAAATTAAATGGGCGGCGGGAGAATTTGTAGGGAATTTGGGAGAGGAGGAGGGGGATTTATTTTGGGATGACTTTAGGGAGTACGATTTGTGAGTTAGGGTAAGTTCTAAGGCAGCTAAGTTTGTGTTTGGGTAGATAAAGAGAAGATAGTGAATTTTTTTCCAAAAAAAATCATTGAGAGAATTTGCTCCTGTCCTTGTCCATGTCTCGTTTTTGTCCCTGTCCTGTCCTTTTTTTGTCTCGCGTCTCCTTGTCTTTTTGCACCCTTGGAGCAGGTTTGATTTTTGATTTTTTTATTCGGAAAAAATAGTTTACTATTCAGATTTCTGATATTTCTACCCTAACACTTAGGTTTCTCTTTTTCAGATGATCTCACAAATCTGAAAGATAAAAAATTCCAAAATAAATCCACCAAGCCCTCCTCAAATTTTCCTATAAATTATCTCAAAACTTATTCGATTTCTCATAACTTGGTCACTTTAATTTTCCCCGGGAGATTCTCTGAAATTTGGTAAGAATTTCATCGATTTTTCCCAAGGGATGACGAAACTTTTCGAATTCCCAAAAACTAGTGAAATCTCATAAACTTTTCAAAATTCCGGGTGATTTTTGTGATATTATTTGAAGTGGAAATCAGGCGAAACTGGGGGTTTTTTAGTGTTTTTTTTCGAGTTTTCTATCTGGAATTTCAGCCCCCCTTCCCCCTTTTTCTTGTATTTTTCGTTCGCTTTATTTTTGGTTTTTTTCTATTATTAAAGTTATAATAGAAAACTTGAATTTTGTGTTTTTTTATTCAAAAGTTTGAAAAACTTTTAAAATATCTTTTTTGATATGATTTCAGAGTTTTTTTCTTCAATTTTCTCGGATTTTCAAAAGGTATTTATATGTTTTATGTTCACTTTGCACCCTTTATGTTTTCAGTTTCGACGGATTTTGGAACACCAAGAGCACCCACTTTTTGCACTAGATATGTGTTCAAATTGGAGCAACTTGTGCCAAAAATCTTGGAATATTCGAAAAACCTCGAATTCTGCTGATGAAATGGATTCGATTTGATGGCTCAACAAAATTTTCTACTCGTTGGTTGGAAATGTGATTTGGGATTATTCGATAATCAGGTAAGAAGATTTGGCCCCAAAAAGTTAAATTGAATTCCTGAAATATCCTGTTTGAAACTGATAAAATTTAGTTTCTCTTGATTTTTTATTCAGAAAAATCATGAAAAACTGGATTTTATCAGTTTGAAATTGGAATTTCAGTGGAGATGCGGAAGCTATGCCCAATTTTTGAATTTTTATTCAAAAACTTACTTTCTTTCTCTCAAAATTCCATTTAGGTTCCAACTTTCCGAAAAAAATAACAGAAGAAAAACTAATCCAAACTTTTAAATACTCTTAATTCATTACTTTTCTGTTGGAAAAGATTACTGATCTTCAAAATTCTAAAAAAAAATTTATCATATTTTTTTAACCTATTTTTCGTGGATTTTTCTAGTGCTCAATGTTTCTTTTGCTTTAATAATTCAACAAAAACCACAGTAATCTTTTTTTGTCAAAAATTAAGTTCAATTCAAATATTGAAGAACAACATCCATAAAAACTATCAAATTTAGCTTCGATTTTTTTAGATTTCATCGTTCTCCCAACTTCTTCGATTTCAACTTCAATTATCAGCCAAAAATCGGGAGCTTTTTGGTGAGTGAAAATAATTCTAAAATTCCACGAAAAACGTGACCTAATTTTAAATTCACAATTTATCTCTCACAATCAAATTATATTCCTCTTATGGTTAAACCATAAATGGCAGAAATTATCTATTTGTGAGTTTTCCTTTTCCCCAGGCTAACCAAAATATATAACACATGGTAGATCAAAATTAGTTTTTTTTTCAAAGTTTTTCATTCCAAAATGATGACAAATCGAAGATTTCAAAAGCTTCTCATGTGATTTCTAATGAAAATTTGATATTGGAATCCAGTTTTCAGAAATTTGTGCTCATTTTTCTCCATACAATTCAATTTGTCATCATTTTTGAGTGAAAAAACTAATTTTGACCTACCCCGAAAATTTTTGACCATTTCAATGTGTATTGATTTTTTTGATGTGACAAAAAACATGTTTTTTTTTTCATTTTTCTATTCTTAAAAATTTACATTTTTCAGGTTTTCGAAGCAACAAATAATGATGATAATGTTGCTCAATTTGTTCTATTTTCGATCAATAATCATTCAAGATGTGGAATTTATTGGAAAAATCATGGAAACCTGGATAAATTCATTTGATTTGAAGAAAAAAGAGGATAAAATTATGATGAGATTGGGTGTTTTAATGGAAAAAGAAGAAGCAAATTTGGTATCAGAAGATCAAATTGATATTGGAAATACCGAAACTCATATGGTTTTATCAGTTTACACAAAACTGTGAAAGGTGAATAAGATATTTAAAAAAAATGAATTGAAGTTCTGAAATTTATAGAGAATTTCAATTTCATTTTTCTCAAAATCTTCAAAAATTCCAAATTTTTCCCGCAATTCCTTCAATTTTCGGTCGAAAAATCGATTTTCCTGATTTTCGACATGCAAATATCCAGGTTTTTGACAAAAATTTGGAATCTAGAGTGATTATTCAAAAATTCATTCAAGAGAGACTTTCCCTTGAAATTTGTTCAGTACCAAAAATCTGAAAAATTGAATTTTGAAAAAATTGAAATTTTCTTTTTGCAAGATGAGAAATTTGATGATTTTATTCATCGAATTCAAGAAAAACCTGAAATTTCAAGAGAAATCTGATTCTTGATATAATTTTGATGATTTTTGACCCTAGAGAACCTGAAACTTATAAAAATCGAGATTTTTTGAACAAAAATTCGGAAAATTCACTTGGAATTTGAAAAAACTTGCAATTTAAGTATGAAAAATCTGATTTTTGAGCTCAGAAACGCTAAAATTGATGAAATTACATTTCTTCTTTGAAAATTTCGAATTTTTACCCAAAACCTTTCCCGGAAATTTATTTTGAGCTTGAAAAACGAATTTCAGGGGTGAAATTCGGAACCTGGAAGTTCTATAGATTCTAAATTGATAAATTCATGATTTTCATCAACACATTCTTCAAAAATCCAAATTTTCCCCGCAATTCCTTCAATTTTCGGTCGAAAAATCGATTTTCCTGATTTTCGACCTCTGAAAGAATTGCAATATAAGATTAGCTCGAAATGCGTACTGTACTGTTTTTTGGAACTAATTTTTTTGACTGGAAATTTGGGATATTTTGTGATTTTTGACCCTCAAAAATGGTTCAGAAGCTCTAGAAAATTAAATTTTTGCAGCTGATCCAAATCTTCCAATCGATACAGTCGGTGTTCCACAAAAAAATGCACAAAATCTGAAATTTCCCGAAATTGTCACTGGAAGAATTGGTAAATCGCGGAGATAATCAATATCCGAGAGCCAATTCGAGAAAATGGAGCTCGTGTTGATTTGAGATATCATCCAAAAGCCGCCGATTTGTATTTACAACCAGGTTATCGTGTTGAAAGACATATGAAGGATGGTGATATTATTGTGTTCAATCAACAGCCAACACTTTATAAAATGTCTATGATGGAACATCGGATTAAGGTTCGCATTTTTGGGGGGAGAAATTTGGTGGAAAAATAATTGAAAATTCGATATATTGAACTATCAGGTTCAGATCTTCAACGTGAAATTCAATTTTTGGGTGAAAAAAATAGAATTGTAATTTTGAAAAGGTTTTGGGTGATAGAAAATCGAATTTTAGAACATTTTCTGAGTTTCTCAGCCGAAAATAAGGTTTTCCTTTGGATTTTCAGTAAATTTCAATTTGAATGGCTGAAATTTCGATTTTTAAAACCCAAAAATCAATTTGGAGCTGTAATTAATTAATTGTTATTAAAAAATGCTCAAAATTTCGATTTTCTGACCCAAAAATCTAACCTGCCCCTGAAAATCCCATTGAAAAGCATAATTCTTGCATTTTCAGCTCAAAAATTTATTGTGGGCTCGAAAAATTGAATTTCAGGGGTGAAATTCAGGAATTTTGGATAATCTAGCTCTAAATAAAATAATTTCAAATTTTTATTTTTTTAAAAAATGCTCTAAAATTTGATTTTCTATCACCAAAAACCTTTTTCAAAATTAAAAATATGATCTTTCAACTCAAAAATCTCACCTAAACCTGAAAATATCATTGAAAAAGCAGAATTTTTTTCAATCCAGAAATTCACTTCAGGCCAGAATTTCACATAAATTGAAGTTCTGAAATATCCTGTTTGAAACTGATGAATCTAGGGGTTTTCTTGATTTTTTTGATGCAGAAAAATCTTGAAAACCCCGGATTTTATCAATTTCAAATTGGAATTTCAGCGGAGATGCGGAAGCTATGCCCAATTTTTGAATTTTTATTTAAAAACTTCAATTTTTTGCGAAAAAAAAGTGACCTAATTTTAAATTTCCAATTTATCTCTCACAATCAGATTATTTTTCTTTTATGGTATAACTCAAAATGGCAGAAATTATCTATTTGTGAGTTTACTTTCTCCCATGGTGACCTAAACGGTACTGTAGTTCTGCAACCCAGGTACTGTAGTTTAGCTCCCCGACTACTGTAGATTACCGACCCGGATAACTTAAGTAAGTGGGTCGCTGATTTACAGTACCTGGGTTAATATTTTTCAAATTCAATTTTTTTACCTAAAAAAGCTTGACCTAAAAAAAAATAAAAATCGTGACATTTAATCATTTGTTGGCACGTTTACGTGAAAAATCCAACAAAAATAAACCATTTCAAATTTGATAAATTCGCAAAAAATGGTTGGATTTCGAGTGAGTTTGATTGGAATAAAAACTGAGTCAGAATTAGTGTAGATCATCCAAAAATAATGTAAATTACTTCTGAATATTGTGAATTATTAAACATTTTGTTAGTTTCGATCAGCACCTCGTTAAGGGTGACCAAAACTTACCGAAAAACGTGCTAGATCAAAATTAGTTTTTTTTTTCAAAGTTTTTAATTCAAAAATGATGACAAATCGAGGATTTCAAAGCTTATCATATGATTTCTAATGAAACTTTGATCTTGAAATCCAGTTTTCAGAAGTTTCGCTGATACAATTCAATTTGTCATCATTTTTGAGTGAAAAAACTAATTTTGACCTACCGAAAATTTTTGACCGTTTGAATCTGTATTGATTTTTTGATGTGACAAAAAACATGTTTTTTTTCATTTCTATTCTCAAAAATTACATTTTTCAGGTTTTCGAAACAACAATTAATGATGATGAAGTTGCTCAAAGTTTGGAAAATCAAGAATCGATCGAGGAATTTTGTGGAGTTTGAATAAGATAAGTTTAAGGGGGGATTTTAAGGGTTTATCCCATATTGTTCAAAAAAAAAATAAAATTTTGGAATTCAAAAAAACCCGTAACCGCGCCCGAAATTCTGAAGTGGAACATGTGGGTTACTTTCTGAGCAAGTACGTTTACCAGTTGCTTGAAACCCGCAACTATTCAAATTTCATTTCGATGATTTTGAGTAGGGATTTGTCAAAGAATCCTTTTGGATAACCGAAAGCTGTAGGAAAGTAACAGTTATCACGGGTTTTGCACATTTCTATGAATGATTTTTGGGTTGGCACGGTGTTTTGAAAAGGAATATTTGGGTTGAAATTTGTGGAGAGCAAAATCACAAAGTTGATTGCGAAATTGATTGAATTTATTTGCAGCAATTCGAGAAAACACGTGGAATTTGGATGGACGATTCTGGAAGTCGATTCAACTTTTTGGTGAGTGAAAGAAAAATTAATTGAAATTCTGGAATTTCAGTTTAAAGCTGATAAAACTTCAATTTTTCTCGATTTTTTATACAGAAAAATCTTGAAAAATTGATTTTATCAGTTTGAAATTGAAATTTCAGCGGAGATGCGGAAGCTATGCCCAATTTTTGAGTTTTCAATGGAAAACTTGGGATTTTTCAGCAAAAAACTCAATGTTTTGTTCCAGATTGTCAGTGTTCAAATGCGCTCCAACCGACATCCCAACAAATTCAACCCCGATTCTAATATGTTGAGTATTTGATTCGTGAAATTATCACAAGATTTCTGGTGAGTTTTTTATATGAAAATTTGAAATTTGATTAAAAATACATAATCAAATGAATTTCATTTCCAGACAAATAAAAGAAGTGTTCGAATTGGAGCAATTTGTGTCAAAAACTCGAAATATTCGAAGAACTTCGTATTCTGCTGATCAAATGTGTTTTTCTGGAATTATCGATCGAACAGAACATTTCAATATTATCAAATTGCTCAACAACATTGGATGTGGGAAAATATGATGGTTCGAATTTCAATAATTAGTTAAAAAATTGATCAAAAATTAGAAAATGATATTCATAGTTTTGGCCCGAAAAAAGTAAATTGAAATTCTGGAATATCCTGTTTGAAACTGATTAAGAGACGTTTTTTGTAAGAAGGGAAATTTTATAATAAGGAGCTGCGCAAGCAAAAAAAAAGTTTTTCTGAAAACTTGTGTAATGATATCCCCATGGGTGGGCATCAATTCGCGAACAATATTATTGCTCAAAACCGCTTCACCATTGTGGTGTGACGGGTGAAAGCTGTATAAGCGGTCATAGGAACTTTGCTCTCCGTTGATATTTTTTGATGATCTCAACGCCAAAGTACTTCTTTTGGCCTAAAATAACTTTTCAAGTTTTCCGCATAAAAATTGCACCATTTCTAATGGTGCAATCACACCATGTTGGTGAAAAACACCAATATTTGCTTTTGGCGTCAATTTCCGCACTCTCGCACTGGTTTTAAACGCTTCCTCGTCATTTTTTACATACCCTACATAATTTTCAGAAAAATAAACGGGACCCCTTTTTGGCAATTCCACCCCAAAGTTGGTCACCCAAGGTGTGCACCACAGCATTTTTTCTCAAAATCACCCAAATTTTTGATTTTTTTGTTTAAAAGTGTTATTTTATGGTTCAAAGTTACTTTTATGTGAAAATTGGGAAGTTTTCGGGACGAAAACGTGTTATTTCACGCATTTCACGTGAAAACTCACGTGAATTTTTTTTTCGAAAATTAAGTTTAAAGACATGTTTTCTGGGGTTTTTGACTATGCTGATCAACGTGGTATCATTTATGTTTCTTGAAAATTCTAAATTCAATGAGTTTGACAACACTCTGGAAGTCTCACTTTTTAGAGTTCATTTTTATGAGATATCTGAAAATAGCTAAATATGAAATTTTCAAGAAAAATAAATGATACCACGTTGATCAGCATTGTCAAAAACCCCAGAAAACACGTTTTTAAACTTAATTTTCGAAAAAAATTCACGTGAGTTTTCACGTGAAATGCGTGAAATAACACGTTTTCGTCCCGAAAACTTCCCAATTTTCACATAAAAGTAACTTTGAACCATAAAATAACACTTTTAAACAAAAAAATCAAAAATTTGGGTGATTTTGAGAAAAAATGCTGTGGTGCACACCTTGGGTGACCAACTTTGGGGTGGAATTGCCAAAAAGGGGTCCCGTTTATTTTTCTGAAAATTATGTAGGGTATGTAAAAAATGACGAGGAAGCGTTTAAAACCAGTGCGAGAGTGCGGAAATTGACGCCAAAAGCAAATATTGGTGTTTTTCACCAACATGGTGTGATTGCACCATTAGAAATGGTGCAATTTTTATGCGGAAAACTTGAAAAGTTATTTTTAGGCCAAAAGAAGTACTTTGGCGTTGAGATCATCAAAAAATATCAACGGAGAGCAAAGTTCCTATGACCGCTTATACAGCTTTCACCCGTCACACCACAATGGTGAAGCGGTTTTGAGCAATAATATTGTTCGCAAATTGATGCCCACCCATGGGGCTATCATTACACAAGTTTTCAGAAAAAACTTTTTTTTGCTTGCGCAGGCTGTATTTCCGGTATTACAAAAAACGTCTCTTACAATCTCAAATCATTAGACCCCCCAATTTTTCACATTTTTTTCGGTATTATTGAATTAAAAACATGTGAGAAATAAAAAAGTAGGTCAAGTGACGTGGATTTAAAAACAGTATAGGTAGCCATGTCGTCAATTGCGATGCGGTTCTGCGATGCGTGTTGACCTCGATATTTTCCATTGGATTTTCCAAATTTTCATTTCTAAAAACGTGTCGCTCACACGCATCGCGACTGACGACATGGCTACCTATACTGTTTTTAAATCCACGTCACTTGACCTACTTTTTTATTTCTCACGTGTTTTTAATTCAATAATAGATCAAATGATTTTTTTGTCTAATTTTTATTCAAAAACTTGGGATTTTTTCAACGAAAATTCATTTTTTTGTTCCAGATTGTCTGACCAACAAATTCAACCCCGATTCAAATGTTTTCGCTGGCATGAAATTCGGAAAAATATCACAAGATAAAACAAAATCCAGTTTTTTGGTGAGTTTTTTTATATGAACAATTAAAATTTGATGAAAAATAGCTTGAAATTCTGAAATATCCAAGAAAAAACTAATAAAATTTAGAATTTTCTTGATTTTTTTGATTAGAAAATCTTGAAAATTCTCCATTTTATTAGTTATTTTGGAATTTCAGCAGAGATGCGGAAGCTATGCCCAATTTTTGAATTTTTAATCAAAAACTTACTCTTTTCCAAAAAATCATTCGGAGTATAAAATGAGCAATTCTCATGAAATTTGAACCGTTTTGAGCCTAAATTTGAAGAAATTCTAAGATTACTCATATTTAGGCTCAAAACGTTTCAAATCTTGATGAAATTTTGACTTGAAGTGTTGAGTGTGAAGGTTCCCTTGTCAAAAAAAATGAAGTTGGATTTTGAGCCCAGATATGAAAAATTGAAATTTTTTGTGCCAAAACCATTTCCACATTCTATTTAGTATCAAAATGCTCCATTTCACCGTAACTCCGATTTTTCCAGACAAAATCATGGAACAACACTTTTCGGATGTGATTTCCACCGACGAAACTCTGGAAAGTTTGAAAATTCAAAATTCAAAAGTCAAACTCGAACACAGTTTTTCGAATTTGGAACTTTTCTGGATGTATTTTGATGGAGCTGTAAGAGATGAGCAAACTAAAAAGAAATTATAATTGTTATCGATTTCCATTTTGTTTTGTATTTCAACACCCAAAAAAGAGGTGAGCTTTTGCTCAATTATTTTCAGAAAAAAATATCCAAATTTTCAGACATACAATATTTGATTGATTCACTTTTCAACGGATCGACAAACAGTTTTGGTGAGTTACCAAAAAATAAATTGAAATTCTGGAATAAAAAAAACTGAAATTCAGATTTTTCAAAAATTGTATTCTGGCCAGCGACGGCTTGGCCGAGGTGTGACCTGAATTCAAAAATGTTTCTAAACCATACTCAGAGAAATGGGCTGGGGAACCGGCGGAAAACTTTCGGAGATCCAGCCTACGGCTGGCGGTTCGCCGAGAGTTCTCCGCTGGTTATCCGAAAGTTTTCCATAGTTTCTCCGACAGTTCTCCATTGGTTCTCCGCTAGGCGCTTTTTTGCATTTTTCGCTCTCCAAACTAGAAAATTTTCTCCGCCAGTTGTCCGCTGGTTTTCCATTCTCTGCTTCGAGAACATTCTTTCGCGAGGGAGAAACACTGTAGATCATTTGGAGAACTGTCGGCGAACTGGCGGAGAACGTTTTTCTCCATCGGTTTCCCGAATATTCTCCGCCGTGTCGTCTATCCGGCGGTTCTCCAGCCCATTTCTCTGAGATATCTTACTTTTTTCATTCAATTTTTTCAGAATTTCGCGGGAATTCAAATTGGTCGAGAAAACAACAAATCGATGAATGATATTGGATTTTGGAGTGGTTTTGCTTCGATTCGATTTGGCTTGGTTCATAAATGCAATTTTGAATTTTGGTGAGTGAGAGAAAAATTAATTAAAATTCTGGAATTTCAGTTTGAAGCTGATAAAACTTCTATTCTTCTTGATTTTCTTTCTGAAAATCTTGTAAAATTGTTGATTTTATCAGTTTGAAATTGGAATTTCAGCGGAGATGCGGAAGCTATGCCCGATTTTTGATTTTTTTGTTGAAAAATTATGAAAATGGATAAGAACTGAATTGATTACTTTTCTGTTGGTTCAAGTTTTAATAAGTTCATTCATAATCAGTTGACCTAAGCCTATTTATTTATAAGAAAAGATTACTGATCTTTTAAAAATTCTAGTTTGCTATTTTTTTCTTCAAAATTGGAGGTGGGCGGTATCCTCTTTGGTAATCCAATTCCTTTTTTACTGAAGAAGTTCACCATGGTATTATTCAAATATCATTGGTCAGACCCGATTAAAAATTTGCCTAAAAAACAACAGATTTTTTCCGATTCATTCCGAATGAAATGTCACGAATGAGGAAAAAATGATTGAAAATGCTGCCACATCAGCAATGACGTATTACACGTGAAATTTATTATTTTTCATAAAATGAAGAGAGAAAAAAGAGTGAAAAATTATTCAAAATGTCACGTGAAAAAAAACTGATCAGATTTCGTTGTACAAATACTGTTATATGAAAATTCAATGTTTCTTTCCAGATTCCTATCACCAACACCGATTCATCGAACTTCTTCAGCACAGTTCTGCATTCATTCCGTAAGTAAAAACTTTTTCATATCGTAAAATAAATGAGAATTTCTGAAATATCCAATAAAAAACTAATAAAATTTAGAATTTTCTTGATTTTTTTAATTAAAAAATCTTGACAATTCTCCATATTATTAGTTATTTTTTGAAATTTCAGCCGAGATGCGGAAGTTATGCCCGATTTTTGAATTTTCAATTAAACACCTTGAATTTTTAAAAAAGCATTTTGAATATAATATTGAGCAAAGTTTATGAATATTAGTTTAGTTGCTTTTTTTTTTTCGAAATTCCATTTATGTTCCATCTTTCCGAAAAATATCAGGATGAAGAAAAATTAAAGGGGGGGGGTAAGACGACAAAATTTTTTTGTCGCAAAGTTAAAGGCTCCCCAAAAGTAGTGAAACCTCCAAGGGATTTTTTCTGGAAACGCCCAGAAAAAATGTTCCATAAACTAGGTACCACGTAGTTCATGGAATTTTTTTTTCGGATCTTTTTAGGCCTTTCGAGAAAAAATCCCCTGTGGCTTTTACTATTCAAAGGGAGCCCGATTCATTGAGCAAATAAAATTGTGTCGTCTTACCCCCCCCTTTAATCCAAATTTAAATTGTCTGAATTTATTACTTTTCTGTTGGTTCAAGTTTTCCTATTTACAAAAAAATATTACTGACCTTTAAAAATTCTAAAAAACTTTATCATATTTTTTGAAACCTATTTTTCCTGGATTTTTTCAATAATTAACAAAAAATCACAGTAATCTTTTGTTGTCAAAAATTTAGTTCAATTCAAATTTTAAAAAACAAGATCCATAAAAACTATCAAATTCAGCTTCTTTTTTCAGATTTTATCGTTCTTCCAACTTCTTTCGATTTCAACTTTAATTATCAGCCAAAAATCGGGAGCTTTTTGGTGAGTGAAAAATGAGTTAGCTGAAATTCTGAAATTGCAATTTAAAACTGATAAAACCTTCATTTTTCTCGAATTTTTTTGGAAAATCTTGAAAAATTGTTGATTTTATCAGTTCTAAATTGGAATTTCAGCGGAGATGCGGAAGCTATTCCCAATTTTTGAATTTTTAGAGAAAAACTTGGGTTTAGCTGCTGAGCTCCAGTCTGAGCCGCGCAAATGAGATCCAAAGCAAATTTTGATACAAAAAATTACGAAATTTTTAAACTAAAAAGATTCACGTTTCTTTGGAAATTATAGCAATTATTCACGTGAAAATATTGATTCAAATTTTTTGGTGTCAACTTTTCGATGGTCCCAAAATCGACAACAAACATCAATTTTCGACAAAAATAAATATTCCCCACGTTCAATTCTATTCTACCTAAAACTTACTTATTTCTTATGAAAATTAGGATTTTCTGAACAAACTTCGGAGCTGATTTCGACGGAATCGTGATCAGAGCGTCGAGTTACCTAATACTGCGCTTAACTCATTTCAAAACCTGTCATCACCCTAAAAGTCCGTTGTAGGATATATTTGATGTTGAATCAGATTTTTTTTTCCCCAAAAATTCCCAAAAATTGAAACCTGTGTTCAAATTAAATTAAAAATGTTTTCTAGTTATCCTAATCTATTTTATTCATTCAATCAATAATTTTTCAGAATTTCGCGAGAATTCAAAATGGTCCAGAAAACAACAAATCGATGAAGAATATTGGATTTCGGAGTTATTTGAGTTGATTCAATTCGTCTTGATTTATAAGCCCATACTTTGGAAACGTGGAATATTCGAAGAACTTCGAATTGTGCTGTACATATATTTTGTGAAGTTATCAATTGAACAAAAACAATCAGCAACTTCTATGAATATGATAAAATGTGGTGGTTTGATATCAAATAATCAGGTATGAATTTGAAACTGACAAAACTTTTATTTTTCTCGATTTTTTTTTTCGAAAATCTTGAAAAATTGTTGATTTTATCAGTTTGAAATTGGAATTTCAGCGGAGATGCGGAAGCTATGCCCAACTTTTGAATTTTTGTTGGAAAACTTGAATTTTCAGAGCCATCAATGCTTGCAAATTTGAATTTCGATTGGTTTTCCTATCAATTTGCCATACAAAAAATCTGGCCGCATTTGGAACTATAACTCATCACAAATTATAATTTTTTTATTCATTTTGTTATTTAACATCCAGAAAAAGAGGTGAGATTTTGCTTTATTTTTTTTCAGAAAAAATATCCAAATTTTCAGACAAACAATATCGATCAATTCTCATCGGATCGAATTTTTTGAGAAGTTTTTGGACAAGTAGTTTTGGTGAGTTAGAGAATAATAAATTGAAATTCTGGAATTTCAGTTTGAAGCTGATAAAATTTTTATTTTTTTATCAACTTTTTTTCGTTTAAAAATTTGTAAATCTAGAAGACCTTCCAGTTTTACAAATCCATAATTTTCGAGCCAAATTTCAAGATTTTAGGCTTAAAATGATTGAAATTCAATTGTTGAGTATCTTTTGAATACTTTCTTCGAAAAATACTATTTTTTGATCAACTTATTTTGGATAACTAAAAGTAATTTCAAAAAAAAAAAGTAATTTCATCCATAAAAATTATCAAATTTAGCTTCTTTTTTTTTCAGATTTCATCGTTCTCCCAACTTCTTCGATTTCAACTTCAATTTTCAGCCAAAAATTGGGAACTTTTTGGTGAGTGAAAATTGAGTTAGTTGAAATTCTGAAATATCCTGTTTGAAATTGATAAAACTTGGATTTTTTTTGATGCAGAAAAATCTTGAAAATCGTAGATTTTATCAGTTTTAAATTGGAATTTCAGCAGAGATGCGGAAGCTATGCCCAATTTTTGAATTTTTCATTCAAATACTTTACATTTAAAAAATCATTTATAATATAATATGAGCAATTCTCATGAAATTTGGACCGTTTTGAGCCTAAATTTGAAGAAAACCTAAGATTACTCATATTTAGGCTCAAAACGTTTCAAATTTTGTGAAATTAAATTGTCCACCCAAAAATGAAGCTGGAGCAATGAATTTGGAGCATTTTGAGCCCAGATATGAACAATTAAAGTTTTTGTGCCAAAAATTCATGCCACGTGTAAAAATTTACCCTAACTCCAATTTTTTCCAGACAAAATCATGGAACAACACTTTTCGGATGTGATTTCCATCGATTTGAAAATTCAAATTTCAAAAGTCAAACTCGAACACAGTTTTTCGAATTTGGAACTTTTCTGGATGTATTTTGATGGAGCTGTAAGAGATGAGCAAATTAAACAATTATAATTTTTTGTATCCATTTTCTTATTTCCCACCCAGAAAAGAGGTGAGGTTTTGCTTTATTTTTTTCAGAAAAACGAATTCCAATTTTCAGAATTATAATGATTCATGGTGTATGTTTGGTCGATTCTCAAAATTATGTAAAAGTTGTTGGACGAAACATGTTTTGGTGAGTGAAAAAATTAATTACAATTCTGAAATTTCAGTTTGAAACTGATAAAACATCTATATTTCTCGGTTTTTTTTTCCGAAAATCTTGAAAAATCGTAGATTTTATCATTGTCAAATTGGAATTTCAGTGGAAATGCGGAAGCTTTTTACTATCTCAAATCATTAGACCCCCAATTTTTCACATTTTTTTTCGGTAGATCAAATGGTTTTTCTCTCTAAATCTCTCAATTTTGCATTGTATTTCATCAATTTTTTTCTAGAAAATGATGTCAAATCTCAAAAAAATGCGTTGTGAATTCTGGAATTTCATTTGGACATTTTTTGGTGAGTTTTTTATATGAAAAATTGAAAATTTATTAAAAATTACTTGAAATTCTGAAATATCCAATGAAAAACGAATAAAATTTAGAGTTTTCTTGGTATTTTTTTAAATAAAATAAATATTTTTCAGATCGCTTTGACTTCTGACAACTTCGAATATCCACGTGGCAGTTAAAAAGGTGAGTAAACGAAATGCCCAATTTTTGAATTTTTTTTAAAGTGTTTGCGACCTTATTTTATGATGAGATAACGAAAAAAACATGCTATTTATTTCTCACTAGAATTAACTTGAAAATGAATTTCAATTTAGTCGATTAGCTCGATGCGGGAGCTATGCCCAATTTTTTGAATTTTTATTTAAAAACTTGGGATTTTTCAGCAAAAACTCAATTTTTTGGTTCCAGATTTGTAGTCAGCAATCTCGCTTCAACCGGCATCCAACAAATTCAACACCGATTCGATTATGATGAGTATTTTATTCGTGAAATGTTTTCACTGGCATAAAAATCGGAAAAATATCACAAGAATTTTGGTGCTTCCGAAGGTTCGAATAAAACAAAAATCCAGATTTTTTGGTGAGTTTTTTTATATGAAAAATTTAAGTTTGATGAAAAATAGTAGCTCGAAATTCTGAAATATCCAATTAAAAACTAATAAAATTTAGATTTTTCTTGATTTTTCATTCTTTGATTAGAAAATCTTGAAAACTCCGTTTTATTAGTTATTTTTTGGAATTTCAGTGGAGATGCGGAAGCTATGCCCAATTTTTGAATTTTTAATAAAGTGTTTGCGACCTTATTTTATGATGAGATAACGAAAAAAACATGCTATTTATTTCTCACTTGAATTAATTTGAAAATGAATTTCAATTTAGAAGTTTTTTCGAATAACCCTGGAATCTTCAATTATCAGCCAAAAATCGGGAGCTTTTTGGTGAGTGAAAAAATGAGTTAGCTGAAATTCTGAAATATCTTGTTTAAAATTGATTGAACTTCTGTTTTTCTTGATCTTCTTTCTGAAAATCTTGAAAAACTTGATTTTATCAGTTTTAAATTAAATTTTCAGCTAAGATGAGGAAACATTTTGCAATCTCAAATCATTAGACCCCTAATTTTTCTCATTTTTTTCTGTAGATCAAATGATTTTTCTCTCTAAATCTCTAAATTTTGCATTGAATTTCATCGATTTTTTTCTAGAAAATTGTGCCAAGTCTCAAAAAAATGCGTTGTGAATTCTGGAATTTCATTTGGACATTTTTTTGGTGAGTTTTTTATATGAAATTTTGAATTTTATAAAAAATTTCTTGAAATTCTGAAATATCCAATGAAAAACTAATAAAATTTATAATTTTCTTGATTTTTCATTCTTTGGTTAGAAAATCTTGAAAATTCTCCATTTTATTAGTTATTTTTTGGAATTTCAGCGGAGATGCGGAAGCTATGCCCAATTTTTGATTTTTTAATCAAAAACTTTGAATTTTGCAAACAAATTTTCAAAAAAAAATGGGGTTTTTAAATAAAATAAACCTTTTTTCAGATCGCTTTGACTTCTGACAACTTCGAATATCGACGTGGCAGTTAAAATGAGTGAGTACACGTTGTGAATTCTGAAATTTTCGAAGATGATAAAATTCAGAATAAAAATTGCTTATTCTATACTCAAAATGCTCAAATTTCATGAAAATCCCAAAATTTCCACCCAAAAATGAATTTGGAGCAAAATTTAGAGCATTTAGAACCCAGATATGAAAAATTGAAGTTTTTTGTGCGAAAACCACTTCCACATTATATTTAGTATCGAAATTCTCCATTTTTGCACCACAAATTCATGCCACGTGTCAAAATTTACCATAACTCTAATTTTTCCTAGGCAAAAACATGGAACAACACTTTTCGGATGTGATTTCCATCGAAGAAACTCTGGAAAATCTCAAAATTCAAATTTCAAAAGTCAAACTCGATCGCAGTTTTTCGTGCCTGGAAATTCTCTGGATGTGTTTCGATTGAGCAGAATGAGAAGGGAATATATTATTATTCGAATTCCAATAATTAGGTAAAAATTGATCCAAAAATAGAAAATGATATTCATAGTTTTGGCCCCAAAAAAATTAATTGAAATTCTGAAATATCCTGTTTGGAACTGATTAAACTTCTATTTTTCTTGATTTTTCTCTTGAAAATCTGGAAAAATGGTTGATTTTATGAGTTTTAAATTGGAATTTCGGCCGAGATGCGGAAGCTATGCCCAATTTTTGATTTTTGTTGAAAACTTGCTTTTTTTCTATAAAAATTCAATTTTTTGTTCCAGATTGTCAGTGTTCAAATGCTCTCCAACCGACATCCCAACAAATTCAACCTCGATTCAAATATGATAAGTATTTGAGTCATGAACTCGTTTTTGCTGGCAAAAAATTCGGAAAGTTATCAATAGATTTTTGGTGAGTTTTTTATATGAAAAATTAAAAAAAAATCGGCCCGAGTTTTTTCAAAACAAAAAATCGGCAAATTTTCAGACAAACAATATCAATCAATTCTCATTGGAAGTTTTTTGAGCAGTGTTATAGGACAAGTAATTTTTGGTGAGTGCAAAAAATAAATTGAAATTCTGGAATTTTAGTTTGAAGCTGATAAAACTGGGATTTTCTTGATTTTTTTATGGTGAAAAATCTTTAAAAGACGTAGATTTTATCAGTTTCGAATTGGAATTTCAGCGGAGACGCGGAAGCATTTTACAATCTCAAATCATTAGACCCCCCAATTTTTCACATTTTTTTTCGGTAGATCAAATGATTTTGTTCTTTAAATCTCTCAATTTTGCATATGACAAATTGAAATTTGATGAAAAATAGCTTGAAATTCTGAAATTTCCAATAAAAAACTAATAAAATTCAGAATTTTCTCGATATAATTTCTTGAATTTTTTCTTGAATAATTTCTTGACAAAATTTCAAATTTCAAATTGGTATTTTTACAGATCAATCAGCTAGTTCATTCGGTGGTAATACAGTTTCGATTCAAACAAAATCTGGACATTTTTTGGTGAGTTTTTTTTAATATGACAAATTGAAATTTGATGAAAAATTACTTGAAATTCTGAAATTTCCAATAAAAAACTAATAAAATTTAGAGATTTTCTTTGATTAGAAAATCTTGAAAATTTTCCATTTTATTAGTTATTTTTTGGATTTTCAGCGGAGATGCGGAAGCTATGCCCAATTTTTGAATTTTTATTCAAATACTTTGAATTTTGCAAACAAATTTTCAAAAAAAATGGGGTTTTTAAATAAAATAAACCTTTTTTCAGATCGCTTTGACTTCTGACAACTTCGAATATCGACGTGGCAATTAAAATGGTGAGTACACGTTGTGAATTTTGAAATTTTCGAAGCTGATAAAATTCAGAATAAAAATTGCTTATTCTATACTCAAAATGCTCAAATTTCATGAAAATCTCAAAATTCAAAAAGACAATTTTATCAAGAGTTCAAATAAAAATTGTGAATTTTTTATTTCATAAGACTGTACTTGCCTTATTTCAAAACCCGTTATCACCCTAATGTAAGTCCCTTGTAATATTGATTAAAAATAGCTCGAATTTCTGAAATATGCAATAAAAAACTAATAAAATTTAGAGTTTTCTTGATTTTTTATTCTTTGATTAGAAAATCTTGAAAATTCTCCATTTTTATTAATTATTTTTTGGAATTTCAGTGGAGATGCGGAAGCTATGCCCAATTTTTGAATTTTTAATCAAAAACTTTGAATTTTCAGACCGATTTTCTGCCAATTTTCCTGAAATCCATCTTCAATTCAATTTTTGGATGTAATTTTAATTTAATTACTGTATTTAATTTTTATTTATTTATTTCCTACTTTTTGCTTAAAAGCCAAAAAGTAGAAGATTACTGTAGTTTTTCGTTTTTTTCTATAAGTCATTGCATAAAAGCCAATGACTTATGGTTGTTTTCCTAGGAAACCACAGTAATCAGGGTACTGTAGATCTCTACAATAAGATTACTGTAGTAGTTGTTGTTGTTGTTGTTGTTGTTGTTCACCTTGTTTGAGTACTGTAATTAAGAATGCAAAACTACAGTAACCTGTGAATTAAAAAAAGTACTGTATATATCATTTCATTTCGCATAAACACAGAGGTTACTGTAGTTTTGCATTAAGTTACAGTATTCCATGGATTACTGTGAATCTACAGTAATCTACAGTTTATTTCTGGAAATCCATCTAATTTGGATGCAATTTCAATAATGTATTTAATTTTTTGTTTATTTATTTCCTACTTTTTGCTTAAAAGCCAAAAAGTAGAAGATTACTGTAGTTTTTCGTTTTTTCTATAAGTCATTGCATAAAAGCCAATGACTTATAGTTTTTTACCTAGGAAAGCACAGTAATCAGGGTACTGTAGATCTCTACAATAAGATTACTGTAGTTGTTGTCGTTGTTGTTGTTCACCTTGTTTGAGTACTGTAATTAAGAATGCAAATTTACAGTAACCTGTGAATTAAAAAAGTACTGTACATTTCATTTGAAAACACAGAGATTACTGTAGTTTTGCATTAAGTTACAGTATCCCATGAGTTACTGTGATTCTACAGTACCATCTAGATTTGTCAGAAAAGCAATTTTGTTGCAATCAGAAAATAGTTTATCCTAAATTTCGGATTTTTTTGAAGAAAAATTTGGGAAACATTGAAATTTCGTCTGAATTTCCTGAAGTTTGAGAAAATCCGAATTTTCAAGAAGTTTCAGTTGAGAAATCTGAAATTTCGAAAAAATGAGATTTAGGATAAACTATTTTCTGAAGGAAACAAAATGCGTATCATTTGCATTTCTGCGGAATCTACATGGTTGAATCACAGTAATTCATGGGATACTGTAACTTGTCTGAAAGCTGATTTTTTTCTGAAATCAATTTTTTCGCTCCAAAAATAGGAGGTTTCAATTAATTTATTCACATTTTTTTTATAAAAACTATAAATAAAAAGTGGGCGGAGCCAGTGTAGTGCGAGAGATAGTGTGAGACGCAACCAGAAAACTGTCGGCGATGAAAGATGGGGACCCTATATATATCTATGAGTTGCGTTTTGGTAATAATTGGCAAAGTTAATAAATCCTTCAAGGATGCCGTGTTTGGGGTTCGCGGCTAAAGTGTTTACACACAGTGTCACACTGAACGTCCCCCGCCAAAAAACAATAAAAAACCAATATTGGTATTCGGTGACAGAAGGATCAAGAGAAATACTGAATTACAACAATTTTTTTCAATTTTCTTTCACATTTTCTCAAAAACACAAGCGAGCTGACAAGTGAGCTGATTTTTTTCTGAAATCAATTTTTTCGCTCCAAAAATAGGAGGTTTCAACCAATTTATTAAAATTTTTTATAAAAACTATCAGAAAATTTTCCAGAAGAATATTTGGAGATCTGAATTTTTTTTTAGAAAATGAAATTCGGTATTGATATATTTCATATGGTTTTCCAGTGAAATTTTTAGAAAATTTTTTTTTGAAACCACAAAAATTTGAAAATGCAAGTTCCACGTGTCCAAAATTTCATTTCCACAAAACAAAAATCGAAAAACTCACAAAATAAAACACCCGAAAAATCGATGAAAAACTGGTCTAAAAAGGGGGCGTGGCCTGGAGGAAAAAATCAATAAATCAATCAATAATGTCCAGCCCACAAATCGCCATATTTGATGTCGAAAAATGGTCGATCACCGTAACCATCAGGTATAATTCGCCGAAAATTTATGCGTTGGAAAAAATCGAGACGATGAAAATCGGGTTCCTGGAAAAATACAAAGATTTTTGGGTTATGACGTGGCAATTTCATTACTCACCTTAAAAGTTCCATCAGTAACTGGGAAAAGTGCCGAAATTGTTCGCTCATTTTCTTGTCCATGAATATGAGGCGTTGAATTTGGTGATTTCTGGAAGATTTTTGAGATTTTTAGGGTCAAGAACAACATAAATTTTATCAGTTTCGAATTGGATATTTCAGAATTTCAAGTAATTTTCAATCAAATTTAAATGTTTCATATAAAAAACTGAAGCCTAAACCAAACGTCACAAAGGTCGAAGGCTAACATTTGAAGAGTAAGAAAAAGTTCAAAGAAAGAGCCAAACCTCACCCAAGAACCTGGAGAAGTGGGTAAAAAATTGCCCACCTGGGTTTATTTACAAAAATTGCGCACCTAGTAAAAAGTTTTGCCCACCTGAGGCTCGCCTTAAAGACCTTAAAAATTTTTGCCCACCTAAGTTTCTGGGGTCTTGGGTGAGGTTTGGAAAGAGTCTAAGCCAAATTTGACATTTTTAGAGTCATAGATTTTCAATAAAAAATCAAGAGAAATAAAAGTTTTATCAGTTTCAAATTGCAATTTCAGAAATTCAATTTACTTTTTTGGGAGCCAAAACTATGAATATGATTTTGTGATTGGAATAGATTCTTACCTGATTATTTGATATCAAACCACCACATTTTATCATATTCATAGAAGTTGCTGATTGTTGTTGTTGTTCGATTGATAACTTCAAAACTCTATAAGTCTATAGGCTTACAAGCCAAGCCGAATCGAATCAACTCAAATAACTCCAAAATCCAATGATGAATTCCAACGAAATTCTGAAAAAATATTGATTGAATAAATAAGGGATGTTAGGATAATTAGAAAACACTTTTATTTGAATTTGAATGTAGATTCCAATTTCTGAACCTGATTCAACTCCAAATATATCTGAATTGCATCACAAAATTAAGTAGGTCTCGAACACTTTTTTTTTATTTCAAAGTTTTTTAATAAAAAATAAAAAATTGGGCATACTCAGAGATTCGCTGGCCAGCTGGTCACTAGATGGGACCGACTGCCCATCTGAAATTGACACGGACAACCACGGACAACCACATGTACATCGCCCTTATTTTTTTGCGAGACGACATGGTCGCGAGATGGTCAAGTTCATCCAGCCCACTTTACCCAGGTGTGTCTCGCTCGATCCGACCTCGCGCCCAGTTCGTCTCGCTTGAAAGAAAAAAGTCCAAAAAACATATGAATTGGAGCATTTTCGAAGAAATTGGCTTATTTACTGTTTTTTCGGAGTGTTTGAAACCTTTGAATGTCAAAAAACAGTGAAAATTGACTGTTTTGAACACAAACAGCCACTTTTCCTTCTTTTTTGGATGACAAAAATTGAGACCACGTGGCCGGAAAACTCAAGGCGACCTGGTGGCCGAATCAAATTCAGCTCGTTTTGAACTTTCCCTAGTGGTGAACTGGCTAGCGAATCTCTGAGTAGTTTCCGCATCTCTGCTGAAATTACAATTTCAAACTGATAAAATCCAGTTCTTCATGATTTTTCTGATTTAAAAAAATCAAGAGAAAATACATTTTATGACTTTCAAATTGAAAGCTCAGAATTTCAATTTATTTTTTGGTAACTCACCAAAACTGTTTGTCGATCCGTTGAGAAATGCATCAATCGAATAGTGTTCTGAAAGTGTCGATATTTTTTTCTGAAAAAAATAAAACAAAATCTCACCTCTTTTTCTGGGTGTTGAAACATAAGAAAAATAAAATGGAAATTGGTAACAATTATAATTTTCTAGTTCGCTCATCACTTTTAGCTCCATCAAAACACTTCCAGAAATTTGCCAGGCACGAAAAACTGCGATCGAGTTTCACTTTTGAAATTTGAATTTCCAGATTTTCCAGAGTTTTGTCGTTGAAAATCACATCCGTAACGTGTTGTTCCACGATTTTGCCTGGAAAAAATGGAGTTAGGAGTAAGTTTTAACACGTGGCATGCATTTTTGGTGCAAAAATGGAGCATTTCGGGTATAAACTTAGAATAGCCCCCCACCCAATGCATTACAGCCCCCCACTTGGCAAATTCATTTCGTTCCCCCACATTTTCATTTGAACCCCCTTCCCTTCTTGTTTTCCTGTGAGGTTGGAAGAGTAGAAACACATTTTAAATATTCGGACGTGACATTTTTAAATAAGAAAATTGCGCTCTTAAAGAAAAATTCTAAAATTATTTTAAATTCCACGCAAAACGTGTCCTAATTTTCAATGTCCTATTTATCTCTCACAATCTCAGAATCAGTTTATTCTTCCCTCATATCACAACAACAAATGGCAGCAATTATTTGTGAGTTCTTTGGGTTCTACCGTAGTTTGGGATTTCGTAGGAGGGCTCACCCCAGACTTGGCAAAGTTCACCCTTTTGGCAAAATTGTCACTTATTATTATGGTATAGGGTAACGAGGTGGTATTCTATTATTTATCAAAATTTTGGATGTTAGTGGCCATTTTTATCCAAAAGAATACTCTTCTGCAAAATGGGAGACTGTTTTGGGCAGCCGGATGAAAAATATCTCAAAAAAGCTTTTCCACCAGGCATTTTGAGACTAAAATGAGCCCCAGATGAACCCCCTCCCAATTTTTGTGATGGGGGGTTTATATCATTAGATGAGTCCCCCACTTATTTTGGGGGGCTGATCTCAACCTTAAATGAGCCCCCCACTTATTTTGGGGGGCTGATCTCAGCCTTAAATGAGCCCCCCACTTTTTGAACATGGGGGCTGATTTTGAAAATGCCGAATGGGGGCTCAACTAAGACCTTTGGGGGTCTGTTCTGCGTTTTGTCCGGTGCCCAAAAACAACCCCCCATTTTCACTGTGGGGGTTTTTTTTGTGATAAAAAAATTTACCCACTTCTCAAATTTTGATAATTTCAGAATACACCCCCACTGCCTTATACCATTATAATGGGGGGCAATTTTACAAAAGTGGGGGCTTTGCCGAGCCTTGGGGGGACATAATCAGGTGGGGGGCTGTTCTGCGTTTATACCGCATTTCGATACTAAATATGATGTGGAAGTGGTTTCGGCACAAAAAACTTCAATTTTCCATATCTGAGCTTAAAATGCTCCAAACTTTGCTCCAACTTCATTTTTGGGTGGAAATTTGGGATTTTCATAAAATTTGAGCATTTTGAGTATAGAATAAGCAATATTTGGATTTTTGGACAAATTTCAAACTGATAAAATCAATTTTTCAAGATTTTTCTGCATAAAACATCAAGAAAAACTGAAGCTTTATCAGTTTCAAACTGCAATTCCAGAAATTCAATTTACTTTTTTGGGGCCAAAACAATGAAAATCATTTTCTAATTTTTGATCAAATTTTACCTAATTATTCGAATTCGAATCATCATATATTCACACATCCAAATTTGTTGAGAAATTTGATAATATTCAAATTTGCTGATCGATCGATAATTTCGGAAACAATCAATTCGATAAGCAGAATACGAAGTTCTTCGAATATTTCGAGTTTTTGGCACAAGTTGCTTCAATTCGAACACTTCTTTAATTTTTCTGGAAATGAAATTCAATAATTATATAGGTCACGTTAAAAAAATGCAAAGTTTTTGATTAAAAAATCAAAAATGGGCATAGCTTCTAAAATGGAGAATTTTCAAGATTGTCCAATCAAAGAATAAAAAATCAAAGAAAATTCTAAATTTTATTCGTTTTTTATTGGATATTTCAGAATTTCAGGCTAATTTTCATCAAATTTGAATTTTTCATATAAAAAACTCACCAAAAATTTGGAAGTTGTTTTATTCGAAACTTCGGAAGCCCCAAAAATCTTTGCTGACTGCCAATCTGGAAATAAAAATTTCAAATTTCGGCCAAGCCGTCGCTGGCCAGAATACAATTTTTGAAAAATTTAAAATTCAGTTTTTAGAGGTCAAAAACTGGAAAAATTCACAATTTTTGTAAAGTTAGCGTACAATTTTTATTGTGAAAACCACGATATTGACCGAGGAGTGATTCAGGTTCCAAAGGAACACAAAATCAGGTTCCAAACAATTTAAAAAAATTTGTTTGTTTTTTCATTGAAACATTCAAAAATTGGGCATAGCTTCCGCATTTCCGCTAAAATTCCATTTTCAAACTGATAAAATCAATAATTTTTCAAGATTTTCACAAAGAAAATCAAGAAAAATAGAAGTTTTATCAGCTTCAAACTGAAGTTCCAGAATTTCAATTTACTTTTTTTGGGGCCAAAACTATGAATATCATTTTCTAATTTTTGATCACCAATACTTTAAAGATGCTTACCTGAGTGCAATTATTCAAACCATCGCATTTTCCAACATCCAAATATTCGATAACTTCTCAAAATAGCAATTTGATCAGCAAAATTCGAGATCGCGGATGAAGACCTGCAAAAAAACAAAGATTTTTTGAGAAAAATTAGTTTAAAAATAAAAACTTTGGTTTACTGTAAGTAGATCAAAATCTGGTACTATAAAATATACTGTAATTTGTCTTTTCCGCAAACACCACATAAGGTCAAAAAATACAAGAATCGCAAAATTGTCACAACAAATTACAACAAAAAAGTCAGAGTTTACTGTATATTTATACTGTTGTTTTATATAAATACAGTAATTAAAAAATTATCTAAAACTACTGTAGAAAATTACAGTACTCAAATCAAATACATTCCAGATTTTTGTATTAAAAAATAATAAAAAAACATGTTTCAAAGAAAAAAAACAGAAACATGTTTGTTTGATCAAAAGATCAAACCATAAATAAACAAACACAGGCTATATTATATCCAAAAATGATTAGGTCAAACTAAAAAAAAGAAGGAGAGAGTATGGAAAAATGAGAGAGTTGGCAGGAAATTGGTGCGATTTGGGATGGCGTCCTGGTTTTTTCTCGGGTGATGGTTTTTTGATTATTTTTTTGGAATTCGTTCCAATTTTTGGATGTTTTAAGCTTGGAAAGCTGGATTTTCAGATTTTTTTGTTGGAGAAATTAATTTACAGATATTTTATTTTCTTCTGAAATTTTGGTTTTTGTGAAATTTTTAGGATTTTTCTTGCTGAAATTGAACAGTTTTTGTTCTAGAATTTTTCAGACATTGCTCAGGTTAGGCTAAGAATGGAAGATTTTTTACAGAAATATCTGAAAATGAAATTTTCAGGATTTTCTGGATATTTGAAGCTTGAAAAAAATAAATTTCAGATTTTTTTGCTGGAAAAACAATTTTCATAATTGGGTTCTAATCTAACCTGAGCAATGTTTTTCAAATGAATTTTCCAATTTTGTCCTAAATTAACCTGAGCAATGCTTGAAAAAACTTTGCTCATATTAGATTTATATGTTTTTCCTGGGATTTTCGGTATTTTTCGATTTTTCTGGAATCTTTTGGAAAAAGTTAATTTTTACAGTCTTTCACCTTGGAGTAGTTAGTTAAAGTTGCAATTGCGCAAATATGAATGTAAGTTTTTCAACTAAACTTTTTTAAAAATCAATAAAAATCACCTTTTTTTTTGCAGAACATGAATGTTAATCAAGCGAACGTCCCAGAACAAGCTGGGACACCAAACACGGCAAACAACATGCCAAAGTCTGATGAAAATGTGACGGAAGTTCTTGAATTATCCATAATTCTAGAAGTCACCGAACCGGACACCTCGTCATCTTCAGAAGAAATTCAACAAAACGAATAGGCGACAACTTCTCCAGAAAATTGTCTTGACGAAATTCTCCAAAATTTCGATCAATTGATGAATGCTCAACCGGGAAATTGCTGATGAATTTAGGAGAAATGCTCCGAAAATCACAAATGAGCAAATAATTGATGATCTTCGTGGGTTGTTTGAGGAAGAAACGGCGGAATTGTTTCGAAATCAAAATGCAAATGATTCGACTCGACCAAATATTGAAGAATCTGCTGAAGTCATTGAAAAAGAATCGAAATCGAAAAAAGTTATGGAAGAAGATGTGGATTTTGAAGAAGATGTTGGAACGGAAGAAGCGGATGGTGATGATACGACATCAATGGAACGAGATATGGCGAATCTTCGACCATTTCTAGCTTTTGAACATGAATTCGGTGCGGGAAAAGCTTTGTTGCAACCACCACAAACATTCAAAGAATCGAATGTGAGTTATTTTTGAATACGAAATTTCGAGCAATTTTTCGGTTGAAAAATTATAAATATTTTGAGAATTTTTTTTTGAGCAATATTTGAAAAATATTTCTCAGATTATAATTTTTAAAATTAATTTTGTTCTAAACTAACCTGAGAAATTCCTGAAAAAGCATTGCTCAGGTTAGAATTTTTAAAATTAGCTAATAAACATTTCGAAATCCCATAAAATCCTCACCATTTTTTCAGCGCTTTCCAACTCGTCTCAGTTCCTATCAACAATCGCCATTCCGTGAAGAATCCGAGCCACCGAGTTCAGGAGATCACTCGGAAGAAAGATCCATTCTCTCCGAATTCCGCAGAAATGCTGGCTGGAATACATCGGCATCGGAAACTCCGGATTATTCCGATCGAACTTTCGATGCATCTTCTTTGGGCAACTCCGAACATCCCAACACATCGGCGCGAGTTTTTGATTTCGATAATAATGTTTCGGATTCGAATATTGTTGAAGAAGATGTTGTTGTTGTTGCACCTGAATCTGGACCGAGTGCTGAAGAATCTGTTGAACCATCAGTGGAATTGAATTCGAACATCTCGGCTTCCAATATTGTTGAAAAAGAAGTTTCTGCCACACTTGAGGGTGTAATTGAACAAGTTCTTGAAATGGCAGCGAAATCGACCAAATCGTTGAATCAAGAAGTTGTCAATGAATCTCCGTCAACATCTGAAACACCTGTCGATGTAAGTTTTTTGGTTCGAAAATTGATTTTTTTTTCTGATATTTTGAGCTCTGAAAACAAAAAAAAATACCTTTCAGCGACCATCGACTTATGAACCAACTCTATCATCAGCTCTAGCATTTTTGGCTCGATTGGGAAAATTGTTGCCTTGTAGCCAACCAATTGTGGGAGCAAATGCACAAATTCAACAACCAAATCGACAAGGTGATCCTGGACGTGTTTCTGCACCTGAAAGTGGAAATGTTGAAGATGTGCCAATGCCAGAAATTTCAGGCTTACCTGAAACTGGATCGACTGCTGAAGATTCTCGAATTGAAAAATCGTCGAATTCTCCACCAGCAATTCAACAAGTTATGCCTGGAAGTGTTGTCATAAGGTCACCAGGAAATGAGCAAGCTGTTCAAGAATCTCGAATTGAAACATCGTCGAATTGTCCACCTGATAATCAACATGTTATGCAGCCTGGAAATGTTGTAATAAGTTCACCAGCTGCTGCTCAACATTCTCAACAAGCTGTTCGTAAATCAAAATTCCGGCGACACGTATCGAGACTTCTCAATCCTGTTCCACGGTATGAGACAGCTAGCGAAAGCTCGGAGAAGAGTGAAGACGATTTCGAAAGACGCGCTGAAAACCCTGTTAGTTTTTACAATTTCTAGCTAGAAATTTCACAAAGGAAGTGGTCAGGAGTTGAACTTTTGATCAAACATGCGAAATATACCAAATCGACCATGCTGATCACGATTCCGAACTCAAAAATTTGCCACAAATGCCTGTGAGTTCTGGAGCTCCGAATTTGAGTTTTGGGTTTCGCCCATTTTCACCTTGTTCCTGGGTGAAAAATCCATTTTTATAATTTGGATGAGGCTTTTTAGTTTTTCGAAAAATATGAAAAACCAGCTGAAAACTGTAATTTTTAAGAAAGTCATGAAAAAACTTTGAAAAACGTGTGTATTTCCATGACTTTCCTAAAAATCACAGTTTTCAGCTGGTTTTTCATATTTTTTCGAAAAACTACAAAGCTGAAAGTTTTCGAATGTGGTGAACAACTTTATCCAAATTATAAAAATGGATTTTCCACCAAAGAACAAGGTGAAAATGGGCGAAAACCAAATCTCAATTTTTACTTCGAAGCTCCAGAAAAGTGCTCACAGAGCATTTGTGGCAAATTTTCGACTTCGGAATCGTGATCAGCATGGTCGATTTGGTATATTTCGAAGTTTCATCAAAAGTTCAACACCTATGCACTTCCTTTGCGCACTTCCTTTCTTTTTTTGTGTTTTTCTGAAAATTTCCAAAAATCTTACCGTATCCAATTGTTTTGTTTCAGCGATCATCTCAGCCAACTCAACAACAGGATCCAGTTGCTCATGAATATGTGGAATCGGACGAATATCACACGGCGAATTCATCGCCACTTTGTCGAAAACCTTCCACACCAACATTCTCATCGCATAACTCAACACCCCAAATCATCCTCTTCATCGCAACCTTCAACACCTCCCGGAACACCGCCACCATCATATGAAATCCCGCGAACTTCGAACCCGGCGATTTCGGTGAATTCGATCAACAATGGTTTGCATAGCTTGAAAATATCGCCAAATTTATTTGCTGATGGTGTTCGATTTATAATTGATGGTAATGAAATTCGTGCGATTGGAACATTGAAACATAATTTATTGGAAATTGTTGGAGATGAAACTGTTGACATTTTGACAAGAAATGTTGGCGTTGTTCAAATGGAAAATTTGATTCGAAAGCGATTGGAAAGAGAATTTGAAGCAAGTCTCGTCGACTATAAGGGAACCAAAATTCCAAAGATTGCTTATGAGAAATTGATTGCGATGGATGCGCTGAATGCATTTAGAGATGATGATGATCATGATCAATTCGCTCAACCAAATCGAATCCACCGAAAACGAAAAGCTGCACGACTTTCAAATGACGTTGCGGTCAACCCGAAGCGCAGAAAAGTGACGCGAAAACCAGCGAGAGCTCGTGCACCAACTCGACCAGCAATTGTTGCTCCACCAAAACCGATTGCACCAACAGGACCGCCACCAAAAAGTGCTCGTTTGGCTGCACGACACCTTGCTGCTGCTGCTGCTGCAACACCGCCTGCGTCACCAGCGAATCAATCGACTCAGAGTTCCAAACGTCGGTCCGATTCGTCTCCAAATCAATCACCAACAAAAAAGGCAAAAACTGGCCCGGAGTTAAAAACCATTGACGAGGCGCAATCGGAGCTTTTGAAAGTTGAGATGGCCCTACAAACTCGAAGCTTTGGTTTTCATGGGTTGGATTTGCTGACGGAACATCGTCGAATGATGCGAGCCTTCGTTTCGTATAATCAAGCACCGACACCAAATAAATTGGCCAAAATTCTGTCCAAAACAAGGAGTTTGAGTGACGAGGTTGAAAGATTGGCGCAATAAGGTGAGTTGATTCGGCGAATCTGCAAATAAAAATTGTTATTTTTTCAGCCATCCATCTATTATTATTATTTTTTTATTTTCTCCCTGGATTTTTATTATTTGTACTCCTTCCCATTATGCTCACCTGCCCTATCGATTCATCAACAACTGGCCATTTTGATGTTTCGATTTGATACCCTTGGACCTTCATGAACTTCTTAGCACCACCAATCCATCACTTTGCTCAATTTTTGGCGTTATTTTTGACGTGAGTTGTTTTTTTTTTGAAAAAAAAAATGAAAATTAAAAAAAATGTGGGCCAACACGCTGACGCGCAAATGCACACATTTTTTGAGAGGGAATTTTGAATTTTGTTTTTTTGAAAAGCATGGTTTCATTATTACAGGTTTCATTAATGAATTGGTGGTGCTACGGGCGTACCTCCGTTAACGACGCGTTGGGCTTTCGGAAGCGGCCCTTCGAAAAGTTGACCCCACAGCTTCATCGCCACAACATCAGCACTCGAGGATCGTGATCGAATTTCGCCACCAGCTTCAAGTTCAAATTCAACCTCGACTTATTATGGAATGTGTTATTCATCGATACGGAAATTTTGATTTTTGACATGTGGACTTTGGTATCGGAAAATGTGGAATTGTTTGATTTCGGATCCAAACATCTCTTCGAAATGTGAGTTTTTTTGTCCAATAATTGCTTTCTCAATTTTTTGTGCTATTGATTTTCCCCGAAACCAGCTTTTTTCTTGCAATTTTTGGAAAATTTTAAAAAAAATGAGAAAATAAAGAGTGTGCAAACACCGTTGCACGCTACAGTAATACTTATTCAATTTTTTATTTGAAAAAAACTCTGCAATTTTCAGATGCCGCTGAAATCGGAAATTGATCAAGTTCGTGATCAGCTGGTATTTGATTGATTTTGTTTGAAGATTGAGAAGAATTATCGAAACATCGGAAACTTCATCGCTCGGCTTTGTAATTGCGACGCTCATTTTTCTTCAATTATGGTTATTTCAAGAAAAAGATTTTGGGCGTTTCTTCAAGTCATCTGGAATATTTGTGGATTCAGTCGCAACAATTGTGGATTCAGTCGCAACAATGTGATTATGATTGTCATTTTGCAAATCAAGAATTTTGTCTGGTTTCCAATATTATCATTGAATCATTTGGATACGCAAATTTGTTTGCTTTTGATGAAAAAGAATCACAAAAAGCTGCCAGGACGTTCAATCATCGAAAAATACCAAATTCCGGATCCGATATCTTCAACTTCAAATCGAAAGAAGGCTTTGAATTTTCCCACATTTTGATTTTTGACATGTGGACTTTGGTATCGCAAAATGTGGAATTGTTTGATTTCGGATGCAAAAATCTCTTCGGAATGTGAGTTTTTTGTCTAATAATTTCTTTCTCAATTTTTTGTTCTATCGATTTTCCAGCTTTTTCTTGCAATTTTTTTGAAAATTCAAAAACAAAAATGAGAAAATAAAGAGTGTGCAAACACCGTTGCGCGCTACAGTAATACTTATTTATTTATTTTTTTGAATTTTCAGATGCCGCTGGTTTCGATCTTGGTCGAATCGGGACTCAATAGTGTATTTTGGATGAGGTTCGCGTGAAAAACTGGAATTTCGATCGATGAACCAGTTAGGATTAATGTCCCTAACTGGTAATTTATTGATTTCGGTTGAAAAACGCAAGAAGTTACGAATCATCCAACTTTCCACTCACAAATTGCCTAATTCCGGATCCGAAACACCATATTCAACATCAATTCGAAACAAGGCTTTGATTATTCGCATGCTATGATTTTTGACATGTGGATCGAGAAGAATTATCGAATCATCGGAAAATTCATCCCTCGTCTTTGTATTTTTTGCGAAATTTGTCGATCTGATGGACTTGAGCACATTTTTCTTCAAGAATTTCAAGAAATTATTGGAAAATCGTCGAATTGTTTTTCAATTTTTGGTTCGTTGCGATGAAATATCGGAAAATGTGGAATTGTTTGATTTCGGATGCAAAAATCGATTCGGAAATGTGAGTTTTTTGTCCAATAATGTCTTTCTCAACTTTCTCAATTTTTTGTGCTATTGATTTTCCCTGAAAACCAGCTTTTTCTTGCAATTTTTGGAAAATTTTAAAAAAATGAGAAAATAAAGAGTGTGCAAACACCGTTGCGCGCTACAGTAATATTTATTTTTTTTTGAAAAAAACTCTGTAATTTTCAGCCGCTGAATTCGAAAAATGGTCAAGTTCGTGATCAGCTGGTATTGGATAGATTTTGTTTGAAGATCGAGAAGAATTCGCGTGAAAAACTGAAATTTGATCGATGAACCAGTTAGGATTAATGTCCCTAACTGGTAATTTATTTGATTTCGGTTGAAGAACGCAAGAAGTCACAAATCATCCAACCTTCCACTCTCAAATTGTCTAATTCCGGATCCGAAACACCATATACAATATCAAATCGAAACAAGGCTTTGATTATTTGCAAGTTTTGATTTTTGACATGTGGATCGAGAAGAATTATCGAATCATCGGAAAATTTGTCGCTCGGCTTGATTTTTTGCGAAATTTGTTGATCTGATGCACGTTGGGCACATTTTTTTCAAGAATTTCAAGAAATTATTGGAAGATTTCGAATTTTTCATGCTCATAATTCTGAAATGATGAAATGCAAATTCTTGAATGGCTTGATGATCGAGAAGAATTGATGATTTCCCAGTTTGAGTGAGTTTTTTTAATTTTCAAAAGGAAAAGCTTTTCAAAATCAAAAATAGTTGTTTTTCAGATCAAAAAACTCACAAACTTCGAGATTTCAATTCTTTGAGTTATTTGTGGAATTTATGATGATAATTTGGATATTATCAATGGTCGATTGAACATTTTGTGATTTTCCAAATTGACAAATTGCTGTGGTCTCGAATTTGATGGCTGATAACAAAAATCTGGATTTTGCTCAAATCATGCCGATATCAAGGAACCTCAAAGAAAAACCGGGCGTTCTCCGGAAATACGACGAAAACTGCATGCCACATTTATCACTTTGCCCATTATTTTATGGAGCCGGAAATGCTGATATTGTGGATTGTTGCAACAAATTAATGGGCGTACCTCCATTCGTAGAAACGACGAAACCAAATCAATTTGTGGAACTTGAGATTTTGAATCGTCTTGCCTCATATTCGATTTGGATTCGATTCAATATCTCATTGTGAAGCAGTTGTTTTGGATGGCAATTAATTGATCAAATGAGTGTTTTAATGAGAAAGAAGCGGATCAAAGCCCGGAAATTGATATTCTATTTAACTGGTCATTAATTAGAATTATCGATTTTTGGTGGAAGTGAAGCAATAAATTGGGACGTGCAAATTTGCCACTTGCTATACGTCATGAATATGGTCAATTGACCTGAAAGGATCACAGCGTCATATGCTATAGACTCCGGCATATTTCGAAAAGCTAGCGAGGAGCTGAAACAAACCAGTCACCGAAAATGCCAAATTCAACATTGAAAAAGAATCCGGAACTTCTTCATTTTGCTATTTGGTTTTTGAATAGGCTGGACAAACCGCAACACCTTTTTATGCTATCAAAATTGTCGAAATATCGACTTGCAATTGGAAATTCGATAAAAGAAGGTGAAGCCCACTGGTTTTGTGATTGGTAAAAGGAATCGCGAAATGATACCGAAATTGTTGGATTTTGGAATCCACGTGGAACTCATCCCCACGTGGATAGGAGAAATCGATTTTGAGAATTCAGATGGGAGTTATGACCCCAAACTGAATGAAAATGCATTTGTCGATAAGAAGTTTCGACGCAGATTTTGGATTCAAAATGAAAAATCGATGGGAATTGATACCCCGAAAATGGCCGAGATTCGATATTTGCTGGTTTTTTGGCTCAAATGATTCATAAGTTGTCAAAAATTGCTCGAAATCCAGCAAATTTAGGGTGAGTTCCTTTTTTTTTGCCTCAATTTCTCATTGAAAAATCAGACTTTTCAGAAGTTCTTCAATTCATTGCGTTTCAATTTTGGAACTGACAAGTTCTAACTGATTGATTATGCACTGATTTTGACCAATGGAAGTTTGGTTCGAAAATTCCCGATATTATTTGGAAATTTGGTCGATTTTGATGAATTGATCAAACATTTGGGAAGTAATACCCCAAATTAGAAGCAAAAATCCAATTTTAAGGTGAGTTTTTTGCTCAATTTTCCCCTCAAACTCACTTTTTTCTCCATTTTTTTTTGGAAAATTCAAAAAGTGTGCAAACACCGTTGCGCGCTACAGTAATACATATTTATTAATTTTTTTGCAATTTTCAGAAGCTGCTGGCTTTGGATTTGGTGAAAGGAATCGGGACCTAATCCCCCGATTCAAATGGAATCTTGGAAATCCACGTTTGGGACTTGACACCCCAAACAGAACATGCTAGTGGAAGTTACGGTCGAAATGAAGATCGAAAATCGAGTCGGGACTTGACACCCCGACAATTCTTCCAATATTTTGGAGAGAGATGGAAATCCACGTGGACGTCATTCCCACGTGGATATCGATTGGAAAAGTCAGATTGTGACATTCGAATCGGCTCGATTTTTGTGTGAAGAATTCAATCGATATTTGCTGGCTCAAATACTTATGATTATAGCACTGGAAATTTAAGGTAATTTCGTTTAAAATTATTTTTTGCATCTGGAAAAATCAGACAAATTTTCAGGAATTCTACAAATTTCGGAGAAATCAAGCAAACCATGGACCTGATCCCCATGTGGAACCAATCAATTTGGAATCAATCAAAAATTTGGGAATTGATACCCCAAATTAGAAGCGAAAAGCCAATTTGAAGGTGAGTTTTTTGCTCAATTTTCCCCTGAAACTCACTTTTTTCTCCATTTTTTTTGGAAAATTCAAAAAGTGTGCAAACACCGTTGCGCACTACAGTAATACATATTTATTAATTTTTTTGCAATTTTCAGAAGCTGCTGGCTTTGGATTTGGTGGAAGGAATCGGGACCTAATCCCCCGATTCAAATGGAATCTTGGAAATCCACGTTTGGGACTTGACACCCCAAACAGAACATGCTAGTGGAAGTTACGGTCGAAATGAAGATCGAAAATCGAGTCGGGACTTGACACCCCGACAATTCTTCCAATATTTTGGAGAGAGATGGAAATCCACGTGGACGTCATTCCCACGTGGATATCGATTGGAAAAGTCAGATTGTGACATTCGAATCGGCTCGAAGCAAACCATGAACCTGATCCCCATGTGGAACCGCAAGAGACTGCAGCTCTTGCGGTTTCCACAATTATTGATTGCCGGATAAAGCTCTCGAAGTTTTGGAATGGTTTTCGAAATTTTCAACTGTGCGGACAGAAGATGAATATTTCTAGTAATCCAATGTCCTATCAAGAAAATTACAAAATAATGTAAGTTTTCTTTGAAGATTTTTGGATGATGAATTAATTTTTGATATTTTCAGATTCTTCAAATAAATCAAAATGAAGTGTTGCGAACAACTTCAAGATCTCTCCAATAATTTGCTGGATTCCGAATCGATTGACGATTTTGAGAAGATTATTGTGTTTCTCGAACGGCTGCGGAGTTTTGAAGTTCCACCTCGATTTTTGATGTGAGCTGTAATCCAACTCCCGAATTCTTCAATGATTTTTGCGGTTTTCAACAGTGCGGACAAAGGATGAATTATTTCTAGTAATTCGATGTCCTATCATGAGAATTGCAAAACATCGTGAGTTTTCTTTGAAGATTTTTGAATGATGAATTAATTTTTGCAATTTTTCAGATGTGACTTGGCTTCAAAAGCTGTCTCCAAGAGTTTAACTCTTTAATTTTGCTCAAAAACCGGGAATTTCAAGGTAAGTTCTTTTTTTCTTCAATTTCTTTGAGTTGAAAAATCAGACAAATATTTCAGGAATTCTTCAAATTAATTGCGATGAACTTTGGAAGTTCTAAAAAAATCCAATTGCAACAACTTCAGGACACATTCCAAAAGTCCAAAAATCTGCCCGATTCCAAGTCGAGTCACGATTTATGACAAATGAATTTTGAAGTTCCAAACTTCTTCACCCAAAAATGCTCGATTTTTGATGAGAGCTGAAATTCAAACATTGTATGTTCACCGAATCCAACTCCCGAAGTTTTCGAGGATTTTGCGATTTTCGAAAGATCGGACAGAAGATGAATCAAATACAGTAATCCGATGTCCTATCTAGAAAATTGCAAAATATCGTGAGTTTTCTTCAATTATTTTTGAATGATGAATTAATTTTTGCAATTTTTCAGATGTAACTCAGCTTCAAAAGCTGTCCGAGAGTTCAACTCTCCAATTTTGCTCGAAAACCAGGAAATTTAAGGTAAGTCAGTATTTCAAGAAGAAAAATAACACATTCGAACTACAGTAACTCTCAATTTTGACCTACAAAAACAAAATTCTCAAAGCGAATTTTCGATGAAAATTTTGACCTACAAAGAAATTAAAAAAATTTTTTTACAGATTCCGAAAATCGATTGATTTTTGACGAAATGCTGAAATTGCAACCATGTTGATTCGCACCAAATGCAACTCCAGAATTCTTCAATGATTTTGCAGTTTTCAACAGTGCGGACAGAAGATGAATAAAATACAGTAATCCGATGTCCTATCAAGAAAATCGCAAAATATCGTGAGTTTTCTTCAATGATTTTCAGAAGATCAGCTAATGTTTGCAATTTTTCAGATTTGAATCAGCTTCAAAAGCTATCCGAGAGTTCAACTCTCAAATTTTGCTCAAAAACCGGGAATTTCAAGGTAAGTTTTTTTTAAATTAATTTTTTTGAGTCGAAAAATCAGACACATTTTCAGGAATTCTTCAAATTAATTGCGATGAACTTTGGAAGTTCTAAAACATCCAATTGCAACAACTTGAAGACTAACTTCAGGACACCTTCAAAAAGTCCAAAAATTTGCCCGATTCCGAATCGATTGACGATTAATCAGAAGATCATTGTTTTTCTCGTACGACAAGCGAATTTTCGAAGTTTCAAACTTCTTCATCCAAAGATGCTCGATTTTTGATGGATATGAGCTGCATTCAGATATTGTATGCTCACCGAATCCAACTCCCGAATTGTTCAATGTTTTTGCGATTTTCGAATGATCGGACAGAAGATGAATCGAATACAGTAATCCGATGTCCTATCAAGGAAATCGCAAAACATGGTAAGTTTTTTCAATAATTTCTAGAAGATGAATTAATTTTTGCAATTTTTCAGATGTAACTCAGCTTCAAAAGCTATCCGAGAGTTCAACTCTCAAATTTTGCTCAAAAACCGGGAAATTTAAGGTAAGTTCTTTTTCCTTGATTTCTTTCAGTTTAAAAATCAGACAAATATTTCAGGAATCACAATGAAGTGTTACAACAACTTCAGGACGGGGAAGCGAATTTTGAAGTTCCAAACTTCATCACCCATCGATGTTTGATTTGAGAAGATCACAAAATCATCTGAGTCCTTCTGAAGCGATTCGAGAACTCTTCTGATAAATAATTTCATGTGAATGTAAGTTTTGGCTCGAAATTTTGCTGCGTTCACCAAAAATATCTATTTTTTCAGATTCCCTGTCAAATGCTGTCAATCATATTTTTTTCATTATCAACTGATCTACATCTTCTTTCTAAACGTAAGTTGACAAAAATATCAATTTTTCATCTCAAAATCCGATTTTTCAGAAGATCTACTTCTACAACAATATATTTCGTCTTCAAAACAAAAAGGATACTGTAGGTTAATTTTTTTCTGTATGTTCATTTTTTCATGTTTCCCCCTCATTTTTTGGCTGAAAATTTGGGTAGAAAATCGAATTCAAAATTCGTTTTTCTTTTGCAATCCCCAGACTTTCAAATGATTTGCACTTTGAATTTTGTCGCGAAAATTACCCGGGATTTTGAGAGGTTAAAAAATGGGCGGTCACTTTTTACGTTGGGAATTCTAAGAGTCTAGTCAAAAGCTGGGAAAAATTGATGGGTTTTTTCTGAATTTTTGGGTGTTTTTCTGGGGGATTTTAGGGGGATTTGGGAGTGGGAAATTAAATGGGCGGCGGGAGAATTTGTAGGGAATTTGGGAGAGGAGGAGGTGGATTTGGTCTGGGATGAATTTAGGGAGTACGATTTGTGAGTTAGGGTAAGTTCTAAGGCAGGTAAGTTTGTGTTTGGGTAGAAGAAGGATTTAGGGAACCTTTTTTTCTAGAAAAAAAATCATTGAAAGAATTTGCTTCTGTCCTTGTCCATGTCCAGTTTTTGTCCCTGTCTTTGTCTTTTTTTTTTGTCCCGCGTCTCCTTGTCTTTTTGCACCCTTGGAGCAGGTTTGATTTTTGATTTTTTTTTATTCGGAAAAATAGTTTACTATTCAGATTTCTGATATTTTTACCCAAACACTTAGGTTTCTCTTTTTCAGATGATCTCACAAATCTGAAAGATCAAAAATTCCAAAATAAATCCACCAAGCCCTCCTCAAATTTTCCTATAAATTATCTCAAAACTTATTTGATTTCTCATAACTTGGTCACTTTAATTTTCCCCGGGAGATTCTCTGAAATTTGGGAAGAATTTCATCGATTTTTCCCCAGGGGATGACGAAACTTTTCGAATTTCCAAAAACTAGTGAAATCTCATAAACTTTTCAAAATTCCGGGTGATTTTTGTGATATTATTTGAAGTGGAAATCAGGCGAAACTGGGGGTTTTTTAGTGTTTTTTTTCGAGTTTTCTATCTGGAATTTCAGCCCCCCTTCCCCCTTTTCTTGTATTTTTCGTTCGCTTTATTTTTTGGTTGTTTTTCTATTATTAAAGTTATAATAGAAAACTTGAATTTTGTGTTTTTTTTTATTCAAAAGTTTGAAAAACTTTCAAAATATCTTTTTTTTAAATATGATTTCAGAGTTTTTTCTTCAATTTTCTCGGATTTTCAAAAGGTATTTATATGTTTTATGTTCACTTTGCACCCTTTATGTTTTCAGTTTCGACGGATTTTGGAACACCAAGAGCACCTTTTGCACTAGATATGTGTTAGAATTGGAGCAACTTGTGCCAAAAATCTTGGAATATTCGAAGAAACATCGAAGTCTACTGAAGAAATGGATTGGACTCGATGGCTCAACAAATTTGGCTTATTCTACTCGTTGGTTGGAAATGTGATTTGTGATTCTACAAAAATCAGGTAAGAATTTTAAAGATTTGGCCCCAAAAAGTTAAATTGAATTCCTGAAATATCCAGTTTAAATTGATAAAATTTAGTTTCTCTTGGTTTTTTCACTCAAAAAAATCATGAAGAACTGAATTTTATCAGTTTCAAATTGGAATTTCAGCGGAGATGCGGAAGCTATGCCCAATTTTTGAATTTTTATTCAAAAACTCAGTTTCTTTCTCTCAAAATTCCATTTAGGTTCCAACTTTCCGAAAAAAATAACAGAAGAAAAACTAATCCAAACTTTAAATACTCTTAATTCATTACTTTTCTGTTGGAAAAGATTACTGATCTTCAAAATTCTAAAAAAAATTTATCATATTTTTTTAACCTATTTTTCGTGGATTTTTCTAGTGCTCAATGTTTCTTTTGCTATTCAACAAAAACCACAGTAATCTTTTGTTGTCAAAAATTAAGTTCAATTCAAATATTGAAAAACAACATCCATAAAAACTATCAAATTTAGCTTCGTTTTTTCAGATTTCATCATTCTTCCAACTTCTTCGATTTCATCTTCAATTATCAGCCAAAAATTGGGAACTTTTTGGTGAGTGAAAATAATTCTAAAATTCCACGAAAAACGTGACCTAATTTTAAATGCCCTATTTATTTATCTCTCACAATCAAATTATTTTCCTCTTATGGTTAAACCATAAATGGCAGAAATTATCAATTTGTGAGTTTTCCTTTTCCCAGGCTAACCAAAATATGCCCAGAAAAGTTTTTCATTCCAAAATGATGACAAATCGAAGATTTCAAAGCTTCTCATGTGATTTCTAATGAAAATTTGATCTTGGAATCCAGTTTTCAGAAATTTGTGCTCATTTTCTCCATACAATTCAATTTGTCATCATTTTTGAGTGAAAAAACTAATTTTGACCTACCCCGAAAATTTTTGACCATTTGAATGTGTATTGATTTTTTTGATGTGACAAAAAACATGTTTTTTTTTCATTTTCTATTCTTAAAAATTTACATTTTTCAGGTTTTCGAAGCAACAAATAATGATGATAATGTTGCTCAATTTGTTCTATTTTCGATCAATAATCATTCAAGATGTGGAATTTATTGGAAAAATCATGGAAACCTGGATAAATTCATTTGATTTGAAGAAAAAGAGGATAAAATTATGATGAGATTGGGTGTTTTGATGGAAAAAGAAGAAGCAAATTTGGTACCAGAAGATCAATTTGATATTGGAAATGCCGAAACTCATATGGTTTTATCAGTTTACACAAAACTGTGAAAGGTGAATGCGATATTTAAAAAAATGAATTGAAGTTCTGAAATTTATAGAGAATTTCAATTTCATTTTTCTCAAAATCTTCAAAAATTCCAAATTTTTCCCGCAATTCCTTCAATTTTCGGTCGAAAAATCGATTTTCCTGATTTTCGACATGCAAATATCCAGGTTTTTGACAAAAAATTTGGAATCTAGAGTGATTATTCAAAAATTCATTCAAGAGAGACTTTCCCTTGAAATTTGTTCAGTACCAAAAATCTGAAAAATTGAATTTTGAAAAAAATTGAAATTTTCTTTTTTTGCAAGATGAGAAATTTGATGATTTTATTCATCGAATTCAAGAAAAACCTGAAATTTCAAGAGAAATCTGATTCTTGATATAATTTTGATCATTTTGACCCTAGAGAACCTGAAACTTATAAAAATCGAGATTTTTGAACAAAAATTCGGAAAATTCACTTGGAATTTGAAAAAAACTTGCAATTTAAGTATGAAAAATCTGATTTTTGAGCTCAGAAACGCTAAAATTGATGAAATTACATTTCTTCTTTGAAAATTTCGAATTTTTACCCAAAACCTTTCCCGGAAATTTATTTTGAGCTTGAAAAAACGAATTTCAGGGTGAAATCGGAACCTGGAAGTTCTATAGATTCTAAATTGATAAATTCATGATTTTCATCAACACATTCTTCAAAAATCCAAATTTTCCCCGCAATTCCTTCAATTTTCGGTCGAAAAATCGATTTTCCTGATTTTCGACCTCTGAAAGAATTGAAATATAAGATTAGCTCGAAATGCGTACTGTACTGTTTTTGGAACTAATTTTTTTGACTGGAAATTTGGGATATTTTGTGATTTTTGACCCTCAAAAAAATGCTTCAGAAGCTCTAAAAAATTCAATTTTTGCAGCTGATCCAAATCTTCCAATCAATACAGTCGGTGTTCCACGAACAATTGCACAAAATCTGAAATTTCCCGAAATTGTCACTGGAAGAATTGGTAAATCGCGGAGATAATCAATATCCGAGAGCCAATTCGAGAAAGAACTCGTGTCGATTTGAGATATCATCCAAGAGCTGCCGATTTGCATTTACAACCAGGTTATCGTGTTGAAAGACATATGAAGGATGGTGATATTATTGAAATGTCTATGATGGGACATCGGGTTAAGGTTCGGATTTTTGGGGGGAGAAATTTGGTGGAAAATAATTGAAAATTCGATATATTGAACTATCAGGTTCAGATCTTCAACGTGAAATTCAATTTTTGGGTGAAAAAAATAGAATTGTAATTTTGAAAAGGTTTTGGTGATAGAAAATCGAATTTTAGAACATTTTCTGAGTTTCTCAGCCGAACTCAGGCAAATCGTCCCACCGGTGGGCCCACCGGTGGGAAACCGGTGGGAAAAATAAACAAAAACACTGGTGGAACACCTCTTTTTGGTGTTCAGACGGTGTTCAAACGGTGTTAAGCGAGTGTTAAGGTGGTGGTACACCGGTGCTATTATCAAATTTGTGACCACCGGTTTCCCACCGGTGGGCCCACCGGTGGGATTATTGAAGAGAAGGTGTTGAGTGAGTGGAGATTTGGTGTTACACCGGTGGGACGATTTGCCTGAGAAAATAAGGTTTTCCTTTGGATTTTCAGTAAATTTCAATTTGAATGGCTGAAATTTCGATTTTTAAAACCCAAAAATCAATTTGGAGCTGTAATTAATTAATTGTTATCAAAAAATGCTCAAAATTTCGATTTTCTGACCCAAAAATCTAAGGCGGTGGGGCAGATTAGTTTCTCCCCCGGGAGAAATGGGGAGAAAGAGGAGAAAATTGGTGCAGCAACACTGGGAGGAAGAGGAGTTCCTGCCTTTTCTCCTCCTACAGTATCCGGCTCATCGTGTCGAGACCATTTATCGATAAGACCGATATAGTTCCGTATTTCGACTCGATTAAAGGCGCAGAGATTTTCCAGGAAGGGTCTCGGCACGATACGGTTTGGGAGAAAAGGCAGAAACTCCTCTTTCTTCCCGCGTTTCTGCACCACTTTTCTCCTCTTTCTCCCCATTTCTCCCGGGGGAGAAACTAATCTGCCCCACCGCCTAACCTGCCCCTGAAAATCCCATTGAAAAGCATAATTCTTGCATTTTCAGCTCAAAAATTTATTGTGGGCTCGAAAAATTGAATTTCAGGGTGAAATTCAGGAATTTTGGATAATCTAGCTCTAAATAAAATAATTTCAAATTTTTATTTTTAAAAATTGCTCTAAAATTTGATTTTCTATCACCAAAAACCTTTTCAAAATTAAAAATATGATCTTTCAACTCAAAAATCTCACCTAAACCTGAAAATATCATTGAAAAAGCAGAATTTTTTCAATCCAGAAATTCACTTCAGGCCAGAATTTCACATAAATTGAAGTTCTGAAATATCCTGTTTGAAACTGATGAATCTAGGGGTTTTCTTGATTTTTTTGATGCAGAAAAATCTTGAAAACCCCGGATTTTATCAATTTCAAATTGGAATTTCAGCGGAGATGCGGAAGCTATGCCCAATTTTTGAATTTTTATTTAAAAACTTCAATTTTTTGCGAAAAAAAAGTGACCTAATTTTAAATTTCCAATTTATCTCTCACAATCAGATTATTTTTCTTTTATGGTATAACTCAAAATGGCAGAAATTATCTATTTGTGAGTTTACTTTCTCCCAGGGTGACCTAAACGGTACTGTAGTTCTGCAACCCAGGTACTGTAGTTTAGCTCCCCGACTACTGTAGATTACCGACCCGGATAACTTAAGTAAGTGGGTCGCTGATTTACAGTACCTGGGTTAATATTTTTCAAATTCAATTTTTTTACCTAAAAAAGCTTGACCTAAAAAAATAAAAATCGTGACATTTAATCATTTGTTGGCACGTTTACGTGAAAAATCCAACAAAAATAAACCATTTCAAATTTGATAAATTCGCAAAAAATGGTTGGATTTCGAGTGATGTGAGTTTGATTGGAATAAAAACTGAGTCAGAATTAGTGTAGACCAGAAGGGCTCCGCCGGCTAACGCCGGCTCCTCCTTCTGGATTGTCCCGGCTTCGCGCGTAGTTTTCTTTAGGTGTAAACAGAAACATGTTTCGTCTTAAAATACGACAGAGTTGTAATTTTTGAAAAGTTGGAAAAGATTCTTTCAACAAAAACCGAAATTTTGATTTTCGTTGAATTCTTTCTCCGCTAGGTATGATTTTTAAAATTTCTGAAGAAAATTGACAAAAATGGTTTTAAAAAATGTGCGAAAAAATTTCTTGATTTTATAAAGAGGTTAATCCAAATTTTCTACGTCTCAAAAACTAAAGCATTTGGCGAAACTGTTCCGAAAATCTAAAAATATAGTTAAGCCCAAATTATTTCAGCTCCGTTTTTTTCTATGATTATTTTCAATTTTCTGTGGAAATCGAATTCATTCAAAATTTCTTTTTTTGATCAAAAATAGACCGATTTTTTTTTTGAAAAAAACTCGGCCCGATTTTTTTTATCCAACGAAAACCGATTTTTTTTTTGAAAAAACTCGGCCCGATTTTTTATCAACGAAAACCGATTTTTTTTTTGAAAAAACTCGAGCCGATTTTTTGAAAAAAACTCGGGCGATTTTTTGAAAAAACTCGGCCCGATTTTTTAATCCAACGAAAACCGATTTTTTTTAAAAACTCGGCCCGATTTTTTTTTCATCCAACGAAAACCGATTTTTTTTTTTTGAAAAAACCTCGGACCGATTTTTTTTGAAAAAACCTCGGGCCGATTTTTTGAAAAAACTCGGACCGATTTTTTGGCTCTAAACGGAAAAAAGAGGGGTTTAGAAAAAAAGAGGGGTTTTTGAAAGAAAGAGGGGTTTGACGGAAAAGAGGGTTTTGAAAACTTTATTCTCCCAAATGTGAGAATATTTTCACTTTTCATAAAATTTAAGCGCAAGGATCAGATTAAGCTCGAAATTCTGAACAAAAGCTACTTCTGAAACTAACTTTTGAATATCGTTTGAAGCTTTTGAAAAATGAAGTTTTTGAAAACCCATATTTTTTTCATAACCCCTCTTTTTTTCCTAAACCCCTCTTTTTCCGTTCAGAGCCGATTTTTTTCATCCAACGAAAAACATCGGCCCGATTTTTTTTTTGAAAAAACTTTTTTTTTGTTTTTTTTTTATCCAACGAAAAAACTCGGCCCGATTTTTTTTTCATCCAACGAAAACCGATTTTTTTTTTGAAAAAACTCGAGCCGATTTTTTTTTGAAAAAACTTTTTTTTTGTTTTTTTTTATCCAACGAAAAAAAACTCGGCCCGATTTTTTTTTTATCCAACGAAAACCGATTTTTTTTTGATAAAAAAAGAAATTTTGAATGAATTCGATTTCCACAGAAAATTGAAAATAATCATAGAAAAAAACGGAACTGAAATAATTTGGGCTTAACTATATTGGGATTCCCAAACACATCAAAACTCACTATCAAACATTCACATTAAAGTATTTGTTTTTCTTCTTGTAAAAGAAATTATCCAATATCTGAAAGTTCGAACAGTATATAAATTTATCTACAGTAATTTGACTCATTTAATTTCCATTCATTTTCCAAACCGATTAGGAGTAGAGTAATAGCGAGAAATGATTAAAAATGTCCCCCCTCTATGAATGAAATAGAAAGATCAGATAAGAGACGTGACCTAGCCATTTTTCCGATTAAAAACGTGTTCATTCTTTTCTACACGGAAAAAGTTTTTATTTTTCACGTGAAAACTCGCGCACTTTTGAAATATTTCGAATATCGTGCATCATCTACGAAAAATTTGGAACACGTTGGTCCAAGTCTCATTCAAAACGGTCTTCTAGAAATTGAGTTACGGTCGGCGACACATTTTTATTTTCAAAAATACATTGAATTTCAGGAGTTTTTTTCAGTTAAAAGTTTCCCCGCGCACTACAACAAAAAACTTCGAAATTTCATAATGTTCTGCATCATGCTGCAACTATTTGGAAACTTTTCTTTTTTTAACCGAAACTTTTCATGAAGTAGAAAAAAAGTTGGTCCATCGGACATACGCACCTCTTAAAAAGCAGTTTCCAATTAGTAGATAGTAGATCATCCAAAAATAATGTAAATGATTTCTGAATATTGTGAATTATTAAGAGACGTTTTTTGTAATACCGGAAAACAGCCTGCGCAAGCAAAAAAAAAGTTTTTCTGAAAACTTGTGTAATGATAGCCCCATGGGTGGGCATCAATTTGCGCACAATATTATTGCTCAAAACCGCTTCACCATAATGGTGTGACGGGTGAAAGCTGTAAGAGCGGTCATAGGAACTTTGCTCTCAGTTGATATTTTTTGATGATCTCAACGCCAAAGTACTTCTTTTGGCCTAAAAATGATTTTTCAAGTTTACCGCATAAAAATTGCACCATTTCTAATGGTGCAATCACACCATATTGGTGAAAAACACCAATATTTGCCTTTGGCGTCAATTTCCGCACTCTCGCACTGGTTTTAAACGCTTCCTCGTCATTTTTTACATACCCTACATAATTTTCAGAAAAATAAACGGGACCCCTTTTTGGCAATTCCACCCCAAAGTTGGTCACCCAAGGTGTGCACCACAGCATTTTTTCTCAAAATCACCCAAATTTTTGATTTTTTTGTTTAAAAATGTTATTTTATGGTTCAAAGTTACTTTTATGTGAAAATTGGGAAGTTTTCGGGACGAAAACGTGTTATTTCACGCATTTCACGTGAAAACTCACGTGAATTTTTTTTTCGAAAATTAAGTTTAAAGACATGTTTTCTGGGGTTTTTGACTATGTTGATCAACGTGGTATCATTTATTTTTCTTGAAAATTTCATATTTAGCTATTTTCAGATATGTCATAAAAATGAACTCTAAAAGTGAAACTTCCAGAGTGTTGTCAAACTCATTGAATTTAGAATTTTCAAGAAAAATAAATGATACCAGGTTTATCACCATAGTCAAAAACCCCAGAAAACACGTTTTTAAACTTAATTTTCAAAAAAAAAATTCACGTGATTTTTCACGTGAAATGCGTGAAATAACACGTTTTCGTCCCGAAAACTTCCTAATTTTCACATAAAAGTAACTTTGAACCATAAAATAACATTTTTAAACAAAAAAATCAAAAATTTGGGTGATTTTGAGAAAAAATGCTGTGGTGCACACCTTGGGTGACCAACTTTGGGGTGGAATTGCCAAAAAGGGGTCCCGTTTATTTTTCTGAAAATTATGTAGGGTATGTAAAAAATGACGAGGAAGCGTTTAAAACCAGTGCGAGAGTGCGGAAATTGACGCCAAAGGCAAATATTGGTGTTTTTCACCAATATGGTGTGATTGCACCATTAGAAATGGTGCAATTTTTATGCGGTAAACTTGAAAAATCATTTTTAGGCCAAAAAGAAGTACTTTGGCGTTGAGATCATCAAAAAATATCAACTGAGAGCAAAGTTCCTATGACCGCTCTTACAGCTTTCACCCGTCACACCATTATGGTGAAGCGGTTTTGAGCAATAATATTGTGCGCAAATTGATGCCCACCCATGGGGCTATCATTACACAAGTTTTCAGAAAAACTTTTTTTTTGCTTGCGCAGCTCCTTATTCTAAAATTTCCCTTCTTACAAAAAACCTCTCTTAAACATTTTGTTAGTTTCGATCAGCACCTCGTTAAGGGTGACCAAAACTTACCGAAAAACGTGCTAGATCAAAATTAGTTTTTTTTTCAAAGTTTTTAATTCAAAAATGATGACAAATCGAGGATTTCAAAGCTTATCATATGATTTCTAATGAAACTTTGATCTTGAAATCCAGTTTTTCAGAAGTTTCGCTGATACAATTCAATTTGTCATCATTTTTGAGTGAAAAAACTAATTTTGACCTACCGAAAATTTTTGACCGTTTGAATCTGTATTGATTTTTTGATGTGACAAAAAACATGTTTTTTTTTCATTTCTATTCTCAAAAATTACATTTTTCAGGTTTTCGAAACAACAATTAATGATGATGAAGTTGCTCAAAGTTTTGAAAATCAAAAATCGATCGAGGAATTTTGTGGAGTTTGAATAAGATAAGTTTAAGGGGGATTTTAAGGGTTTATCCCATATTGTTCAAAAAAAAAATAAAATTTTGGAATTCAAAAAAACCCGTAACCGCGCCCGAAATTCTGAAGTGGAAAATGTGGGTTACTTTCTGAGCAAGTACGTTTACCAGTTGCTTGAAACCCGCAACTATTCAAATTTCATTTCGATGATTTTGAGTAGGGATTTGTCAAAGAATCCTTTTGGATAACCGAAAGCTGTAGGAAAGTAACAGTTATCACGGGTTTTGCACATTTCCATGAATGATTTTTGGGTTGGCACGGTGTTTTGAAAAAGGAAAATTTGATTTGAAATTTGTGGAGAACTTTAAAAATAAGCTTGATGAAAACTTGATTAAATTTCAGCAAAAAATACGTGGAACCTGGATTTCATCTCTGGTTGGAAAATCGGAGATTCTGGAAAGATTCAAGGAAATATTCGCTTCAATTTTTTGGTGAGTGAGAGAAAAATAAATTGAAATTCTGGAATTACAGTTTGAAACTGATAAAACTTCCATTTTTCTTGATTTTTTGTTGCAGAAAAAATTTTGAAAAATGGTTGATTTTATCAGTTTGAAATTGGAATTTCAGCGGAGATGCGGAAGCTATGCCCAATTTTTGAATTTTCATTCAAAAAACTTTGAATTTTTTTTAACGTGACCTATATAATTATTGAATTTCATTTCCAGAAAAATTAAAGAAGTGTTCGAATTGAAGCAACTTGTGCCAAAAACTCGAAATATTTGAAGAACTTCTAGTTCTGCTTATCGAATTGGTTTTTCCAAAATTATCGATCGAACAATCAAATTGCTCAACAAAATTGGATGTGGGATGATTCGAATTCCAATAATTAGGTAAAAATATGATCTAAAATTAGAAAATGATATTTAACAACATGTCAAAGAGGAATCGGTGAGAATGATGGAGACGCAGAGAATTTTACGACTCAAAAAAAGACCGACTGCCACGTAGTTCACGTTTTTAATAAAAATAATTTCCATCTTTTTTTTTGCAATGAAAAAAAGAGTGGTTCACGTGAAAATGTCTGTGTTTCCCTCACTCTCACCGATTGCCAATGTTCATTGGACTGACATGTTGTGATTTATAGTTTTGGCTCCAAAAAAGTGAATTAAATTTCTGAAATTGCAATTTGAAACTGATAAAACTTTGATTTTTTTTTGGAAAATCTTGAAAAATGGTTGATTTTATCAGTTTGAAATTGGAATTTTAGTTGGGATGCGGAAGCTATGCCCAATTTTTGAATTTCTATTCAAAAACTTTGAATTTTCAGAGTCAAATCCTTCCAATGATGATATTGATTTTCCGGATTTCGTGTCAACTTTCTATTCGAAAATCTGGCCATAATTTGGATTTTTCGGACAAGTTTCGGAGAGTATTCAATTGATGCAATTCTCAACGAATCGACAAACAGTTTCAGTGAGTTACCAAAAAATTACTGGAATTTTTGAACTTTCAATTTGAAACTCATGAAATTTAGATTTCTCAACATCGCTTCATCGAACTTCTTCCATGGCACAGTTCTGCACAAATTATAATCCGGTAAGTTTTTTCATATCATAAAATAAATGAGAATATCTGAAATATCCAATGAAAAACTAATAAAATTTAGAATTTTCTTGATTTTTTTTTTTGATTAGAAAATCTTGAAAATTCTCAATTTCATCATTTATTTTTCGGAATTTCAGCGGAGATGCGGAAGCTATGCCCAATTTTTGAATTTTTTATCAGAAACTTGAAATGTTTTGCAACTCTAAAAACTTTCAATTGAATTTTCAGACCAATCAAAATTGTCAAATCGATGGATTGTCTGCCAATAATTCATCTGAGAACAATGAAGTCACTTGGAATTCATCAAATTATGAAAAATATTCGAGCAAAAATTATAATTGTTATCAATTTCCATTTTATTTTTTTATATTTCAACACCCAAAAAAGAGGTGAGATTTTTTGCTTTATTTTTTCAGAAAAAAATATTCAAATTTTCAGAATTATAATGATTTATGGTGATTTTTTTGGTCGATTCTCAACATTCTGTGTCGAAAATTCTGGAGAAGTTATTTGATTCAACTTTTTGAATTTTGGTGAGTGACAAAAAATTAATCAAAAATCTGGAATTTCAGTTTGAAACTGATAAAACTTGGATTTTTCTTGATTTTTTTGATGCAGAAAAATCTTGAAAAATCGTAGATTTTAAGTTTTTATTCAAAAACCTGGGATTTTTCCAACGAAAATTCATTTTTTTTTGTTCCAGATTGTCAGTCAGCAATCTCGCTCCAACCGAAATACCAACAAATTCAACTCCGACTCAATTATAATGAGTATTTGGTTCGTGAAATGTTGTCGCTGGCATAAAATTCGGAAAAATATCACAAGAATTGTGGTGCTTCCGAAGTTTCGAACAAAACGAAATCCAGATTTTTGGTGAGTTTTTTATTTGGAAAATTTAAATTTGATGTTTAAAAACAATTGCTCGAACTTTTGAAATATCCAATTAAAAGCCACGTGTCAAAATTTAGCTTAACTCAAATTTTTTCCAGGCAAAAACATGGAACAACACTTTTCGGATGTGATTTTCAACGATTTGAAAATTCAAATTTCGAAATTGAAACTCGAACACAGTTTTTCGTGCTTGGAAATTCTCTGGATGTGTTTTGATGGAGCTGAAAGTGATGAGCGAACTAGAAAATTATAATTGTTATCGATTTCCATTTTATTATTGTTATGTTTTAACACCCAGAAAAGAGGTGAGATTTTGCTTAATTGTTCCCAGAAAAAAGATCCATATTTTCAGACAAACAAGATTTGATTGATGCGATTCTCAAAGGATCCACAAACAGTTTTGGTGAGTTACCAAAAAATTACTTGAAATTCTGAAATTTCAATTTGAAACTGATAAAGTTTAGTTTCTCTTGATTTTTTTATGCAGAAAAATCATGAAGAACTGGATTTTATCAGTTTGAAATTGAAATTTCAGCGGAAGATGTGGAAGCTATGCCCAATTTTTTGATTTTTTATTCAAAAACTTAGATTTTTTTTTTAAAAAAAGCATGAGTATAATATTGAGCAAAGTTTATGAATTCTAGTCTAGTTGGTTTTTTTACAGAATTCCAACTTTCCGAAAAAATATCAGGACGAAGAAAAATTAATCCAAACTTGAATGGTCTGAATTGATTACTTTTCTGTTGGTTCAAGTTTCAATAAGTTCATTCACAATCAGTTGACCTAAGCCTATTTATTTACAAAAAAAGATTACTGATCTTCTAAAATTTCAAATTTGCTTTGAAACATATTTTTCCAGGAGTTTTCTAGTGCTCAATGTTTAGTTGGCTTTAATAATTTTTAAAAAAACCACAGTAATGTTTTGTTGTCAAAAATTTAGTTCAATTCAAATATTGAAAAACAACATCCATAAAAACTATCAAATTTAGCTTCTTTTTCTAGATTTCATCGATCTCCCAACTTCTTCGATCTCATCTTCAATTATCAGCCAAAAATCGGGAGCTTTTTGGTGAGTGAAAATTGAGTTACCTGAAATTATGAAATATCCTGTTTGAAATTGATTGAACTTGGATTTTTATTGATTTTTCTCTTGAAAATCTTGAAAAATTATTGATTTTATCAGTTTCAAATTGGAATTTCAGCGGAGATGCGGAAGCTATGCCCAATTTTTTTTCAAAAACTTGGGGTTTTTTTAAATAAAACTCAGTTTGTTGTTCCAGATTGGTAGTCAGAAATCTCGCTCCAACCGACATCCAACAACCTCGATTCAAATATGTTGAGTATTTCAGTCGCAAACTATTTTTGCTGGCATAAAATTCGGAAAAATATCACAAGATTTTTGGTGAGTTTTTCATATGAAAAATTAAAATTTGATGAAAAATAAATTGAAATTCTGAAATATCCAATTGGATGAAAAAAATCAGCCCGAGTTTTTTCAACAAAATTTCAACAAATTTTTTCAAATAAAATAAATTTCAAGAAAATCTTGAAAATTCTCAATTTTATTAGTTATTTTTTGATATTTCAGCGGAAATGCGGAAGCTATGCCCAATTTTTTGAATTTTTAAACATTAACTTGGGATTTTTTCAATCAAATTTTCATCAAAAAAAGTTTTTTCAAATAAAATAATTATTTTTCAGATCACTTTGACTTCTGACAACTTCCAATATCCACGTGGCAGTTGAAACGGTGAGTAAACGAAACATATCACGAAATTTCATTTTGTATTGAAATTCTGGAATTTCAGTATGAAGCTGATAAAACCTGGATTTTTCTTGATTTTCTTTCTGAAAATCTTGAAAAATTGGTTGATTTTATCAGTTTGAAATTGGAATTGCAGCGGAGATGCGGAAGCTATGCCCAATTTTTGAATTTTTAATTAAAAACTTAGTTTCTTTCTCTCAAAATTCAATTGTTTGTTTCAGATTGTCAGTCAGTCTGCAAATACACTTCATTCAAAAGGACCACGAAATTATGTGAATCGAAAAACTGGAAGAGGATGCGGAAATGCAGTGTTGTCGAGATTTGAGTGGAAATATGATAAGGTTCGAAGGGAATTTTGAATTCGGGACAGAATTTGGAGCATTTTGAGTATAATATGAGCAATTATTGTGAATTTTGAAGCGTTTTGAAATTATATTTGAATAACTTCTGAGATTTCTCATATTTTAACTCAGAGATTCATGAAAATTTCAAACTTTAACGTTTTTATTTAAAAATAACCAAAATTACTAGGCAAAAATGCTCCAAGTTCAAAGATCGAAATATTGCTCATTTTATACTAAAAAATGCTCAAATTTCCTGAAAAACCCAAATTTCTACCCAAAAATGAATTTGGAGCGAAATTTAGAGCATTTTGAGTGTCAAAATTCACCGTTACTCCAATTTTTTGCAGACAAAAACATGGAACAACACTTTTCGGATGTGATTTTCATCGATTTGAAAATTCAAATTTCAAAAGTGAAACTTGAACACAGTTTTTCGTGCCTAGAAATTCTCTGGATGTTTTTTATGGAGCTAAACGAGATGAGCAAACTACAAAGAAATTATAATTATTATCGATTTCCATTGTATCTTACTTATATTTTAACACCCAGAAAAAGAGGTGAGATTTTGCTTTATTTTTTCAGAAAAAAACAAATTCAAATTTTCAGACAAACAATATTTGATTTATGCATTTCTCAACGAATCGACAAACAGTTTTGGTGAGTTACCAAAAAATTACTTGAATTTCTGGAATTTCAATTTGAAACTCATAAAATTTTGTTTCTCTTGATTTTTTTATGCAGAAAAATCATGAAGAACTGGATTTTATCAGTTCCAAATTGGAATTTCAGCGGAGATGCGGAAGCTATGCCCAATTTTTGAATTTTTAAAAAGTATTTGGGACCTGATTTTACGAAAAAACATGCTATTTATTTCTCAGTTGAATTAACTTGAAAATTGATTTCAATTTAGAAGTTTTTTCGAATAACCCTGGAACTTTAGAAATGTTGAGCTCCAATTCTCAACGAAAACTATTTTTCGGGTCAAAATTTGTAAATCTGGAAGAGCTTCCAGTTTAACAAATTCATCATTGTCGACCCAAATTTCAAGATTTTAGGCTTAAATTGATTGCAATTCATTCAGTTAGCATTTATTGAGTACTGTATAAAGAAAATGCTATTTTTTTTATGCAGAAAAATCTTGAAAAATGATCAATTTTATCAGTTCCAAATTGGAATTTCAGCAGAGATGCGGAAGCTATGCCCAATTTTTGATTTTTTAGAGAAAACTTTGAATTTTCAGACCGATCAAAATTGTCAAGGGAAATTTGGGAACAATGGAATCACTTGAAATTCATCAAATTATGAAAAAAATTCGAGCAAAAATTATAATTGTTATCGATTTCCATTGTATTTTTGTTATATTTCAACACCCAAAAAAGTGGTGAGATTTTTCTCAATTACTTTCGGAAAACACGAATTGAAATTTTCAGGATTATAATGATTCATGGTGTATTTTTGGTCGATTCTCAAAATTTTGTGTAACTTATTGGACGAAACATGTTTTGGTGAGTGCAAAAAAATTAATTAAAATTCTGGAATTTCAGTTTGAAGCTGATAAAACTTGGATTTTTCTTGATTTTCTCTGTGAAAATCTTGAAAAATGGTTGATTTTATCAGTTTCAAATTTGAATTTCAGCGGAAATGCGGAAGCATTTTACTATCTCAAATCATTAAACCCGCAATTTTTCACATTTTTTTCGGTAGATCAAATGATTTTTCTCTCTAAATCTCTCAATTTTGCATTTTATTTCATCATTTTTTTTTCTAGAAAATTTGTGTGATTAAAAATAGCTCGAAATTCTGAAATATCCAATGAAAAACTAATAAAATTTAGAATTTTCTTGATTTTTCTTTTTTCATTAGAAAATCTTGAAAACTCTCCATTTTATCAGTTATTTTTTGGAATTTCAGCGGAGATGCGGAAGCTATGCCCAATTTTTGAATTTTTAGAGAAAAACTTGGGATTTTTCAGCGAAAACTCAATTTTTTGTTCCAGATTGTCAGTCAGCAATCTCGCTCCAACCGAAATACCAACAAATTCAACTCCGACTCAATTATAATAAGTATTTGGCTCGTAAAATGTTGTCGCTGGCATAAAATTAGGAAAGTTATCACAAGAATTATGGGTGAGTTTTTTATATGAAAAATTAAAATTTGATGAAAAATAGCTTGAAATTCTGAATTATCCAATTGGATGAAAAAAAATCGGCCCGAGTTTTTTCAAAAAAAAAAAAATTTTTCAAGAAAATCTTGAAAATTCTCAATTTTATTAGTTATTTTTTGGAATTTCAGCGGAGATGCGAAAGCTATGCCCAATTTTTGAATTTTTATTCAAAACCTTTGAATTTGCAGACCAATCAATGCTTGCAAATTGGATTTCGATTGATTTTCCTGTCAATTTTCCATACAAAAAATCTCGCCAGAAATTGAAACTGATTCATCACAAATTATAATTTTTTGTATTCATTTTCTTATTTACCACCCAGAAATGAGGTGAGATTTTGCTGTGTTTTCTTTTTCAGAAAAAATGTATTCAAATTTTCAGACCAATTTTCGAATGATGAACTTCTCAACGGATTGCAATTCTCCAGGACAAACAGTTTTGGTGAGTAAAATTTAGAATTTTGAGCCTAAATTTGAAAAAATTTAAGATTACTCATATGTAGGCTTCAAATTTCCACCCAAAAATGAATTTGGAGCATTTTGAGCTCAGTAATGGAAAATTGAAGTTTTTTGACCTAAAACCACTTCCACAACATTTTTAGTATCGAAATTCTCCTTTTTGGAACCAAAAATGCATGCCACGTGTCAAAATTTACACTAACTCAATTTTTTCCAGGCAAAATAATGGAACAACACGTTTCGGATGTGTTATCCATCGAAGAAACTCTGGAAAATCTGAAAATTCTGATTTCAAAAGTGAAACTTGATCGCGGTTTTTCGTGGAGCTGAAAGTGATGAGCGAACTAGAAAATTATAATTGTTATCAATTTCCATTTTATTTTTCTTATGTTTCAACACCCAGAAAAAGAGGTGAGATTTTGGTTTATTTTTTCAGAAAAAAACATCCAAATTTTCAGAATTATAATGATTTATGGTGATTTTTTGGTCGATTCTCAACATTCTGTGTCGAAAATTCTGGAGAAGTTATTTGATTCAACTTTTTGAATTTTGGTGAGTGACAAAAAATTAATCAAAAATCTGGAATTTCAGTTTGAAACTGATAAAACTTGGATTTTTCTTGATTTTTTTTTGAAAATCTCGAAAAATCATAGATTTTATCAGTTTCAAATTTGAATTTCAGCGGAAATGCGGAAGCATTTTAATATCTCAAATCATTAGACCCCCAATTTTTCACATTTTTTTCGGTAGATCAAATTATTTCTTTTCTTTAATTTTTATTCAAAAACTTGGGATTTTTTTCAACGAAAATTCATTTTTTTTGTTCCAGATTGTCAGTCTGCAAATGCTCTCTAACCGGCATACCAGTTGACGGACAAATTCGACCCCGATTCAAATGTTTTCGCTGGTATGAAATTCGGAAAAATATCACAAGATAAAACAAATTCCAGATTTTTGGTGAGTTTTTTTTATATGAAAAATTAAAATTTGATTAAAAATAATAGCTCGAACTTCTGAAATATCCAATAAAAAACTAATAAAATTTAGAATTTTCTTAATTTTCTTTGATTGGAAAATCTTGAAACCGCTCTATTTTATTAGTTATTCTTTTGAATTTCAGCGAAGATGCGGAAGCTATGCCCAATTTTTGAATTTTTTAATCAAAAACTTTGAATTTTCAGAGCCATCAATGCTTGCAAATTGGATTTCGATTGGTTTTCCTGTCAATTTGCCATACAAAAAATATGGCCAGCATTTTGGAGCTATAACTCATCAAAAATTATAATTGTTGTATTCATTTTGTTATTTAACACCCAGAAAAAGAGGTGAGAGTTTTCCAGATTTGTTTTCAAAAACAAAGAATCCAAATTTTCAGACAAACAATATCAATCAATTCTCAACGAATCGAAATTTTTTGAGAAGTGTAGGACAAGTAATTTTGGTGAGTGACAAAAATAAATTGAAATTCTGGAATTTCAGTTTGAAACTAATAAAACTTGGATTTTTCTTGATTTTCTCTTTGAAAATCTCGAAAAATCGTAGATTTTATCAGTTTGAAATTGAAATTTCAGCGGAGATGCGGAAGCTATGCCCAATTTTTTGATTTTTTAGAGAAAAACTTATACTTTTTCAAAAAATCATTTCGGGTATAATATGAGCAATTCTTATGAAAAATAGAGCGCTTTGAGCCTAAAAATTTAAAGAAAACCTAATATTACTCATATTTAGGCTCAAAACGTTTCAAATTTCGTGAAATTTTCAAATTTAACCTGAAAAATCAATTTTTAATGAGATTTGGAGCATTTTAAACCCAAATTTGAAGACAATCTAAGATTGCTCATTCTATACTCAAAATGCTGAAAATCCCACATTTCTACCCAAAAATGAATTTGGAGCAATGAATTTGGAGAATTTTGAGCTCAGATATGGAAAATTGAAGTTTTTCGAGCCAAAACCACTTCCACAACATATTTAGTATCGAAATTCTCCTTTTTTCACGAAAAAAATATGCCACGTGTCAAAATTTACCCTAACTCCGATTTTTTCCAGACAAAATAATGGAACAACACGTTTCGGATGTGATTTCCATCGATTTGAATATTCAAATTTCAAAATTGAAACTCGAACACAGTTTTTCGTGCCTGGAACTTTTCTGGATGTGTTTTAATGGGGCTGAAAGAGATGAAGAAAGGTGAGGTTTTGCTTTTTTTCAGTAAAAAATATCCAAATTTTCAGAACAATATTTGATTGATGCAATTCTCAACGAATCGACAAACAGTTTTGGTGAGTTACCAAAAAATAAATTGAATTCTGGAATTTTAATTTGAAGCTGATAAAACTTGGATTTTTCTTGATTTTCTTTCTGAGAATCTTGAAAAATGGTCGATTTCATCGATTTCAAATTGGAATTTCAGCGGAAATGCGGAAGCATTTTAATATCTCAAACCATTAGACCCCCAATTTTTCACATTTTTTCGGTAGATCAAATGATTTTTCTCTCTAAATCTCTCAATTTTGCATTGGATTTCATCGATTTTTTCTAGAACATTTGTGTGATTAAAAATAGCTTGAAATTCTGAAATATCCAATGAAAAACTAATAAAATCTAGAATTTTCTTGATTTTTCTTTTTTTTTTTATTAGAAAATCTTGAAAATTCTCCATTTTATTAAATAGTTATTTTTGGAATTTCAACGAAGTTGCGGAAGCTATGCCCAATTTTTGATTTTTTTAAATAAAAAACTTGGGATTGTTCCAATAAAAACAATTTTTGTTTCAGATTGGTATTCAGCAAATGCTCTCCTACCGGCATCACAACAAATTCAACCCTGATTCAAATATGATTTTTGGTAAGTTTTTTATATAAAAAATAGAAATTTGATCAAAAGTACCCTGAATTCTGAAATATCCAGTAAAAAACTAATAAGTGACAGAAAAATAAATTGAAATTCTGAAATTTCAGTTTTTTTCAATGAAAAGTCAATTTTTTTGTTTCAGATTGGCATTCAGCAAGGTTTTTTAGTGCTTCCGAATTTTATTCGAATAAAACAAAATCCATATTTTTTGTGAGTTTTTTTATTTGGAGAATTTAAATTTGATCGAACTTCTGAAATATCCAACGAAAAACTAATAAAATTTAGAATTTTCTTGATTTTTCTTTTTTTTATTAGAAAATTGAAAATTCTCAATTTTATTAGTTATTTTTTGGAATTTCAGCGGAGATGCGGAAGCTATGCCCAATTTTTTGAATTTTAATTCAACATTTTTAACTTGAATTTTCAGACCAATCATCCAAATTTTGTTTATCGATTTACTGTCTGCCAATAATTCATCTGGGAAGAATATCTGAGGACAAATTATAATTGTTATCAATTTTCATTGTAAAAATGAGATGAGAGTTTGCCAGATTTGTTTTCAAAATCAAAGAATCCAAATTTTCAGTCAAACAATATCAATCAATTTTCATCGGATCGAAATTTTGAGAAGTGTCATAGGACAAGTAGTTTTGGTGAGTGCAAAAAATAAATTGAAATTCTGGAATTTCAGTTTGAAGCTGATAAAACTTTTGATTTTTCTTTTAATTTCTTTCTGAAAATCTTGCAAAATGATTGATTTTATCAATTCCAAATTGGAATTTCAGCGGAAATGCGGAAGCTTTTTACTATCTCAAATCATTAGACCCCCAATTTTTCACATTTTTTTCGGTAGATCAAATTATTTTTCTCTCTTAATCTCTCAATTTTGCATTGAATCTCATCGATTTTTTTTCTAGAAAATTGTGCCAAGTCTCAAAAAAATGCGTTGTGAATTCTGGAATATCATTTGGACATTTTTGGTGAGTTTTTTATATGAAAAATTTAAATTTGATCGAAATTCTGAAATATCCAACGAAAAACTAATAAAATTTAGAATTTTCTTGATTTTTCTTTTTTTTGTTGGAAAATCTTGAAAATTCTCCATTTTATTAGTTATTTTTTGGAATTTCAGCGGAGATGCGGAAGCTATGCCCAATTTTTGATTTTTTAATCAAAAACTTTACTTTTTCAGACCGATTTTCTGCCAATTTTCCTGAAATCCATCTTCAATTCAATTTTTGGAAGTAATTTTAATTTAATTACCGTATTTAATTTTTATTTATTCATTTCCTACTTTTTGCTTAAAAGCCAAAAAGTAGAAGATTACTGTAGTTTGTCGATTTTTTTCTATGAGTCATTGCATAAAAGCCAATGACTTATAGTTTTTTCCTAGAAAAGCACAGTAATCAGGGTACTGTAGATTTTGTCTGTCTACAATAAGATTACTGTAGTTTGTTGGTTTTTTTCTATGAGTCATTGCATAAAAGCCGATGACTTATAGTTGTTTTCCTACAGTAATCAGGGTACTGTAGATCTCGTGTGTCTACAATAAGATTACTGTAGTTGTTGTTGTTCACCTTTGTCGAATACTATGCAAAACTACAGTAATCTGTGAATTCCAAAAAAGTACCGAACATTTCATTTCGCCTAAACACAGAGATTAGTGTAGTTTTGCATTAAGTTACAGTATTCCATGGGTTACTGTAAATCTACAGTACCATCTAGATTTGTCAGAAATGCAAATTTGTTGCATTCAGAAAATAGTTTATCCTAAATTTCGGATTTTTTGGCCTCAAGTTTGAAACAATCCGAATTTTTAGGAAATTTTGTTGAGAAACCCGGAGTTTCGAAAAAAATGAGATTTAGGATAAACTATTTTCGAAAGGCAACAAAAAGCATCCTTTTTTCTCAAAATTCGATCGAAAACAAAGTTTCGAACAATTTTTTCGCTCCAAAAATATATTTGATTGATTTTTTTAGAAAATGAAATTTGGTATGGATATATTTCATATGGTTTTCCAGTGAAATTTTTAGAAAAATTGTTTTTTGAAACCGCAAAATTTGAAAATGCAAGTTCCACGTGTCCAAAATTCATTTCCACAAAATAAGAAAAACTCACAAAATAAAACACCCGAAAAATCAATGAAAAACTGGTCTAAAAATGGGGGGCGTGGCCTGGAGGGAAAAATCAATCAATAATGTCCAGCCCACAAATCGCCATATTTGAAGTCGGCAAATGGTCGATCACCGTAACCATCAGGTATAATTCGCCGAACATTTATGCGTTGGAAAAAATCGAGGCGATGAAAATCGGGTTCCTGAAAAAAGACAAAGATTTTCGGGTTATGACGTGGCAATTTCATTACTCACCTTAAAAGTTCCATCAGTGACTGGGAAAAGTGCCGAATATGTTCGCTCATTTTCTTGTCCATGAATATGGTAGGCGTTGAATTTGGTGATTTCTGGAATATTTTCGGGATTTTTTGGGCCTGATTTAGTGTCCAAAATGAGCCTAAACTCACTAGATGGGAAATAGGCCAATGGGATTTCGACTTCTCCAATCCAACGATCTCCGACCCATTTATTCCGGACTTCCAGCTCCAATTCTTCGCCTGAAATTGAAATGTTCGATGAAAATTTAACATTTTTCATAAAAAACACTTTTCTGATTGATAAGGATCTCGAAAAAATATCAAAATCTGGTTTTCGACATTTTTGAATGTACAGATTTTGGAACGTATTTAATCCAGACAAAATTAATAACATGAGCAATGTTTTTCTAGACCAAAAATCGACGTACCTTTATTGATTGGATGGCGCACTCCATCAAATAATAAACATAACCAATGTCCATGTGGTCCAACTTCAACTTCTAAATATTGTCCACGATCGTTGGCGAAGAAGAATTCCATCACTTCGTAGTCCCAGAGCTGGAAAAATAGGATTTTTTTTGAATATAATTTGGCTCCAAATTTAAATTCACTGTGTTTTAGGTCCCGGAATAAACTTTGGATAAAAAAATATACAAAATGCTGATCACGATTCAGTTTTGGTTTTCACCCATTTTCACCATATTCCTGGGTGAAAAATTGACTTTTATAAGTTGAAAAAGGTTGTTCACCACATTCGAAAACCTATCAGCTTTTTAGTTTATCAAAAATATCAAATAGCAGCTGAAAACTGTAATTTTCAAAAAAGTCGTAAAACTTTAAAAAAAAACGTGTGTATTATCGAAAATCTCATCGGTACCACGCGCTCCACCGAAATAAAAACGCAACGCAGACCGCGTCGCGTCGCGTCACAACACACACAAATAAGGGAACGATTCAAATTCCCTCCCTTATTTGTGTGGGCTGAGCGCGACGCGGTCTGCGTTGCGTGTTTATTTCGATGGAGCGCGTCGTAACGATGAGATTTTCGATAATATTTTTAAAAACTAAAAAACTGATAGGTTTTCGAATGTGGTGAACAACCCTATTCAAGTTATAAAAGTTAATTTCTCTTCCAGGAATATGGTAAAAATGGGCGAACTCAATTTTAACTTTGGAGCTCCAGAAAAGGGGCAATTTTTGACTTCGGATTCGTCGAGCATAGTCGATTTGGTATATTTCATGAAAACTTACTCCTGGTGTAATTCCTGGCGCTTCCATTGGTTCCGGATCATCAAAAAACGGCGCGTCAAATGTGATTTTCACCACACGTTTGTGTGGTCGACCAACTTGTCGCTCGAACAGCCATTTTAATTCGATCTGGAGGAAAATTTTAAGGTTTCTGGGGTGAAAAATGGTGGAAATCATGAATTTTTGGGTTACTCACTTTAATAGGATCATGTGATTGCGGCAATCCATCCCATGTATGATCTATAGTATATTTAATGCCTGCCATCGAATTCATCGCTTCAGCCTTGGCAATATCATCGAAATCCGCGGCCACCATGTTTCCCCACATTTTCAGAGCTGCAAATAATTTCAGATAAATTTTTCTGTGATAGGAGAAAGACTATGGTAAAATAAGAGAGTTTAGACAGAAAATTAACTAATTTTTGCAACAATTTATTGAAAAAAGTGAAAATTTCCTATTAGATAAGGAAGCAAGAAGCAGAGAAGACGAAAAATGTGATAATTTTATTGTTTTTGGTCAGCTGACTAGAGAATTTGTCAAATTTCACGCGATTGTGAGAAATTGCGAAATGTTTTTAGTTCGAAGTCCATTTTCTGTACTCCCATGTTGTAACTACAAAAAAACAAGGTTTCGGGGTGAAAAATAGGACTTTTTTTTAAATTTACACATTTTCCGGGCTTAATTTTGAGGCGGGAAAAGTGAAAATTCAAAAATTTCGATATAAATGATGGTCCCGCGAATTTTCGGCGCCGAAAACAATCGTTAAAGGTTTAGAAGACAACAAAGAGGGTTTTTCTCAATTTTCTGCTCCGGAAACCCGAATTTCCCGCCAAAAAATCAATTTCACCTAAAATCCTCCCAAAAACCCCCAAAATTTCCCAATTTCACCCGCAAAACTCACTAACAATACAGGAAATGACGAGAAAAATCAATAAAACCATAAAAACCCGCAAAATCCGCCGCATTCACCCGGAAAACCCCAAAAATTGGGTGAATTTTTCGAAAAATGCGGCGCCCCAAAATTGAAAGTGTGCATTTGCGCGTCGCCGTGTTCACACACATTTCTCTCGCCACTCTCTCAAAACTACACACTATTTCTTTTTTTTTTTGTTTGAAAAAATTATTTTTTAAACTTTTTTTCTTTTTAAAAGCAAATTCGAGAGAAAATGAAACAAAATGATTGCAAAAATAAACAAAGAAAAACCAGCTGACCATTCTCTGCGTCTCTCGTTTTCCCGTTATCTCTCGCTTTCTTGTTTGCATAAGAGATTATCGATTTTTTCGTGCCCACCTGAGAAAATTCCTTCATTGTGACAAAAAATGAAAAATCATGGAGAAACTTCCGATTTTTTGAGTGTTCTTTGAAACGGTTACATACTATCACATGAATCGGAGATACACGGGTTACTGTAGGTGGTCTCTGACTGTCTGCACTCTCGCATCTCTTGTCGCGCACTAGAAAAGGGGCCTTTATCAATCAGTTTTTTAAAGAAAATCATGAAAATGATCATAGTTACTATTTTTCTTCTATTTTTATTTATCGCAGGTGAGAGACAAAGATGGTCGTTTGATTTTTGGAACCTCTGGGCTTAGGCTTTTTTAAGTCGAGCCTGGGCCTAGGCCAATAGGGCTTAGATAGGCCTAAGACGAGCCTAAGACAGGCATACGCCTATAGGGTTTAGAGAAGCCTAAGGAAGCCTAAGCCTATAGGAAGCCTAAGAAAATCCTAAGCCTAAGCTAGGCTTGAGGCAAGCCGAAAAGAAGCCTGAGGCTAGGCTAAGCCTAAGATAAGCCTAGAAGAAGCCTAAGCTGATCTTAGATGAAGCCTAAGCCTAGAACTAGAATTTTAGATAAGCCTAAGCTGAGCCTAGTATTTTAGATAAGCCTAACCCAGGCCTAGAATTTTCAGACAAAGATAAATCTAGCCCAGTCCTAAGCCCCCAGTTTTCCAGGCCCGGCCCTCTCAGCCCCCTCCGACTTCTCGTTGCTCGACGCATACAACCGTCACAAACAAGCCCACCACGACTACAAAAAAGCCCTTGACGGCCCGAAATCCCCACATCTCCAACAAGAAGAAGACTACGATTTGATCGATCTGGCGCGGCCGGGCAACTTTGTGAAATTGGGCCGAGTGGCGGCCCGCGATTGGCGTGTACGGCCCGGCCCAAACAGTCCACATCCAGACTATTTGAGGAAGCACAGTTTGATGGAACGCGTCAGGACTGGACAGTTTAGAAGTCGTGTTGTAGTTGTTTGATGAAGATTTGCATTGCTCATGTTAGAAAATTCATAATAAAAGATTTGAAACGTCATTGCGGAGTGTTGTTGCAAAATTTCCTTTTTTTTTGTTGAAAAATCAATCAATAAGCTATGACGTGGCATTTTTCAGCAAAAATCAGAAAAAAACAATTTTTCGAGCCTGAAATTTATACGTTTTAAAATTTTATGAAATTTTTGAAATCTTTTTTGAAATCAATGTCTTTTGGTCTTGTCAAGACATAATCATTCTTTTTTTGCAGTTCGGATTACTGTAGTCTGAAAAACTGGAACTTTATAGTAAAAAAAAACTGGAACTACAGTAATCTAAACCGCAAAAACTGTCTTGAATTATGAAGTTCAGGTTACTGTAGGTCACAAATCATCTGAGAAAACCTAATTTTATTTGAAAATCAATAATTTTCAAGCTACAGTAACCGAACTGTAAAAATACCAGATGTTGAGATTTGGGAGCTACAGTAACCCGAAAGCTCAAATTTCCACCTGAAAAATGCCGATTTTCTGAATAGTTTTCAGCTGCTTTTTGATCTACAGTAATCCAGATTGCAAAAAAAATTATTTATAGGAATTTTTTGCAGTTCGGAGTACTGTATCTCAAGAATGATTTGATGCAGACAACAATTCAAAAATAAAAATTTTATATTTTCCAAGAAACCTTCGGGACCTATGGCGAATTATGGCTACCTATAGGTTTGAAAATATCATAAAATTTTGAAACGTATCAATTTCAGGTTTGAAAATTTGTATTTCAGAGATCCACAGAACACAGTTTTCCTCTGATTTTTGATGAAAAATGCCATGTCATAGCTCGAAAAAAAGAAATTTTGCAACGACACTCCGCACTGACGTTGACACCGTTTTTTTGGTGACACTGTATTTTTTCTTGCCAGTTCTGAGAGACGCAGACTTTAACGTGGGCAGACAAATCTCTCGCCGAAAAGGGGAGAGAAATAGTGTGTGGCAGACACACATCGTGTCGAGACCAGCCTCTTTCTCTCTCTGTCTGCGTCTCCTCTGAATTGCATTTTTCTATTAGAAAAAAACACAGTGGTGAAAATGTGATGCTGGATTCGAGATTTCTGATCTTTTTCATCCTGATTTTTGTTGAGCTGATCTTGGCATTCTTGATTCAGGCAAGATCTTCTGAAGGAGCTTCAAAATCAAGATCAGAGCTCTGAAGATGGAAACTTCAATGGTCAAGATGAAGATCAAGATCGTATGAAGATCTCAAGATCGCAATTTAAAAACATTTATTTCTCAAACCGCCAAAGTTAACCCCAGTGCCATTTCTTACTCCCAAATAGACCAAAGATTTTTGATTTTGAATGATGTGCAGATGAATGATGCGATTTGTGGGGTGTGAAGGAGAAGTGGTGGTGTGTAGAGTGACTCGGGTGGCCTGTGTGGCTTGTGTGGCCTATATGGTGGCCTGTGTGGCCTGTGTGTCCTGAGTGGCTCGTGTGGCCTGAATGGCTTGTGTGGCTTGTGTGCCCTGAGTGGCCTGAGTGGCCTGTGTGGCCTGTGTGGCCTGTGTGGCCTGAGTGGCCTGTGTGGCCTGTGTGGCCAGTGTGGCCTGAGTGGCCTGTGTGGCCTGTGTGGCTTGTGTGGCCTGAGTGACCTGAGAGATGTTGGTGCTCGTGTTTGTGAGATCCGTGGCCATAGTGGTCCGAAGCTTGATTATGACCATGGCCTTTTTGATGGCCCGATGCTTGGTGGTCTCCCGAAGCCTTGTCCGAAGCTTGGTGGTGACCAGAATTGTGTTGATGGCCTGAAGCTTGGTGATGGCCCGAAACTTGACTATGGCCTGGATGTTCTTTATGGCCCGAATCTGAATCCGAGGCTTTATGATTGTCCGAAGCTTGATTATGGCCCAGGGCTTTTTGATGGTCTGCTTGATTATGACCTGAAGCTGAATCCGAAGCCTTGTGGTGGTCCGAAGCCTGGTGGCCTGGGGCTTGATTTTGGCCTGGATGTTTTTCGTGATGGCCCGAAGCCCTGTCCGAAGCTTGGTGATGACCAGAATCCTTGGTGTGTCCAAAACTGTGTTGATGATCCGAAGCCTGGTGATGGTCCGAACCTGAATCCGAAGCCTTGTGGCGGTCCGAAGCCTGGTGATGGCCCGGGCCTTTTTGATGGTCCGAAGCCGAATCCGAAGCTTGATGATGGTCCTTCTGGTCTTTATGTCCCTGATCTTGTTTTTGGTCCGATCTCTGATGCTTTCGATCTTTATGCCCACGATCTTCAGTCTGTCCAGAACTCTGATGTTGGCTCAGATCTTTAGGATGACGTGGATGTTTATCCTGATGTTGTTGTTCCGAAGGTGTGGCTGGAAGATTTCCAGGATAATCTTCTAGATGTGTATGTCCAACTTGATCCGAACTTGGTAGAGGTGCCGAAGGATTCTGATAATATTCCTGACCAAATCCTCCCAAATCTTCTTCATCTTCATAAAAAATCAGCCCTTCTCGTAGTTGTTTGCGCGAATCAAGATGTTCTTTTTCAAAATCTAGATGTTGGTGTAAAATATCCAGGGTTTTGTCCAAAACTTTTCCAGTCTTAGTTGCTAGATCTTCCTGAGCTGGTGTCTGATCTTCACGGTATTCTAGATCTTCTTGAGCTGGCATCTGATCTTCTAAATCTTCTAGATCGGATGCTTCGTAGGCTTGACTAGGCTCCTGATCTTCTTGAGCTGGTATTTGGATCTTCTAGGCCATCCTGATCTTCTAGATCTTCTTGAGCTGGTATCTGATCTCCCAGATCTTCCTGAGCTGGCATCTGATCTTCTAGATCTTCCTGAGTTGGTCTTGGATCTTCCTGATCTTCTACATCGGAATCCTGATCTTCCCGCTGCTCAGCTTCCAGATTCTGAATCAGAAATAGGATTAGAATCAGAGCGCTTTTTCGAAATCTCATTTTCAATGTCAGTTTCGAAACAAATGAAAAAATCCAGAAAAAATAATTTCGGAGCTTTTGCGGGGTGGCTAGACACATTTTATGAATTGTGGGATTTTCCAAAAATGCCACGTGGCATCCGCCAACGCGGAAAGCTTGTGGAAAAAACGAATAATACCGGAAAAAAGTAGATTTTCATGATGAAACGAATAAAATACACCGGTTGGGGGCTCAAAAAATCGGATAAAAAATCGGGAGAAAATAAATTATGAGGGGGGAACGGGACACAAAAATAAATAGAAAAAGTTGGGGGCAAAAGGATATCTCAAATAATATGAAACAATGTGTGTTAATTTATTTTTTGGTTGAAACTACAATTGGTTGATATTCTGGATTCTTTTTCAAAATAACCAATCCTTCCAAATATGGTGTTATCGCAATATCTGCAAAATAAGGGAATTTTGAAAATTTGATTTTTGAAAAATCAAGAAAACCTAGATTTTTGTAAACAAATTTTGAATTTTTTGAAAAAATCAAATTTTGGCAAAAATTTGAAGAAATTCAAGTTTGAATTTCGAAAAATCAAGAAAATTTAAATTTTCATCAATTTTTATGAGCCAAAAAGTATCTTGTTTCAAAAAAAAATCCAAAATTCTTGGAATTAATTTTTTTCTTTGAAAAATCCAGAAAACCTAGATTTTTGTAAAGAAATTACAATTTTTTTTTTGAAAAATTCAAATTTTCGCCAAAATTGGGGATAAACTGTATTTTTGAATACAAAATTTGAGCCTAAAAATTCTTTTGAAAAATCAAGAAAATTTAGATTTTTATGAGCCAAAAAGCATCTTGTTTCAAAAAATTCTAAATTCTTGGGATTACATTTTTTTTCTTTGAAAAATTATCCACGTTGCAATATTAATTCAAAATTTAATTTTTGAAAAAAATCAACAAAATCTAGGAAATTACAATTTTTTTAAAAGAAATTCAAGATTTATTTGGAAAAATTTGTTATCATCTTTCTTCAAAAAAATCCAAAACTCTTATAATTAATTTTTTCGTGAAAAAATATCCACGTGGCGAAATCAGGACTTCAAAATTCAAATTTTCAAACTTCTTGAGCCCAAAATTTCCCCATGGCATCAAAATTCATCATTTTTCATCAAATTTCCAGCCAAATCTCTCAAAATTGCTCATTTTCAGCCCCGAATCCCCAATTCCAAAACTCACATTCTTCATTAGCCAATTCGGCTCGTTCACCATGCGCCAATAATACGGGTGTTGTGTGCGTTTGGAATCCGGTGATGGTTTTCGGTTTTCCGGCTTGTGCAACAACATCAACCGCTTGTCCGACACGAACCGATACATTCAACTGCAAAAAACACATTTTTAGGTCAAAATTACATAAAAATTCCAAAATTTCCACTCAAAATCCACAATTTTCAGTCAAATTACCTGTTTCAAGCTTCCCGGTTTCATTTCATCCTCAATCAATGTTGTCAACATTCTCGGTTGCATTGCCAAAACCAAAGTATAGAGCAAATAATGCTGGCGATTGTTCAAAACCTGCAAACATTAAAAATATAGTTCTAGGTCCAATTTTGAGCCCAAAACTCCAATTTTTGGCTCATTTTTCAGCCCAAAAATCCAAAACTCACCGAATTATTTGCATCCAAAAAGCTGAAACAGATTGTCAAAAGTGATGCCAATGCGGATGGCGACAACAATTGTCGATCCGAATGCCACGGATTCAATGTCATTGTTCCTTTTCCCAAATGTGTCAAACCTTGCGCAATTCGAACCAACATCAATGAAACCTGCAAACAATTAATTGATTTTGGGTTCAAAAATATTGAGATATGAGAAAATTAGGAGGTTTTTAGCTAAAAACCAATTAGTTAGGATGAAATATGTTCTTTCAGCTGATTTTTGAACAGAAAATCTGGAATTTTTAACATTAAAAAGAGTAAATTAGGCTTTTGAAATCAGGTTTTTCTTGATTTTTAGCTCGAAAATGTTATTTTTCAGGTTTTTAGGCTTAAAATTCAGCATCTTTCATGATTTTTAGTTCAAAAAATCTGGATTTTCAACAAGATTTTGAGCCTAACAAATTCCTGAAAATTTATTTTCAGGATTTTGACTGATATGGAATTTTCAGGTAAAAAAACCAGAAATTAATTTTTGGTCTAAAGATATTGAAACATTAGATGAATTTCGCTCAATTTTGCATTCAAAATCTGAAATGTCAGCAATTTTCAGCCCTAAAATTAATTTCAGGTTGAATAATTGCAAAACTAACTGATTAGGATGAAAGAAGTTGATTTTTGAACAGAAAATCTGTAATTTCAGGCATTTTCTATTTCAAAAATCATTAATTTAACCTATGGCTTCAAAATTAGGTTATTCTCAATTTTTAGCTCAAAAATCCTATTTTTCAGGTTTTCAATGCACGATTTTCTCTAATTTCTAGCTCAAAAACACCCGCCTGATCCTTATAATGATAACTAGCCAATTGTCTCAACATAGCCACCAATCTTGCATTATTCGTTCCAGCTCCAACCAAACCCATCGCAAAAATCGCATTATGCGCAGTATCAGCATCGGAATCGTGCGAGAATTTGCTCAACGTCTCCAAAATATTCAATTGTGGATTCGAGACACTCAACAATGACAAAGCCAACGGAACAGCTCTTCTAATCACTGGTTCACCATAACGAATCAAATGTCCAAACATTCTCAATGCCATTTGTGCACCAATATCATCGCCCATTGCAATCAAACCAATTCCCAATACAGCTACAGCTTGTTGTGATGATAAATCGGGTTTTGATGGACTTGTTGTTGAGGAGGAAGATGAAGTTGAAGCTTCTGGGGCTGCTGAAAATTGAGAATTTCATAATGAAAAATTGTGTTGCGGTAATTTCAATAATATCATTTTGAATGACGAGAAAAATTTAATATAATTTATTTGATACGTAAACAATTCGGCGGGTAAATTTTGCGAATTTCCCGAGCAAAAAATCAAGGTTTGTGGTTGAAAAATCCAAATGTTCACAAAATTTAAATATAAATTTGACGCCAGACTTTCAAAATTCAAAATCGGCTCTTTTTTTCCACTGAAATCAATTCAAATTCAATTTTTTTCAAATGATTTTTCATCAAAATTTCTGTTTTCTCTGGAAATAAGTTGAAAAATGAGAAAAATTCGGGTTTTTTTGAGGGGGTGAATTTTGCAAAAAAAAAATTTTCCAAGCGAAAAATCAAGTTTTGTGGTTGAAAAATCCCAATTTTTCCAAAATTTTTAATATAAATTTGATGCCAGACTTTCAAAATTCAAAATCGGCTCTTTTTTCCACTGAAATCAATTCAAATTCAATTTTTTTCAAATGATTTTTCATCAAAATTTCTGTTTTCTCTGAAATAAGTTGAAAAATGAGAAAAATTCGGGTTTTTTTTGAGGGGGTGAATTTTGCAAAAAAAAAAAATTTTCCAAGCGAAAAATCAAGTTTTGTGGTTGAAAATGCCCAATTTTCACAAATTTTTGAATATAAATTTGACTCAGATTTTCAAAATTCAAAAATTGGCTGGAAATTTTCGCACAGAATTCAATTTTCAAATTTTTCACGGTCATTTAATTTTTTTCATGTGAATTTTTCATCAAAATTTTTTGTTTTCTCTGGAAACAAGTTCAAAAATGAGTATTTTGTTTGAAACGTAAAAAATTCGAGTAAATTTCATAGCAAAATTCCCCGCACAAACCTTTTTGGGTGCTCCAGGCGTCTCAATTCCACGTGGCATCGCCGGTGTCATATCAGGCGCGCCAGCCGGTTTCGGTGTGGATGGTGGAACTGGCGGAACTGCCGAGCCTTGTTTAATTCCTGGTGGAAATTTGATTTTCGACGATTTCGACGCTTCCGCTGGTGTTTCATAGTGTTCCGAGCAGAGATGGAGCAAGTTCTGGATTTTGAGCACATTTCCAGTTCCAGCATAAGCACAAACATCAACCAAAGTCGAAACCATCGGGCCAAATGGACTTGGCAACGATTTCAAGCTCTCCACAAACACTTCCGATTTATCCTGTGTTCCCAAGAAGATTAGAGCAATTCCAAGTGCCAAAAATCGCATATTCGGATCGGCCAATTCAGTCTCATTCTTCTCCATCAATGTTTGCAACATTTCCATCGCAGCTTCTGCGTCAGCAGTTCCAACCAAGATTAATCCAAGCGACAATCCGGCTAAACCTTTCACTTCTGATGTTGCCGATGGTTTTGTATCAATTAGCACTTTTTTGAGCTCATAAATCACACAACGCTCCTCGTTTTTCACAACAGCTTCACGTTTCGAATTGGCGTAGGCGAGACCGAGTCCGAGAATTGAGCCAACTCTCATGATTGATCTGCAAAATGAAAAATTGGGATTTTTGGAGTGAATGGAAAAATGAAATGGGAAAATTTTCAGAAGATTTTCTGATCTCAAAAAAATTCAAATTCAAATTTCGAGCTCAAAATTTCTCTCTATCAAAAGTTTTGAATTTCAGCATTTTTCTGATAATTTTTGGTGCTCAAAATTAGATTTTAAAATCCAGAATTTTCATGCTTCTACATATGAAATCCTTATCATTTTCAATGACGAGCAAAAAATTATAATAAATTTTTGAAACATACAAAATTCGGGATTTTTCTGGGAGGTGGCAAAAAATCACCCAAAAATCAGCTCCCAGTTCAAAAGTCGCAATTTTTAATGAAAACCCTGGTGAAATCCAGATTTCTAGGTGTGAAATCAATTTTTTGCTCAAAAAAAAATTCTAATTCTAATTTCAAGCCCAAAATTTCCATTCCTCTATCAAAAGTTTTGAATTTCAGCATTTTTCTGATAATTTTTGGCCCCAGATTTGTATTTAAAAATCCAGAATTTTCGTGTTAATTATAAAGGAAGATGAAGAAACAAATTATTTTGAATGACGAGCAAAAAATTATAATACATTTTTTGAAACATAAAAAATTCGGGATTTTTCTGTTCCTCATGTAAGACAAAAACCAAAAATCAGTTTTCATGGTCAAAAAATCATCGCAATTTTTGGTGAAAAATCGTCTTGAAATCAGTTTTTATTGAAAAATAAGCCAAAAACTCGAATTTCCAGGTAAAAAATCCCCCAAAGAGCAATTTCTAGTTGGAAAATCACTTCATAATCAGAATTTCCAGTCTAAAAACAATCTCCAAATGAAAGAATCGTTCAAAATTCAAAAATTACCTATCCGATTGAACATGATCCATCAAAAGTGCCCAAGCCGGATCACATTGATCCTGAATTCCCGACGAAATAATACCAATAGCCAATAGTGTTCCAGCCTTGATAAAATCATCATTAATATACAAGAATCGATCGCATTGTGCCAATCCGGTATCAATATCCCATCTCCAAATTAATCCTTGTGAAGCGGCTGCCGTCAACATTCCATAATCCTTATTTTTATAGAACCATCTGCTCGCTTCTTCAGTTTCAGCCATCATTTTATCACAGCCAAAACCACAGTTGACAAATCCGTTGACCAAAGCTGCGGCGAGATTCATTCGGGTTGAATCGGGTTGGGACGAGTTTCCGAATGGACCTGCAAAAATTGAGGTTTTTTTTCGGGGTTGAAATTTCAAAATTTTACACATGAAATAGGGTAATTTTGATTTTCCAGCACAAAAATCATAAAATTTTTCCAGAAAATTCTGAATTTTTAATTGAAAAAAGGGTGAAACATTCAAATTTTCATAAAATTCTCAATTGTATAGCTCAAAAATGACTTTTTTCAGATGTTTGGCTGAAAAACCACATTTTACCAAGATTTCATCAATAAGAATTTCGGGGTCAAAAATAAATGAAATTAGAATGTTCCAAATTTTGGGGTCAAAATTCACCATCTTTCAGGTTTTTCCACCCAAAAATCATCCAACAATTTTTAATTTTTTCATCAGTCCAGAAAATTCTGAATTAAAAATTGAAAAAATGGTGAAGCATTCAAATTTTCAATGATCTAGCTCAGAATTGACATTTTTCAGATGGCTGGCGAAAAACCACATTTTATTAGTTCATAGCTCAAGATTTCATCAATTTTCCAAATTTCGAGGTGAAATTTTCATTTTTTAGTTCAATTTTTCAAACTTTGGGGTCAACATTCGTAATTTTTCCAGTTTTTCCAGCTCAAAACACTCACGATTATGCTCCAAATGGCTCTTATAAATTCCTTCCGGCGTTTTCGGTTCCATAATATCCAGCTCACGAGCCAACGAGTGGAAATATTCGTGGAGATGTGAGTTGGAGTTGAGTTCGGCCAACTTGTCATTGTCATCCGAGCTACCGTAGTCGAGGAAGATTTGATGGCGTCCGAGCAAAATGGCCATTTGTTTGCGCAAAAGTCTGGAAAAAAGAAGATTTTTTGGGTTTCCTAGGTGAAAATGAACATTTTGAACTCAATTTTCAAGCAGAATTCTCAGAATTTTTACTGAAAATGGCTGAAAATCTCATAAACAAACTTACGGATCAGTGGCTTTTGCAAAAATTGCGCGAACTTGTTCCACATTATTCAACATAATCGCACATCGCATCGCCTCCAAAAACTTGTTAAACTTCAGATAAATCTCCATAGCTGTTCGAATCAAAATCAAATTATCCGGATCCGGTGTCAATGGTGCGCAAGACAACAAATAGAGGCAAACTCGTGGGTGATCCAAATCGCTGACATATTCCAACAACAAATCGAGCCGTTCGATTTCAATCAATAAATCACACGCTTCAACTTCGGCATTGTGTTTCATGTGATGCGCGACAATGTCTTTGGTGAGTTGGAGCAATTCGGTTTTGCGCTTTTGGTTGGGTTCTGTGGGTTCGGCCAACTTTTTCCATTCTTCTGACATTTCCATGGCCAAATGACGGACATATTCGTGACCCCAGTCTCCGATTGGCTCGTGTGAACCCTGCAAGAAAAATTGGTTGGAAAATCGAGATCATAGAAATTTAAGGGATTTTTTCAACTTTCAAACGAAAATATTCACAAAAGCATGTTTTTCTTTTACCTGCAAACTCAACCCTTAATATGAGTTATGACGTGGCAAACTTGGAAAATTCTTTTTTCAAGTTGGTTTTCATGAAAATCTAATAGTATAGCACAATTTAGGAGGCTTGATCAGCTAAGATCTCCTGAACAGCGCTAGGCTTTCGATTTTCATGAAAACCAACTTGAAAAAAGAATTTTCCAAGTTTGCCACGTCATAACTCATGTTAGGAGTTGAGTTTTGCAGTTTTTGACAAGGGATCGTGGAAAACTAAAAGAAAACATGTTTCTGTGAATATTTTCGTTTAAAAGTTGAGAAATATGTTTTCTAGTAGTTTTCCACCCGCTGATCACGATTACGCTGTCTAAAACTGCAAAGCTCAACTCCCAACATGAGTTATGGCGTGGCAAACTTGGAAAATTGAAACTTTAGGCGCATGGAAATCTAATAGCGTAGGATTGTTCATGAAAGTCGAGTTAAAACCTTCAAAATCACAAATCTTCTAATTTTTCCACGTCATAAGTGAGAAGATCTGTGATTTTGAAGGTTTCCACTCGACTTTCATGAATAATTCTACGCTATTAGATTTCCATGCGCCTAGAGTTCCAATTTTCCAAGTTTGCCACGTCATAACTCATGTTAGAAGTTGAGTTTTGCAGTTTTTGACAACGCGATCGTGATCAGCGGGTCTAAAAATACTAGAAACAATTTTCTAAATAATGTCGTTTGCAAGAGCTAGACGTCAACAATAAGTACAAAAATTGAAGTTTCTAGAAGCCTCCAGCTCCAAAATTCTCCTCACCAAAATGCGATAATTGATAGTATCAGTTCTCTCATCTGAAGTCATCGCCAAAACCGAAATAATATCAGCACACAGCAATTTAGCTTCTCCATCCGCCATTTTCGCATAAATCTCCTTCATCTTCGCATAATGTGGTCGCATGAATTTCAGCGGTTTTGGCACAGAAGTCATTGAAGTTGTCGAGGCGCGAATCAATGTTCGCATTGTTTCCAACGATGGTTTGTACAAATTCGCATCGTTTTCCGAGAGTCGTTGAACCAGCAAATTCAAATCTTCCTCGAGTTTCTGATCCTCCTCACTCATCTCCTCTTTTTTCGACTCAATCGCCTTTTTTCCTGGTGGAACTGCGTCTTTCTTGATTTCTGCTGGTTTCTCTTGAGTTGATGCAACCATTTTTCTGGAAAAAACTCGAAAATCCGATGAAAAATGATGACAAATGAGGAAAACACGGCGAAAAAACGGAAAATGAAAATTTGAATGGCTGCACGATTAAAGGCGCAGTCATCTCGTTTGTGTGTTGGGTCTCGTCACGATCGCTGTTTTGAATATTTGAAATCAACGTGGACGAGCCGCTTTATTATTTTTTGTTGTTGTTTTTGCGAGACCGGGGTTTTTGGGGTGAATTTGAGGGTTTTAGATATTCAAATACACTGAAAATTTGCTAGAAAACTGAGAAAATAGGGATTTTTATGGAGAAATGCCCAAAAAATGAGAGGACGCGCGAAAATTTTGAGACGAAAAAATGAAGTTCAATTTTTTCCCGGGTGTAGATCAAATTTTTTGTGATTAGGAGAAAATTTGGGGGTTTATTTTGCTCTGCTTGGCGAAAAGTCGAACTTTTTCAACCGAATTTCAACAAAAAAACGGATTTTTGGGATACGTGATTTTTAGAAGCTAAGAACTTTCCTAGATATTTTCTAGTCTATTTTTCCTAAAGTCAATTATTAGGCTCACCTGTTTCCTTATTTTTCAATATAAAAAAATGCCCAAAATCTGATTTTTCTTTTTTTTTTGCTTTTCTTCAAGTTCACGTTTTTATTTTTCATTTCTAAATAACAATGTGATTGTTTTCTGGTAGTTGCTGGTCACGATTCTGTTTTCAGAAACTACAGAACTCAACTTCTAAAATGAGTTATGACGTGGCAAAATTTTGAATTTTGGAGGCTATAACTTGCTTGAAAAAAATTGGCTTCATAAAAAAAACTTAATCTTAAAAGTTCGATAAAAGATTTGTTTGAAACCGATTTTCAAAGCAAGTTATAGACCCCTAAATTCACAATTTTGCCACGTCATAACTCATATTAGGAGTTGAGTTCTGTAGTTTTTGAAAACGCAATCGTGATCAGCAACTACTAAAAACAATCACATTATTAAATAGAAATGAAAAATAGAAACGTGAACTTGAAAAAAGAAAAGAAACATCAGATTTCGGACATTTTTTATATTGAAAAATAATGAAACAGGTGAGCCTAATATTTAACTTTGCGAAAAATAGGCGCGAAAATATCTAGGAAAGTTCTTAGCTTCAAAAAAATGACGCTAAAAAAACCACGTGTGATTGTGTGTATTTTTATCGACTTAAATGACATTTTCAGATTTTTAGGAAAGTGATTTGAAATATTGGATTTTAATTTTATTCATATGATAGAATGGTCTAAGACGAACAGAATGATATAAATTTTGATGAGTTTACGTTATCCATAAGTGATTTAGCTACTTATCGACTAAATATCGACTAAACGTCGCTAAATCACTTATGGATAGCCTAAACTCATCAAAATTTATATAATTCTGTTCGTCTTAGACCATTCTATCATATGAATAACATTAGAACCCAATATTTCAATTCACTTGCATAAAAAACCTGAAAATGTCGTTTAGTCGATGTCCAACTATAAAATCTTCTCTTTTCTTCTCTTCTAAAATTCATTGCATCATCATCGAAATCAAAACCATTGATTTCAGAATGAAAGCATTCTCCGTTCTTGGTCTAATTTCCCTTCTCGGGTTAGTCTCCTCATGGAAAATCGCGAATCTCGATAGATCAATTGACATCGCATCGCAAGTCGTCAAAGTCTCCACACTTTACACCTTCGAAAATGACGGGACCTCAGCCGAAAAGCAAGTAAAAATTGCATTTTCTCAAGAAGAAGCCGATCATTTATCGTTTATTGCCGCTACAATTGAAGGAAATAAGGGGAAATTAAAGATTTCCAAGGTTGCAGCTAAAAATGCGAATTTTGTGGAATATGCGATTGATTTGGCTTCACCAATCACAACTGGACATCAGATCAAAATCCGTGTAAATTCAAGATTCTCCCATGCTTTAACCCCACTTCCAGCCAAAATTCAACAATCTGAAAGTCAATTTGTTGTTTATCAAGGAAGCGCATATGCACCAGCCGCTTATCAAGTCGCCACTCAAAAAACGACTATCAAAACAGCGCAAGGTGGTAAAACCCTATCAGCCACAAATATTGTGCCAACAAAACAAGAGACTGAACGAGTTATCTATGGACCATACGCGAATATTGCGGCTTTTGAGAGCAAAGAGATTCGTGTGCATTATGAGAATAATTTCCCATTTGTTGTTGCGACTTTGGTTGAGAGAACTATTGAGGTTTCGCATTGGGGAAATGTTGCGGTTGAGGAATATATTGAATTGGTTCATCAAGGAGCTGAATTGGAGGTAACATTTTGAAAATCTCAGTTTTGGAAGATGAAAAATCTCTTCAGGATCCAGATTTTCATGAAAAATCTAGTTTTCAAAGTCCTGTAGCTGGAAAATTGCTCCAGAAGCTAAATTTTCATGGGAATTTCAAGTTTTTGAGTCCTGACACGATTCAGAACAGTAAAATCAATTCTAGACCCAAATTTTGATGTGAATCCAGATTTTCTGAGTCCTGGAATATTAATAATTTCTTCAGAACTCAAATTTTCATGTAAAATCTAATTTTTTGTGTCCTGGTGCTAAAATTTCGCTTCAGGACCCAAATTTTTATTTTTTAAAATCAAGTTTTCAAGGTCCTATAGCTGAAAAATTGCTCCCGACCCTAAATTTTGATTTAAAAATCTAGTTTTCAAGGTCTTAGACCTGTGACATTGCTCCAGAACCAAAATTTACATGGAAATTTCCAGTTTGAATCTGGAAATCGCTTCCCGGCCCTAGATTTTGATGAAAAATCGACCGTTCAAATTCGTAAACTGAGAAAGTCAGTTTTGAGTCTGTAAAAGTGTTTCAGAACCTGGGATTTTCATGAAAATTTCAAGTTTTCCTGGTCTCACGCCGATTTTTCATCAGAAAAGCACTAGAGGACTTAAATTTTCATGAGAATTTTGAATTTTTGGATCCTGCACTTTCTCTAGATCCTAGATTTTGATGAGAAATCTAGTTTTCAAGGTCTTAATTCAAGAAAATCGCTCCAGAATCCAAATTTTGATGGAACAAACAGTTTTTGGGTTCTTTTTATCAGAAAATTATATATTTCAATTAAAAAATTTGGTCCGTGAAATTTTGCTATTTCTTCGGTTCTAGTGTAAAATGTATGAGAATCTGAAATCCCCCTTACAAAAAATCGTCTGAAAATTTCAGGAATTCTGAAAAGAAATTCTCTGAAAATTTCAACTCCCCCCCCCCACCTCACAAAAAATCCTCCATAAATTACACTGTAATTATTACAGGGTTCGTTCTCTCGCATCGATTATCAAATGGATCGCCGTGGCCGCAATCAACCAGCTCTCCAACACTTCACAACAATCCTCCCATCAACAGCTCGTGACATCTATTATCGCGACGAAATCGGCAATATCTCCACATCAGCCGTCCGAATTCGTGCACAATCTGTCGATGTTGAGATTCGCCCGCGATTCCCGTTATTTGGTGGATGGAAAACATCGTATGTGATTGGATATAATGTGCCGACTGAAGAGTTTTTGTACAATTCGGGTAATCAATATGCGCTCAAAATGAAGCTATTCGATCATGTTTTTGATAATATTGTTGTCGATAAACTTGTCACCAAGGTTGTTTTGCCAGAACATGTTAAGTGAGTTTTTCCGGGGAAAATTGTGATCCAAAATTCGGAAAAAATAAGCTTCTGAAGTCGGATTTAGGCTAAAAAAATCGAGAAAAATTGTGCTGGGACTAAAAATTAGGTCTAGAGTTCAAATTCAGCCAAAAATGGTTCTTTTGGCTGAAAATTCACAAATTTTAGCTAACTTTTTTCAACGCACGTTAATATTGAAAACGAAACAAATGAAAAATTATTATCAAATTTTTGAACCCTAAAAAATACTGGATTTTTGAAGAGAAATGAAAATGAGGCAAATTTTGCTCAAAAACTTTTCGAAATATGTTTCAGAGCTCAAATTATAGCTCAGAAGCTTTTAAACTTGCTCCTAGGCTTAAAAATAATTCCAGAAGTTCAAATTTCGGCTCAAAGCTACCCAAGGAGCTTACATTTAGATCAAAATGCTCTAAAAATGTTCGTGAGCTCAAAAATTACCCCAGAAGCTTCCAAATTGCTTCAAAACCCCTAAATTTTTCCAGAAAAGTCAAAATCTCGACCCCATACGCCGTAAATCGTAAACCCGACGAACTTCGCCCAACTTATTTGGATACAATTGGTCGCCTTGTTATTGTTGTCGAAAAAGAGAATGTTGTGACAGATCACAGTCAATTCTTCACAGTCTCCTATGAATTCGAATTCAATGATTTGATTCGTGAACCACTTTTGGCCTCATTCTTCTTCTTGGCATTGTTTGGAGTTGTTATTATTTATGGACGATTTGATTTTACGATTGTTGAGGTGCGAACATGGGAAAAATACGATTTTTGAAGCCAGGGCTGTTTTTGCTCTGAAAATTGCATTTTGAAGGATTTTTCAGTCAAAATTTGAGATTTAGAGCTAATTTTCGAATTTTGTGAGCCTAGAACCTGAATTTTTGGGCTCTAGAACTTTTTTTGAGGCTAGAACTAGAGTTTGGAAGCTGTGCACTAACATTAAGCCAAAATTTGAGCTCCAGAATCAATTTTCAAGGTTTGGAGCATTTTATGAGCCCAGAACTATAATTTTTGGGTTCTAGAGCATTTCCTAATTAATTTTGTCAGTTTTCAGGACCCAGAACGTGAAGCCGAAGAACGTCATCAAGAATTGCTCGAAAAACTCGCCAACTTTGTCGAACAAAAACAATCAGCCTATGGTGCTCTTCTTCAAGCCGCCGCTGATTTCAAATCTGAAAAGAGATGAAGCTGTTTTGAGTGCTGGAAAACAACATTTGACAAATTCGAGAAATCAAATCAATAACAAATTGGGAGAAGAAGTTGAACAAGTCAAGAAATTGATCTCGGCTGCTGCTGCGGAAAAGGTTGGTTTGAAAATCAAAAAAAAAAAAATGAAATTTTGACTTAAGGGGTACTTTTTAAGCTTTAGAGCTTTTTTGAGCTGAAATTCCAGCTCCTGAGATCATTTTTGTGCTCTGGAACCTTATTTTTCAATTTTGAGCTTAGGAGCATTTTTTCGAAACGACTTTGAGCAAAATTTGCCTCATTTTCATTTCTGTTCAAAAATCCAGTATTTTTTAGGTTTCAAAAATTCGATAATAGTTTTCCATTTGTTTTGCTTTTAATAAAAATGTCCTCCGATATCCGAAAAATTGAGCTAAAAATCCTAATCTCATTATTTTTTTCCAGGCCTCCGAACTCGCTAAATACGACAAAAACGTGTTCGACTTGGTCGACAACTATTTGAAAGCCGTTGAAAAAAGCACATCGAAAACTGGCGGAGCTGATGAGCAACAATTTGTTCAAAAAATTGCCGATGCTCGAGCTCGTGCTGATGCGATTTTGTCCGGAATTTAAATTTGGTGGTTTTTGGGTGGAAAATTGGGATTTTTAGCATGAAATTTGGGATTTAGAGCATTTTTTCAAACAAAAATTATCGATTTAAGGCTCAAAATATATGAGGCCAAATTTAGTATCAAAAAATCCTCTAGAACCAAAATTTCAGCCAAAAGTTCAATATTTCCCCCAAATTTCTTATAATTTCAAGCCAAAATGTAGTTTTAAGTCTTCCAAAGGTATTTATTTATTTAATTTTAATAATTTATTTTTTCTCTTCTTTTTATTTGTGATTTTTCCGGGATGTGTAAATTTACTTGCTTTTCTTTTTTCTTTCATTTTTTTATATGTGACAAGCCAAATGAATTTTTTATTTTAAAAAAATTCCGATTTTTTCAGTGTCGAAACAATTTTTGAAGTTTCACAAATTTGAAATATCTTTCTTTTTTTTGATAATAATAATAATGATGATGTTGTTTTATTTGTGTAAAAATCGATATTTTTTGCTTGTTTTTCGAAAATTTTTCATCTAGAGTCAATATTTTTATTTTTTATTGTGGGAAAAAAAATCAGATTTTTAACCCAATTTCTGAGTAGGAGCTCATTTTTCAGTTTTGGAGCATTTTTTGAGTTGGAGACCTAATTTTTGAGCTCCAGATGATTTTTCTGAATTTTTGAGCCCAATTTCTGAGCCCATGAGCTAATTTTCAAGATTTGGAGCATTTTTCTGAGCCTGGAACCTGAATTTTTGAGGTTTCGAGCATTTTTTGAGCTCAGAACCTGAATTTTAAAGCTCCGGAATGAAATTTAGTCAACATTTGAGCTTTAGAGCTATTTTTTCAGTTTTTGAGCACCTTTTGAGCCCCGTAAAACTTGAATTTTTGGACTCTAGAGCATTTTTTGATGATTTGGAGCCCGAAATCTGAGTTTCAGAATCAATTTTCAAAGTTTGGAACATCTGAGCTCCGGACATTGTTTTTAAGCTCCAGATGATTTTTTCTGAGTTTTGAGCCCAAATTTGAGCTTGAGGGCTAATTTTTGAGGTCTGGAGCATATTTTGAGCCAGAAATTGACATTTTTCAAAAATTGAACCCATTTTTTTGATCTAGAGCTCTAAAATTGCACTTTTCCAATTTTTTTTTCAAAAAAAAAATTTATCACGCGATTTTGTCTTCTTCCTCCAAAGTTGTCATAGAAACACAAATATTTCTCATCATTTTCCAAAATTTTTCATCAAAAAAAAAGAAAAAAAATGAGAAAAAGCCATATGATAATCCTCTTTTTCGCTGAAATTCTTCAATTTTTGGATTTATTTTCAGATTTTTTAGTCAAAAAAATTTAGAAAATTCCAGAAAAATGGCAAATAATCTGAAATTCGACGATGATTTGTTGGATGGTGAAACTATCCACGAAATGATGGCGCATAAGGGTGGATTGACTTATAAGTGAGTTTTATTGGCTGAGAATTGTGAAAAATCTGAAATTTTGATCTAAAATTTGAAAATTTCAATAAAAACTGTGCCAGGATTGCATTTTCTAGCTCAAAATTCATAAAAAGCGGAGTTTTCAATAAAAAACATGAAAAATCCCAGAAAAACTGTGCCAGGCTTGCAAAAATCAAGCCACGCATATTTTTGATCTTTTCTAGCTAAAAATTATCGATTTTCAACTTGAAATTCAAAAAAAAGATTTCCCCGTGAACTTTGTGACGTGGAATTTGAAAATCCAATTTTTCCCCCAAAAAACGTAAAAATTTCATTTTTCAATAAATATTTGATAGGAAATCGTGATTTCTCACAAATTTTGCTGAAAAAATGTAAGTTGGTTGGAATTTTGGCTGGAAATTTGAAAATTTCAGGAAAAACTGTGCCAGGGTTGCATTTTCCAGCTAAAAATTTATAAGAAAATGGAATTTTCACTCAAAAAACCATGAAAAATCCGAGAAAAACTGTGCCAGGCTTGCCAAAATTAGGCCACGCCCCTTTTTCACCTTTTCTACCTCAAAAATCCCAACTTTTCCAGCGATTTCAACATTTTGCCGGGCTACATCAATTTTTCGGTGCACGATGTTAGTTTGGAGACAAAAGTCACTCGAGACATCAAAATCAAAGCTCCACTCATCTCATCTCCCATGGATACTGTAACCGAATCCGGAATGGCTATTGTTATGGCGGTAAGTTGGAGGAATTTTGGCTGGAAAATGAGCTGGAAATCATGAAAAATGGCTGAAAATGAGCCAGAATTGAGGATTTTTGTGCAAAAAAGACCTGGAAACTCATGATTTTCTTACGGGAAATAAATTGCGATTATTTTGAATTAAAAAATATCTAATTCATAAATTTTCGAAACGTAAAAAATTCGGGAAAAATTTAAAACTGAAAATTTCAGGATTTTTTGGCTGGAAATGAGCTGAAAATCATGAAAAATCTCATTTTTTCACCCTAAATTAATTTTTAAATGCTCAAAATTCAAATTCCAGTAAAAACTTTTGATTTTGGTATGAAAATGTATGAACTTTTGAATTTAGACTAACTTATCTTATACAAGATGAAAATTAACCTTTAAAATTGTCTGAAGTCATGATTTATCATCAAAAAATACCTCTAAAACTCTGATTTTTTACCTTAAAAATTCACTTAAATTTAGGGTAATTTTAGGTTAGAAATGCTCTAAATTCATTTTTCTAATGAAAAATACTGCAAAATTCAGGATTTTTACCAAAAAATACCTCTGAAACTCTCATTTTTCCAGCTCTACGGTGGAATCGGCGTGATTCACGGCAATTTTCCGCGTCCGGAAGATCAGGCGGCAGAAGTGCTGAAAGTGAAGCGATTCAAACAAGGCTATGTTATGCAACCGCATTGTTTGAAGAGGGATTCGACCGCGTTTGATATGATTCAGATTAAGAAGAATTTCGGGTATACAGGAGCGCCGGTTACTGAAGATGGAACTGTTGGATCGAAATTGATTGGTGAGCGGAAAATTTGGGGAATTTTAAGCCAAAATTGGAAGAATTTGATGCATTTTGAGCTAGAAATCATAAAAAATTATGAATTTTGAGCTAAAAACCGTGCCAGGCTTGCTAAAATTAGGCCACGTCCATTTCTGACTTGAAATTCGAAGAAATCGATGAATTTTGACCTGAAAACATGGAAAAACTGTGCCAGACTTGCAGAAAGCTTATATTCAATCTCAAAAATTTAGGAAATCTACATTTAATTTTTTTCGTGTGAAAAATAATTTTTTAAAATTATTTTCAAAATATTTGTCAAATTTTAAAATCTGAAAATTTGGGAAATCCGAATTTTGAAATTTATATTTTTCATTTTCAAAAAAAAACCAGATTTTCGAAATAAAGTTTTTCGGTTCCAAATTTGATTTAGCATAAGTTCAAAAAAACTTAATTCAAATACTTTTCTAAAAATTTTTTTCGAGAAAATTTTCATGTGTTAATCATTTTTCAAATCTCAAAAATTCAGGAAATCCAAATTTTGAAGCGTACATTTTTTGAGGTGAAAAATGAAATTTGAAATTTTTCACCTAAAAAATTTACGTTTCAAAATTTGGATTTCCTGAATTTTTGAGATTTGAAAAATGATTAATTCATAAAAATTGTCTCGAAAAAAATGGTTAGGAAAGTATTTGATCTAAGTTTTCTCTAATTTATGTTAAATCAAATTTGAAACCGAAAATTTTGAGCAAAAAATGGGCGTGGCCTAATTTCTGCAAGTCTGGCACAGTTTTTCCATGTTTTCAGCTCAAAATTCATCGATTTCCTCGAATTTCTGGTCAAAATTGATCATTTCTCATGATTTCTAGCTCAAAATTCCCCAAATTCAAAAATTTTGTGGTCAAATTGCTAAAATTAAGTAACATCTGAATTTTTGACCTGAAAATCACATTTTCAACTCTAACCTAAAAATTTCCCCCGAAAAAAACCATGCCGCAAAATTGCAAAATCCAAAGCCACGCCCCTTTTCAATGTTTCAGGAATGGTAACCTCCCGTGACTTTGATTTCATCACAATGGATGTTGCCGGACAAAAAGCGACGCCGATTTCAGAGGTGAGCAGGATTTTCAGCAAAATTTTTGAAGTTCTGCTAACTTTTTTGATGAATTTTGATACTAAAAACCCCCGTAAAACCCTTAATTTTACCCTAATTTTGCACTGAAATAACCTGTGTGTTTTTTCCTACAGAATAATGATGACGTCACACTTGGAACACCGATTACTGAGGTAAACTTTTTGTGATTTTTTGACCTGAAATAGCATGAAAATCGCGATTTTTAATCCAAAATTCAAGAAAAATCACAAAATTTCAACCTAAAATCAATTTCAGATCATGGTCCCGGTTGAAAAATTGATTTTGGGAAATATCAACGACTCACATGAAACTACACAGAAAATATTGAAGGAACATCGATTGGGTAAGTTTTTTGGAGCAAATTTTGAGCTGGGAGCTGCAGAATTGCTCGAAATTTGCTTTTTTGAGCTAAGATCGCTCCAGGACCCAAAAATCAATCATTTTTGACGTAATTTGAAGTCCGAGAATTTTCTGAACCTAAAAATATCCAAAAAATTTGATCTAGAATTGCAAAAATCCATAATTTCTCAGTTTTAGATGTTAAAAATTGATCCGGGACCCAAAAATTCTGGATTTTTTTCATCCAGAATTTGAAGCGGGGCCTACAAATCTCAATTTTCCTATCAAAAATTGATTTAGAATGAAAAAATAACGAAATTTATTGAATTTTGAATGAAAAAACAGCTCGAAGACCAGAAATCAGCAAATTTTGAGCTAGACAATCAAGCATCTTTGAATTTTTCTTACATGAGCAATGCTGAAATCCTGAGAAAAATGCGCTGAAATTTGTATCAGGAAAAAATACGTTTCAAAATTTATATGTACATTCAGAAAATTGAAAATCTAATATTAGTATTTCAATGCATTTCTCAAGAAATTATCAAATTGGCCTTACATAGAACCCAAAAAGCGGTTATTTGAAGCTCTGAAGGACTCCTGTTTCTAATTTTCCTTGAAAATCTGGAATTTTTGAGCTCAACCTCAATCCAGGCATAAATCGTCCAAGTTTCTGAATTTTCAGCTCACAAAACCTTTCTGGCTCAAAAATTTTCAATTTTTTTCTGTAGAAGCCTCTTGAAAATGAAAAAACGAGCATTTTTTGGGAGCGCAAGAGCTCATAAGAATAAAAATTTGAGGTTTTGAGCAATTTCTGAGCTCCTGAGCTTATTTCAATCAAAATTTGAGATTTTTGAGCATTTTTTGGAGCTCCAGAGCTCATTTGAATGCAAATTTGAGCATTTCGAGCAATTTCTGAGCTCCAGAGCTCATTTGAATCAAAAATTGAGGTTTTTGAGGATTTTCGGAGCTCTAGAGCTCATCAGAATCCTAGAATTGAGGGGTTTCAGCTTTTCTAGACCTAAAAAATCCCCTCTCAATTTTCCAGGCAAACTTCCAATCGTCAACGATTCCGGTGAATTATGCGCCCTCCTCTGTCGTTCCGATCTTCTAAAAGCTCGTGATTATCCAATGGCTTCATATGATTCAACAGGTCAATTATTATGTGGAGCAGCTGTGAATACACGTGAAACATCGAGAATAACTGTTGATTTGGTGGTTGAAGCTGGTGTTGATTTGATTGTTATTGATAGTTCGAATGGAACATCTAATTATCAAATTGAGATGTTGCAATGGATTAAAAGAAGTATCCAAAGATTCAGGTAAGGGTTTTGAGATGAAAATTGATGAAAAATGAGCCGGAAAACTTGAAAATCTGAAATTTTGACCTAAAAGCTTGAAAATTCAAGTATTTTCAAGCTTTTTGAGCTAAAAATCGGGAAAATTGAGTCTAGGCAATTGAAAACCTGAATTTTTAAACTAAAAATCACCGAGAATTCAAAATATCCGAATTTTTGACCTAAAATTCACCCAGGATCCTGAAAATTCAAAAATTCCGGTATTTCTGAGGTTTTTGAGCTAAAAATCGTCAAAATTAACCTTTTGAACTCCAAAATCTGAAATCCTGACCTAAAATTAGCCCAGTAGCTTGAAAATTCGAAAATTTTGGTATTTCAGAGGTTTTTGAGCTAAAAAACAAGAAAAATGAACTGAAATTACCTCAGGAACTCGAAAGTTTGAATTTTTCATTGAAAATTTCAGAATTCTTACAATTTTTGTTGAAAAATTGTGAAAATTGACTAAACAAAACCCTAGAAACTTTTAAATTTTAATTTTCCGTCATAAAGTTCCGAATTCTGATAATTTTAATTTAAACTTCAAGAAAATTGGCCTAAAATCATCCCAGAAGCTTTAAAATTTCAGAATTCCATCAAAAATGACCCCGAATACATGAAAATTCAAAAATTTTGACCTAAAGTCATGTAAAAATACCTTAACAAAAACCGTGCCGCAAAATTGCATTTTTTGCCCAAAAAGGGCGTGGTCTAAATTTATTAATTTACGCCTGTTTTTTTTCTGTTTCGCTTCAAAAACATGAAATTCCCAGGTTTTCGAAAAATTTCCGCTGAAAAAATGGCCGTGGCCGAACTTTTTCCGAAAAAAAATTCTGGGAACACACCCGTTTGAAAGTAGAAATGTTTGGGTGAAGTACGGTTGGCGAACTGTGCACACACCGCACTGTCACAATGCACAACTTTTTCGCTGAAAAATTATTTTTTTCGCTTTGTGCGTCTTTAACACGCTCAATTGCTAAGAAAACTGAACACGCAAAACATAGTCGCATAGTTCACGAAAAGACGAATTTTTTGATATAAAAAAGTTCTGCTATCGATACCGGGAAGTTCTCCAAAATGGGCGCACCGATTTTTTAATACATCAAAACCGTAACTGAAAATCTGCTTTTTTCAGAAGCCACTAGGAATCAAGTTACTTATATCTTAATATTCGTTATGAAACGAGGAATTCAATGGTGTATTCACCTTATTTTTACTCGTCGAATTACCCTAGTTATTCCAGAAAAACACGTTAATTTTCATACGGTGTTTAAAGGAACATGACTTTTATTTTTTTATTTGGTCTCGCTTGGAAGCTAACTTTTTTCCTAGGTAGTTATACGAAGTGAGTAAAACATAGTCGCCTAGATCTCGATGAGCTGATTTTGATGCTATTTTCACGTTTTCATACGTTACCCTAGGGACCGTGTAAATGGGCGCACCAGTTTTTACGCAGCATTTCTACTCTCTCAATGTATTTGAGCGGCTGTGGGAAAAAGTTAGGCCACCGCTTTTTTATTTCGAAAATTTGTCATTTTTTCACCCAAAAACGGGGTTTTCGTGGAAAATCTTCGGAATTTTTGAAGTTTTCATGTAAAATATTTGAAATTTACAGGAGTGATTTTTCTCCACAAAAAATTGAATTTTTCTCATTTTTCCATTGAAAACTCTCAAAATTCACCCAAAAATCCTGTTTCAGGTAATCGCTGGAAATGTTGTCACTCGCCAACAAGCCAAAATGCTCATTGATGCTGGCGCTGATGGTTTGAGAGTTGGAATGGGAAGCGGATCAATTTGTATCACACAGGATAGTGAGTGATTGAGAAAATGACAATTTTTCAGCTGAAATTCTCAATTTCCAGCCAAAAATTCATGATTTTTGGCTGAAAATCCATTTTTTAGCTGAAAATTGAGCCCAGAAGCTTTGAAAACTGCAAAAAATCTCAAATTTTTATTCAAATTAGCTTTGGAGCTCAGAAAATAGCTGAAAATTCAGAATTTTGATTCAAATGAGCTCTGGAGCTTCAAAATAAAATAAGGTTTTGAACTCAAAAAATTGCTGAAAACTCAGAATTTTCAACTGAAAGTGCTCGAATTTTATCCAAAAAATTGTCCAAATTTTATACGTTTCAAACATTTTTAAAATATGCTTGGTTTTTGAAATGTATTATGATTTTCTCGCATCTGAGCTATTGTCATAAAATTAACCTGAAAATCAATTTTCAGATTTAATTTTAGCCGATAAGCTCCAAAAAATGCTCAAAACTCAAATTTTCATTCAAATGAGCTCAGGAGCTCCAAAAAATGCTCAAAATCTTAATTTCCAGTTATGGCAGTCGGTCGAGCACAAGGAACCGCAGTCTACGACGTCGCTCGCTACGCCAATCAATTCGGCGTTCCAGTCGTTGCCGACGGCGGAATTCGCGACGTCGGCTACATCACAAAAGCCATCTCATTGGGTGCGAGTGTTGTTATGATGGGCGGATTGTTGGCGGCGACGACAGAAGCACCTGGCGAATATTTTTGGGGTCCGGGAGGAGTTCGAGTGAAGAAATATCGAGGAATGGGATCGTTGGATGCGATGGAAGCGCATGCATCGAGTCAGGATCGATATTTTACAAAGTGAGCACGATTTTTGGCTCAAATTTGAGCTCTGGAGCTTGAAAATTCACCGAAAACCGGTTTTCAGCATGAAATTGGAGTCCAGGAGTTTCAAATCTCTTCTGAAAATCGATTTTTTGGCTCAAATTTGAACTCTGGAGCTCGAAAATTCATTGAAAACCGATTTTTGGCTCAAATTCGAGCTCTGCAGCTTGAAAATTCGCTGAAAATCGATTTTTGGCTCCAATTTGATCCCTGGTGCTCTGAAAAATGCTCCAAAATCGTAATTTTTACCATAAATTTGAGCCCTGGAGCTCTGAAACATATCAAAAAATCGATTTTCAGCTTCAAATTTGAGCCCTGTAGCTCTGAAAAATATCAAAAAATCGATTTTTGGCTAAAATTTGAGCTCTGGGGCTTTAAAATTGTGAAAATTAGAATAAAATGAGCCCTGGAGCTCTGAAAATCACGAAAATCCCCCCAAAAATGCACAATTTTCAGAGAAACCGATCAAATCAAAGTTGCTCAAGGAGTTTCAGCCACAATGAAAGATCGAGGATCTTGTCATAAGGTGAGATGGATTTTTGATGAGCTCTGGAGCTCGAAATTGTGATTTTTGGCGGAAAATTGAGTCCAGAAGCTTCAAAAAATGCTCAAAATCTCAAATTTTCATTCAGATGAGCTCCGAAGCTCCGAAAAATGCTGAAAATTCAGAATTTTTAACTGAAAATTGAGCTCTGAAACTCTGAAAATCAGATTCTAATAAGCTCCGAAGCTCAGAAAATAGCTGAAAACTCAGAGTTTTCAACTGAAAATATCGAATTTTATCCAAAATATTGTCCAAATTTTATACGTTTCAAGAATTTATGAATAATGATTGGGTTTCGAAATTTTTGATAGTGCTACTTAGTAGTTTTGAAAATGTACCTGAAAATCGATTTTTGGCTTGAATTTGAGCTCTGGAGCTCCAAAAAATGCTGAAAATTCAGAATTTCTAACTGAAAATGTCCTCAGACCCCTCCAAAATCCTCATTTTCACCTAATTTTCTTTCTAGTTCATCCCATATTTAATTCGCGGAGTTCAACACGGTATGCAAGACATCGGAGTTCAATCGCTTCGCGAATTGCGCGAAAAAGTGGATGGTGGAAAGATTCGATTTGAAAGAAGATCGACGAATGCACAATTGGAAGGCGGTGTACATTCGCTTCATTCGTGAGCCATTTTTTTGAGAAAGTTGTGATTTCTAGGAGCTGAAAATCGAGAAAATTGATGAATTTTGAGCTAGAAACCTGAAAATTTGAATTTTTAAACCTGAGTTTGAAAAACTCGCGAAATTTTGACCTAACTTTCATAAAAATCAAAAATTTCCACATCATAACCCAAAAATTCAAAAAAAAAACTGATTTTTGATCTGAAAATTGAGGAAATTTGTGATTTTCAGAGCTAAAAACCTGAAAATTCATGAATTTTGAGATGGAAACCTGAAAATTTAAAGTTTTTTTCTAAATTCAAAAAAATCGCTAAATTTTGATCCGAATTTCATAAAAATCAAAAGTTTTCCACACAAACACCTGAAATTTCAATGAAAAACTGGTTTTTGATCTGAAAATCGAGGAAATTTTTGATTTTCAGAGCTAAATGCTGAAATTTGATGATTTTCGAGCTAGAATTCATAAAAATTGGAGTTTTTGACATAGAAATTCGAAATTCCGAGACAAATCTAAAATTTTGACCTGAATATTTGAGAAATTTGTAATTTTCAGAGCTAAAACCCTGAAAATTGATTAATTTTCATCTGAAAACCTGAAAAAACCCAAAAATTCCAGAATAGACGCAAATTCTCGACTTTTTCATTATCAACCCAATGGTAACACAACTTTTTTAAAGGATTTTCAAAAATTAATTAATTAATTTTTAATTAATTATTTTATACACCTAGTATTTGTGGTCGTCTTCACCTCTTTTTCTCTTCAAACTTCTACTTTTCACAGAAAAATGTTCGAAAATCGCAGTTTTCGAAAATTGAAATTCTCAAGAAAAACTGTGCCAGGATTGCAGAAAATTAGGCCACGCCCATTTTTGGCAGAATTTCATTAAAAAAGGTGTGCCAGACTTGCAAAACTCGAAATTTTAATTTTAAAACATTCCCATGCCGCAAAACTGCATAAAATTAGGCCACGCCCCCTTTTTTTCACCTATAAAAATTTCCTGTAACTTCTAAACATCTTTTTTTCCCGCCAAAATTTTCAAAATTCAAATTTTTTTTGCAGATTCGAGAAACGGCTCTATTGAAAGCCGCCATCATCACAATTCACATAATTTGGCCAAATTTTCATAATTTTTTTCCTATTTTGCATGTTCTCATTTTTTTTGTTGTTGAAAAAAAAGTTTTTTCGTTGAATCGATTTTTTTTTGCTGAAAATCACGGTCTGAAACCGTAGAATATATATCTGAAAATTTGAAACATTTCAAAATTATTGAAATTTTTTGCAGCTAACAAAATGGCGACAATTGATGGTGTTGTTATTAAGGATTCGGTGAAGGTAAATCACATTTTTGAGGTTTTCTGGGTCCTGCAGCGATCTACAGTAGTCTAGACATGAAATTTCGAGTTTCTCTTGAAATTTGGGTCTCAGAGCGATCTACAGTACTTCTAGACCCTGAAATCCAGATTTTTCTTAAAATTTGGGTTTTGGAGCGATCTACAGTACTCCTAAACGTGAAAAATTGGGTTTTTCTCGAAATTTGGGAACTGAGAAGATCTACAGTACTCCTAGACCCTGAAATCCAGATTCTTCACAAAATTTGGGTCCCGGAGCGATCTACACTGTTCTACAGTACTCCTAAACCTGAAAAATTGGGATTTTGCTCAAAATTTGGGTCCTGGAGCGATCTACAGTACTCCTAGACCCCAAAATCCAGATTTTTCTCGTGAAATTTGGGTCTTGGAGCGAAATACAGTACTCCTAGACATGAAAATTCGAGTTTCTCGTGAAATTTGGGTCTCAGAGACATCTACAGTACTTCTAGACCTGAAAATTCCAATTTTCTGTGAAATTTGGGTCCTGGAGCGATCTACAGTATTCTAGACATAAAAAAATCCAGATTTTCCACAAAATTTGGGTCCTGCAGCGATCTACAGTACTTCTAGACCTGAAAATCCATGTTTTTCGCAAAATTTGGCTCCAAATCATCTAAAAATTCGAAAATTTCAGGTCGAACGAATTGGTGTCCACTCACATATTCGTGGACTTGGCCTAAATGAGCGATTAGAAGCGGCGCCAGTTGCCGACGGAATGGTTGGACAATTGGCAGCTCGCCAAGCTTCTGGTTTCATTGTCAAAATGATTCAGGAGGCCAAAATTGCCGGAAGAGCACTTTTGATCACTGGTTGGTGATCATACATCAGTATCCCCGGATTTTCGTCCGGAGGGGGTCTGGCTAACTTTGGAAAAAAGGCGTGGGGACCGGCTAACTTTTTGAAAAAATAACAATTTACCTCCCAAAAACCAAGTTTTTTCTCTTTTTTTTTTGAGGGGGTCTGGCTAATTTTTGTATTTTCACATTCCGGGGGTGGCTAATTTTGAGACCCTGACCGGGAGAAACCGATGTATGTTGGTGATTTTTGGGTGGAAATTTGAGATTTTTTGAGTCCGGAACTCGAAAATTTGAGCTCTAGAGCTTGTTTTTGAGATTTGGAGCATTTATGAGCTCTGTAACATTTTTCTAATATTTTTGAGCGGAAATTCGGGATTTCTGGATAATTTTCAATCTCCGAGCCGGAGTTTCAAGATTTTTGGCTCAATTTTGATCTCTGCAGCTCTGGAGCCAAATTTTCAGATTTGAAAATGTTTCTCAAAAACTACAGTAATCTCGAGACTAGCTGACTAGAAAAAATGACTAGATTTTTCAGAATAAATTGAAATTCCCCACGAAAAAAAATCGCGGATTTTGTACGTTTCAAAAATTTGATATGTTTTTTTCAAATTTTTCGAATTTTTTGATGGGTTGATGATAAAGTTTGACCTCTCTGGATCAAATTTGAAAGATTTTGAGGGAATATTTGAATTCCGGAGCAAAATTGGAGGAATTTTCGATAAAATTTGAGCTCGGGAGCCTATTTTTGAGATTTGGAGCATTTTCCTAATGATTTTGAGCGAACATTTGGAATTTCTGACAAAATTTGAGCTCGGGAGGCTATTTTTTGAATCCCCGAGCTATTTTGGATAAAATTTGAGCTCCGGAGTATATCTTTGAGATTTTTTGAGCTCTGGAGCATTTTCCTAATGATTTTGAGCCCAGACTAACATGAGCAATGCTTTTCAGAGGCTAGAGATAAGGAGAATGTTAGAGACGCAGAGAAAAATTAAATTCACACTTAAAAATATACATTTTTGAGATTTGGAGCATTTTTCCAATGATTTTGAGCACACACTAACATGAGCAATGTTTTTCAGAAGCTTGGAGAAGCATTGCTCATATTATGCCTTCACACCTAAAAATCCCCAATTTTCAGGTCAACCTGGAGCCGGAAAAACAGCTCTAGCAATCGGAATCTCAAAACAACTCGGACAAGATACTCCATTTGTATCAATCAGTGCTTCTGAAGTATATTCAAGTGAAATCAATAAAACCGAAGCATTGACACAGGCATTCAGAAGAGCTATCGGAATTCAAATCAAAGAAGAAACTGAAGTATTAGAGGGTGAAGTTGTGAGTTTGGAAATTGATAGAAGTGCGACTGGAGTGGGACCGAAAATTGGAAAATTGACGATGAGAACTACGGATATGGAGACGATTTATGATTTGGGAAGCAAAATGGTTGATGCTTGTTTGAAAGGTGAGCCAATTTGGGAGAAATGAGCCAAAATTCGAGATTTTTTGAGCAATTTTGAGCCTAGGCATGATTTTCTGATCAAAATTGAGCTCAGGAGTAGATTTTTGCGCTGAAAACTTTAAAATTCGAGATTTTTGAACAATTTTGAACCTCGGAATCATTTTCTGGATCAAAATTGAGCTCAGGAGTAGATTTTTGAGGTGAAAACTTTAAAAAATCGAAATTTTTTGTCAATTTTGAGCATGGGAATGATTTTCTGGTCAAAATTGAACGCAGGAGTAGATTTTTGAGCTGAAAACTTCAAAAATCGAAATTTTTGGGTAATTTTGAGCCGGGGATTTTTTTCTGGACAAAATTGAGCTCAGGAGTAAATTTTTGAGCTGAAAACTTCAAAAAATCGAATTTTTTGTCAATTTTGAGCCTGAGAATGATTTTCTGATCAAAATTGAGCTCAGGAGAAGATTTTTGAGCTGAAAACTTGAAAAATTGAGATTTTTGGTCATTTTTGAGCCGGGGAATGATTTTCTGGTCAAAATTGAGCTCAGGAGTAGATTTTTGAGCAGAAAACTACAAAAATCGAGATTTTTGGTCATTTTTGAGCCGGGGAATGAAATTTTGGCTTGAAAATCAAGTTCTGAAAAGAATTGAAATATTTTCATGTAAAATTTGGAATTTTTGATGATTTTTGAGCTCTTAAATGATTTTCTGACTCAAATCTAAAAAAATCGCGGATTTTGTACGTTTCAAAAAATTTGGTATATTTTTTTGAAATTTTGGAATTTTTTGATGGGTCCAGGTAAAACTTAGAACCATATAATTGTTTGAATTTCGAGTTCCCAACTGGATTTTGAGCCTAGATCTGATTTTCTGGTGAAATTCTGAATTTTTGAGCCGAATTTGACCTCAAAAATCCAATTTTTTGCAGAAAACATTGTGCCAGGAGATGTAGTTCAAGTGGACAAATCAACAGGTCGTGTAACTCGTCTCGGAAAATCCTTCAACAGATCGCATGATTTCGATGCGATGGGACCAAAAGTGAAATTGGTGAAATGTCCGGATGGTGAAATTCAAAAAAGACGCGAAACTGTTCACACTGTCTGTCTGCATGATATTGATGTGATTAATTCGAGAACACAGGGATATGTTGCATTGTTCAGTGGTGATACTGGAGAGATTAAGGTAGGGGTGAAATTTTCGGTCTTGGGCGATTTTTGGATGGTTTTTACGTTGAAATATGAGCTTCTGGGGTGATTTTTGATGAAAAAAGCTTAATTTTGAGCTATTTCTCATGAAATTTCAGTCCCGGGGTGATTTTACGTCAAAAATGAGCCCAGAGATGATTTTTGATGAAAAAAGCTTAATTTTGAGCTATTTCTCATGAAATTTGAGTCCTGGAACCATTTTATATGAATTTTGAGCCATTCTCACCTAATTCAGCTCGAAAATGAGCTCTGCGCTGATTTTTAATGAAAATCAATGAATTTTGAGCAAAATTTGGATTCTCGAGCCAATTTTCATGAAATTTCACGTCCCTGGAGCAAATATGCTCAATTTTGAGCTGTTTTTCAAGAAAAAATTGAGATTTTTTGGGTCCTGCAGCGAATAATCTACAGTAGTTTTCATTATTCGCTAGAAAACCTTGAAATAACTACAGTATTCCTGCTAAAAACTGAATTTTTCGAAAAAAAAATCGATAATTTTCTACAGTAATCTGGCTAAAGTACTTTTGAAAACCTACAAAAAATTTTTTCGAAAAATTAAGGCTCCAGTAATCCTATGGGTTTATACAGTAACCCGTCTACAGTACTCTGAATTTTCCCAAAATTTTAGACTACAGTAACCCGTCTACAGTACTTCAAAATATTTAGATATTCTACTACAGTAACCCAGATACAGTACTCCCTCAAATGTTCCTTTAATTTGTAGTAGCCTTATAAGGTGCTAGAAAAATCTAAAAATTCCACAATTTTGAAATTCCTACAGTAAACCACGGTACCCTGAAATTTGAATAAAAAAGAAAAAAACGGAATTTTTGGAAAAATCAATAATTTTATACTACAGTAATCCATCTACAGTACCTCAAAACATTTACATATTCTACTACATTAACCCAACTACAGTACTCCCAAATGTCCCTTTAATTTTTCCAGGCTGAAGTTCGCGATCAAATCAATCGAAAAGTGTTAGAATGGCGTGAAGAAGGAAAAGCTCAATTTGTTCCCGGTGTTCTTTTCATCGATGAAGCTCACATTTTAGATATCGAATGTTTCTCATTTTTGAATCGAGCAATCGAAGGAGAATTGAGTCCACTTTTAATTATGGCAACAAATCGATTGATTGAAAAAGTTAGAGGAACTGATGTTGAATCGGCTCATGGAATTCCGAGCGATTTTTTGGATCGAATGCTCATTGTTAATGCTGAACCATATACTAATGAGGATATTGAGAAGATTTTGAAGTTGCGGGCGGATGAGGAGGGTGTTAAGTAAGGATTTTTGGGAATTCCGGATAGGCGGAAGCTTGCGGAATTTGAAAAATGACGAAAATTGATACCAAACATGCCTAGAAGGTTTTTTAAAACTTTAAAAGGTCAAAAATGTCACTTGCGACCTGACGGCCGCACGTTTAGATCGCTGCCGCTTACGCGGAAGCTTGCGGAAGCGGAAAATTCGGGATTTTTGCTCTAGAATTAGCCTAAACCGGAAAATCTGAGATAAGTTTTGAATTTTGATATCAATTTCCCGAATTCTGGAAGATTTTGAGCCTAGAACTCGAAAATTTGAGCTCCTGAGCTTATTTTAGAATTCTGGGACGATTTTAATGCGAAAAAAAAATAATTTTAGATAGAATTTGAGCTCTAGAGCTTGTTTTCAAGGTTTGGAGCATTTTTCCAATGATTTTGAGCGAAAATTTTGGATTTCTGACAAAATCTGAGCCCCAAAGCCTATTCTATGAATTCCGGAGCAAATTTAGACGGACTCTGGAACGATTTTGGGGCAAAAAAAAAAATTTTGGATAGGATTTGAGCTCGAGAGCTTTCTTTTGAGATTTTTTAGCTCTGGGGAACTTTTGCAAGATTTTGATCCAAAATTTGGGTTTTTTTGACGAGTTTTGAGTTTGGAACTCGAAAATTTGCTCCTGAGCTTATTTTTGAGATTTTTCGCATAATTTTGAGCTCCGGAGAATTTTCACAAGATTTCGAGTTGAAAAATGAGGTTTTTGGACAATTTTCAGTCTTGGAGCCAGAATTTTAGGATTTTTTGCTCATTTTTGAGCTCTGCAGCTCTGGAGCCAAATTTTCAGATTTGCTCATAAACTACAGTAATTTCAAGAGCTGACTAGAAAAAATCTCAAGATTTTTCAGAAAAAATTGAAATTCCCCCGAAAAAAATCACGGATTTTTTGTACGTTTCAAAAATTTGATATGTTTTCTCAAAATTTTGAATTTTTTGATAAGTTTCCTCTTTGCACAAAAAATTCAAAAAAAATTCTAATTCTCCTAAAAAATTCCCGATTTTTCCATGAAAAGTGCACATTTCCTATCTAAAATCCCCTAATTCAAAATCTCTTCCTTCAGACTTGATTCAAATTCACTTGCTCTTCTGGTCAAACTCGTCTCAACAACTTCATTGAGATATTCGATTCAATTGATTTCGGTGGCTGAAGTTTTGAGAATGAGAAGCAAAGAACAAACTGTAAGTGGCTTTTGGGGTCTCGTATGGAAAACTACAGTAATCCTATCAAAAAATGCTGAAAAATGATGGATTTTGAGCTTGAATTGATCATTTTTGGGTCCCGCAGCGAAAACTACAGTAATCTAGTTATAAGTCTTTGAAAAATTAGAAAAATAGCCAATTTTAGGTCCCGAAGGGAAAACTACAGTAGTCTTATCACAAATTTGGGAAAAAATGATGGATTTTGAGCACGAATTGCTCATCTTTGGGTCCCACAACGAAAACTACAGTACTCCAGCCATATTATATTAGTTTTGATTTTAGCGACTGCATGGTCTTGCGAAATTGAAAAATTATTGGATAATAAATTATATGTTGAAATTTTGAAACGTTTTTTTTTCTGTTTTTAAAAAATTCTAATTTTTGAATCAAAATGTGTCTCAAAATCCAAATTTAGGTCTCGTAGCGAAAAAGTACAGTAATCCCTGGATTTTTAGCCAAAAATTATGAATTTTGAACCAAAATTGCTTTTTTTGGGTCTCGCCACGAAAACTACAGTACCCCTGCCATGTTCCTTTCAAAAAAAACCCCCCAATTTTTTGTAGATCACAACCGACCACGTCTCAAAAGCCTACCGTATGTTTTATGACGCGAAACGAAGTCAAAAATTGTTGAACGACGCCGATTATTTGCTCTAAACCCTGTGTGTTTTTTGATCCTCACTTTTTCTTTTTTTTCCAGAAAATCTCATTTTTTGTTACAATTTTTTTGTTGGATAATTTTTTGTGCTCGTTGTTTTTGAAATGAAATTCAAAAATATTCAATTTTTGGCGGGTTACTGTAGACAAAAAAATCAATATTTTTTCCGGAAGCTGACTGAAATACAAAATTTTTATAGCCGATCGTAAAATCGGATCTAATGTAAGTATAGAAATCCAGAAAAATCCTGAATACTAAAAAGTTCACGATTTTTATTGTAACCATTAGAAACAACAACAATAAAATACCGTGTTGAAACTGAAAACATTTTTTTTCATTTTTTTTTCGAGAAAATGAGAGTAGGTATACTTCTACTGATTTCCTTCGTGTTCTTTCAAAAAGCTTCAACATCTACATTTATGATAACTTGGGGAAAATTGGTAGATTCTAGTGGATGTGAGGAAGTTCTTCAGACTGATGATTGTTTTGGAACCTGTGAGAATGAAACTAGTTGTTTGGTGAGTTATAGAATATTGATCATGTTAGCTTTAACTATTCTCTACCTAACAGATTGCTCATGTGAATGAAACAATTTGTTACAATTGTGGATCTTTGTTCTCTTCCAAAATTCAAAGTTTGGATAAATCTCAAGCAAATGGAAATAAAGTTGGTTTCAAAGCTGTGGAAAATAATGAATGTCCTGCTTCTCCAAATTCTTCATTTGTGTTAGAAGATTATAATTTGGTATATTCTGAAGGTTATTGGCAACTTGAATCAAATACTGTAACTACAACAACTACAGAAACTACTGTAACTACAGTGCAAATAACGTGTAATGGAAAAATATTCAATCGAAAAAATGGCAATTGGTGTATGAGATATTTATATGACGGGAGGAGTTGAATTTGATGAATCCCAAACTCGTTGCGCATGATATTCAATATCGCCAACGGAACGCTCTCCGGAATTGAATCATCTGAAGAGTGGCAATATATCGTTGGTTAGTCACTAGAAATCTGAACACGCATTGAAATAAACCTAACAAGGGAACCTTTTTTACTCCACACTTCAAATCATGATGAAATTTGGTCCATGGACAGCTTTTGGGACCATTAGAACACCCTAAAAATTTTAGTCTCTCAATGGACCTCTGAGCCAAGTTCTGGGCTCTCAAAAACTCAAAAAAGACCTAAAAATGGTCAAAAAAGTCATCATAGCTTAATTTCAAAATTTTTTTTGGAGAAATAAAGTTTCAGATATTGATCAGCATAGTCGATTACCTAAAAGTACATCAATAAAAAATATTTTTTCGAAAAATTTTGAAGTTTTTTATTTTTGGTCTGAAAATTCATGAAAATTCGTATGTGCCCCTGCTCATTCTTTTTTCCAAAATCAAAATTTTTTCTGAAAATTTGCTTTATTGATGGTTTTTGGGTAAATCGACAACGCTGATCATCATCTGCTACTCAGTTTTTCATAAAATTGATCGAGAATTGAGTTATGACGTATTTCATGAGCCAATTTTCGCAATTGTTGAACTTTTGAGAGCCCAAAATTTGGCTCAGAGGTCCATTGGGAGACTAAAATTTTTAGGATGTTCTTATGACCCCAAAAGCTATCTATGGACAAAATTTCATCATGATTTGAAGTGTTGAGTGAAAAAGGTTCCCTTGTAAATGTTTTCACATGATTACCAATTTCAGGCACAAACCGAATGAATTCAATTGATGTTCGTTGTTCGGAGTCCGCTGTGTGGATTGGTATGAAGAGACGATCAGAATGTGTTGGAGACAATTGGAATTCAACCGATGTATGTACTTCTAATGGTTATGAATGGACTGATAATTTTACAACTGGAACGGATATGATGAACAATTGGTTTAAAAATGAATCGGATTATTCTGAGTGAGCATTGAAAACCCAAAAGAGCCGTGGAAGAGAAAAGAGAAATGTTTGGTTTTCTAGGCCATATTGGTTCTCTTCCAAAATTTCGGACTTTAAATTAATTTTTTAGTGAGAAGAGATGCGTCGTATTGATGTTGGATATAGATAACTCGATTTCTGGACTCGATAATGTCAATTGTGATGATTTGTCGACGAGGGACCAACATAGTGTTTGTGGACACAAAATGTGATTTTGAATTTGATTCAAATGTGTTAATAAAAAATGTGTTAAAATTCTCTAGTTTTGCTTAAAATATGCGATCTTCAAAAACTAATTCAGATTGCTCATATTAACCGTTTCATTTTCTACGATAATAAATGACAGTCAAACAGACAAAAAGTGCTAATACAACGAAAAATTGAAACGGGGAAATCACATCGAATTCCGAAAGTCTTCTTGGTTTTTGCACAGTTTCTTTATCTCCAAAAACATCATCAAACAAAGAAGGAATGACTTGTCTGGAAAAAATAAAAATTTTGAAAAAACATTGCTCATGTTAGTCTGAAACTCACCCAGTTTCATTCTTATTATTCGCCTCAACAATCATTTTATCAGTTTCCTCGGAAATCGCAACCGCAAGGTCTCTGAAAATTTTTCGGGTGGAAATTTTAGGGCTTAAAACTTGGCTAAAATGACTAGATTCAAATTATGTTGAAAAATCTAATTTTCAGCTAGAAATATTGGCTAAAATTCTTCAGATTTCAAGTTTTTTTTGTGAATTTTCAGATTCAAAAAAGTTAGTGCTGAAAATTTCAAGACTGAAAGACTTAGCTGAAAAATTTTCAGAATCAGAATTTTTGGCTGCAAAATTTCAAATTTCAAATACAGGCTGAAAAATTTCAGATTTCAAAAGTTAGGAATGAAAATCCTGAAAAACTTTTTTTTTCAGAATTAAAATTTTCGGCTGCAAATTTTCAGATGAAAAAAATCCTTGTTGAAAATATAAATTTTCAGATTTTTTTTCACTGAAATTCCAGACTGAAAATTATTGCTGAAAATCCTGGCTATTATTTTACAAATTAAAATTAGGCTGAAATTTTCAGAATCAGAATTTTCGGCTGCAAAGTTTCAAATTAAAAAAAATCTAGGCTTAAAATCCCGGCTGACAATTTTCAGATAAAAAAATTAGGGCTGAAATTTCTGAATTCAAAAATAGTGTTACAATTTTACAAATTGAAAAACTTTGACTGAAAATTCTCAGTTTTGGCTGAAATTTTTCATATAAAAAATCCTGCTTAAAAATTCAAAAAATTTAGATTTTCAGGTGAAAATCCAAAAGTTAGCCTAACTCACTCCAAATCCGTTGGCAAAGTCACATTTTCCATTTTTAGTTGAAAATTTTCTAACAATAAATGTTTATTTATTTTCAACCTTTTATAATAATCTATACAAAGAGCAATAGTTTATTTGAATTTTGAAATTTGACCCACAAATTTATTTCCAATAAATCGCAGTCACAATAATATTCGCAACTTGAAACGCGACAAGCAACAATAAATCGCAGCGATCCAAAATTCGCATCCAAATGTGTTGATTTTCCTGAATTCGCGACATTTTTGCGATTGTATCGCGTACAAAAATCGCAGTTTGCAAAAGTGCCTCGCGAACTGGCTCGAAGACGCGGAGCTCCGCGGAAATCTGCGTGATGTCTTGGCTCCGCGCGGTTTCCGCGCGGCTTTCCGCAACGCGTCGCTTATTCTTTCCGCAACACTCGAATAATATCAAATTGCGAAGCCATTTTGGTGGGGCAATTGCGCGAGTGTAGACATGGTGATGTATTGTGTGAACCAGGATTGACGCAATTGTCGCAGCGGTTACCACGAAAACTTGAGCCACTATGTAGTTTCCTGCAACAAATTCGTGATCTACACATTTTTCCGATTATTTTGACACCCATTTTGATAGGTTTTGGGGGTGCTCGAGAAATGCGCCAGCAAAGGGTATAGGGGTTTGCTGACGCATTTACGGTGTAGAAGAAAATCGTTGATTGTGGGGTGTCAAACAAAAGCTATAGATGTGCTGAGGGCAAATTTAGTGGTTTCAGGGGTGATACTCAATGCTGACGCATTTCCAGTACCCTTGACGCATTTGCGGTGCAGAAGGGAAATAAGGAAACTTGCGCCACTATGTACATAGTTTCCTGCAACAAATTCGTGATCTAAACATTTTCCCGATCATTTTGACACCCATTTTGATAGATTTTGAGTGTGCACGAGAAATGCGCCAGCAAAGGGTATTGGGGTTTGCTGACGCATTTTCGGTGCAGAAAAAATCGAAGCTTGTGTGGAGTCAAACGAAAGCTCTAGATGTGCTGAGGGTAAATATCGGGGTTTTCAGGGGTTGAAATCAATGCTGGCGCATTTCCGGTACCCTTGACGCATTTTCGGTGCACCTTGGAAACAATAAGTGTTTGTGGGGTGTCAAATGGAAGCTCTAGATGTGCTGAGGGCAAATCTAGTGAGCTAGGGTGATAAAACTCAACACTGACGCGTTTCTGGTGCACATCATAAATGAGCTCACCTAGAAGTGGAAGCCTCGAAGCTTTGGGCATCATATCTGACACCAATTGCAACATCATCGAAATCGCCGCAAACATATTCAAACTCATCTCAACCTTTGTTCTTCTCTCATCTTCGCTTGAATTCGGAGTAAAAAGGCCAAAAACTGTGAGCGCTGACAATATAAAAGTGGGTGCCTGAATGACCAAAACATAATAAACCGGTTTGCGTTTGAGAGTTACGGTATATGTGATTTCAGAAAACCACACTTTCATAATGACGTCATAATTATCGCTTCGAAATTCGCGAATATCGATTAGTTCCCACTCGCTATTTCCTTCGAATCGATTTTTTTCGGGTAAAACCAGGAGGGTACTTGACTGCACTTGAATCGCATCCCTGTCGAAATTCCATGGTCCGATCGTTACGTTGCAGTGTTGAACATCGTAGGGAAAATCGGCGATTTGAAGGGGACACGGTGATTTGTTGACGGCTGGACGCGAGGTTCGCATTTGACCGTCGTAGTGTAAATCGACCATTTGTTGATCTTCCGAAAGCAATTCTGACATTTCTATGCTGAAATTCAAAAAGTTCATGATTTTCCCGTCAGTTTGATACCCATATTGATATATTTCCAGGATGCACCACAAATGCGTCAGCTAAGGGTTTGCTGGCGCATTTCTGGTCGATCACGAAAATCGGGCGTATTTGGTGTCAAACTAAAGCTCTCTTGGCTCTCTATCGTTTCCTGAAAATTTTAGATGAAAACTCAATGCTGACGCATTTGATGTGCTGACGCATTTTTTGTAGTCAGGAAGGAAAAAATTGAAAAAATTGTTGCATCTTGTTCTCCTCGTTTATCCGGTCATTTTGATATACTTATCTCTAAAGTTTTCAGGTTGCACCACAAATGCGCCAGCTAAGGGTTTGCTGGCGCATTTCTGGTAGATCATGAAAATAGGGCATATTTGGTGTCAAACGGAAGCTCTAGATGTTCTATATCTTTTCCAACTTGAAAATTTTGATAAAACACAATGCTGACGCATTTCTCGTGCACTCACGCATTGGTAAAAATGATATCTGGAAGCCAAACTTTTGTCGCTGGAACCTTCACCCAATCTCTCTCATAATCCACGTCTTGCGGATTCCAATGAAGCAAAGGATCAAACCATTTCTGGAAGTTACAAAAAACGCGTCAGCAAACCTTTTGCTGACGCATTTTTTGTAGTTTCTCTTACCAAAAGGAATTCTTGGGAGAATTGTATAGTTTCAGCTTGTTGATCCATTGCCAAAAGGATAAATGTGTTTGGAGTTACCGTAACTACTGTCAAATTGTCTGTGGGTTTCATGGTGACGTCATAGTGAACGTTGAATATTTGATCGAGGAGTTTGGAAGTGTTCGAGGGCTCTGGAAATTTTAAGAATGATATTTTCAGATACAACACTTTGGGGGCTTCAATTTGACACCAAACACGGTATGCACCGAAAATGCGTCAGCAAAGTAAACCTACAGAAAACGCGTCAGCATTGATTTTTCATTTTGAAACTGTTGAAAAGTTCCTGGAAACCTTCAGAAGATAATTTTGACACCCAGAAAGCTAGATTTTCTCGTTGCACCACAAATGCGCCAGCTATACCGTTGCTGACGCATTTCTCGTGCAATCTTGGTTTTTTTTAAAACATCAAAGATATGGGTATCAAAATTATCGGAAAAATGTGACGAAAATTTTGGTGTCAAGGAAATGTCATGCTGACGCGTTTTGCGCGAGCCGGGACCTGAAAAAAACCAACTCACCAACCACAGCGAGCACAAGAATTGAGCAAAAAAACATGAGAATATAATAAGACCGAATGAGCCGACAAATAAACCAAGTGCTTCTGCTCATTTAGACTTAGCTCTCATTCACCTTTTTTTTTTGGGTTTGCACGGTCAGTTGCTCAAGGAGTTCTTCTCAGAAAAAAAAGTATAGTGTTACACACATATATTTTTGTGGGGTTCCATGAAAAATTTGCCGGAGGTGAATTCACACCCACCGACCAGAAATTTGTATACTATTTTGTTTGTTTTTGCGTTTGGGCAACTTTTTTTGATGTTTTTGAAAAAAAAAATGAACGTGGGAAAAATTTGAATTTTTATTTTTGGCGCCAGAAATTGGGGGTTTTCAAAATTTGATATGGAATTGAAGAGTCACTTCTAAGTCCACGTGGCAAAATTCTAAAATTTTGAGAAAATATCGATTTTTCTTGAATCTGGAAATCCATGTGGATTATTCTGAAAAAAATTAATTTCAACAGTTTTCCTCTAGAATCTGAAAATCCACGTTGCAAAATTTTAAAGTTCTGAAAAGTTATCGCTTTTTTAGAAATCTGAAAACGTGGCAAAACTCAATATTTTCCGAAACATTCTGAATTTCAGCATTTTTTGGAACCTGAAAACCCACGTGACAAAATTTTAAAATTCTGAATAATTATAGGTTTACGTAACCTGAAAACCCACGTGGTTTATCTGAAAAATTCTGAATTTCAGAATTTTCTCGTTGAAAATCCACGTGGAAAATCGAATTTTCTGAAAATTTCTGAATTTCACCATTTTTCGGAATCTGAAAATCCACGTGGCAAAACTCAATATTTTCCGAAACATTCTGAATTTCAGCATTTTTTGGAACCTGAAAACCCACGTGGCAAAATTTTAAAATTCTGAATAATTATAGGTTTTACGTAACCTGAAAACCCACGTGGTTTTATCTGAAAAATTCTGAATTTCAGAATTTTCTCTAGAATTTGAAAATCCACGTGGAAAATCGAATTTTTCTGAAAATTTTGAATTTCAGAATTTTTTTGGAACCTTAAAATCCACGTGGCAAAATTTCAAACTTCTAAAAAATTATCGATTTTTTGAAATCTGAAAATCCACGTGGCAAAACACAATATTTTCTGGAAAAAATTCTGAATTTCAGCATTTTTTTATAGAACCTGAAAATCCACGTGGATTATTCTGAAAAAAATTAATTTTAGAATTTTTCTCTAGAATTTGAAAATCCACGTGGCAAAACTCAATATTTTTCTGAAAAATTCTGAATTTCAGCATTCTTCTCTAGAATCTGAAAATCCACGTGGATTTTTCTGAAAAATTATGAATTTCAGAATTTTTCTCTAGAATTTGAAATGAAAATCCACGTGGCAAAACACAATGTTTTCTGGAAAAATTCTGAATTTCAGCATTTTTTTTGGAATCTGAAAATCCACGTGGTAAACTTTTTTCGAGCGAAGCGAGTGTAAGCCGGAAGCTTCCGCGAACGCGGCAGGAATCTCGGGGTGCGACCGCTAGGTCGCAAGTCTCTTGAGGAAAATATAATATGAGCAATTTTCTCTAGCTTCTCAAAGTTAGAGACGCAGAGAAACATTGCTCATATTAGCATAAATAAACGTCCAAAAATTTAAACAAAAATCCCAAAAAACACACTTTATTATTTTCATTATTACAATTTTTAAATTTAAAAATACACCAATAAAGTTCCCAAAAACCATCCCAAAAAAGTCCCAAAAATCAAAAATCAATCAATCAATCAATAATCATACAAATCATGATAGGTAAACAATCGATAAAGTCGATGTCTTTTCGATTTGATTCGACATTTTTGTTCGATTTCCACAATTCGATAAGTGAAATCCGCGGGTTCTTTAATGGCTGTGAAATCCGCGGTGCTTTCCACGCGATTTTTGTCCGAAAACACCGATTCGGCGTCCAATTTGAAGACAATTGTTTTGTAGCCATTTTCCTCGATCAAAACTGCCGTGTCACCGTGTAAAGTGAAGTTTATATCGTAGACTGTGTCCAGTTGATGTTGGAAATATCCTTTGACAGAATCTATAGGAAATTTGCAAATTTTTGATACCACATAAGCCTATATTTGGGATGCACCACAAATGCGTCAGCACCGGAAACACGTCAACATTGAGTTCCATCGAAAAATTTTATCAGAATCTCACTCATCACACCTTGAGGGTCATTTCAACACCCCACACGCCCCATTTCCTTGTTGCACCACAAATGCGTCAGCGATACCGTTGCTGGCGCATTTGCGGTGCACTCTTGAAATTCTTAGCTACTATAGAGATATGTATATCAAAATGACCGGAAAAACAAGAGGAACAAGATGCTTCACCTACCGTAATCTCCAGTATACCCACACATCGTGTAGGTCAAATTCGGATGCATCAAAATCATCAGCGATGAAATATCATTGTTATGATATGCCTCATTCATGACTTGAACCAACTGAAAAGCGGCGTAGTGAGCCTCAGTCATTCCAGAAATTAGAGCTGGCTGAAAATGAGATTTGGCTGAAAATTTTTTGTGCTGAAAAAAAATCTGCCTACCCATCCCAGTAGAAAAATGGCCAAGAGAAGTCGCATTTCAGAAGAGCAGCAGTGCTGAAATTTTTTTTTTGAAATTAAAAAAAAAGTAGTTGAAAACCGGGTGAAAAAGTACATTTAATTATTTTCACTGGCGTTTTTTAATCCACTATTTTCACACAGAAAGAATTGAAAAAAAATTATTTTTTTCATGAAAAAAAAATGTCATAAACATTAGGCTCAAAAACCTATTTTTTTAGTTGAAAAACTAAAAAAAAGTCCTGAAATTAGACTTTTTCGTGGGCGCGCAAGCGAGAAAATGAGACTAATAAGTGTATGAGCAAAAAAAATCATCATCTCGGTTTTTGAGACCAAAAATGGGCGGGGCTTGCGCGAAAAATGCGTCAGCATCGATTTTTTTGGGGGAAGGACTTCAATTTGATATCACTTTTAGTAGTTTTGCACCGGGAATGCGTCAGCATTGAGTTTTAGGCCTCACAAATCTCAAAATCACCTTCAGTGGGCCAGGGGGATCATTTTGACACCTAGAAACCTAGGTTTTACAAAACTACCGAAATTGCGCCAGCTAAGCAATGCTGGCGCAATTCTTGTGCACTTTTCAAACGTAAGAAAACTATATGAATATGGGCAAAAAAAAACACAGAGAATTATAGAGAAAAAGATGCACTAAATTTTTTTGTCCAAATTCTCCAGGAACTACAGAAAACACGTCTACAAAATTTGCGTCAGCATTGAGTTTTGCCCAGAAAAATTGTTGAATTCTTCCTCAGCACAACTAGAGGATCATTTTGACACATAGAAACCCAGGTTTTGTAAAACTACCAAAATTGCGCCAGCTAAGCATTGCTGGCGCATTTCTCGTGCACTTCTCAAACTTGGAAATACTATATGAATATGGGTATCAAAAAACTCAGAAAAACACGTGGGCATCGAATTTTCATCGAGAAAAACAAGTTTTCCCAGAAAAATAAATGAAAATGTATCTGAAATCCCCGATTTTGTACATTGTACTTCAAAAAACATACCGTAGCCTGGAGAAAAAAAAACGAAAAACACGGGGGTTTTTTGGTTTTTTTGAAATGAAATGGAAGGAAATAAATTTTTTTCGGAGAAACAGGTGATTTTCTGGTTTTTCTCATCGTTTCGAACAAATCATGAGTCATGCGACAGAAAAAAATTGAGAATTTCGAAATTTGTTTATTTTTCAAGGGGAGGGGGACTGGAAATTTATTCAGGAGAAAAATATTTTGGAAAAAAACATTTTCAGGTTGCAAAATCATTGGAGTACATAAGTCCGTGAAAAATTTGAACATTTTTTTCCAAATTTTTTTCCACAAAAAAATACGTTCCAATTTTTCCCCATTTATTTTTGCAATTATGAAATCAATGATAATTCTGCAAGTTCAACTTTCGAATTAAAAAAAACTGGATTTTCAATACACGTGAGCTTTCCATGAGCACTTGGAAATTCTGACAACTTTTTGACACGTGGATTTTTTTTGCTAATTAATTAAAAAAATGCGGCTCTATCTCGATATAAGGGTCCCAAAAAATATGTGTTTTGTTTCTTTTTTTGGGATCCTTGAACAAAATTACGGACCCCTATATTTTTTACGGACCCTTATATTTCCATGGGACCCTTATATTGCGATAGAGCCAAAAATGCTCTTTTTTTTAGATCTTGGCTCCCAGGAATCCAAATTTTCAACTTCAAAAATCCAATAAAAAATTTTCCGACCCCCAAAAATTTTTTTTTCAAATTTTAAATCAAATTTTGTTTCGGCCCCAACTCAAAAATCCTGACTCCTCATCTTCCAGAAATTTTTTTTTGCATATTTTATTTTTATTTTCGTTTTCCAATTAAAAATGCCCTCTTCTTCTCAATTTCTCTCTGCATCTCTGCGTCTCTCCTCTCTCTCTCTCTCTCTCTCTCCCCATTTTCCAGCTTCTAGAAAAGGAGCCTAGGCGATTAGAGAGTGTGGAGAAATGAGAGAGTGCGCGAGAGGGGTTAGAGAAAACGAAAAAAGAAGAAAAATCCATTTTTCCTTCTCCCCAGCCAAAAATTTTCAACCTAAAATGTTGTTGAAAATTTTGGCATTGCTCATATTATATATAAGGTAGGTCAAAAATTCAAGGCGCAAATAAAACATTTTCAAATTTTTTTTAAAGGAGCACAGTAGTAGCAGAGTATTGTCAAGATTCGGATTTCGAGTTCACCTATACGAATTGCGACGAGAATGGGGAGCGGTGGCGAGTTGCGGTGCCACGTGGCACCGCGACGCAGAAGACTTGCGGAAATTTGCCGCAACCGCAGAAGGGATTGAATTGTTGTGGGTTTTTTGGGAGGCTTTAGAGACCACAATATCCACGTGGCAAAAATTTTCCGTAAAAAAATTCAAATGTCATATTTGATATCAAATTGCATCATTTTTCGCGGCTAAAAAACCACGTGGCAAACATTTTCCTCATTTTCAGCCTTCTCCTGTCCACCCGGTCAATATTTGGACATTGATTCGCAGCAGTGTCGCGCATGCCGTGCCGGTTTCTTCAGTCTGGGCGGCGGTGTTCGCTTCGAGGAGTTCGTCACACTTCCCGCCGGTTTTTCGATCGATAATTTTGATGCGGACGCGGCGGTGGCCGCGCGGCAGGATGCGTGTCCCAAGGAGGCCGGTTGGATTGTGAGGGATGGCGAGTTGTTGTATGTTCCCACGCCGTGTGTGTCGAGACTCTCGTTTTCGGCGAATTTGGTGAGAGCTGGAGCTGTTGAGTATACTTATAGGTGAGTTATCACAGCGAAAAAAAATTATTTTTTTGTACACAAAAAATTCGTTGCGGAAATTCAAAAAAAAATAGGCGGAGTTTTCCACGTGCAACCCCTGGCAGCGTCTTTCTGCAATATTATTGCATGTGCGCACGGTTTTTGTGTGTTCTCCCCTTTTGTTTTTTGTTTTTTTCCTTTGTGTGTGCAAACACTTTCTGTTTTGCGCACCGTACCACACGGAAACAGAAAAAATAATTTTTTTTCGCTGTGGTTATGTTATAACATGAGCAATGCCTAAAGTATTGATTGCTCAGCTTAAATTAATCTTGAAGGACGTTCTTTCCTGTTATCAGAGGATGATCAACATTGCTAATTTAACATGAGCAATATCTTTAAAAAAAAAGATTGCTCATATTAAATGTCTAGTTTAATATGAGACTGAAGCTTTGCTGATCCCGAAGCAAAATCTACAGGCAGGTTAACATGAGCAATCGTTCTTCGTCCTAATTCATAATATGAGCAACAGTATTGCTCAGGTTAGAGATCATTGCTCATAGAATTAGGATGAGAACAAAAATATATCTAGATTGCTCAGGTTAGAAGTTAGTTAAAGGACCAACCAATCGTGGTCAGTAGAGCAACCGGTTCTTTTTAAAAAACCCTACCTCTTTATTATGAGCAATGCTTTCTAGAAGTAATCTCATATTGCTCAGGTTAAACTTTTATTAAAGGACCCCCGTCATGAATAAAATCTAACATGAGCAATCTATTTTTCCAGAATGCCTCGAAACAATCGCGCATTGTCAATGCAAATCGACGTGCGCAACGAGCAATGTCAAAGCTACAGCGATTTGGCCAAATCAATGCTCCTCAAGTACACCACAGGAGCCACCGAATCACAGCAGCAACGCGAGGAGAAAAACGGTGACTGGCGTCGGCGAACCGTCGAACTGCGAACCGGTCAGAATGTGATCTCGTGGACTGTGTCGAATAGCTATGGGCTGAATGGCTACACTGCCGAACCGATACATTTCGCAAGGATCGATGTGTTGGGCTTGGCGTTCACCAAGGAGTGCTCAGCGTGTCCACCGGGAACCTATAGCTCCACAGGTGCCGCCGAGTGCAAGCCTTGCGCCGCCGGTTTTTTCTCCTCAAAAGGCTCCGCACAATGCGGACAATGCCCGCTCTCGCAATATTCGGGCCCGAAATCCTCCAGATGTATAGATCGTCCGAAATGCGGTCCACAAGACTACTATCCGGTCCGCACACCGTGTTTGGCGAATGGCACAAGTCGAGTGGTTTATGAGAAGGTGTTGCCGGCGTTGTGTCGAGATGATGTGCCGGGAGCATCGAGATTGCCCGCGCCTGGGCCTTGGCAACCTTGCCCGAAGTGTAATCCGGGAATGGCGAAGAATAAGGAGGGAATTTGCGAGTTTTGTAGGAAGGATTATCATTCTGATGGAAACGGTGGGTTGCTCACTGTTAGAGTTTATCATGAGCAATATCTTCCAGATAACATAACTCATGTTAAACTCATAGGACTCTAGCCTGAGCAATCCCTATACCTTCGTTTATTTCAGAATGCACTCGCTGCCCGGTCGACACAGTTCCCAACTACGGACTCCAATACACCAATTGGCAAACACTTCCACCAAAACTCGAAACCCGTTGTGAATACATCTCCGATGACATCTCTGAGAAATGTCGCATCGGAGATTCGTGGCTCGCGAACGGCGATTCGCTCGCAACTCCGCCGTCGCTGGAACGAGGTATCGCTTTCGAGTTGGTCTTGTCGATTGATGAAGGATTCTGGAATCCGTTGGCACCGAAACATATGAAAGTGCCCGTCGCGCAGATCACAATCGTCTTCGAAACATCGTGCGCCGACCCGTCTTGTGTGCTCTATTTCATTGAAGATGTTTCCGCGGGAGGCGGTGGTGTCGCGCGGAAAGAATCATTCTATCGCTTCTTGGCCGCCTTCAATGGCACACAATCGAAGCGGGTTTGGTCGCACACAGTCACCAAAAACACGCCAGCCAAGTATATGCTGGCGTTTTTGCGGAGTGGTGTAGCGGGAAGCGATGATGCGATCACGGATGTCGCGAGGATTTTTGCGATAAATGTGACGAATGTGGGACATCGTGGGGGACAGGGAGGCGGAGGAAGTGAATGCCTAGCCTGTCCACATAGCGGTAATGGGGATGGATGTGTGCCATGTCCGATGGGTCAATATATTCACGAAGAGGTAAGGGGATTGCTCATGTTAGAATATCTTTTTGATTGTCCTTCTAGAGTTCTTTTAACCTGATCATTCATTACTCATACTATTCTGCCTCTCTGGGTTCTTTGAAACATTATAGTGGACTTGCTCATGTTACTCATTCTCCAGTGGTAGGGGCATTGCTCATGTTAGACTAGTTATGATTAACCTAACAAAAGTAAGCAATTGTTTCCCTAATGGAGTAAAAAGTAATGTTTTAGTTAGCCTTATAGGGTTCCTCTAACCTGAGCAATTACCAAGATTATTGCTCATACTATTCTTTCCCCTCTATGCTATTTCAATGACAGTGAGCATCCCATTGCTCATATTAATAATTTTTCAGACCAAACTCTGTGTTTCCTGCCCGGCCAACACAATCATCAACGCAACATCTTCGCGAATCGGCGCAGCCTCTTGCGTAGCTTGCGGTCAAGGTCTCGCTCCCTCAACCGACGGAACATCTTGTGTCACACCGCCGCGCCTCACCATCCGCGACCCGAATCCCTCCAAAAACCTCACCTACAACTATGATTTTGCCACGTGGCGCGACAAAAATTGGACACTTGAAGGTGTGCGAGTTTTCTCACGCGAAGGTACCGCCTATTATCATGCCTTCCGCGTCGCACTCTTCCAATCGATAAAATGCGAAGAGGAATATGAGAGTAGTGATGTGATTGGAGTTATGATGGATGAATCGATGCGAGAGGCGGTGGATGGAATGGCGTGCAGGATGACGGCGTTGCCGGCGGGAAGCGGCAAGAATTCCAGCAAGACTGCGTTTGTCTCGCCGTTGTTGTGAGTTTTGAGAGCGAAAATGGGGGATCTTTAAAAAAAAATTAAAATATAGGTTAAGCTTAACCCAAGCCTGAACCTAACCAGAATATGCTTCACTAGCACTGGTCGGATTAAGGCTAAACCTAAGCAGAGTAACCTTAGGGAAAAGCCTAATGAGCCTAATGAGCCTATATAGAATAGACCTTAGATTAGCCTACACCTCAATCTTCAACCTCTAGCCTTACCTTAACAAGGATAAGGATAATCCTGAGGCTAACCAGAGAATACCTAGAATGATCCTTAGCCTAAGCCTAACTGGAATAGACCTAAACCTAACTACAGAGTAGAGTAGGCCTGAGCCTAAGCCTAATAAGCCTAGACTTAATAAGCCTAAACCTAACTGAAATAGACCTAAGCCTAAGCCTACCCCCAATAAGCCTAACCCCAATAAACCTAACCCCAATAAGCCTAAGCCTAAGCCTAACCCTCAAAATTTCCAGACTTGCTAACAAACTCGACGCCATCACTCTCAACCGAACTCACAAATCTTGGAACATCACAGATCATGTGCTAGAATACGGTAGGATCAGATCCCCGTCAAAAAAATCCACGTGTTTTTCCAGAAGGCCTAGACAACAAATCGCTTCCCCTCGACGTCTTCTTCTGGTTCGAACAACTCTCGGTGGCGACATCCGCAACTTGTCCGCGCGGAAACATTTTCGTAGTGGTCGCCAGATGTGCGCCCAACAAAAAGACGGACGAGATGCGGCTACCGCATTCGTGTCCCGATGGAACTTGTGACGGTTGTATGTTTGTCGCGATTTTGGAGTCGAGTCAAGCGTGTCCGATTTGTGATAAGGATGATTATGAGACGATTCGAGGGGAGTGTGTGGGTGGAAAACAGACGATTCATTCGATTCCGCATAAGTGAGTTTTGTGAGCGACGCGGAAGCTTCCGCAAGCCTACCCGTTTTCTTCCAGACACTGTGTGCTCACCGGTTCCGCTTCCGAATCTCACGAAAGCCCGTGCAGCATTCTATCAGCCTCTCAAAAAACATTCCTTTTTCCTCGGTGTCGCCTCATTCATCACTTTGTCCATCATTTTGTTCCTGATGTGTCGTCGAAATCAACGATTAGAATACAAATATACACGGCTTATTGAGTCGAAGACTGGCGAGTTGCCAGCTGCTGAAACTTGTGGAATTGAGGAGGATGAAGAGGATGATGAGGTGAGTTCTCTGGGTCTCTGGGAATCCCGTGCTCTCTAACCATAAGAGAGGGGTCTAGCTGTCTGCTTCTCTCAACATTCCTTTCTCTTTTTAAGACTGTGTTTCTCTGTGTCTCTCCTCTCATAGTGTCTAGTGATCTGCATCCCATCTTCAGATCACTCTGCGTCTCTAACCATGTTAATAAAGGGCTTTAGATGTCCTGATGTTTTTCTCTGCGTCTCTAACCACATTTAGAAAACGTGTCTGACTGTCTGACTCAAAACATTGTGGCTCCCTCTAACATTTTCTCTGCATCTCTAACCACTACTGAATATTCTATCTCTCACAGTGTCTAGTGATCTGCATCTCATCTTCAGATCACTCTGAGTCTCTAACCATATCTATGTTAATAGAGGGCTTTAGATGTTTGCGTTTCTACAAATCCTGGGATGATGTTTTTCTCTGCGTCTCTAACCCTTTCCAATTTCAATTTCCAGCTGCAAGACCGCGTGATCTTCTCCAAAGGCTCATCATCTGCATCGCGGTCGCGTCGCGGCTACAGTGATCGAGATTCGCGCGACAATGCCGCCTTCATCGCCTTGGATAATGAGGATTAATTTTTTTTTCTCGCAATTTTTTCTGTGTTGTCTGTGCATATACGGATTTTTCATATCTTGCCAATGTTTTTGTATCAAAAATTTGTCTGTTTTTTTGTACTTTGTACGGTTTTGCACCATTTTTTGAGTCTCTGGATATCATATTTCATAAATTGTTTATTTTTAATTTGGGCTCCTATTCAAAAATGTCCGAAAATTCTGCAGAAAAATTCGCAGCCGCCTGGCGGACCTATCAACATTGGAAAGCTGATTTAGAGTAAGTCGAAAAAATTTTGTGATAACTTTTTCGAGCGGTTTCAGACAGCACCAAATCGATGTTCAAGAATTTTTGGAGGATTCTAATTTTTCACCAAATTCTTCTGTGTTATTGCTAATAATATTAATCATTCTCATTTTTCATCTGGTTTTTTGAATTATTCATTTTTCTGTGAAAGAATAAAAAGGTATCCCGCGGGGAGTTAGAAGAAGTAGAAAACAAGGAGAGGAAAAACAAGTTTGCTTCCGAATTAAAATACATAATGTTTTTTTTTATTCTGAATGGGATGGGATAATCGACCGGATTCAGAATGAGAAGAGGGTGAGAGACGCAGACAGATTTCGCGGATTTTTTTGGGCTGAATTCTTTTTAGAAAAAAATGGGCCTTATTGTGAGGTAATCGTGAAATTTCGAGTTGAGAATATGGGTTTTGACGAAATTTTGAAACCTGGAATTTTTTGGTTTTGCTGATTTTTCGTAAAATAAAAAATTTTAAATTTTGAGGAATTTCGAAAAAATTCATAAAATAAAGCGAAATAGGGTTCTCGAAGCTTATTTTAATCAGAAACAGAAATTACTCGAAAAGCTTGAAAAATATCGATTTGTCATCATTTTTGGCTGAAAAGCTCGAAAAACTAATTTTGACCTACAATGTTTTTTCGAAATTTTTTGACTTTTCGTGAATTGATCTTTCTATGTTAAAAAAACATTTTTAAACATTTTTTTCGTTCGTGAATCAGCCCTACTGGCTTAATTTCCAAAAGGTTTATTTAAGCGCCGAAATTTCCCGCGAATAATTCACAAGCAATTCAATCCACAAACAAAATAAACCTCCTCATTTTCTAATTATACATCATCCTAATAAAAAGAGAAAACCTGCCATTTTGAGAAACACTCCGCCCTCACAATTTTTTTCCCGCCGCGCGCGCGCATAATTCCGACCGGTATATAAACCAACCACAAAACCACTTCAGCCAAGTGTATTCTTCGCGAAAAAAGACGAATTCGAATTCATTTTCCTGTGCGAAACACAACAAAATGGACATCGAGACGCGCATCAAAGCGTATCGATTTGTCGCCTATTCGGCTGTCACGTTTTCAGTTGTTGCCGTTTTGTCGGTGAGTTTGCAAACCTTCCTCAAGGGGTTTTTGGATTTGCCACGTCATAACTTGTATTTTCATCACGTGGTTATGGATGCTAACAAGACCTTTAGGCTTATACCTCTCTTAGGACTAGATATAATGCTTTCAGACCCAAGCTTAACTCATTTTTCCTCCTCTTCTGTCTCTAGTATGTACTGCTTTTTGCCACGTCATAACTCGATTCAATTTCCAGGTATGTGTAACCCTTCCAATGGTCTACAACTACGTGTCCCATGTCAAGCGCACTATGCACAATGAGATCACCTTCTGCAAAGGTTCCGCCAAAGATATCTGGAGTGAAGTGCACGCTCTGAAAAATCTGCCGGACCTTGCGCAAAATCGTACCGCCCGTCAAGCTTACAATGAAGTGCAGGGCGGTGGAGCTTCAGCTTGTGAATCGTGTTGCTTGCCAGGTCCTCCAGGGCCTGCGGGAACTCCGGGTAAACCAGGTCGCCCTGGAAAGCCTGGAGCCCCGGGACTTCCTGGGAACCCAGGCCGCCCTCCACAACAACCTTGCGAACCGATCACTCCACCACCATGCAAGCCTTGTCCACAAGGCCCGCCTGGGCCACCCGGGCCACCTGGACCACCTGGGGATGCTGGAGAGCCGGGAACTCCTGGATTGCCTGGACAAGACGCTGCACCTGGTGAGCCTGGGCCAAAGGGACCACCAGGGCCTCCAGGAAGTCCGGGTTCACCGGGAGCACCTGGAGAACCAGGAGTTCCTGCGCAAAGCGAACCACTTATTCCTGGCGAACCTGGACCACCGGGAGAAGCTGGGCCACAAGGACCACCCGGGCCACCTGGACAACCTGGAGCTGACGGAGCACCTGGACAACCAGGGCCTAAAGGACCTAATGGAGCCGATGGACAACCAGGAGCTGATGGAAATCCGGGAGCACCTGGTCCTGCTGGACCACCGGGACAAATCGGAGAACGTGGAATCTGTCCGAAATATTGTGCCATTGATGGTGGTGTATTTTTTGAGGATGGAACCAGAAGATAAATCTGACAATGAGTTGCAGAATAAAGTTTTTGAATGTGCAAAATTTTCATTTTTTTACTGAAAAATGATTTTCAGGCGATGTTTCATACCAAAATTTCAGCAAAAACCCCACAATTTTCATCCAGTTTCTGTCAAGTTTCAATTGACAAGTGTCTGGGCAAAAATAATTATTTTCGGTGAATTACGCATTTTTGTGTCGGTTTAAACCAGTTTCTAATGATCATTCGACGTTTGAAACCTCAAAAAATAGCTAGGAAACAATCTTTAGAGGAGGCGCCACACAAACACGTCAGTGATTTGTCGTTGACGCATTTTGTGTGCACTTGGGGCTCCGCAACAACATTTTATTGTTCAAAAAATATATTCTGTGAAATGTCGAACTATTTTCTTGACAGGAAATTGCCAATTATCTTCACGGTCATTCAACAAACTTCCAACATTTTTCGTTTCAATTAAAATCACGATTTGATCTTTAGCATCCAACACTTGAATAAGAGAATCTTCTCTTCCCGGGTGACGCGTGAAAGTGACGTATTCTGTATTTACAAAAAAAATGGTTTTCCCGAAAAAGTCCATCTAACTTACGATAACTTTTCTTCGACTCGCTCAAAACTTTGAATCGATACATCTCATCAACCGTTGTTGAATTGACATCAAATTCTCCCGAGTAGCTAACAATTGATTTTTGAAGTGGCAAATTTTTAACAACTTTCAGATTTGCATCCAAAAGTTGGAAGTTTTCGATAGTTGGTGCATCCAGTGTCACAACGATTTCATATTTGAGAATTTGTGATTCTTGAAGGGAACATTTGATGAGAATTGATAGGAATATTATAAAAGTAGAAGAATACATTTTGGTATACATAGTTATTGGGGAGCTCATAGTTCTTTTATACTCATTAATTTCATAATCTTAACATTGTTAATTTTGAAACTGACATTCATACTAAATCAGAACAAACAATGAGAAGAGCAAATAAAAACACAAGATTTCGTTGCTCAAGATTTTTACTGAAAATGGTTAGATAAGCGTTTTGATATCATAACATCTTTCAAAAAGTCAAAATTCGAAAAAAAAATGCGATGCTAAGATTAAAAATTAGTTTTTTTCTGATGTCTAATGTGGAACAATAAACTCAACAGATTTTTCAAATTCAGCCAATTTCTATTCCGGAAAAAAAATTTGGCATCATTTTCAAGCACAAAAACCCAAGAACCTGGAGCAGTGGCTGAAAAATTGCCCACTTGTGTTCATTTTTCAAAATTACCCACCTAGTGAAAAATTTTCTGCCCACGTGAGGCTGGCCTTGAAAGCCCTAACATTTTCGGAGGTAGTAACTCATACAGTTTGTGAAGATGGATGATTTTAAACAAAAATGATTCATCTACTAATTGACGAATTTGAAAAAATAATTCTTATTTATTGTCATTCCAAAAAATAAGAACCTTGGAAGAGAACCAAAATGACCTAGAAAACCAAGACTACAGTAGACTCCGCGAAATTTCGGAGTCTATTTGAAAAATAAGATGCGAAATTTACACGCTGGCTATTTGCCAACCAGTTTGATGTGCATGTGTCACGTCTATTTACTGTACGTGAGCGCCAATTTAAACAGAGGTTCTTTTATTTTCGAATTGACAATATTTCCATTTGATTGATTGTGCATTTTATAGAGGATAATCACAATTCCCAGTAAATTAAAAAAACAAAATTATATTCAAAATACTTTATTATTATTTCAAATGTAATAACATCTCAAATTAATTTTCGACGTCTTTGCACATAAAACTTCTGATTTTAAATTTGCACATCAATTTGACTGATTTTTCTTCTCGATTTCCATTCAACGATAATTCTGAAATTTTCAAAATTATACTTTTTCAACAATTTTTATTGTCTAACCTTTCATTTCCTTAAATTTCCCAGCTTCATTGAAATCAGTGGTATTTTGAGTTTTAATAGAAATTAAAAAATGTATATAGTCTTGTTCGATAGAATCTTCTTTTCCAGGATGTCGAGTGAAAGTGATATATTCTATGAAAAAAAAACATATAACTCTCTGAATATTTAACAAACCATTGAATCCTTGCGGCTTCACCAAAACTTTAAACAAATATATCTCATCAACGCTAGTTGCATTAACATGAAACTGTCCTAAGAGAGCAGTTGTTGGTGAGCCTACAAGTGGCAAATCTCGAATTGGTTGGAGATTTTTATCCAAAAGTTCGAAGTCTTGGATTGTTACAGTTATATTGTCTGTCGGCACCGGGATTGAGATAAAATATTGTAGGATTTGTGATTGTTGAAGGGAACACTTGATGAGAATTGCTAGGAATATTATGAAAGTAGAATACATTTTGGTATACATAGTTATTGGGGAGCTCATAGGTCTTTTATACTCATTAATTTCATAATCTTAACACTGTTAATTATGAAACTTACATTCATACTAAATCAGAACAAACATAAGAAGAGCAAATAAAAACAAATTTAATTTTTTTTTCGAATGTAATTTTTTTAAAAATTCTTGGATAGCTTATCAGTAAAAAACCTCATTCATAGCACAAAAAAAAATATTTTTTTCAATAATTTGGGTTATTTCTAACCAAAAAAAAACAAAAAAAAATTAAAACGTGACCCAATTTTTTCTGGCTTCCACGTCACCAAAACAAAAAAAATGAAACCAGCAGCCATAAATCCTGAGTATTTCTAGACAACTGTCCCCTGCGAAATAGCATGTAAAGAAGATTGGCACAAAAATTGAAAAAAACAGTAAAAATTACGTCGGATGCACACCAATTGTATACCAAATGTGAGTTGTATCATAAGTGTATCAGGTATTTCTGAGCTCTTGCAAGTTGCCTTTGCTAATTAATTAATTAATTAATTCAGATCGATGTGATTTCGAACAACAAGGGAGCAACTTCTAATTTCACTCTTGTTTTCGAATAAATCGTTTTTTCTGGTCTTTTTTGTCAAAAAAATCCCGATTTTCCCTGGAAAAAGCCCCACCTTGAGAACTTCTCACTGTCAAAACCACATATCCTCGCATTTTTCTCGAATTCTCTCGACTTCCAGCTCGTTTTTCATCAACTTTTCATCATAAGTAGTAGTTTCTCCGCCATTTTCGATGAATTCGAAAGCAATCGATAAATTTTTCATATTATTTTCCGAAGGATTTTTGTAGAAAACATGTTTGAGCATTTTTGCGTTTGAAATTGGCTTGGTGCATGAAATTTAGCATGCGATATGTTCTTGCGAGCTCTTCCGTGCTGAAAATCGGGAAATTTTATGTCATGGCCGAGAAATTGAACATTTGGTTTTCTAGGCCACACAAACCTTCGAAATCTATCCGCGGAACCCTGTCAAATTGCATCAAAAACGCGTGAAAAATGCGTCCGGCCACAGTTTTTGTTGAATTTTTGTGGCGGAGCAGCTGGATTTCGCAAATATCGCATTATTTCATCGAAAACATTGTTGGGCTGGAAAAAAATTAGGATTTTTTTCATAAAAATGCATTTTTTATATAAAAATTCAGAAAAAAAGCGCACACAAACGCACACACAAAAAAACCTCTACCTGTCTGCCTGTTCTGTGCGACAGGCAGACAGATAGAGGAGAAAATGGGTCTCGCAGCGCTGCTAAATATGATGCAAATGGGGCAGCGGGATCGGTGGTGTGTCGTTGTGTGTGTTTTTTTGAAATTTCGAATATTTAAGGGATTTTTGAAATTTTAAAAGGCCGTAAAATTGAAAAATAAATCAATTTGATCAAATTTTGCAATTTTTCACAATTTTTTCTGGTTTTTTGTTCTGTCATTGCTGCAAAAAACTTTTTTTTTCCTCGAAAAATCTCAAATTCCATCTGAAAACCGCTAAAAAATGGTACTGTAGACAGCGCTGTGTGCAATTGCAAAGTGTTTGCACACAATTAAACGCAGCTACAGTAAACTTGATTTTTCAGCAGAAAATCTATACTTCTTTTGTCCAGAAATTGAAACAATAACACAAACTTTACACAACAAGAAACCAGTTTTTTTTTTTTGTTAAATTCAATTTATTTATCAGTAAACTTCTCTTTTTCAACAAATGAACACTTCAATTTCGAATTTTCTCTACAAATTTCGTTTTTTATCCGATTTTCTGGCCATTGGTGGATTATGTTTCTGTTTGATTATGACAATTGTGACTTTGCGGATTTCTATTGATATTGTTGATGAGATCAATGAAGTTAGAGATGTTTTTATGAGAAAATCGGAGGAATTCAAGGTAATTTCATAGATTTTGCACAAAAAATCGATAAAAACAAGGTGGGGGTACTGTATGTTTCGTTGTGTGCATTGCAAAGTGTTTGCACACATTTGAAACCAGTTACAGTAATAAATTTTCAATATTTTCCAGATGTACGCCGACGATGCTTCATACTTGATCGAAAACGGTCAACATCATCAAAAATATTCCGAAATGTTTGGAATTTTGATAAAATCGTAATACATTTATTTATTTATCTACATTTCATTTCATTTCAAGCGGAAAGCACCGCATTTTCAGTCAAAAAACTATAATCATAGTCATTTTTGGGTTGAAGTTGTGATAAATCTGGTAGATTTTCCGACGAATTCGTGGAATTCGCCACAAAACTCGGGTTGACTTTGAAATCGATTCCATCGATCGCTTTGACACGTGGCATTCCAGAGTTCTGCAAAAAATCAATATTTTCTAGAATTTTCTGACGCGAAAAATCGACCTACCCTCATTGTAAACGCGCTGGTGTTCGATAAATCGGGTTGTGACGTGGAATTTGGCGATAGGCCTGGATAGAGTCCGATAGGTTTTGATGGATTTGGGGTCGAGCTGGTGGTGGTGCTGGGCAAATCCGTCGCACTGTTGCTCATTTGAATTCCATAGGTTTGGGGAATTGGAATGACTTTGTAGCAGATCAAAAGTGAATCGACTTCGCTGAAAAGAGAAAATACAGGTTTTTAGGTAAAAAAAGGCCTAAATTCTGCATTTTCCCGTTATTTTCAGTATTTTTCACACAAAACTCCGTGTTTATCTGCATTTCTGATTCAGAAAACATTGAACTTGACGTGAAAATGCAGATTTTCCTATCAGTATCGGAAATTCTGCATTTTCGCGTAATTTTTAGTGTATTAACAGATATTCGGTCAATTATTTTTCGCATGGAAATTTTCGCATGAGTTCAGCCACATTTTTTCGTTAGAAAACATCGAAAATGACGAAAAACGCAGATTTTCCTATCACTATAGGAAATTCTGCATTTTCGCGTGAGTTTTTAGTTTTTCTGGGCGTTTACTAAGCCTAAGCCTTGAATGAAATAATAGCTAAAACCTCAATTTTTGGGCTTTATTAGTCTTATATTAGGCTTAGGCTTAGTTGAAAGCCCAGAAGGGTGCAATTTTGAATTAAAAAAATCAAAACTTCAAAAAAATTGAATACTCATGCGAAAAAATCCATACGAAAAATGACTCTTGCGAAAAATATACTCATGCGAAAAATAATTGACCAGAAATTCTGCAGTGTTTTTCACACAAAAATTCCGTGTTAATCTTTTTTTTTCGTTAGAAAACACTGAACTTGACGAAAAAATGCAGATGTTCTTATCACTATCGACAAATGCTGCATTTTCGCGTCATTTTCAGTGTTCTTCACGGAAATTCTGCATTTGCGCGTCATTTTCAGTGTTCTTCACGGAAATTCTCGATTTTCACACAAAATCCCGTGTTTATCCACATTGTTTCGTTAGAAAACACCGGAATTGACGTAAAAGTACAGATTTCTAGGATTTTTCGATAAAAAACACTGAAAGTGACGCGAAAATGCAGAATTTTTGAAAAATTCTGCATTTGCGCGTCAATTTCAGATTTTTAAAAAAGATCTATGTTTTTCAATAGCTTACCCAGCAGATGTATAATTTCTCGGCACCTTTTTCGTCTTTCCCAACACCACAACCTCACCAATCGCATCCACCACTCGATCTCGCGGCTCTGTCCGAATACAAATGAATTTCTTGCGCAACGACTTCTCCCTGCTATCCGCCGTATAATCGATTGCCACGTAGCCATGCGGAATCGGATCATTCTCCCGTACAATTATCAAATTCGTCACCACTTGTACCGGTGTCCGAATAGTCGACTCCGGAATCTCGGTGCTCACACAAATATAACGAACTTGTCGATTGATGGTGAAGAAGCCGTCGCGCCACAAATCCGCATCACTTTGATCATCTTGACATTTAATAATTGGCACAAAACCGCGAGGCGCCTTATTTTTATCGGCAACTATGCACATTGCAGTGATCGGCAGGTTTGCCACACTATTATCTGGTGAAAATTCCAATTCTGCCATTGGTCTGGAAATATTTCTGTTTTGAAAAGCGAAACACAAAAAAAAAACATCAAATTTCGCAACTTTTCCCGAAAAAACGCGAAAAAATAAAAGTAAAACAACGATACTCCGCAACACCGTTCTGCCTGTTGTTTAGCCAACAATTCAAATTTTTTTGTTTTTTTTTGTTTTTTCGCGGTTTTTTTTGCGCAAAAGCCACAAACCCCGAAAAATTGAAGATTGCTGTTTGTTTCATTTCGAAAATATAAAAATGCTCAATTTTGGGCACGGCGTGACCTTTGAAAACCCAGCATGAATTATAGGATTAGGCTCGAAAATCCCATTTTTCGATTTCGCGCGCACAAACCACACCTGGTAAATAAATAGATAATTGTTTTTGGCTAATTGTAAGACATCTTTTTATTTTTTCATGAAGTAGAGTAAATGTTTCCTCATTTTTGTGCAGAAAACACTGTTGGACATCGACAAAATGACATTTTCATGTTTTTTAAGCAAGTGAGTTGAAATATTCGGTTTTAATGTTATTCATATGATAGAATGGTCTAAGACGAACAGAATGATATAAATTTTGATGACTTTACGTTATCCATTAGTGATTTAGCGACCTTTAGTCGATAAACGTCGCTAAATCACTTAAGAGACGTTTTTTGCAAAAAAGGCAAATAGGGTCGGACAACAAAAAAGGGTGTAATTTTAGAATCGGCTCAAATTTTTTTATTGATACATGGATGGATGGTGAACATTTTCCACCATATTTTTTTCCATAAAATCGATGCACCAATTTGGTGGGGGTGATGAATGCGAAAAAGGGCATTTTTTCAAAAAAATCAGAACTCAGCTCAAACTTCATATTTTTTGATGATCAAAAAAGGATTTTGTAGCTCTTGAGACGCTCTTTTACTCCTGAATTTACTAGAATTGCCGAAATCCAAAAATAAATTTTCAAAATCGATGAAAAATTTTTGACGCTAATTTTCCCCCCTTAAACGCCATTTCCGCAATTTCTAACTCAATCCATTAGATCCGCCTTGCAATTTTACGTCGGATTAGTCGAAAAAAAACGGAAAAAAGGGGCCCTCAAAAAGTTCTATTCCAGCTTCTAATTTCCATTCTGACGCGCGCAACACACATGTGTGTATTTTGTGTGCGCGTGCTCCCACATATGTGTGTTGTGTGTTAGAAGCTTGAAATATACAAGGGTACTGTAGTGTGTGTAGTTTTTTTTGTATTTTAATTGTAGATTTAGCATCTGGGGAGGTAAGAAAACCCCCTGACGAGGATTTTTACATGCAAAAATGTTTTTCCTGGAGGTGGACCTTTTTGAGAATTTTTTGGTTCTGAACTTTGAAAAATTGTAACTTTACTTATAGTGGACGAAAAAATTGAACATAAAAGCTAAACAAAGCTTACATTTCGCTCTATGAACTCATGGACAGTTCTATGGACTAGAAAAATTGTTGTAACAAACTAATTTTTCTAACCTACAAAATTCGAAATGTTCAACAAAAAAAAAGGAAAATTCGAAACATGTCAGCCCTTCGAAAATTGAAAATCGGTGAGAGTGTAGACTCAGAATCAGTTGAAAAAAAAATAAAAAATCCATAATTTTTGAAATCCCTGTTGCTGCACATATTTTGTTCCGAAATAAGTTGAGGCCTTTTACTCTCTTGGCACACTGAAAGTTCAAGAATGTATTTTCAACAATCAAGTTGAATGCTTTTTCACAAGTTCTAGACCAGCAATTTTTACTCGCTGTAGATCACGCGGGACTCCAATACACACCTCGGCCAAGCCGTGGCTGGCCAGAGTACAATTTTTGGAAAAATCAGAATTTCAGTTTATCGAGGACAAAAATTGAAAAACCACAAGTTTTAGAGGACAAAAACTGAAAAATTCACAATTTTTGTACTGTAAAAAGTTAGCGTACAATTTTTTATTGTGGAAACCACGATTTTGGCCGAGGTGTGCTCTTTTCGTACAACAAATATGTCTTCAAGACTTGACATAAAATCTATCAAGACGCAGTACCAAGTGAAAGTTCTTCAGGCAACTTTGCTAGACATAGCAGCTCTTCTGGTGCTGATAGAAATCGCGTACACTTCAATTTCGATTCCCTGAAACTTTTCCCAAAAATTATTTTTTAGATAACATTTTTCATGCTGTGAGGAATCGATCCAGTAAACTTTTTGTCACGTTTTCAACTTTACCTAAAATTGCAGCCTGCAGAAAACACTATTTCTGTTTATTTTTGCAAGAGAAAAGCATAAAATCGATGCTCAGAACTTCTGGGTACCCGGAAACCTATAGATTTTAACATTTTTATTACATTACGGAAATATATATACGTTATTTCGAATCTAGACCATAGAACACTTGACACTTTCTCTAAAAACATTTCGAATTTTCCTTTTTTTTTGTTGAACATTTCGAATTTTGTAGGTTAGAAAAATTAGTTTGTTACAACAATTTTTCTAGTCCATAGAACTGTCCATGAGTTCATAGAGCGAAATGTAAGCTTTGTTTAGCTTTTATGTTCAATTTTTTTCGTCCACTATAAGTAAAGTTACAATTTTTCAAAGTTCAGAACCAAAAAAATTCTCAAAAAAGGTCCACCTCCAGGAAAAACATTTTTGCATGTAAAAATCCTCGTCAGGGGGTTTTCTTACCTCCCCAGATGCTAAATCTACAATTAAAATACAAAAAAAACTACACACACTACAGTACCCTTGTATATTTCAAGCTTCTAACACACAACACACATATGGGAGCACGCGCACACAAAATACACACATGTGTGTTGCGCGCGTCAGAATGGAAATTAGAAGCTGGAATAGAACTTTTTGAGGGCCCCCTTTTTTTCCGTTTTTTTCGACTAATCCGACGTAAAATTGCAAGGCGGATCTAATGGATTGAGTTAGAAATTGCGGAAATGGCGTTTAAGGGGGGAAAATTAGCGTCAAAAATTTTTCATCGATTTTGAAAATTTATTTTTGGATTTCGGCAATTCTAGTAAATTCAGGAGTAAAGAGCGTCTCAAGAGCTACAAAATCCTTTTTTGATCATCAAAAAATATGAAGTTTGAGCTGAGTTCTGATTTTTTGAAAAAATGCCCTTTTTTCGCATTCATCACCCCCCACCAAATTGGTGCATCGATTTTATGGAAAAAAATATGGTGGAAAATGTTCACTATCCATCCATGTATCAATAAAAAAAATTTGAGCCGATTCTAAAATTACACCCTTTTTTGTTGTCCGAGCTCCTTCATTAAAATTCACCTTTTTGCAAAAAACGTCTCTTAAGGATAACGTAAAGTCATCAAAATTTATATCATTCTGTTCGTCTTAGACCATTCTATCATATGAATAACATTAAAACCCAATATTTTAACTAACTTGCTTAAAAAACATGAAAATGTCATTTAGTCTATACTGAAATTCGCCTATTTTCTTTGTTTTTCATGATTTCCTCACTGAAAAATCATTTTTTCCCAGGTAAAAAAATGAGCGAACCGTCGACTTCAACAAACTTTATCAGCGGTCGAAAACGGCGACCACAAGCAATCGAAAAACCAGCGGAAGAGACCGATTTTCGCGAGACAATCAAAGCGGACGCGGAAAAACGGAATGCGGCAAAACTGAAAACGCTCACGGAAACCGACAAAAACATGCAAAATCATATTCTGAAATTTTTGCAAGAGATGGAGGGAAATCGGAAGAAAGTGAGCAATACGAATTGTTTTGAGACCAAAACACCGTTGGATTATTTTAATGTGGAGGAATTGGTTTCGTCGAATGTCAAAATGCAGGTTAATAGGTTTTCGCAACTTTGAATATGAGCTATGACGTGGCAAATTGTCCAGATTCCATGTTCCTTTAAATTTTCCATATGTAAACGTGGATTTAAAGGCGCATGATGTGGAGATTGCCACGTCAATAGATCAGCTGAAGTACTAATATGAGCTATGACGTGGCAACTGTCATGTTCCTTTAAATTTTTCATATGTAAACGTGGATTTAAAGGCGCATGATGTGGGGATTGCCACGTCAATAGATCAGCTGAAGTACTAATATGAGTTATGACGTGGCAACTGTCATGTTCCTTTAAATTTTCCATATGTAAACGTGGGTTTAAAGGCGCATGATTGGTGGAAAATTGTAGAATTGCCACGTCATAGTACTGATTGTCAAAATCATATTAGCCTTATGGAGCCAAATTATCAAGCCTCGATGTTCCTTCTGAAGCTTCCATATGTAAACATGGATTTAAAGGCGCATGCAGTCTTCTGAAGCCTTCTGGAGCCACAGAAATTCTTCTGAAACCTCTAAAAAATTTTCTGAATCGTTCTGAAGCCTTCTGAAGTCTTCTGAAGACTAATGAAGTCTCTAAAATTTTTCCAAAGCCTTCTGAACCCTTCTGAACCCTTCTGGAGCCTTATGAAATCTCTAAAATTCTTCTGAAGCTTCTAAAATTTATCTAAAGCCTTCTGAAGTCTTCTGAAGCTTCTAAAAAGTTTTCTGAATCGTTATGAAGCCTTCTGAAGCCTTCTGAAGCCTTCTGGAGACTTGTGAAACTTTCTGAAGCCTTCTGGAGCCACAGAAATTCTTCTGAAACCTCTAAAAAATGTTCTGAATCCTTCTGAAGCCCCTATAATTCTTCCAAAGCCTTCTGGAGCCTTCTGAAGCCTTCTGGAGCCATTGGTGGAAAAATAAAAAATTGCTACGTCATAACTCAGATTTTATCAGCCAAAGCACACCTCGGCCAAGCCGTGGTGGGCCACGGTTTTCACAGAATGAGCTAGAGAGTGTTTTGATAAAAATTGCTCAGTTTGAATTTTCTAGAGTCCAAATTTATTTCTATGACTGAAACATTCTCTACTGATCCGGTAAATTCACAATTTTCTCATTCAAAACTTCAGCGTAAACTTTTTATTTTTGGGAACCACGATGTTGGCCGAGGTGTGAGCCAAAGCTAATTTTGACCAAAAGATTTCGTTACCTAAAATCATTTCCCAAATTTTTAAGGACATGGCAATAGTTTTGGACTCGACCCAACAAATTTATGGTTATCGAGTTGATCGATTATTGACTGATTGTAGAGGTGCAGAAATTGCCATGTCGAAAGGCGAAATTGTTGCCGAAGATATGGAAATTGCAGGAGATCAGGTAATTCTTGATGTTTTGATGAAGAGTTTGTGGAATTTCGCGAAAGTTCTGCATTTCTACGTCAATTCTGGTGCCTTTTCTGCATGTTTAAGTGCAGATTTTCACTGAAAAACACCGGAATTTGTCTGAAAATGTTCAAAATTCACACGAAAAACCCTTAAATTAACCCACAGAATGACGGAAAATCGCGGCGAAAACCAAAAAATCCGGAAAACGGCATGGCTGCAATGGAAGAAGCGCTCAAAAATATTCACGATGGTGCTGATTCGGATGAGCAAGAAAATGAGCAAGAAGACGAGGAGCTGGACGAAAATGAGGGGGATTTTGGGGATTTGGACGAAGACGTGGACGATTGGGATGATGAGACGGGCGATTTTGAGAAGAAAATTGAGAATTTGGTGAAATCGAGAGTGGCCAAAATGGAACAAGTGGTTTTTAATAATGTAAGGGAGGATTTTGGACCCTGAAAAATGTCAAAAATCGAAAATTTTAGCGAAAATTAAGCCTAGAAGCTTAAAATTCACGATTTTTGAAGAAATTTGATCTGAAAATGTTGGAAAATTCTGGAACATCGAAAACTTTACATAAAAATCAACCTAGTAGCTGAAAATTCATCTGAAAATGCTGAAAAATTGAAAATTTCCATATTTTGAGTTAGAAATGAGCCAGGATTTTGAAAATTTGAAAGTAGAGCTGAAAATTCAAGAATTTTGAAGTTTTTTGATATGAAAATGCTTAAAAATTGAAAATTTTAGCAAAAATTAAGCCTAGAAGCTGAAAATTTGCAGGTTTAGATATATTTTGATCTGAAAATGTTGGAAAATTCTTGAAAATCGAAAACTCTACATTAAAATCAACCTAGAAGCTGAAAATTCATCTGAAAATGCTCAAAAATTGAAAATTTCCATGTTTTGAGTTAGAAATGAGCCAGAAATTTGAAAATTTGAAACTAGAGCTGAAAATTCACGAATTTTGAAATTTTTTGATTTAAAAATGCAAAAAAATTGAAAATTTCCATATTTTGAGTTAGAAATGAGCCAGGATTTTGAAAATCTGAAACCAGAGCTGAAAATTCACGAATTTTGAAGTTTTTTGATCTGAAAATGCTCAAAATCGAAAATTTTAGCGAAAATTAAGCCTAGAAGCTGAAAATTCGCAGGTTTAGATATATGTTTATCTGAAAATGTTGGAAAATTCTTGAAAATCGAAAACTCTACATGAAAAATGAACCTAGAAGCTGAAAATTCATCTGAAAATGCTCAAAAATTGAAAATTTCCATATTTTGAGTTAGAAATGAGCCCAGTATTTTGAAAATCTGAAACTAGAGCTGAAAATCCACGTGGCAAAAATTTTGAAACGCGAATTTTTCTCGAATTTTGAAAAAAAACGAAACTAGAGCTGAAAATCCACGTGGCAAAAATTTTGAAACGCGAATTTTTCTGGAATTTTGAAAAAAAAATGAAACTAGAGCTGAAAATCCACGTGGCAAAAATTTTGAAATGCGAATTTTTCTGGAATTTCGTAAAAAACGAAACTAGAGCTGAAAATCCACGTGGCAAAAATTTTGAAACGCGAATTTTTCTGGAAATTTCGTAAAAAACGAAACTAGAGCTGAAAATCCACGTGGCAAAAATTTTGAAATGCGAATTTTTCTGGAATTTCGTAAAAAACGAAACTAGTGCTGAATATATACGTGGAAAAAAAGCTGAAAATTCATCTGAAAATGCTGAAAAATTTAAAATTTCCATGTTTTGAGTTAGAAATGAGCCAGGATTTTGAAAGTTTGAAACTAGAGCTGAAAATCCACGTGGCAAACCAAATATTTTTTGCAGAGCTCATCTTACTGTAGCGCCGCCGACACGAGAAACATTGAAATCCAAAACACCGACATCGATTGGCTCAAATCCAACCCATATTATCAAAAAGCAATGATAGGCAGTGCTGATGACGTCACTTCATCATTCCATTCACTTCTCTCAAATGGAATTTATTCAAATGATGGAAGAGTGTTCAAATTGCATCCCAGAGTTAAGGATACGTTGGGAGATCGACCGATTTTGGCGGCAAATGTTGATGAAAGTGTTGTGAGAAATATGAGAAGTTTGTGTGATTTTGGGACCCAAAAATCGTGGAAAATGCGATTTTTTGAGTGGAAATTTGGAAAAATTGACGATTTTTGGGTCAAGCTGGAAAAAATAGGTTTCGAAATTTTTTGATTGGAAAAAATTCCTATTTTCTCAGTTTAGCGAATAAAAAATCCACACCGGAGAAAAAATGGCGCGAAAATTCTGAACAGCAAAAATTTCCAAACATATAAGTTTCTGCATTTTGACCTGAAAATGGGGGAAAATGCGATTTTTTGAGTGGCAATTTGAAAAATTGGGGATTTTTGGGTCCTGGAAAAAATAGGTTTCAAAATTTTTTTGATTGAAAAAAATTCCCATTTTTCAGTTTTTGCGAATAAAAAATTCCTAACATATATGTTTCTGTACAGTTTTTCACGCTGAGAAAGATCCTGTTTTCAGTTGTTGCTGCGCGACTCTCTGAAGAGCTTAAAAATGAGCCGAAAGTTGAGAATTTCTGGAAATTCGTGGTTTTGAGAGGTCATAACTCATGTTAGAGAGGATTTTTATGAAAAAAAACTGCAGGGCGATCGATTTACCAAAATCAAAAATTTTTGCGAAATCTGCCCCCCTGTATTAAATGTTTGATAAAATCCTCTCTAACATGAGTTATGGCCTCTCAAAACCACGAATTTTCAGAAATTCTCAACTTTCTGCTCATTTTTGGGCTATTTAGAGATTCGCGCAGCAAAATCTGAAAACAGGAATTTTCTCGCCGTGGAAAACTGTACAGAAATATATATGTTAGGAAATTTTTGTGGATTTTTTACTGAAAAAATGAGAATTTTTTTCAATCAATTAAATTTTGAAACCTATTTTTTCCAGGTTGAAAATTTGCAGAACCTAAAAATCGTCAATTTTTCCACGATTCCTGGGTCAGATTTTGGTTTTTCCTCAATTTCCCAATTCCAGAAATCATCTCAAATGCAATGTTGGCTCAACCCTACGAACTTCCCCATAATCTAATGCTCGAAGTTGAAAATCGTCCCCGTACCGGTCAATACAAATTCGTCAAATCCTCAAAATTAAAGGCACAAGAAGGAGCTGGCACGGTGCCATTTTTATCCGCCCGCCCATCAATCGATTCTGCAGCACTTCGAGATGATCTAACTGTCATGATTCCTGGCCCAGGATATGGGCCGAGTGGTCCGTTTTCAGCGTCCAGTTTAGCTCCACCTGATCAGACACTTTTTGGCGCCGCGCCAGCTTCACCGGAACTCGATTCAATGGCTACGGTAGCATCGGAAGGTGGGGTTACTGCCGGTTTGCCACGTGGCAATTCGAATGCGGAAAGTGGTGCACTTGGTGTGGAATTTCAAGTCATTCCGTTTAGTGATGTGAGTTTAAGAGGGATTGCTCAGATTATACTGAAAATGTAGTTACTATTTTGGTAATAAAAGCATAAGAGGACTAACCTGAGCAATGCTTTTAAAATCATTTTGATTACGAAGCTTTGGCTTAACCTGAGCAATCACTAGATTAGATTATTTTTTTTATTAGATTATCTAGTGATTGCTCAGGTTAAGCCAAAACTTTGGAATTAAATTGATTTTAAAAGCATTGCTCAGGTTATTCCTCTTATGCTGAAAAAAAAACAAAAAAACAATAAGAGGAGGACTAACCGGAGCAATGATTTTAAGATCAATTTAATTCCGAAGTTTTGGATTAACATGAGCAATCATTAATGGGCCTAATCAAATTTTGAGATGAGCTCTAGACCTTTTTTCTAGCTAAAGTTTCACATTTTCGAGCAAAATTGAGCTCTGAAGCTTGAACAATCAAATTTTTAGGTTGAAATGAGCTCTAGACCTTTTTTCTAGCTGAAAATTCATATTTTTGAGCAAAATTGAGCTCTGGAGCTTGAAAAATCGAATTTTTAGGTTGAAATGAGCTCTAGACCTTTTTTCTAGCAAATGTGATTTTAAAAGCATTGAGCTCATGGAGGCTTGAAAACTCAAATTTTTAGGTTGAAATAAGCTCTAGACCTTTTTTCTAGCTAAAAATTCATATTTTTTGAGCAAAATTGAGCTCTGGAGCTTGAAAACTCAAATTTTAAAGTTGAAATGAGCTCTAGACCTTTTTTCTAGCTGAAAATTCATATTTTTGAGCAAATGTGATTTTAAAAGCATTGCTCATGTTAGTCTCAACTCTTTTAAAAATCTCCTCCATTTTCAGATTCTGATGGACAATGAAGTCGACATTCCCGACCCGATTTTTGGCGCCGAATTCAAAACCGAAGGTCTCGAAGCGATTCTGGACATCAAATCGAGTTTGGTCGACGAAGAAGATGGTGATGAGACGAAAAAAGTGTGGAAACGTGGATTTTTGGCCGAAGAATGGGATGATAATACATCGGATTCGACGAGAGATTGTCAAGCGGTTATGGTAAGGGATTTCTGGGATTCTCATCAAAAATTCATAAATTTTGAGCTAGAAATTGAGAAATTTCATTAAAAATTGATGAATTAAGACCTTTTGACAAAAAAGCCAATAATTAGGGCGCGAAAATGTCATTTTTTGAAGCCTAGAATTAATTTTGGGTTTTTCTATTCTTTTTTTCACTTTTTTATTTTTAGGAGACTCAAAAACCTAAATTTTCAGCTAGAATAATGATGCCAAGCTCAATTTTCAATGAAAAATCTCGAAAATTCGATTTTTCAAGCTCTAGGGCTCAATTTTGCTCAAAAATATGAATTTTTAATCAAAAAATGTTATCAGCTCTAATTTTTTTTCGCATTTTCAAGATCTAGAGCTCAATTTTGTTCAAAAATATGAATTTTTAGCTAGAAAAAAGGTCCGGAGCTCATTTCAACCGGAAAATTAGATTTTTCAGGCTCTAGAGCTCAATTTTCACTCAAAAATATGAATTTTCAGCTCGAAAAATGCTCTGGAGCTCATTTCAACCTAAAAATTTGATTTTTCAAGCTCCAGAGCTCATTTTTCACTCAAAAATCCATTTTTTTTCTCCAGAAAGCCGGAATCGATTCCTACGTAAAAGCCTTGGATTATATGGTGAATTCAGATGTTGTCAAAATGATTTTCAATCGCGAAACAATTTCAAAATTGGAAGAGTTTGTGTTTTTTCTGAAAATTTCCCAAAAAAAATCAATTTTTCCAGCGAAATTCGAAACGACGACGGAAATTTGGCACAAAATTCGACAGCTCGCCGATATCCAAATATTCCTGATCGATATTTTCTGCTCAAACCATCGGAATCCTATCAGAAATTGTATCCGCAAGATCGCAAGGATCATTTTGTGAGAATTGATGAGGATGGAGAGGCTATTCCGATTGCCACGTGGGTTTTTTGGGGGAATTTTGAGCCAGAATGGGCTCTGGAGCTTGAAAAAACTTGAATTTTGAGCTAAAATGAGCCCAGGAGCATTTTTCACCTGAAATTTTGGATTTTTGAGAGAAAATGGGCTCTGGAAATTGAAAAAACTTGAATTTTGAGCTAAAATGAGCACTGGAGCATTTTTCACCTGAAATTTTGGATTTTTGAGAGAAAATGGGCTCTGGAGCTTGAAAAAACTGGAATTTTGAGAAAAAATGAGCTCTGGAGCTTGAAAAACTTGAATTTTGAACCTGGAAGCATTTTTCAGCTGAAATTTTTTGATTTTTGAGACAAAAAGACCTCTGGAGCTGGAAAAACTAGAATTTATAGTCAAAATGAGTACTGGAGCATTTTTCGGCTGGAATTTTGGATTTTTAAGAGAAAATGAGCTCTGGAGCTTGAAAAAACTGGAATTTTGAGCTAAAGCTAGTACTGGAGCATTTTTCAGCTGAAATTTTGGATTTTTGAGCCACAATGAGCCCAGGAGCATTTTTAGGCTGAAATTTTGGATTTTTGAGAGAAAATGAGCTCTGGAGCTTGAAAAAAACTGGAATTTTGAGCTAAAGCTAGTACTGGAGCATTTTTCAGCTGAAATTTTGGATTTTTGAGCCACAATGAGCCCAGGAGCATTTTTTAGGCTGAAATTTTGGATTTTTTAGAGAAAATCAACTCTGGAGCTTGAAAAAACTGGAATTTTGAGCTAAAGCTAGTACTGGAGCATTTTTCAGCTGAAATTTTGGATTTTTGAGCCACAATGAGCCCAGGAGCATTTTTAGGCTGAAATTTTGGATTTTTTAGAGAAAATCAACTCTGGAGCTTGAAAAAACTTGAATTTTGGACTAAAGCTAGCAATGGAGCATTTTTCAGCTGAAATTTTGGATTTTTAAGGGAAATTGAGCTCTGGAGCTGGAAAAAACTGGAATTTTGAGCTAAAGCTAGTACTGGAGCATTTTTCAGCTGAAATTTTGGATTTTTGAGCCACAATGAGCCCAGGAGCATTTTTAGGCTGAAATTTTGGATTTTTTAGAGAAAATCAACTCTGGAGCTTGAAAAACTGGAATTTTGAGCTAAAGCTAGTACTGGAGCATTTTTCAGCTGAAATTTTGGATTTTTGAGCCACAATGAGCCCAGGAGCATTTTTAGGCTGAAATTTTGGATTTTTGAGAGAAAATGAGCTCTGGAGCTTGAAAAAACTGGAATTTACAGTCAAAATGAGCTCTGGAGCATTTTTCACCTGAACTTTTGGATTTTTGAGCCACAATGAGCCCAGGAGCATTTTTAGGCTGAAATTTTGGATTTTTGAGAGAAAATGGGCTCTGGAGCTTGAAAAAACTGGGATTTTGAACCTAGAAGCATTTTTGAGCTGAAATTTTGAATTTTTTGAGCTAAAATGAGCACTGGAGCATGAAAAAACTAGAATTTTGAGCAAAAAATGAGCACTGGAGCATTTTTTTGGATTTTTAAGAGAAAATGGGCTCTGGAGTTCGAAAAAACTTGAATTTTGAGTCACAATAATGAGCTCTGGAGCATTTTTCAGCTGAAATTTATGATTTTTGAGAGAAAATGTGCTCTGGAGCTTGAAAAAACTGGAATTTTGAACCAAAATGAGCTCTGGAGCATTTTTTGGCTAAAATTTTGGATTTTTGAAAGAAAAAGGGCTCCGGAGCTTGAATAAACTGGAATTTTGAACCTATAAGCATTTTTCAGCTGAAATTTGGGATTTTTGAGAGATTTTTGGCTCTGGTGCTTGAAAAACTGGAATTTTGAGACAAAATGAGCACTGGAACATTTGTAACGAAAATTTAGGATTTTTTAAAGAAATTGACCCCAGGAGCTCAAAAAATATAGAATTTATATCCAAAATGAGCCCAGGAGCTTTTTTTCAGCTGGAAATTTGAATTTTTGAGAGAAATTGAGCTCTGGAGCTTGAAAAAACTGGAATTTTTGAGCAAAATTGAGTTCTGGAGCATTTTTCAGCTGAAATTTGAGATTTTTGAGCCAAAATGAGCATTTTACAGCGGTGAAATTGGTGAAGAAGAACCGGATGATGTGGATGATTTTGGTGGCGATTACGGTGGAGATATGGATCAGAATTTGGTGTTTAATGAGAGTTTGGTGGGTGGCGGAGCGGAAAATTCGGATTTGCCGCAAAATTTTGGAGCTGGTGAAGAGGACAATGTGGCTGAAGCGTTTTTCGGCGCGGAAAATGAAGGTAGATCAAACTTTTTGAATTTCCCGCCCACACTACACTACAGTATATTTTCTCTTCAGGACCTGAGACCACACCGGCTACTGTAGAAAACACGGCTTTGGCTGCGGAAGAGATTCCGGATATGATGGCGAATTTGATCACCGAACAACAAGCCGAAATTCGACCCGAAATGGAGGCGGAAATTCAGAATTTGGGAAAAGATGATAATGCACATTGGAAAGCGCCGGCGGTTGTTGCGACTGGTGAGCGATTTTTGAATCCTGGGAGGAGTTTTGGAGCATTTTTGAGCCAAAATTAGAATCGATTTCAGCACAAATTTTCAGCTCTGGGACTATTTTTGAGCATTTTTTGAGCTCAGAAACGGTTTTAGCGCGAAGTTTCAGCTCTGAGACTGTTTTGGAGCATTCTTCGAGCTCAAAAATGAATTTCGTGCGAAATTTTCAGATCCGAGACTATTTTTGAGCTCAGAATTGGCTTTTGCACGAAATTTTGAGCTCTGAGACTATTTTTTGAGTCTTTTCTAAGCCAAAATTTGAATTTGGAGCGATTTTTCGACCCTGGAAGATGATTTTTGAGCTTAGAATCGGTTTTTTTCCAGCTCTGAGACTTTTTTTTTGGAGCATTCTTGAGCTCAGAATTGGCTTTCAGCCGAATTTTCCAGCTCTGAGACTATTTTTGAGCATTTTTTTGTGCTCACAAACGGCTTTTTCGCAAAATTTTCCAGCTCTGAGACTTTTTTGGAGCATTTTTGAGCTCAGAATTCGAATTTGGAGCGATTGTTCGCATACATCAGTTTCTCCCGGACAGGGCCTCAAAATTAGCCACCCCCGGAATGTGAAAATACAAAAATTAGCCAGACCCCCTCAAAAAAAAAACGGAAAAAAACTTGGTTTTTGGGGGTAAATTGTTATTTTTTCAAAAAGTTAGCCGGTCCCCACCCCTTTTTTCCAAAGTTAGCCAGACCCCCTCCGGACGAAAATCCGGGGATACTGATGTATGATTGTTCGACTCTAGGGAATGATTTTTTGAGCTCAGAATTGGCTTTTGTGCGAAATTTTCAGATCTGAGACTTTTTGGACCATTTTTTCAGCTCAGAAAACTAAAAAAAATCTGCAATTTCGTTTTCCAGAATCCGCATCTGCTTTGAATCAACAACGAAAACGAAAAGATCGAAAAATCCGGAAAAAAGTGACAATCGACGATTTTTCGCATTATTTCGAGCCAACTTCGCAAGCAGATACGGTCGAAAAAATTGGAGAATTTGCCTGTAAACAAGTCCGAAATCCGTCACAATTACAATTGACAGAAGCCCAAGTTTTTATGGCTGAAATTTCGAGAGAATCCAAACCGTATATTGCGTTTGAGTTTGAATCATTGAGCAGATCTGGATTGATGTTTAGGGTGAGGAAAATCAGGATTTCACCTAGAAATTCATGAAATTTGGGATTTTTTGACCTAGAAATCGGTTAAAATGTGGATTTTTGAACCTGGGACCTTGGAAATTTCTAAATTTTCAATCAGAAATCGATAAAAATGTACATTTTTGAGCCTGGGACCATGAAAATCACAAAATTTTCCTCAAAAAACGGGAAAAATGTGCATTTTCGAGCCTGGGACCATGAAAATCGCAGAATTTTCGATCGAATTCAAAAAATTTCCCAATTTTTCATCTAAAAATTTTGATGAAACGTACATTTTTCGGGAAATTTGCAGAAAAAATACGGAAAACTTCGATTCGAACGAGTTCCGCAAAGACGCGCCAAAGAAGACGATATTTTCATAGAGGAGACGACTGGCGGAAATCAAGAATCCGATTTTTTGGATTGGTTTTTGACGTTCTCCGGATTCAGATGCTTGGAACTGTGGGTTTTTTTCATGGAGTTTTCAAAAATTAGAAGATTTTGGCGGGAAAATGAATGCCGCGTGGCAATTTGCAAAGTTGTTGAATTATCAATAAATTCTGAGAATTTCAATTTTTATCCGAATTTTAATAAATTTTCAAAAAATTCTGAAACTGCCACGTGGATTTTTTCGGCACCAAATTTGAAAATTTCAAAAATTCAGATAATTTTGTAGTTCAAGTTGAAAATTTCAACCGAATTTTAATAAATTTTCAAAAAATTCTTTTGACGCCGAAAATGCCACGTGGATTTTTTTTAGCACGACATTTGAATTTTCAAAAAATTTTGATATTCATCTGATTTTTAATACATTTTTTTCTAAATTCAAGAAAAACTGCCACGTGGCAAATTTCCAGTATTTTCAAATCCATTCAAAAATTAAAGAAAAATCAGAAGTATTCTGAAATTTTTGATTTTCATCCGAATTTTAATTAATTAAGCCAAAATGCCACGTGGATTTTTTTTAGCACGAAATTTGAAAATTTCAAAAAATTTTATATTCATCAGAATTTTACTAAATTTTTTCGAAATAAAAAACACTACCACGTGGCAAATTTCTGAAAAAATTCCAATCAAGCTCGAAAATTATAGAAAAATCCCCAGTTCCATAATAAATCCTGATTTTTTTCAGTGACTGCGATACGACAAATCCAATAAACGCGCCAGACAATGATGATCAAATCCATTGTGACGATGATAATTATTTCGATGATCGAGAAGAATATCAAGATTTGGAATATTTGAGACAAGAAGCAATGCAAAAAATGAGCGAATCAACAAGTCAGAAATTCCTAAATGTTGCAAGAGAAACTGACAATATGCGATTGTTGTATAATAAATTGAATCGACGAGAAAATGATGGAATTCTGGAAAATGATGACGATGAAGATCGAGAGGACTTTTTTGGACAAAAAAATGCGATGAGAGCAAAGAATTTGGATGCGAATAAACATAAGAAATGTATTGCCGATATTTTGAACTCGAATGTGGTGAGTTGGGGATTTTTTGAGCGGAAAATTGGGGTTTTTTGAACTTGTGAAGGTAGATGATCTCCCAATCATCTTCTTCATCCAGACTCATTCATAGGTAGACATTTGTACATGTAAGATCTTTATTGTACATAAATATGGTAAAGGGCTGATGTCTATGGCCACCACATAAAGAATGAATGTCTCAAGAGAGAGAGAGAGAGAGACACATGGATGCACGAGAGTGCACGAGTCTCTGCGTCTCTCTAGGAGGCATCACAACCTAGGGACCATGAAAATCGAGAAAATTGAGCATTTTTGACCTGGGACCATTTAAATCATAAAAAATGCTAAATTTCAAACTAGGGATCATGAAATTCGTCAAGATTTGGATTTTTGATCTGAAAAATGCTCCAAGGACCATGAGAACCTCGATTTTCACCACAGAATCCATGAAATTTCCATTTTTGAGCCTGGGACCATGGAAATTGCAAATTTTAATCAAGAGATCGAATAAAATGTGCATTTTTGAACCTGGGACCATGAAAATTTCACTCAAAAATCGAGAAAATTGAGCATTTTTGAACCTGGGACCATGAAAATCGCAAATTTTCAATCAGAAATCGCTGAATATGTGCATTTTTGAGCCTGTGACCATGGGAATCACAAATTTTGATCAGAAATTGATAAAAATGTGAATTTTTGAGCCTGGGACCATGAAAATTGCACATTTTTATGCAGAAATCTAGAAAATTGAACATTTTTGAGCCTGGGACCATGAAAGTTATTAAATTTAAGATTTTCTGACCTAGAGACCATTCAAATATAGTTTTTTGACCTGGGACCATGAAAATTGCAAATTTTCGATCAGAAATCGGTAAAATTGTATTTTTGATCTAAAGACCATCTAATCATGTTCCATCTGAGGAACATGATAATCGGGATTTTCAGTTCAAAAATCATGAAATTCGCAGTTTTGAGCTTGGGACCTTGAAAATTGCACATTTTTATCCAGAAATCTGTAAAAATGTGCATTTTCGAGCCTGGGACCATGAAAATTGCGAATTTTCCAATAAAAAATGGGGAAAGTGTGCATTTTTGAGCGCGGGACCATAAAAATTGCAAATTTTTATCCAGAAGTCCATAAAAATGTGCATTTTTGAGCTTGGGGCCATGAAAATTGTTTTTCTTCCAGCTAACTCTTCCCAACATAGAATATATGCTCGAAAAACTGTCCGATGGCACACTCTCAGCGACCGGCGAATTCCGCCCAACCACACCGCAACCAAGCACTTCCGCCTCGCCAGGCACTCTCGCCGACACCGCAATGTCGCCACCCGAACTCGAATCCGTCTTCAAACTTCGAACACCCCAAAAATGCGATATGGAAGTGGATCAAATCATCAAAGCGTTCAGCGAGGTTCCCGATTATAATGCGGCGGAAGCGGCGCGCAAATCGCCCAAAAAACAACAAGTGTCGGAAATCGATCCGGCTAATCCGCCTGTTCAGAAAGTCACCGTATCCGGCGTCAAAACATTTTTGAGTTTGTGCATGTGCGCTCCACCGAGAATTGGTGATTCAATCAATCCGGCTGCACTTTTGAGCTTTGCACTTCATTTGTGCAATGAGAATGTGAGTTGTTTTTCTTAAAGGAACATACAGTATTCTAGAAGATAGATAGAGTACTGTATGTACCTTTAAAAAAGTGAGGATATCTTAAAGGAGCATACCGTATTCTAGAAGATAGCTAGAATACTGTATGTACCTATAAAAATGAGAAGACGTCTTAAAGGAACATATATACCTTTAAAATCCAAAATTCCTGCTCTGAAACTGCTTGAAATTGTGAAAATCCTGAAAATTTTCATTCAGTCAATTTTAAAGCGGGAATTACTGTATGTACAAAAAAGAACTCATATAACTAGAATACTGTATGTACCGAACCAAAATTCTACTCAGAAACTGAAATTGTGAAAATCCCAGAATTTTCAGTCAAAACAGGGAAGCTATGCCCAAATTTTAAAGGAACATACAGTATTCTAACCAGAATGCTGTATGTTCCTTCAAAATCCAAAATTTCTGCTCTGAAACCACTTGAAAATTAAAAGGAGCATACAGTATTCTAGCCAGAATACTGTATGTTCCTTTAAAATCTGAAATTCCTGCTCTGAATTTTTGCAATGAGAATGTGGGTTATTTTTCTTAAAGGAAACATACAGTATTCTAGCTATCCAGAATACTGTATGTACCTTTAAAACCTCAAAAATCCAGGATTCCTGCTCTGAAATTGTGAAAATCCCAAAATTTTCAGTCAATTTTAAGCGGTTTCAGAAAGACGCGGAAGCTATGCCCAAATTTTGAAAAAACTACTGTATGCACCTTTAAATTGCTCATTTTTTGCAGGCTCTTCAATTGGTCCAAGATCGTTCGAATCGCGATTGGATGTGCGATATTTTATTCTTGAACAAGGGTCAAAAAGTGCCGAATTTTATTGAGATTGGAGAAAATGCGGAAAATGCTGATCAGGATTTATGGTAGGATTTTTGGGGGGCCTTTTGGGCCTAAAAAAGCCCCTAATTTAGGCCAAAATTAGGCTGAAAACCCTTGATTTTGAGCCCTAAAATCCCTTAATTTAGGCCCTAAAGCTCTTAATTTTAAGCCCAATTTTTTCTTCCAGGGAAAACTGTCATGATCCATGCGCCTCAATGGCTCAAACTCCACCAGAACCCTCCAAAAATGCGACCACCGCTAAAAATTTCCGAAAAAAAGGAGCTCCCGTACCAAAAATGAGCCAAATTGAAGAGGAAATGGAGCAAGATGAGGAATGAAGACTGGAATCTGTAAATATCATGTTTTATTTGGTTTTTGGAGCCGAAACGTGGCTCTTTTTTGATGATACTCAATTTTATTTATTATTTTATTGGATTTTTTTATTGAAAAATGAATTTTTCTGTAATTTTTGAGCTGGAATTTGTTTTTTTTTTGTAAAAATGGATTCGGAAATCCTGGAAATATTTGGAATTTACAAAACACGTGGGAAAAATTCAAAAAATGGATTTTTTTTGAAATATAAATTTTTCTGTAATTTTTGAGCTGGAAATAGTTTTTTTTTTGAAAATGGATTCGGAAATCCTGGAAATATTTGGAATTTACAAAACACGTGGGAAAAATTCAAAAAATTCCAGATTTTCGCGCCAAAAATGCTTACCCGCCGCACATTTTCCACCAGTTTTTGCCTGGCAAAAGGACCGCGAAACTATGTGAATCGAAAAACTGGAAGAGGATGCGGAAATGCGGTTTTGCCGAGATTTGAGTGGAGATATGATAAGGTTTTTGAATTCGGGATGGGATTTGGAGCATTTTGAGTATAATATGAGCAATGGTCGTGTAATTTGGAGCATTTTGAGACTAAAAATGGGGAAATTCTGAATTTGCTCATATTTGGGGTCAAAATGCATCAAATTTTAAGAAATATCGATTTTTCATGAGATTTGGAGCATTTTGAATATAATATGAGCAATGGTCGTGAAATTTGGAGCCTAAATTTGAAGAAAACCTAAGATTGCTCATATTTGAACTCAAAATGCTCCAAATTTCCTGAAAAATCCAAATTTTTCCAGGCAATCGGAAAAAATTTCCAAAAATCGATGGGAATTCGATTCGGAATCGATATGGGACTGGAAGATCGGATACTTTTGACATCGGTGGCGAATAAGCAAAGAAGGCTGGATGATAAGAAAATGGTGCAATTGGGTGAGCTTTTTGGGGCCGAAATTTGAAAATTTCGTGAAATTTGGAGCATTTTGGGCCTAAAAATGAGCAATTTTGTGTTTCCTTCAAATTTAGGCTCAAATGCTCTAATTTTCACAACGATTGCTCATATTATATTCAAAAAGCTGAAAATCTCATGAAAAAACGATGTTTCATGTAAAAATTTGAAAAATTCATGAAATTTGGAGCATTTTGAGCCTGGATATGAAAAATTGAAGTTTTTTGACCCAAAACCACTTCCCCATCGTATTTGGGCTCAAAATGCTCCATTTTTCGCGCAAAAATTCATGCCACGTGTCAAAACTTACCCTAAGTCCAATATTATTCCCAGGTAAAATCATGGAACAACACGTTTCGGATGTGATTTCCACCGACGAAACGCTGGCAAATCTGAAAATTCAAATTTCAAAAGTCAAACTCGACCGCGCGTTTTCGAATTTGGAAATTTTCTGGATGTGTTTTGATGGCGGCGAACGAGATGAGCAAACTAGAAACATTTTGGAGTCGGCCAAGTTTTCGATTCGGAAGAGGATTCAGGAGGCGGTCGGATTCACGTGTCCCGAGCTGAAATTTGTTGGTAAGAGTTTTTTTTTCGAAAAAAATCACTGAAAATGAATTTTTTACGCAAAAATTTGACTCAGAATCGGATTTTCCAAGACTAGACTATAGTTTAGACATGAACGGCCAGAAAATTCGATTTTTGAACAAAAACTATAGTCTAGTCTGTTTTTGATTAACAGCAAAACTAGACTATAGTTGCTTCTAGACCTTTTTTCAAGATTTTGGAGCAAAAATCACAAAATTCAATAGACTAGACTATAGTTCACACATGAACCACTTTTTTAAATAGAAAATTCGATTTTTGAGTAAACTATAGTCTAGTCTATTTTTCATTAACAGCAAAACTAGACTATAGTTGCTTCCAGTCGAAATTTTTAAGTTTTTCAGAAAAAAAAACGTGTTTCTAGGTTAACTAGACTAGACTATAGTTTGAACACGAAAATCTATCTTTCAAATGTGTTTTTTCAGGTTTATACACCTTTTTTTCAATATTTTAGAGCAAAAATCACAAAATTTAATAGACTAGACTATAGTTTAGACATGTTCGATTGTTGAAACTTCTATTTTTGAGTAAACTATAGTCTAGTCAATTTTTTATTAACAGAAAAAAAACCACCAATTTTTTATTAACAGAAAAAACCACTAGACTAGACTATAGTTTGAACACGGAAATCTATCTTCCAAATGTGTTTTTCTAGGTTTCTAGACCTTTTTTCAAGATTTTGGAGCAAAAATTAAAAAATAAATAGACTAGACTATAGTTTGTCTGAAATTTTGTCTGAAAAATCTGAAATTTCGTAATTTTTTTCGAAAAAAAACGGTTTTCTTAGATTTTTACTGAAAAAAATGTATTGTTTTTTGAATTTTGTACAACAAATTTTTGATTTTCAGTCAAAAATAAATTTTCAGCAAAAAATTCAGAACATTTTTTAATTAGGAATTCCAGCTGAAATTGTATTTTTGACTGAAAATCGAAATTTTGTTTTTAATTAAAAAAACGCTAAAAATTTGGAAAAATCTTGAAATTTTTCAAATTTCCTCATTTTTGCCACGTCATAGCTCAAAAATTGGCCAAATTTCGTGAAATTTCAGCCGACAAAACGCATCTAATGGAAGCCGAAATGGACCGAATTTTCGAAAAAGCCGATTATGGACAAGACTATCGAAGTTTGAGCAAAACCGCCAGGATTCTTGGAAACATCGAGAAAAAATCGGAAAATTCAGAAAAATCAGCTGAAAAAATTCCGCCGTGGCTAGAAGCGATCAGAAATAATAAGAAGAAAACTATAGTCTAGTCTGGATAATGAATTTTTTTGCCAGAAAATTTGGGGATTTTTCGAGGAAAAAATGGTTAGAAACCATAAATTACTTTGTTTTGCAGAGACTATACTCTAGTTTCTAGCTAGCTATAACTATAGTCTAGTCTAAAACTATAGGCTATAACTATAAACTAGTCCATTATTATAGTCAAGCCTATAACTAAACTCTAGTCGAGCCTGTAAAACTACAGTCTAGTTTCAGAATTCTCCCGATGGATCAGAAAAAGCTGCGCATTCTATGTCTACACGGATATCGCCAATGCGACCAGAGCTTCAGGCAGAAAACCGGGAGCACCCGAAAATTGGTGAAGAATTTGGCGGATTTCGAATTTGCCAATGCGCCGCACACAGTGATTGGTGATCAGAATGGTGAGGAATTTTTTGACACCAAATTTGGGTGGTTTTGGTTCAAAATTCAGGAATTTTGAGAAAATTCTGCATTTTTTTGACACCAAATATGCGAAAAAATGCAAATTTTACTCAAAATTCATCAATTTTTCGTTTCAAGTCGAAAAAAATTATTAAAAAAACCTTTTTCCGTTGACTGAGTATCAAATGTAGTAGATACGCAGCTAAATCGAATTGGCTGCGTACTTCTAGAGACACATTAGATACTCAGCCAACAAAAAATGCAAAATTTGGTTGCGTACAAATTTTTAACTGAGTATCAAATATAAATACCAATTTTTGGCGGCTAAATTTTGAATTTGAATTTTTTCCCTGAGTATCAAATTTACGTAGATACGCAGCCAAGTTAATCGGGAAACACATTAGATACTCAGCCAACAAAAAATGCAAAATTTGGTTGCGTACCAATTTTTAACTGAGTATCAAATGTAAATGTAGTAATTTTTGGCGGCTAAATTTTCGAATTTGAATTTTTTCCACCTGAGTATCAAATTTACGTAGATACGCAGCCAAATTAATCTGGAAACACATTAGATACTCAGCCAACTCAAAATGCTGCAAATTGCACGTGGAATCTAACATGAGCAATGTTTTTTTTTAGTATTTTTTAATTCGACTTGAATCACCCCATGAGAGAAATCTGAATTTTTCCCGCCAAAAAAATCCACTCAAAATTTTCCAGTCGAGACCAGTCGCGCCTGGTGGTTCTCCAACGCGTCGCAAATGTCATTTTCGTCACGGGAACCCACGGAAATCGCTGTGGGATTCGAGGAATCCATCGAGACGTTGCTGGATTTTATCCAAAAAAATGGACCGTTTGATGGGCTGATGGGATTTTCGCAGGTAATTCAATTTGCCACGTCATAACTCTTATCCAGGTTTTTTTTTAAACCAGGGCGCCTCAATGGTTCACCTTTTGTTGGCAAAAGCCGAGTTGGGACAAATCCAGCTGCCTGGAATTCGATTTGCCATGTTTTTTAGTGGATTTTTGAGCTTGTCAGAGAAGCATAGGGATTTGACTGAAACTGTCATCAACAATATACTAAGTGTGAGTTTTTGGGGCTGAAAATTCGGCCAGAAATCATGATTTTGCTTCCTGGAGAAAAAACATGGTTTTTTGAATGAAAATTGAGCTCTGGAGCATTTCAGGTCAAATTTTTGAGATTTTTCAAGAAAAATTGCGCTTGGCATCATTTTTCTAGCTGAAAAATTCAGATTTTCGAGCAAAATTGAAGCCCAAGAGCCAGTAGTAATTGGAAATTTTTCAGGCTGAATCTGAGCTCTAGACCTTTTTTCTAGCTGAAAATTCATATTTTTGAGCAAAATTGAGCTCTGGAGCTTGAAAAATCTAACTTTCAGGTTCAAGATGAGCTCTAGAGCATTTCCGATCAAATTTTTGATATTTTTCATGAAAAATTGAGCTTGGCATCATTTTTCTAGCTAAAAATTCAGATTTTCGAGCAAAATTGAGCCCAAGAGCCAGTAAAAATTGAGCTTGGGAGCATTTTTCAGCCTGAAAATCCCAATTTTCAAGCTCCAGAGCTTAATTTTGCTCAAAAATATGAACTTTTAGCTAGAAAAATGCTCCAAAGTTCAGATTCAGCCTAAAAATTCGATTTTTCAAGCTCAAAAATCCATATAAAATAATTTCTGGAGTTTTCAGCTGCACGTTTCTGGAACATCCGACGAAATTGTGGCAAAAGAGAAGAGTGATTTGTTGGCTCAACGCTTCTCAATTCCACCAATTCGAATAAATCACGATGGCGGACATTTGGTGCCAGCAATGTCGAAGTGGAAAATGGAGCTGGCGGATTTTTTGAAACAGCAGCAGATTTTGTGATTTTTTTTAAATAAATTAGTTGAAACCTTCTAATTTTCGGTGCGAAAAAATCAGCTACAGTAATCCATGGGTTACTGTAATTCTACAGTACCATCCAGATTTGTCAGAAATGAAAATGATACGCAATTTTGCTGCCTCCAGAAAATAGTATATCCTAAATTTCGGTTTTTCGAAATTTCAGGTTTCGCGACTGAAATTTCCTAAAAATTCGGATTTTTTCACTTTTAGGGCCAAAAAATCCGAAATTTAGGATAAACTATTTTCTGAAGGCAATAAAATGCGTATTTCTGACGAATCTAGATGGTACTGTGGATTTACAGTAACCCATGGAATACTGTAACTTAATGCAAAACTACAGTAATCTCTGTTTGCGTTCTTTTTGAAATTCACAGATTACTGTAGTTTTGCATAGATACAGTACTTAACAAGGTGAACCACAACAACAACAACAACTACAGTAATCTTATTGTAGACACACAAGATCTACAGTACCCTGATTACTGTAGGAAAACAACTATAAGTCATTGGCTTTTATGCAATGACTCATAGAAATAAAAAGAACTACAGTAATCTTCTACTTTTTGGCTTTTAAGCAAAAAGTAGGAAAAAAATAAATAAAAACAAAATTGAATACAGTAATTAAAATTACATCCAAAAAATTGAATTGAAGATGGATTTTAGAAATATTGGCAGAAAATCGGTCTGAAAATTTAAAGTTTTTCATTGAAAAATTCAAAAATTGGGCATAGCTTCCGCATCTCCACTGAAATTCCAAAAAATAATTAATAAAATGGAGAATTTTCAAGATTTTCTAATCAAAGAATGAAAAATCAAGAAAATTTTAAATTTTATTAGTTTTTTATTGGAAATTTCAGAATTTCAAGCTATTTTCCATCAAATTTCAATTTTTCATATAAAAAACTCACCAAAAAATGTCGAAATGATATTCCAGAATTCACAATGCATTTTTGAGATTTGGCATCATTTTCTAGAAAAAATCGATGAAATTCAATGCAAAATTGAGAGATTTAGAGAGAAAAATCATTTGATCTACCGAAAAAAAATGAGAAAAATTGGGGGGTCTAATGATTTGAGATAGTAAAATGCTTCCGCATTTCCGCTGAAATTCCAATTTGGAATTGATAAAATCAACGATTTTTCAAGATTTTCAAAAAAAAAAATCGAGAAAAATCAAAGTTTTTTCAATTTCAAAACTGAAATTCCAGAATTTCAATACAAAATGAAATTTCGTGATATTTTTTGTTTACTCACCTTTTCAACTGCCACGTGGATATTCGAACTTGTCAGAAGTCAAAGTGATCTGAAAAATAATTATTTTATTTGAAAAAACCTTTTTTGTTGAAAATTTGATTGCAAAATTCAAATTATTTGATTAAAAATTCCAAAAATTGGGCATAGCTTCCGCATCTCCGCTGAAATTCCAATTTCAAACTGATAAAATCCACGATTTTTCAAGATTTTTCAAAAAAAATCGAGAAAAATATAAGTTTTATCAGCTTCAAACTGAAATTCCAGAATTTCAATTTATTTTTGGTAACTCACCAAAACTACTTGTCCTATGACATTTTTCGAAAATTTCGATCCGATGAGAATTGATTGATATTGTTTGTCTGAAAATTTGGACATTTTTTTCTGAAAAAGAATAAAGCAAACTCTCACCTCTTTTTTTGGGTGATAAATAATAAAATGAATACAAAAAATTAAAATTTGTGATGAGTTATAGCTCCAAATTCTGGCCAGATTATTTATATGGCAAATTGTCAGGAAAACCAATCGAAATTCGAATTTTTGGACAAGTTTGCAAGCATTGATCGCTCTGAAAATTCGAAGTTTTCCATTGAAAATTCAAAAAATTGGGCATAGCTTCCGCATCTCCACTGAAACTCTAAGTTTAAACTGATAAAATCAATAACTTTTCAAGATTTTCAATAAAAAATCAAGAAAAATCAAGTTTTATCAGTTTCAAACTGACATTCCAGAATTTCAATTAATTTTTTTCTCACTCACCAAAATTCAAAAATTCCGAAGCCTCTTTTCAATCATCCAAAAAATTGCATTGATGTGCCAAGTCAAATCGAATCGAAGCAAAACCACTCCAAAATCCGATATCACTCATCGATTTGTTGTTTTCTCGACCAATTTGAATTCCCGCGAAATTCTGGAAAAAAATATTGATTGAAAAAATAAGATAGGTTAGGATAATTAGATAACATTTTTAATTCAATTTGAATACAGGTTTCAATTTCTGGAAATTTTTGAATCGGATAATATATCTGACAAGGGACTTACATTAATTTTAGGACCATCGAAAAGTTGACACCAAAAATATTTGAATCAACAATTTCTCGTGAAAAGTTGCTATAATTTCAAAAGAAACGTGAATCTTTTTAATTCAAAAATTTCGTAATTTTTTGTATCAAAATTTGCTTCGGAGCTGATTTGCGCGGCTCAGACTGGAGCTCAGCAGCTAATTTTTACAGCATTGTGATCCACGCGGCGAGTCACATAAGACTGTACTTGCCTTATTTGAAAACCCTTTATCACCCTAATGTAAGTGCATTGTGAATAGCATCACAAAATTAGGTCTCAAACACTTTTTTAAAAATGAAAAGTTTTTGAATGCAAAATTCAAAAATTGGGCATAGCTTCCGCATTTCCGCTGAAATTCCAATTTCAAACTGATAGAATCAACGATTTTTCAAGATTTTTTCTGCAACAAAAAATCGAGAAAAATAGAAGTTTTATCAGTTTAAAACTGAAATTCCAGAATTTCCAATAATTTTTTGGTAACTCACCAAAACTGTTTGTCGATTCGTTGAGGAATGCATCAATCAAATATTGTTTGTCTGAAAATTTGGATATTTTTTTCTGAAAACAATTGAGAAAAACCTCACCTCTTTTTTTGGGTGTCAAAAAATGAGAAAAATGAAATAGAAATCGATAACAATTATAATTTTTTAGTTTGCTCATCACTTTCTGCTCCATCAAAACACATCCAGAAAACTTCGAGGCACGAAGAATTGCGGTCGAGTTTGACTTTTGAAATTTGAATTTTCAGATTTGCCAGAGTTTCGTCGGTGGAAATCACATCCGAAAAGTGTTGTTCCATGTTTTTGTCTGGAAAAATATTGGAGTTAGGGTGAATTTTGGACACGTGGCATGCAATTTTGGAGTATTTTGAGCCCGAAAAATGACGTGGAAGTGGTTTTGACACCAAAAATTTCAATTTTTCATATCTGGGCTCAAAATCCAACTTCATTTTTTTTGACAAGGGAACCTTTTTACTCAACACTTCAAGTCAATATTTCATCAAGATTTGAAGTGTTGAGTAAAAAATGTTTCGAATTTTTTGGCGAATTTAAATCATGTTGAGCCCATAGCAAATCTTAGATTTTCTTCGAATTTGAGCTTAAAATGCTCCAAATTTCATGAAAATTACTCATACATATTATACTCAAAATATTTTTTGAAAAAAGTAAGTTTTTGATTAAAAAATCAAAAATTTGGCATAGCTTCCGCATCTCAGCTGAAATTCCAATTTAAAACTGATAAAATCAACGATTTTTCAAGATTTTCGAAAAAAAAAATGAAAAATCAAGAAAACTCTAAATTTTATTAGTTTTTTATTGGATATTTCAGAATTTCGAGCTATTTTCAATCAAATTTAATTTTTTCATATAAAAAAAACTCACCAAAAAGTTGAATTTTGTTTTATTCGAAACTTCGGAACCAAAATTCTTGTGATATTTTTCCGAATTTTATGCCAGCGACAACATTTCACGAATCAAATACTCATCATCCTTGAATCGGAGTTGTATTTGTTGGTATGTCGGTTGGAGCAAGATTGCTGACTGACAATCTGAAACAAAGAATTGAGTTTTCGCTGAAAAATTCAAAAATTGGGCATAGCTTCCGCATCTCCGCTGAAATTCCTATTTCAAACTGATAAAATCAACAATTTTTCAAGATTTTCTGCATAAAAAATCAAGAAAAACAGAAGTTTTATCAGTTTCAAACTGCAATTTCAGTAATTCAATTCACATTTTCTCGGGTCAAAATTATGAATATCATTTTGTGGCCGGAATAGATTCTTACCTGATTATTGGATCTCAAACCAACACATTTTATCATATCCATAGAAGTTGCTGATGTGTTTTTCGATTGATAACTTCACAAAATATACAGAACAATTCGAAGTTCTTCGAATATTCCACGTTTTTGGTAGAAATTGCTCCAATTCGAACACTCCTCACTTTTCTGGAAATGAAATTCAATAATTATATAGGTCACGTTTAAAAATCCCAAGTTTTTGATTAAAAATTCAAAAATCGGGCATAGTTTCCGCATCTCTGCTGAAATTCCAAAAATAACTAATAAAATAAAGAGTTTTCAAGATTTTCTAATCAAAGAATGAAAAAATCAAGAAAACTCTGAATTTTTTTTAGTTTTTTCTGGGATATTTCAGAATTTCGAGCTATTTTCAATCAAATTTCAATTTTTCAAATAAAAAACTCACCAAAAAATGTCCAGATTTCGTTTGAATTGAAACTGATTCACCACCAAATAAACTGATTGATCTGTAAAAATACCAATTTGAGGATATTCCAGAATTTTAATTGTAAGTAAGTCTTTTTCACTCACCAAAACATGTTTTGTCCGATAACTTCTTCAGAATTTCGGTCATCAATCATTATTGCTCTGAAAATTTGGATATTTCTTTCTGAAAAAAATGAAGCAAATCTCACCTCTTTTTTTGGGTGGTAAATAAGAACATGAATCAAAAACTACAACCAATCATAATTTGTGATGAATGTTTCTCCAAAGTTTGTCCGAAAAATTCAAATTCCGGCGAGATTTTTTGAATAGAACGTTGACACGAAAGCCGGAAAATCAATATCATCATTGGAAGGATTTGGCTCTGAAAATTAAAAATTTTTGAATAAAAATTCAAAAATTGGGCATAGCTTCCGCATCTCCGCTCAAATTCCAATTTAAAACTGATAAAATCTACGATTTTTCAAGATTCTCAAAAAGAAAAATCAAGAAAAATCCAATTTTTATCAGTTTCAAACTGAAATTCCAGAGTTTCTATTTATTTTTTTCTCACTCACCAAAATTCAATAATTCCGAAGCCTCTATTCAAATTATCCAGACAATTGGATTGATGAACCAAGTCAAATCGAATCAACTCAAATAACTCCATAATCCCATATCTTTCATCGATTCTGGAAAATTACTGATTGAAAAATAAGAAAAAAAAGTTAGGCAAAATTAGAAAACATTTTTATTTGAATTTGAATGCAGGTTCAAATTTTTGAGAATTTCTGAACCTGATTCAACTCCAAATATATCTGAATAGCATCACAAAAACAGGTCTCAAACTCATGTGGCAGCTCGTAAATAGAAAATTAGCGCCGATGGAAAAAAATAATTCAATTCTTTTGATTTGTTTTCCAACCGCAACGCTCTCACGCAACGTTTTCAACGCCCCAGAAACATCGAAGTATTTTATTCATCAGCGCTAATTTTCTATTTACGAGCTGCCACATTTTTCATCGTTGATAATATCTCAGAAGTTCTCATTTATTTTATGATAATAAATACTTACCGTATAAAAAGAGCCAATTGTTCAATGGAGCGCGAATGCATACTGCCAATCTGGAAAAAAAAAGAATTTTCATAGAAAAAAAGCAAGTTTTCGATTAAAAAAATCAAAAATTGGGCATAGCTTTCGCATCTCCGCTGAAATTTCATTTTGAAACTGATGAAATCTACGATTTTTCAAGATTTTCAATAAAAAATCAAGAGAAATCCTAGTTTTATCAGTTTCATACTGAAATTCCAGAATTTCAATACAAAATTAAATTTCGTGATATTTTTTGTTTACTCACCTTTTTAACTTCCACGTGGATATTCGAAGTTGTCAGAAGTCAAAGCGATCTGGAAAAATAATTATTTTATTTGAAAAAACCTTTTTTGTTGAAAATTTGATTGAAAAAACCCAAGTTTTTCTCTAAAAAATAAAAAATTGGGCATAGCTTCCGCATCTCCGCTGAAATTCCAAAAAATAACTAATAAAAATGGAGAGTTTTCAAGATTTTCTAATCAAAGAATGAAAAATCAAGAAAACTTTGAATTTTATTAGTTTTTTTTATTGGATATTTCAGAATTGCAGGCTATTTTCAATCAATATTGAATTTTTCATATAAAAAACTCACCAAAAATCTGGATTTTGTTTTATTCGAATCTTCGTAAGCACCAAAAATCTTTGCTGACTACCAATCTGAAACAAATAATTGAGTTTTCATTGGAACAATCCCAAGTTTTTGATTAAAAAAAATAGCTTGCAAGGCACTTACATTAAGGTGATAACGGGTTTTGAAATAAAGGCAAGTACAGTCTTATGAAATAAAAAAATTCACAATTTTTACTTGAACTCTTGATAAAATTGTCTTACGCGGTGATCACGATGCCGTCAAAATTAGCTGCTGAGCTCCAGTCTGAGCCGCTCAAATCAGCTCCGAAGTTTGCTCAGAAAATCTTAATTTTCATAAGAAATAAAGTAAGTTTTAGGTAGAATAGAAAAACCATAGGGTTATTTGGGCCGAATTTACGAATATTTATTTTTGTTGAATTGATGTTTGAAGTAGATTTTTGGGACCATCGAAAAGTTGACACCAAAAATATTTGAATCAAAAATTTTCAGGTGAAAAATTGATTTAATTTCCAAAGAAACGTGAATCTTTTTAATTCGAAAATTTCGTAATTTTTAGTATCAAAATTTGCTTTGGAGCTCATTTGCGCGGCTCAGACTGGAGCTCAGCAGCTAATTTTGACGGGATCGTGATCTGCGCACCGAGTTACATAATACTGTACTTGCCTTTTTTAAAAATGAAAAGTTTTTGAATGCAAAATTCAAAAATTGGGCATAGCTTCCGCACCTCCGCTGAAATTCCAATTTGAAATTGATAAAATCCAGTTCTTCATGATTTTTCTGATTTAAAAAAAATCAAGAGAAACTAAATTTTATGAGTTTCAAATTGGAATTCCAGAATTTCAAGTAATTTTTTGGTAACTCACCAAAACTGTTTGTCGATTCGTTGAGGAATGCATGAATCAAGTATTGTTTGTCTGAAAATTTGGATATTTTTTTCTGAAAAAAATAAAGCAAAATCTCACCTCTTTTTGGGTGTTAAAAAATAAGAAAAATGAAATAGAAATCGATAACAATTATAATTTGTTAGTTTGCTCATCACTTTCTGCTCCATCAAAACACATCCAGAAAACTTCGAGGCACGAAGAATTGCGGTCGAGTTTCACTTTTTCAAATTTGAATTTTCAAATCGATGGAAATCACATCCGTAACGTGTTGTTCCATTACTTTGTCTGCAAAAAAAAATTGAAGTTAGGGTAAATTTTGACACTCAAAATGCTCCAAATTCATTGCTCCAAATCCATTTTTTGGGTGGAAATTTGGGTTTTTCATGAAATTTGAGCATTTTTTAGTGAAGAATGAGCAATATTTGGACATTTGGGCGAACTTGGAGAATTTTTGCCTTGATAATTGGTTATTTAAACGTTAAAATTTGAAAGTTTCATATGAGAAATCTCAGAAGTTATTCAAATTTAGGCTCGAAATTTTTGAAGTTTAAAAAAAAATTTTTTAGTTCAAAAGAATTGGACCCCCCAGAACTTCTGTTAGAAATTTTAGTATACAAAATCCCTTTGGGCTTTTTTCATAATCCACCAGGACCTACAAAAGGGGGAATGAGCGATTGCTTCCAGTATAGATACTCCACCGATTTCTGAGTAGGTCAAAAATTAGTTTTTCTAGTTTTTTCAGTCAAAAATGATGACAAATCGAGATTTTTTGAAGCTTCTCGTGTGATATCTGATGGAAATTGACCTTGGAATTCACTTTTCAGAAGGTTTTGCTGATTTTTCATAAAATAAAAAAATTTTTAATTTTGATGAATTTCGAAAAATTAATAAAATGAGGTAAAGTAGGGTTCTCGAAGCTTATTTTCATCAGAAATTACTCCAGAAGCTTCAAAAATATTGATTTGTCATCATTTTTGACTGAAAAACTCGAAAAATTAATTTTGACCTACAATGTTTTTTCGAAATTTTTTGACTTTTCGTGAATTGATCTTTCAATGTTAAAAACTTTTTTGAACATTTTTTTCGTTCTTGAATCAGCCCTTTTCAAAGTTTTTTATTAAAAATTCCAAAATTGGTCATAGCTTCCGCATTTCCGCTCAAATTCCAATTTCAAACTGATAAAATCAATAAATTTTCCTGGTACCCTAGGGTTATTTGGGCCGAATTAAACGTTGCGAATATTTATTTTGTCGAAAATTGGTGTTTGGAGTCAATTTCAAGTAAAAATTCTGAATTTTTCATTTCAAAAACCGTTATCACCCTAATGTAAGTCCCTTGCCAGATTATTTGTTCTACAAAAAATGTTTTCGGAAAATTGGGGTCTAATGATTTGAGATAGTAAAATATACAAAATGAAATTTCGTGATATTTTTTGTTTACTCACCTTTTTAACTGCCACGTGGATATTCGAAGTTGTCAAAAGTCAATGCGATCTGAAAAAATAATTATTGTATTTGAAAAAACCTTTTTTGTTGAAAATTTGTTTGCAAAATTCAAATTATTTGATTAAAAATTTAAAAATTGGGCATAGCTTCCGCATCTCCGCTGAAATTCCAAAAAATAACTAATAAAATGGAGAATTTTCAAGATTTTCTAAGAAAAAAAAAAAGAAAATCAAGAAAACTCTAAATTTTATTACAGGGTGACCCATAATTATTGTCGCGTGAGTGGAACTCGTTCACCTGAGTTCTACATTTTCAAAACGAAATTAGATAAAGTTTGATTTTGATAAATTTAATCTTAAAGGTTATATAATGAAACATTTGTACTCTATTTTGATCATATTACCTCTGCTGGATTATAGTAGCAGCGGTAAAGTAGAGATAGATTTCCAAAAATAATTTTTCAGAAAAAAATTAGTTTTTGGGACTTTAGGTGTAAATTTTATGAGAATGGTGAATACTGACAATGCCCAAAAGTGTTTATATCCTAAATTCGGTCCCTGAAATGGGTTTTTGCACAACACCAAAGCTGGAAATTATCAGAAAAAATAGGGACCTTCATTGTAGAAAGCGCTCAAAATTCATGGTTTTGGGAGTTTTGCTAACTCCATGTCAGATTCGAGCTAGGATTCAGATCCCAAAATACTTTGTTTTAGAGCATAGAATAGGCATGTTCACAAAAAGTTCCACACAAAAACTCATACTCGATCTCAGAATGGATTTTGCTGTTTTTCTTGATTTTTCTCGATTTTTTTTGAAATTTCAGGAAAAGACGCTTGACTTTGGAGCCCTGAAACAAGTGAGAAGCGGTAAACTCTTGCAAGATATGCTACTATATCTTGTTCAGGACATCAAAAAATGTATTAAAACATAATTTCCAAATACATATGTTCAGTCTGATACATTTCTGGAACTTGGAAAGAGAAAAAAAGAGGCTTAAAATCGCAAAATTCAAAGTTTTTGGGGTTGGTGAAGGTGGTGGGTGGGAAAAAAATTGTGTGGTCAGTATAGTTTTGAAAATCTGTCAGTAATCATGTTTTCTAAAATTTCCGACCTTATTGTCCGTTTGGAAATGAGATTCACCCCGCGAAAAAATAAATTTGAATTTGTTGCAGGAGACGCAGACAGCGAGAGAGTGCGCTGGCAAACAGCCAACGGGGTTTTGTATGGGAAAGCGACCGCAACGCACACGCGTCGCGGGGGTAGGGGGAAATTAGAGATTTTCTCAAATTCAAATTTATTTTTTCGCGGGGTGAATCTCATTTCCAAACGGACAATAACATTGTTAAAATTCGAAATCTTGTTCTACCTACAGAGGTTCAAAGTGGCGACAATAATTATGGGTCACCCTGTAGTTTTTTATTGGATATTTCAGAAATTCTCATTTATTTTATGATATGAAAAAAAACTTACGGAATGAATGCAGAACTGTGTTGTAGAAGTTCGATGAAGCGATGTTGGTGAGAGGCATCTGGAAAGAAACATTGAATTTTTCAACAAAAAATCAAAAATTGGGCATAGCTTCCGCATCTCCGCTGAAATTCCAATTTCAAACTGATAAAATCAACCATTTTTCAAGATTTTTCTGCATAAAAAATCTAGAAAAATCCAAGTTTCATCAATTTCAAACAGGATATTTCATAATTTCAGCTAACTCATTTTTCACTCACCCAAAAAAGCTCCCAATTTTTGCTGACAATTGAAGATGACTTCGAAGAAGTTGGGAGAACGATGAAATCTGAAAAAAAATGAAGCTGAATTTGATAGTTTTTATGGATGTTGTTCTTCAAAATTTGAATTGAACTGAAATTTTTGACAACAAAAGATTAGTGTGGGCTTTTTTTGAATTATTGAAGCTAAAGAAACATTGTGCACCAGAAAAATCCAGGAAAAATAGGTTTCAAAGCAAACTAGCAATTTTAGAAGATCAGTAATCTTTTGTTGTAAATAAATAGGCTTAGGCCAACTGATTGTGAATGAAATTATTGAAACTTGAACCAACAGAAAAGTAATCAATTCAGACCATTCAAATTTGGATTAATTTTTCTTCATCCTGATATTTTTCGGAAAGTTGGAATTTTGTTAAAAAAACCAACTAGACTAGAATTTTTCCAAGTTTTGTGAATGAAAATTCAAAAATTGGGCATAGCTTCTAAATTTTATTAGTTTTTATTGGATATTTCAGAAGTTCGATCAAATTTAAATGTTTCATATAAAAAACTCACCAAAAATCTTGTGATATTTTTCCGAATTTTATGCCAGCGAAAACATTTCACGAATCAAATATTCATCATAATTGAATCGGGGTTGAATTTGTTGGTATGTCGGTTGGAGCGCATTTGAACACTGACAATCTGGAACAAAAATTGAGTTTTTTATTGAAACAATCCCATGTGTTTGAATAAAAATTCAAAAATTGGGCATAGCTTCCGCATCTTCGCCGAAATTCTAATTTCAAACTGATAAAATCCTAGATTTTTCAAGATTTTCGAAAAAAAAATCAAGAAAAATAGAAGTTTTATCAGCTTCAAACAGGATATTTCAGATGTTCAATTTGTTTTTTTTTGTCACTCACCAAAACATTTTTCGTCCCATAACTTTTACATAATTTGGAGAATCGACCAAAATTCACCATGAATCATTAAAATTCTGAAAATTTGAATTCGTTTTTTTCTGAAAAAAATAAAGAAAAAATCTCACCTCTTTTTTGGGTGTTGAAATATAAAAAATAAAATGGAAATTGATAACAATTATAATTTGTGCTCGAATATTTTTCATAATTTGATGAATTCCAAGTGACTTCATTGTTTTCAGATGAATTATTGGCAGACAGTCAATCGATTTGACAATTTTGATTGGTCTGAAAATTCAATTGAAAGTTTTTAGAGTTGCAAAAATTTCAAGTTTTTCTCTAAAAATTCAAAAATTGGGCATAGCTTCCGCATCTCCGCTCAAATTCCAATTTGAAACTGATAAAATCAACAGATTTTCAAGATTTTTCTGCAACAAAAAATCGAGAAAAATAGAAGTTTTATCAGCTTCAAACAGGATATTTCAGATGTTCAATTTGTTTTTTTTCACTCACCAAAATTCAAAAAGTCGAATCAAATAACTTCTCCAGAATTTTCGACATAGAATGTTGAGAATCGAAAACCCCTCTTTTTCCGTTCAGAGCCAAAAACCATAAATCATTATAATTCTGAAAATTTGAATTTTTTTTTTCTGAAAAAATAAAGCAAAAATCTCACCTCTTTTTTGGGTGTTAAAACATAACAATAACACAATGGAAATTGATAACAATTATATTTTTCTAGTTTGCTCATCTCTTACATCTCCATCAAAATACATCCAGAGAATTTCCAGGCACGAAAAAAGAATTCACTTTTGAATTTTGAATTTTCAAATTTGCCAGAGTTTCGTCGATGAAAATCACATCCGAAAAGTGTTGTTCCATAATTTTGTCTGGAAAAATTGGAGTTAGGATACATTTTGACAAGTGGCATGAATTTTTGGCACTAAACTTCAATTTTTCATATCTAGGCTCAAAATGCTCCAAATTCATTTTTGGGTGGAAATGTGGGATTTGCATAAAATTTGGAGCATTTTGAGTATAGAATGAGCAATCTTAAATTTTCTTCAAATTTGGGCCTAAAATGCTCCAAATCTCATTAAAAATTGATTTTTCAGGTTAAATTTGAAAATTTCACGAAATTTGAAACGTTTTGAGCCTAAATATGAGTAATTTTAGGTTTTCTTCAAATTTTCAGGCTCAAAACGTTCTATATTTCATGAGAATTGCTCATATTATACCCGAAATGATTTTTAAAAATTCGAAGTTTTCCATTGAAAATTCAAAAATCGGGCATAGCTTCCGCATCTCAGCTGAAATTCCAATTTCAAACTGATAAAATCTACGATTTTTCAAGATTTTCAAAAAAAAATCGAGAAAAATTGAAGTTTTATCAGTTTCAAAATGCAATTTCAGAAATTTCAATTTAAATTTTTTCGGGCCGAAACAATGAATAACATTTCGTGATCGGAATAGATTCTTACCTGATTATTGGATCTCAAACCACCACATTTTATCATATTCATAGAAGTTGCTGATTGTTGTTGTTCAATTGATAACTTCACAAAATATACAGAACAATTCGAAATTCTTCGAATATCCGACGTTTTTGGTAGAAATTGCTCCAATTCGAACACTTCTTTTATTTTTCTGGAAATGAAATTCAATGATTATATAGGTCATGTTTAAAAATCCCAAGTTTTTTCTCTAAAAATTCAAAAATTGGGCATAGCTTCCGCATCTCCGCTGAAATTCCAAAAAATAAATAATAAAATGGAGAATTTTCAAGATTTTCTAATCAAAAAAATCAAGAAAATTCTAAATTTTATTAGTTTTTTATTGGATATTTCAGAATTCAATGAAAAATTGAGAGATTTAGAGAGAAAAATCAGTTGATCTACCAAAAAAATGTGAAAATTTGGGGGTTTAATGATTTGAGAGAGTAAAATGCTTCCGCATTTCCGCTGAAATTCCAATTTGGAACTGATAAAATCAACAATTTTTCGAGATTCTCAAAAAGAAAATCAAGAAAAATCAAAGTTTTATCAATTTCAAACTGCAATTTCAGAACTTCAAATGTATTTTTTTCACTCACCAAAACATGTTTCGTCCAATAATTTTTACAGATTTTCGAGAATCGGCCAAACATACACCATGAATCATAATATTTCTGAAAATTTGGATATTTTTTTCTGAAAAAACAAAGCAAAAATCTCACCTCTTTTTTGGGTGTTAAAACATAAGAAAAATGAAATGGAAATCGATAACAATTATAATTTTTTAGTTTGCTCATCCCATTCTGCTGAATCAAAACACATCCAGAAAAGTTCGAGGCACGAAGAATTGCGGTCGAGTTTCACTTTTGAAATTTGAATTTTCAAATCGATGGAAATCACATCCGTAACGTGTTGTTCCATGATTTTGTCTGCAAAAAAATTGAAGTTAGGGTAAATTTTGACACTCAAAATGCTCCAAATTCATTGCTCCAAATTCATTTTTGGGTAGAAATTTGGGTTTTTCATGAAATTTGAGCATTTTTAGTGAAGAATGAGCAATATTTGGACATTTGGGCGAACTTGGAGAATTTTTGCCTCGATAATTGGTTATTTAAACGATAAGATTTGAAATTTTCATGAATCTCTTAGTTCAAATATGAGAAATCTCAGAAGTTATTCAAATTTAGGCTCGAAATTTTTGAAGTTTAAATTTTGAAGTTTAAACGAATTTTTGAATTTTTGAAGTTTAGAAAAAAATTTTTAGTCCAAAAGAATTGGACCCCCTAGAACTTCTGTTAGAAATTTTAGTATACAAAATCCCTTTGGGCTTTTTCATAACCCACCAGGACCTACAAAAAGGGGGAACGAGCGATTGCTTCCAGTATAGATACTCCACCGATTTCTGAGTAGATCAAAATTTGTTTTTCGAGTTTTTTCAGTCAAAAATGATGACAAATCGAGATTTTTGAAGCTTCTCATGTGATATCTGATGGAAATTTACCTTGGACTTCACTTTTCAGAAGGTTTCGCTGATTTTTCGTAAAATAAAAAATTTTTAATTTTGATGAATTTCGAAAAATTAATAAAATGAGGTAAAATAGGGTTCTCGAAGCTTATTTTCATCAGAAATTACTCCAGAAGCTTCAAAAATATCGATTTGTCATCATTTTTGACTGAAAAACTCGAAAAATTAATTTTGACCTACAATGATTTTTTCGACATTTCGTGAATTGATCTTTCAATGTTAAAAATTTTTTTGAACATTTTTTCGTTCTTGAATCAGCCCTTTTCAAAGTTTTTGATTAAAAAATCAAAAATTGGGCATAGCTTCCGCATCTCCGCTGAAATTCCAATTTCAAAATGATAAAATCAACCATTTTTCAAGATTTTCCAAAAAAAAAATCAAGAAAAATCAAAGTTTCATCAGTTTCAAATTGAAATGAAAATTGGCAATCGGTGAGAGTGAGAGAGACACAGACATTTTCACGTGAACCACTCTTTTTTTCATTGCAAAAAAAAAAGATGAAAATTATTTTTAATAAAAACGTGAACTACATGGCAGTCGGTCTTTTTTGAGTCGTAGAATTGTCTGCGTCTCCACCGATTCCTTTTTGACATGTTGTTAAATATCATTTTCTAATTTTTGATCAAATTTTTACCTAATTATTGGAATTCGAATCATCATATATTTTCACATCCAAATGAAATTTGCGCGTTCGATCGATAAATTCAGAGAAACACATTAGATAAGCAAAATACAAAGTTCTTTGAATATTTCAAGGTTTTTGGCACAAGTTGTTCAATTCGAACACTTCTTTAATTTTTCTGAAATGAAATTCAAGGTCACGTTGAAAAATTCAAAGTTTTTCATTAAAAAAATTCAAAAATTGGGCATAGCTTCCGCATCTCCGCTGAAATTTCAATTTGTAACTGATAAAATCTACGATTTTTCAAGATGTTCACAAAGAAAATCAGGAAAAACAAAAGTTTTATCAGTTCCAAACAGGATATTTCAGAATTTCAATTTATTTTTCTTACTCACCAAAATTCAATAATTCCGAAGCCTCTTTTCAAATCATCCAGACAATTGCATTGATGAACCAAGTCGAATTAAATCAACTCAAACAACTAAAAAATGAAGGATTTTCAAGATTTTCTAATAAAAAAAAGAAAAATCAAGAAAATTCTAAATTTTATTAGTTTTTCCATGGATATTTCAGAATTTCAAGCTATTTTCAATTAAATGTCAATTTTTCCTATAAAAAACTCACCAAAAAATGTCCAGATTCTGTTTGAATCGAAACCAAATAAGTTGTCAGAAGTCAAAGCGATCTGAAAATTGTAAAGGTATTGAAAATACCGTAATCCTAAAAACGTTTTATCTCACATTGAACTTCGTTCATCCGGTTTGTAACAAACAAAATTGTTTCTTTTCTATGTTGAACTTTTTAATATAAAATAATGTGGCCTCGATTTAATATCGAGAGGCACCGTTTCGATCTAACTAAACTATAAAAGCCGCCAGAAAGATTGATCTAGGTCGGGGAATTTATGTCCGAAGAACCAGGGAGGTTCTGAACCTGGTTGGAACTACCAACTAGGGTCCCATTCCTAAATATTTTTACCAATCATTTATTAAATATTAAGTTTTCATTTGAAACAATCCCATTTTTTGTTGAAAATTTGTTTGAAAAATTCGATAGTTTTTGAAAAAAATTTCATACTGATAAAATCTACGATTTTTCAAGATTCTCAAAAAGAAAATCAAGAAAAATATCGTAGTTTTATGAGTTTCAAATTGCATATTCCAGAAGTTCATTTTGAAATTTTGTCACTCACCAAAACATTTTTCGTCCCATAATTTTTACATAATTTGGAGAATCGACCAAAATTCACCATGAATTATTAAAATTCTGAAAATTTTAATTCGTTTTTTTTCTGCAAAAAAACAACAAACAAAACCTCACCTCTTTTTTGGGTGTTGAAATATAAAATAAAATGGAAATTGATAACAATTATAATTTTTGCTCGAATATTTTTCATAATTTGATGAATTCCAAGTGACTTCATTGTTCTCAGATGAATTATTGGCAGACAGTCCATCGATTTGACAATTTTGATTGGTCTGAAAATTCAATTGAAAGTTTTTAGAGTTGCAAAAAATTTCAAGTTTCTGATTTAAAATGCGAAAATTGGGCATAGCTTCCGCATCTCCGCTGAAATTCCAAAAAATAACTAATAAAATTGAGAATTTTCAAGATTTTCTAATAAAAAAAAAATCAAGAAAATTCTAAATTTTATTAGTTTTTTATTGGATATTTCAGAAATTCTCATTTATTTTATAATATGAAAAAACTTACCGGATTATAATTTGTGCCGAACTGTGCCATAGAAGTTCGATGACGCGATGTTGAGAAATCTAAATTTTATGAGTTTCAAATTGAAAGTTCAGAATTTCAAATAATTTTTTGATAACTCACCAAAACTGTTTGTGGATCCGTTGAGAATTGCATTAATGGAATACTCTCTTGTCAGAAGTCAAAGTGATCCGAAAAATCCAAATTAGATTTTTGAATAGAACGTTGACAAAAAGCCGGAAAATTTTTTGGAAAATTTGATTGAAAAAACCCAAAGTTTTTGAATAGAAATTCAAAAATTGGGCATAGCTTCCGCATCTCCGCTGAAATTCCAATTTGGAACTGATAAAATCAACCATTTTTCAAGATTTTCCAAAAAAAAATCAAGAAAAATCAAAGTTTCATCAGTTTCAAATTGAAATTTCAGAAATTCAATTCACTTTTTTGAAGCCAAAACTATAAATGACAACATGTCAGTCCAATGAAAATTGGCAATCGGTGAGAGTGAGAGAGACACAGACATTTTCACGTGAACCACTCTTTTTTTCATTGCAAAAAAAAAGATGAAAATTATTTTTAATAAAAACGTGAACTACGTGGCAGTGGTTCTCTCCCTGAATCAGAGAATTTCTCTGCGTCTCCATCTCTCTCACCGATTCCTCTTTGACATGTTGTTAAATATCATTTTCTAATTTTAGATCAAATTTTTACCTAATTATTGGAATTCGAATCATCATATATTCCCACATCCAATTTTGTTGAGAAATTTGTTGTTCGATCGATAATTCCGGAAAAACACATTCGATAACCAGAATACGAAGTTGTTCGAATATTCTCAAGGGTTTGGCACAAGTTGCTCCAATTCGAAAATTTCTTTAATTTTCTGGAAAGAAATTCAATGATTATGTATTTTTAATCAAATTTCAATTTTTCATATAAAAAACTCACAGAAATCTTGTGATAATTTCACGAATCAAATACTCAACATATAAGAATCGGGGTTGAATTTGTTGGATGCCGGTTGGAGCGCATTTGAACACTGACAATCTGGAACAAAAAAATTGGGTTTTTATCGGAACAATTTTCTCTAAAAATTCAAAAATTGGGCATAGCTTCCGCATCTCCGCTGAAATTCCAATTTAACTGATAAAAACAACGATTTTTCAAGATTTTTCAGCAACAAAAAATCGAGAAAATTCTAAATTTTATTAGTTTTTCCCTGGATATTTCAGAATTTCAAGCTATTTTTAATCAAATTAAAAATTTTTCATTTAATAAACTCACCAAAAAAATGTCCAGATTCTGTTTGAATTGAAACTGTATCACCACCAAAATGAATTGATTGATCTGTAAAAATACCAATTTGAAATTTCAAATTTTTTCAAGAAATTATTATATTTTGAAGGGAAATTAAACGATTTTCAAACTGAATAATCGAGAAAATTCTGAATTTTATCAGTTTCGATATGAAATTCCAGAATTCACAACGTGTACTCACCATTAACTGCCACGTGGATATTTGAACTTGTCAGAAGTCGAAGCGATCTGAAAAATAATTATTTTATTTGAAAAACCCTTTTTTGTTGAAAATTTGATTGAAAAATTCAAAGTTTTTGATTAAAAAATCAAAAATTGGGCATAGCTTCCGCATCTCCGCTGAAATTCCAATTTCAAACTGATAAAATCTACGATTTTTCAAGATTTTCGATAAAAAAAATCGAGAAAAATCCACACCTCGGCCAAAATCGTGGTTTCCAAAATGAAAAATTGTACCCTAACTTTTTACAGTATGAAAACTCTGAATTTTTGAGATTTTGAGCTCTAAAAAATGTGAAGTTGTCAGTTTTTGACCTCTAAAAACTGATATTCAGATTTTTTTCAAAATTGTACTCTGGACAGCCACGGATTGGCCGAGGTGTGGAAAAATCCTAGTTTTATCAGCTTCAAACTGAAATTCCAGAATTTCAATTAATTTTTTTGTCACTCACCAAAAAAGTTGAATCAATTTCCAAAATCGTCCATCCAAAATCCACGTCTTTTCTCGAATTGCTGCAAATAAATAAATTCAATCAAGTTTTCATCAAGCTTAGTACTATTTTTAAAGTTCTCCATAAAATTTCAACCCAAAATTTTCCTTTTCAAAACACCGTGCCAACCCAAAAATCATTGATGGAAATGTGCAAAACCCGTGATAACTGTTACTTTCCTACAGCTTTCGGTTATCCAAAAGGATTCTTTGACAAATCCCTACTCAAAATCATCGAAATGAAATTTGAATAGTTGCGGGTTTCAAGCAACTGGTAAACGTACTTGCTCAGAAAGTAACCCACATTTTCCACTTCAGAAATTCGGGCGCGGTTACGGGTTTTTTTGAATTCCAAAATTGTAATTTTTTTGAGAAGTGTGGGATAAACCCTTAAAAATCCCTCCTTAAACTTATCTTCTTCAAACTCCACAAACTTTGAGCAACTTTATCATCATTAATTGTGTCGAAAACCTGAAAATTGTAAATTTTAAGAATAGAAAATGAAAAAAAAACATGTTTTTTCTCACATCAAAAAAATCAATACACAAAAAAATGGTCAAAAATTTGCGGTAGGTCAAAGTTAGTTTTTTCACTCAAAAATGATCAAAATCAGCACAAATTTCTGAAAACTGGATTTCAAGATCAAATTTTCATTAGAAATCATATCAGAAGCTTGATTTGTCATCATTTCTGAATGAAAAACTTTGAAAAAAAACTAATTTTGATCTAGAATGTTTTTCGGTATATTTTTGGTCATTTTTTAAGTAATTTCCATTATTTTTGGATGATCTACACTAATTCTGACTCAGTTTTTATTGCAATCAAACTCACATCACTCGAAATCCAACCATTTTTTTCGAATTCATAAAATTTGAAATGATTCATTTTTGTTGGATTTTTCACGTAAACGTGCCAACAAATTATTAAATGTCACGATTTTTATTTTTTTTTAGGTCAAGCTCAAAAAATTGAATTTTTTTTGTAAAAAATTTGAATCAAAGGTTTCTAATCTACAGTACCTGGGTCTTTAATCTACAGTAGTCGGATCGCTAAAATACAGTACCTATGTTGCTAATATACAGTATGCTTGATAATGGGTAGGGGCATTTTCCATGGTGAGTGTGTAATAAAAAAGATGGGTGCGTAAAACATTCAAGTACCGTATTTTGGTCACCCTGGGAGAAAGAAAACTCACAAATAGATAATTTCTGCCATTTTTGGTTATACCATAAGAGGAAAATAATCTGATTGTGAGAGATAAATTGGGAATTTTAAATTAGATCACGTTGTTTTTTTCGCAAAAAATTGAAGTTTTTAAATGAAAATTCAAAAATTGGGCATAGCTTCCGCATCTCCGCTGAAATTCCAAAAAATAACTAATAAAATAAAGAGTTTTCAAGATTTTTTAATCAAAGAATGAAAAATCAAGAAAATTCTAAATTTTATTAGTTTTTTATTGGATATTTCAGAATTTCAAGCTATTTTTTTTTAGTTTTCCAAAAAAATTCAAAAATTGAACACACAAAATGCTCCAAATTCATTTTTGGGTGGAAATTTGGGATTTTTATGAAATTTGATCATTTTGAGTACTGAATAAGCAATATTTTGATTTTGTTTTCAAATTTAGGCTCAAAACCCTCCAAATTTTCACAAAAATTGCTCATATCATACTCAAAATGCTTCAAATCCCATCCCGAATTCAAAAATCTCTTCGAACATCAAAATTTGCAGCTATACTTCTAGTTTCAATTTTTCGAGATCAAAATTAATTTTTGGTTAATAAATTCGAGTTTTAGAGAATTTCGGTAACATTTTTAGAGCTACAGGACTTCTATAATTCCTGAATTTCAGGTTAAAAAACAAGAAAAATTTCCCATTTTCAACTTGAGAAAATCAATTTTCCACCCAAAACCTCCCCAAAATCCGAACCTTAACCCGATGTTCCATCATAGACATTTCAATAATATTTCCATCCTTCATATGTCTCTCAACACGATAACCTGGTTGTAAATGCAAATCGGCGGCTTTTGGATGATATCTCAAATCAACGTGAGCTCCATTTTCTCGAATTGGCTCCCGGATATTGATTAACTCCGCGATTTACCAATTCTTGCAGTGACAATTTCGGGAAATTTCAGATTTTGTGCAATTGAAGATTTGGATCAGCTGCAAAAATTCAAGATTTTTTTGAATCTAGAGCTTCTGAAGCATCTTTCTAGGCTCAAAAATCACTAAAAATCCCAATTTTCCAGTCAAAGATCTGATTTTTTGCATGTCCCGAGGAGAAAAGGAACCATTTTCTATTAGTTTCAAAAACAGTACATTTCGGTATTTCGACCATCATTTCCCATCGATTTCCAATATAAAATTGATCTTCTGATACCAAAGTTGCTTGTTCTTTTGAATTTACCCAGGTTTCCATGATTTTTCCAATAAATTCCACATCTTGAATGATTATTGATCGAAAGTAGAACAAATTGAGCAATTTTATCATCATTATTTGTTGTTTCGAAAACCTGAAAAATGTAAATTTTTAAGAATAGAAAATGAAAAAAAACATGTTTTTTTTTTCTCACATCAAAAAATCAATACACAAAAAAATGGTCAAAAATTATCGGGGTAGGTCAAAATTAGTTTTTTTTCACTCAAAAATGATGACAAATCGAATTGTATCAGAACCTAATTTCTGAAAACTGGATTCCAAGATCAAACACAGCAAATTTTTTTCTACGTGACCTCAAATAAAAAAATCATTGCAGAAAGTGTTTTGCACGCGGCACACACATCTGGGCGGAGCCTAATAAAATCCTGTTTTTACACGTTTTTTGAGGATTTGAACCCGAATTTCAGGGAAAGGTTGATTTTTCACTATCAGAATTGAGCAAAGAAGGGTTGAGGGAGGTCTAGAAGACAGAAAATTGCTTATAAATCTTCTAATTCCGCTCAATATGACGTTTCTCCATATTTTTCTCGATTTTCCCAGAAAAAACAAGAAACTTTTGATTCAAAAAACTACTACTACTTGAAAAATTATCAACTACTTCTAAAAATTTAGTTTGAGCATGTTTCCTTCGCTTTCGGCTTCAAAAACACATTTTTTGTGAAAAAAACACAGAAAAAAGAAATTTTTTTTGCGAAAATACTGTAGCGACACGTGAAATTGTGCAATGAGTAAATGCGTAGTGAAAAATTTGCTGTGTCAAAGTTTCATTAGAAATCACATTAGAAGCTTTGAAATCCTCGATTTGTCATCATTTTTGAATGAAAAAACTTTTCTCGCCATATTTTGTTCTGAAAACAAATTGTTCACCCTGGGAGAAAGAAAACTCACAAATAGATAATTTCTGTCATTTTTAGTTATAGAATAAGAGGAAAATAATCTGATTGTGAGAGATAAATTGGAAATTTAAAATTAGGTCACGTTTTTTTCGCAAAAAATTAAAGTTTTTGAATAAAAATTCATTTTTCGTGGAAATTTAGAATTATTATTTTTTAATGCCAGAAAAAAATATAAATTCTTCTGAAAATTAAATTCAATAATTATACAGTACCCTTAAATTTTTGGGCCAAAATTCGAAATTTTCACCAAACCTATAAATGTTAGGTATCAAAAAACTCAAAATCCCCTGAAAAATTCAAATTTTCGCGCCAAAAATCGTCTACAGTATTCAACGTGGGGAATATACATATTTCACAACTCACCATTTTAACTGCCACATGGATATTGGAAGTTGTCAGAAGTCAAAGCGATCTGAAAAATATTTATTTTATTTGAAAAACCCTTTTTTGTTGAAAATTTGTTTGCAAAATTCAAAGTTTTTCATTAAAAATTCAAAAATTGGGTATAGCTTCCTCTCCGCTGAAATTCCAATTTCAAACTGATAAAATCTACGATTTTTCAAGATTCTCAGAAAAGAAAATCAAGAAAAAACAAAGTTTTATCAGCTTCAAACTGGATATTTCAGAATTTCAGCTAACTCAATTTTCACTCACCAAAAAGCTTCCGATTTTTCGCTGACAATTGAAGTTGAAATCGAAGAAGTTGGAAGAACGATGAAATCTGAAAAAAAACGAAGCTAAATTTGATAGTTTTTATGGATGTTGTTCTTCAAAATTTGAATTGAACTGAAATTTTTGACAACAAAAGATTACTGTGGGTTTTTTTTAGAACTTTTGAAGATCAGTACTCTTTTCTTGTAAATAGGAAAACTTGAACCAACAGAACAGTAAATTCAGACCATTCAAAGTTTGGATTTTTTTTCGTCCTCATACTTTTTGAAAAAAAAACCAACTAGCCTAATATTCATAAACTTTTCGATTTAATTTATCATTTTCCGAATCAAGAAAATGCTCCAAAATTATCTCCAAATTCATTTTTGGGTGGAAAATTGGGTTTTTGAGCCTACATATGAGCAATCTTAGATATTTTTTTCAAATTTAGGCTCAAAACGCTCCAAATTTCACAACAATTGCTCATATTATACTCAAAATGCTCCAAATCCCATCCCGAATTCAAAAATCCCTTCGAACCTTATCATATCTCCACTTAAATCTCAGCAAAATTGCATTTCCGCCTCCTTTTCCAGTTTTTCGATTCACATAGTTTCACGGTCCTTTTGAATAAAGTGTATTTGCAGACTCTGGAACAAAAAATTCAGTTTTCATCGAAAAAATCCCAAGTTTTTCACTGAAAAATCAAAAATTGTGCATAGCTTCCGCATCTCCGCTGAAATTCCATTTTCAAACTGATAAAATCCAGTTTTTCATGATTTTTCTGAGTAAAAAAATCAAGAGAAACTAAATTTTATCAGTTTCAAACTGGATATGTCAGAAATTCAATTCAATTTTTTGGGGCCAAATTTTCTCACCTGATTTTTGTAGAATCACACATTCGATTTCCAAGCGAAGAGTAGAATAACCCCATTTTTGTTGAGCCATCGAATCCAATCAGAATTTGAAGCTCTTCGAATATCCCAAGTTTTTTGGGCACAAGTTGCTCCAATTCGAACACATATCTAGTGCAAAATGGTGCTCTTGGTGTCCAAAAATCCATCACCAAAACATAAAGAGTGCAAAGTGAACATAAAACATAAAAACATATAAATACCTTCAAAAAATCCGGAAAAATTGAAGAAAAAACTCTGAAATTATAAAATTAATGAAAAAATAAAAAAGATATTTTAAAAGTTTTTGAAACTTTTGAATAAAAAAACGCAAAATTCAAGTTTTCTATTATAACTTTAATAATAGAAAAAAACACAAAAATAAAGCGAACGAAAAATACAAGAAAAAAGGGGAAGGGAGGCTGAAATTCCAGACAGAAAACTCGAAAAAACACACTAAAAAACCCCCAGTTTCGCCTGATTTCCACCTCAAATAATATTGCAAAAATCACCGGGAATTTTGAAAAGTTTATGGGATTTCACTAGTTTTTGGAAATTCGAAAAGTTTCGTCATCCCCTGGGGAAAAATCGATGAAATTCTTCCCAAATTTCAGAGCCCCCGGGGGAAATTAAAGTGACCAAGTTATGAGAAATCAAATTGGTTTTGAGATAATTTATAGGTGAATTTGAGGAGGTCTTGGTGGATTTAGTTTGGAATTTTTTATCTTTCAGATTTGTGAGATCATCTGAAATGGAGAAACCTAAGTGTTCGGGTAGCTATCAAAAATCTCATTTTTTCCGAAAAAAAATTTAAAAAACCTGCTCCAAGGGTGCAAGGGAGACGCGGGACAAAAAAGGACACGACAAGGACAAAAACGGGACAAAAACTGGACAAGGAGCAAGTTTTCTTGATGATTTTTTTCTAGATGTTTCTTCTACCCAAACACAAACTTACCTGCCTTAGAACTTACCCTAACTCACAAGATCTTACTCCCTAAAGTCATCCCAGACCAAATACACCTCCCCCTCTCCCAAATGCCCCTACAAATTCTTCCGCCGCCCATTCAATTTCCCACTCCCAAATCCCCCCAAAAATCCCCCAGAAACCCAAAAATCCGGGAAAAACCCCATCAATTTTCACCCAGCTTTTGACTAGACCCTTAGAATTCCCAACTTGAAAAGTGAAAAAGCCCATTTTTTAACCTCTCAAAAATCCCGGGTAATTTTCGCGCCAAAATTCAAAGTGGAAATCATTTGAAAGTCTGGGGATTGTGAAGAAAAACGAATTTTGAATTCGATTTTCTACCCAAATTTTCAGCCAAAAAATGAAGGGGGAAACATGAAAAAATTGAACATACAGAAAAAAATTAACCTACAGAATCCCATTTTTTTTGAAGACGACGAAATATATTTTTGTAGAAGTAGATCTTCTGAAAAAAATTTAATTTTAAGATGAAAATTGATATTTTTGTCAACTTACGTTTAGAAAGAAGATGTAGATCAGTTGATAATGAAAAAAATAGAATTGACAGCAGGAAATCTGAAAAAATAGTTTAATTTTTGGTGAAGGCAGAAAAATTTCAACTCAAAACTTACATTCACATGAAACTATTTAGCAGACGAGTTCTTGAATCTCTTCAGAAGGACTCAGATGATTTTGTGATCTTCTCACATCAAACATCGAGCATCTTTGTGGGGAGAATTTTGGAACTTCGAAATTCACTTCCCCGTCCTGAAGTTGTTCGCAACACTTCATTGTGATTCCTGAAATATTTGTTTGATTTTTCAACTCAAAAAAAATAATGAAAAAAAGAACTTACCTTGAAATTCCCGGTTTTTGAGCAAAATTTGAGAGTTAAACTCTTGGAGGCAGCTTTTGAAGCTGAGTTACATCTGAAAATTGCAAAAATTAATTCATCTTCTAAAAATCATTGAAAAAACTCACGATTTTTTGCAATTTTCTGGATAGGACATCGGATTACTGTATTTTGTTCATCTTCCGTCCGCACTGTTGAAAATTCCAAAATGATCAAAAACTTCAGGAGTTGAATTTCAGCTCACATAAAAAATCGAGGTGGAACTTCAAAAATTGCTGCCGTTAGAGAAACACAATGATCCTCTTATAAATCGTCAATCGATTCGGAATCGGGCAATTTTGGAAGGTCCTGAAGTTGTTCGCAACACTTCATTCGAATAATTCCTGAAAATGTTTTTGATTTTTCAACTCAAAAAAATTAAGGAAAAAAGAACTTACCTTGAAATTCCCGGTTTTTTGTGCAAAATTAAAGAGTTAAACTCTTGGAGACAGCTTTTGAAGCTGAGTTATATCTGAAAAATTGCAAAAATTAATTCATCATTCAAAAATATTCGAAGAAAACTCACGATATTTTGCGATTTCCATGATAGGACATCGGATTACTGTATTTCATTCATCCTTTATCCGCAAATTTGAAAATTCCAAAATATTTTTTGAACTTCAGAACAATTTCAGATTCAGAATTTGGACTTTACAGCGAATCCACGTGGTTGGAATTTCGCCAAAAATCAATCGATTTTCGGAAGCTGCAAAAAAACATTTTTGAATTTTTTTTGTAGGTCAAAATTTTCATCGAAAATTCGCTTTGAGAAATGTGTCTTTTGTAGGTCAAAATTTAGAATTACTGTAGTTCAAATGTGTTATTTTTCTTCTTGGAAAAACTGACTTACCTTAAATATACTGGTTGTTGAGCAGAATTTGAGAGTTGAACTCTTGGAGACAGCTTTTGAAGCTGAGTTACATCTGAAAAATTGCAAAAATTAATTCATCATTCAAAAATCTTCAAAGAAAACTCACGTTATTTCGCAATTCTCATGATAGGACATTGGATTACTGTATTTTATTCATCTTCTGTCCGCACTGTTGAAAATTCCAAGACTTCGAGAGCTTCTTCAGACAAGCAATAATTGTTGGAACCGCAAGAGCTGCAGTCTCTTGCGGTTCCACATGGGGATGAGGTCCATGGTTTGCTTGATTCCTGAAAATTTGTCTGATTTTTCAAATGCAAAAAATAATTTCAATATGAACTTACCTTAAATTTCCTGGAGAATAGAATCCTTGCCCAAAGATCGAGCCAATTCGAATATCACAATCTGACTTTTCGAATCGATATCCACGTGGGGATGACGTCCACGTGGATTTCCATCTCTCTCCAAAATATTGGAAGAATTGTCGGGGTGTCAAGTCCCGACTCGATTTTCGACCCTGACTTCCACTAGCATGTTCTGTTTGGGGTATTAGGTCCCAAACGTGGATTTCCAAGATTCCGGGGGATTAGGTCCCGATTCCTTCCTTCCACCAAATCCAAAGCCAGCAGCTTCTGAAAATTCCAAAAAAATTGAATAAATATGTATTACTGTAGTGCGCAACGGTGTTTGCACACTTTTTGAATTTTCGAAAAAAAAGGAGAAAAAACTCACCTTAAAATTGGATTTTCGCTTCTAATTTGGGGTATTACTTCCCAAATTTTTGATCAATTCATCAAAATCAACCAAATTTCCATATCAAAATACTTTCGAATCGGAAAAAATATCGGAAACCAGACTAAATTCTCGATTCATAGATGTTTGGGGTCATAAATCAAGATCTGACTTCAAATATCGATCTTCTTTTCGAACCAATCTTCCACTGGTCCAAATCAGTGCAGGATTTTTCTGGATTTCGAGCGATTTTTGACAACTTGTGAAGCTATTATCATCTGATTGTGAGCCAAAAAACCAGCAAATATCGAATCTCGACCATTTTCGGGGTATAAATTCCCATCTCCAAAATTTGTGTCGGAACTTCTTATCGACAAAGGCATTTTCTCGATCGATTTTTTCCTATCCAGGTGGGGCTGAGGTCCACGTGGATTTCCAGGATTCCATTTGAATCGGGGGATTAGGTCCCGATTCCTTCCACCAAATCCAAAGCCAGCAGCTTCTGAAAATTCCAAAAAAATTAATAAATATGTATTACTGTAGCGCGCAACGGTGTTTGCACACTTTTTGAATTTTCGAAAAAATGGAGAAAAAACTCACCTTCAAATTGGATTTTCACTTCTAATTTGGGGTATTACTTCCCAAATTTTCATCAAAATCAATCAAATTTCCATATCCAAATACTTTCGAATCGGAAACAATATCGGAAACCAGACTAAATTCTCGATTCATAGATGTTTAACACAGCAAAGATCTGACTTCAAATATCGATCTTCTTTTCGAACCAAACTTCCATTGGTCAAATTCAAAAAATTTGCTGGGTTTCGAGCAATTTCTGACAGCTGAGCCAAAGAACCAGCAAATATCGAAACTCGATCATCACGATCATGCTCATTTTTCGTTCGATGTCGAATAAATCAGGACAATTTCATTTTGGGGTATCAATTCCTATCGATTTTTCATTGGGCCAATGTGATTTCATCTCCAAAATCTGTGTCGACAAGGCATTTTCATTCAGTTTGGGGTCATAACTCCCATCTGAATTCTCAAAATCGATTTTTTCCTATCCAGAATCTTCCAACAATTTCGGTATCAATTAGCGATTCCTTCCACCAATCACGAAACCAGTGGGCTTCTGAAAATTCCAAAAAAAATCAATAAATAAATATTACTGTAGCGCGCAACGGTGTTTGCACACTTTTTGAATTTTCGAAGGGGAACATCGATAGCACTCACCTTCTTCTTCAAATTTCCAATTGCACGTCGACAATTTCCATACGAGCCAAATCAAAAACCAAAAATCGATCGATTCAATCTTGAATTCGGCATTTTCTTCAGCTCCTCGCTTTTTTTTCGAAATATGCCGGAGTCAATAGCATATTACGTTTCGATCCTTTCAGGTCAATTGACCATATTCATGACGTATCGCAATTGGCAATTTTGCACGTCCCAATTTATTGCTTCACATCCCAGAAAAATCGATAATTCTAATTAATGACCAGTTAAATGGAACATCAATTTTCGGGCTTTGATCCGCTTCTTTCCATTAAAACACTCATTTGATCAATAAATTGCCATCCAAAACAACTGCTTCACAATGAGAAATTGAATTCGAATCCAAAATCCCAAGATCCACATGTTGAATTTGGTTTCGTCGTTTCTACGAATGGAGGTACGCCCATTATTTTGTTGCAAAAATCCACAATATCAGCATTTCCGGCTCCAAAAAAAAATAATGGGCAAAGTGATAAATGTGGCATGCAGTTTTCGTCGTTTTGGCGGAGAACGCCCGGTTTTTTATGGTGTTCCTTGATAACCGAATCGACACAATTTGCAAAATCCAGCTTTTTGTTATCAGCCATCAAATTTCCATAATATCGAGACCACAGCAATTTGTCAATTTGAAAAACCACAAAATGTTCAACATCGATCATTGATAATATCCAAATTTCTCGAAATTTTTGGGATTTTCGATCTGAAAAAACAACTATTTTTGATTTTGAAAAGCTTTTAGTTTTGAAAATTTCAAAATAAAACTCACTCAAATTGGGAAACCATCAATTCTTCTCGATCATAATCAGGCAAGAATTTGTGCAATTCGAGATCTTCCAATAAATTCTTGAAATTCTTGAAGAAAAATGTGCAAAGTCCAAGATATCAACGAATTTCGCATAAATATAAGTAAATCCGAGCGACGATTTGATATCGAAAATGTGATTGTAGGTGGCTGTTTTGTCCAATTATCAATCAATAAATTCGATTTTTCGTGTGCATACATTCATGTGAAAATACCATTTAGTTCAGATTCGACCAATATCCAACACCAACAGTTTCTGAAAATTCCACACCCGTTCAAGCCACGCAATGAGTGTTTTCTACTGTAAAACGAAACAAAAAACTGTGCAAACACTTTTGTCTGATTCTCTCTGTTCGCCGTTATATTTCGCACTACAGTATTAAAGGAGCATGATAAATTTTATGCGTTGGGTCTTGTCGCGATTGCTAACTTTCTTCGCAGGACCCTAAAAATTTCGAAATGCGTAGTCTCACATAGATCTCGATGCGCTGATTCTAATGGTATATTTAGTTTTGGCACTTAGTTAGCTAATTCCTTTGCAAATTGTGGCGCAGTGTGAATAAAAGAAATTTCTAATTTTTTCATTGTTTGAACGGGTGTGATTCAAGAGTTTTTTTCCAAAAAATAAAAAAATAAGTATTACTGTAGCGCGCAACGGTGTTTGCACACTCTTTCTTTTCTTTTTTTGAATTTTCGAAAAATTGCAAGAAAAAGCTGGTTTCAGGGAAAATCGACAGCACAAAAAATTATTAAGCATAAAACTCACTTTCTTTATCAACTGTCCAATTCCACGTCGACAATTTTCACACCAAAAAAATGGTTTCAAGGTTTATTCAGCCAAATCAATAACCAAATATATCAATGGAGACGGCATTTTCATTGACTGGAATTCCTTGAGCTCCTCGCTTTTTTTTTTCGAAATATGCCGGAGTCTATAGCATAAGACGTTTCGATCCTTTCAGGTCAGTTGACCATATTCATGACGTATCGCAATTGGCAATTTTGCACGTCCTAATTATTGCTTCACATCCCAGAAAAATCGATAACTTCCATTAATGACCAGTTAAATAGAACATCAATTTTCGGGCTTTGATCCGCTTCTTTCCATTAAAACACTCATTGATCAATAAATTGCCATCCAAAACAACTGCTTCACAATGAGAAATTGAATTCGAATCCAAAATCCCAAGTTCCACATGTTGAATTGATTTTCGTCGTTTCTACGAATGGAGGTACGCCCATTTTTTGTTGCAACCATCCACAATATCAGCATTTCCGGCTCCATAAAATGATGGGCAAAGTGATAAATGTGGCATGCAGTTTTCGTCGTTTTGCCGGAGAACGCCCGGTTTTTTTGGTGATCCTTGATCGGCATAATTTGCGCAAATTTCAATCAGGATCAGCAAACACATTTCCATATTCGAATAAGTTTCAAGAATCGGGGATCAACAATTGATAACATCCAAATTATCATCATAAATTAATTTCTTGAAATTCTTAAAGAAAAATGTGCAAAGTCCAAGATATCAACAAATTTCGCAAAAAATATAAATCCTAGCGATGATTTGATATCGAAAATGTGATTGTAGGTCCCTGTTTTGTCCAATTATCAATCAATAAATTCGATTTTTCGTGTGCATATGACATTCATGTGAAAATACCAGTTAGTCCAGATTTGATCAATATCAACACCAACAGCTTCTGAAAATTCAAGAGTTTTTTTCCAAAAAATAAAAAAAATAAATAAATAAGTATTACTGTAGCGCGCAACGGTGTTTGCACACTCTTTATCTATTTTCTCATTTTTTTGAATTTTTGCAAGAAAAAACTGGTTTCAGGGAAAATCAATAGCACAAAAAATTGAGAAAGTTGAGTATGAAATTATTGAGCAAAAAACTCACATTTCAAATGATGTTTCGCGTCCAGAATCAGAATCCAAGAATTTTGACACTCGTCGAATTCACAAATCGATAAATAAACCATCGAAATTCCACGTTTCGCAATTTTCACATCAATTATTTTCAAATATCATAATTCAGCATATCGAATATCAAATTGGCACGAACCAAAAAAACAATGCCGTTGTTGTGGCGTGGCGATGAAGCAGAGGTTGTCAATTTTTCGAAGGGCCGCTTCCGAAAGCCCAACGCGTCGTTAACGGAGGTACGCCCGTAGCACCACCAATTCATTAACGAAACCTGTAATAATGAAACCATTAAAAAAACAAAATTCAAAATTCCCTCTCAAAAAAATGTGTGCATTTGCGCGTCAGCGTGTTGGCACACATTTTTTTAATTTTCTTTTTTTTTTCAAAACTCACTTCGAAAAATACGCCAAAAATGGAGCAAATGATGGATTGGTGGTGCTAAGAAGTTGATAGGAGACTCAAGGGATTCATATCGTAAAACGATAAGGCAAGTGTATAGGGTGGAGAGCAAATTAACCAAAAAACCAGGGAAAAATTGAGCAAAAATAATATTTGCCAGAAATCTGGAAAAATAACAGTTTTGTTTGCAGATTCGACACACAAAAAACTCACAAACTATTGAGCATATTGCTCCACATCATCTCTCAAAGACGTTGTCTTGTCCAGGATCTTCTGAAGCTTGACAGGAGTTGGCGTGGATTTGTAGGCCTTCACCAATCGAATCAACGCTTTATGTTGCGTCAATATGTCTAATCCTCTGAAGCCGAAGCTTCGCCACTTCAAAGCCGTCTCGATTTTCACCAATTCTTCATCCGCCTCTTCAATTGTTTTGATTTCGGTGGAATTCTGTAGATTTGCAGGAGGTGTTGTTGAATTTGTTGGACTTTGATTAACAATATTCGAGGGATCGGCTGCTTGAGGAGGTGTTGAGGAATTCAGACTTCGATTAACACTATTTGAAATATCGGCTGCTTGAGGTGGTGTTGATGAATTTGGACTTTGATTAACAATATTCGAGGGATCGGCTGCTTGAGGAGGTGTTGTTGAATTTATCGAACTCAGACTTTGATTCAATTGATTGAGAGCATTTTGCCTGGCTGCCAACCTAGCTGGTAATCTCATTGGAGGTGTTGCTGGTGCGATTATTGCTGGTGGACTTGGTCTTCGAGCTGGTCGGGCTCGTCGAACCTTCGGCTTTGGAGCAATTCGTCTACGCTTCGGATTCGGAGCTTGAAGATCTGAAGCTCGCCGTTTTCGTTGCTGACGTGGTCGAGGCGGAGCTTCATCATCATCATCATTATCATTGAACGCCGAAAGCGCGTCCTGCGCAACAAGAATATTATATGCTTCCATTGAAACACGCGCTCCTTTATAATTCACCAACTTTGCTTCCAATTCCCTCTTCAATTTCAATCGAACAGCGTGCGTCGCTCTCGACATCGACATATACTGCGATAAAATTCCAATGCCTTCCGAAGCGATTTCAACATAATCGTTTTGTTTCAATTTTCCAACAGCTGTTATCGAATTGGAATCGATTTGAATGCTGACATCCCCTTCGAACAGTTCCTTGAAAATGGTCAATTTGTATTTTCCATCATTCACCGATTCGATGTAAATATGCACATCCGAAGGATCTTCTGGTGGAACTGGCGAAGATGGTGGTCCATATGATGAGATCGGAGAAGATTGACTGGATGAAACATTCGATGAATTTGTACGAACTGGGCTATATGGAGTGTCGTGTTGATCTTCGCCACCATTTTCGACATCATCTCGTGCATCTTCAATATCTTCAACGTCGATTTCAGGATTGTTTTGTTGTTGTTGAGAATTGGTCACTTCCTGGAACGAGAAATTTGATTATGGTAAGATAATTTTTTGTAAAAAATTAACTATAAAAATTCTAGTCTGAGCAATGTTTTTTCAGGCATTGCTCAGGCTAGGTTAGAACGAAATTGGAAAATTCATTTGAAAAAACATTCCTCAGGTTAGGTTAGAACCCAATTATAAAAATTCTAATTTGAGCAATGTTTTTTCAGGCATTGCTAAGGTTAGGTTAGAACAAAATTGGAAAATTCATTTGAAAAAACATTGCTCAGGTTAGGTTAGAACCCAATTATTAAAATTCTAATCTGAGCAATGTTTTTTTCAGACATTGCTCAGGTTAATTTAGGTTAATTTAGTCATTGGAAAATTCATTTGAAACTCGAAAATTTCAGAAATTTCTAACTAAAAAAAACTAACTTCAACCACATTTCCAGCAATCGGCGGTTCCTCGTCGCGATCTTCCAAGATTCCGTTCAAGTTCTCATCAACTTGACCATCTTCAGGATCAATTTCAGTCACATTTCCAGCAGTCGGCGTTTCGGTCAAAACTTCAAATGCTTCTGGATCAGTTGCGATCTTTGAATTATCAATTGGAATCATATCAACAGCATCAACTTGACCATCTTCAGGTTCATTTGCGATCTTCGGATCAACTTCAATCATATTTCCAGCAATCGGCGGTTCCTCCAAGATTTCGGTCAAAACTTCAGGATCATTTGCGATCTTCGGATCAACTTCAGTCATATTTCCAGCAATCGGCGGTTCCTCCAAGATTTCGGTCAAAACTTCAGGATCAGTTGCGATCTTCGGATCAACTTCAGCAGTTATTTGGTTGTCCGAGTTGTTGCGGGGATTCAACATATTTATGATTTCCTCGATGGATAAAAGCGGCGAAGGAGGAGCGATTGGAACACCGGTGATGACAGCATTGATTTGACGTTGCAATTCCAACTGTCGAGCCAATTCGCGCATCATATCCGCATCAAACAAGGCTGAATCTTGTAGCTGTTGAGTTGCTGGCTGCGGAAGGTGAAGCTCGGGTTGTTCTTGAGCAGCGGTTGGTGTTGTCCCAGCGTTATCTGGGACGTTCATTTGATTAACTTGAGAGTTCTGCAAAAAAAGGTGATTTTTATTGATTTAATTTAAAGTTTAGTTGAACAACTTACATTCATTTTTTGCGCGATGCGTCTTTTAATAATATACACCAAGGTGAGAGGACTGTAAAAATTAACTTTTTTTCAAAAGATTCCAGAAAAATCGAAAAATCCCAAGGAAAAACCATATAAATCTAATATGAGCAATGTCGGGAAAAGTTGAAAAAAACATTGCTCAGGTTAGAACAAAATTGATTATAAAAAATTCTGATCTGAGCAATATTTTTTCAAACATTGTTCACAATCAGGCTCATCTTAGGCTTAGCTTAGGCCTGTCTTGGGCTTATCTAAAATACTAGGCTTATAGGCTTCTCTAAACCCTATAGGCTTAGGCCTGTCTTAGGCTTATCTAAGGCTTAGCTTAGGCTTAGCTGAGACTTAGTTTAGGCTTATCTTAGGCTTAGTTTTCTCCTAGAATTGCCTTAGGCTCATCCAAACCCTTAGGCCTGTCTTAGGCTTGTCTTAGGTCTATCTAAGCCCTATAGGCCTAGGCCCAGACCTTTTTCTGGTTCCAAAAATCAAACGATCATCTTTCACAAAATTATAAAAATTCTAATCTGAGTAATGTTTTTTCAGGCATTGCTCAGGTTACTTTAGAACAAAATTGGAAAATTCTTTTTCCAGCAAAAAATCTGAAATTTCTTTTTTTAAGCTTCAAATATCCAGAATTTCCAGAAAATTTCATTTTCAGATATTTCTGTAAATTACAATTTCCAAAAAATCTCCCATTCTAAGCCTAACCTGAGCAATGTCTGAAAAATTCTTTAAAAATCAAAAAATTGAGCCGAATTCCAAAAAAAATAATCAAAAAACCATCCCCCAAGAAAAAAACCAGGACGCCATCCCAAATCGCACCAATTTCCTGCCAACTCTCTCATTTTTCCATACTCTCTCCCTCTTTTTTTTTTATAGTTTGACCTAATCATTTTTGGATATAATATAGCCTGCAGTGTGTTTGTTTATTTATGGTTTGACCTTTGATCAAAGAAACATGTTTCTGTTTTTTTTTCTTTGAAACATGTTTTTTTTAATTTTTTTTAATACAAACATCTGGAATGTATTCGATTTGAGTACTGTGATTTTCTACAGTAGTTTTAGATTATTTTTTAATTACTGTATATTTATATAAAACAACAGTAACGAACTTTTTTGGTGTAATTTTTCGTGACAATTTTGCGATTCTTGTATTTGTGGACCTTGTGTGGTGTTTGCGGAAAAGACAAACTACAGTATATTTTATAGTACCAGATTTTGATCTACTTACAGTTAACCAAAGTTTTCATATTGGTGATCCAAAATTAGAAAATGATATTCATAGTTTGGCCCCAAAAAAGTAAATTGAATTTCTGAAATATCCTGTTTAAAACTGATAAAATTTCTGCTTTTCTTGATTTTTTCCGAAAATCTTGAAGAACTGGATTTTATCAGTTCCAAATTGGAATTTCAGCGGAGATGCGGAATCTATGCCCAATTTTTGAATTTTTTTTAAATAAATTGTTTGGAATCTGAATTCAAAAATGTTTTCTACATAAAATCAATATGTTTCCAGAATTTCGCGGGAAGTGGTCCTGAAAACAACGTTTTGACTCAACTCGACTCGACTCTGCTTTTGGCTCATCAATGGAATATGGAAATAAGGAAAAGATTCGGAATTTTTCGAATTTTGGTGAGTGCAAAAAATAAATTGAGGATCTGAAATTGCAATTTGAAACCGGTAAAATTTTCATTTTTCTCGATTTTTTATTGAAAATCTTGAAAATTGGTCAATTTTATTAGTTCCAAAATGCAATCTCAGTTGGGACGCGGAAGCTATGCCCAATTTTTGATTTTTTAATGGAAGTTCTAAAAAATCTGAATTTGAAAAATGAATAAAATCTGAAAAATTGTGTTTTTTTTATTAATTTTTGCTTGTTGAATAAAATATTGAATTTGTTGCTTATTCATTTGAATTTTCGAAAAATAACGGTGTTTTGACCGTTTTCACTTATTTTTTATTGATTTTTGAGGCAAATCAGCTGAAAATCCAATTTTCTAGCAGAAAAATTACAATTTCAGCTAAATTTTGAGCTAAAAATCCGATTTTTCATCTGAAACTCCTCAGGCAAATCGTCCCACCGGTGGGAAACCGGTGGGAAAAATGAACAAAAACACCGGTGGAACACCTCTTTTTGGTGTTCAGACGGTGTTCAAACGGTGTTAAGCGAGTGTTAAGGTGGTGGTACACCGGTGCTATTATCAAATTTGTGACCACCGGTTTCCCACCGGTGGGCCCACCGGTGGGATTAATGAAGAGAAGGTGTTGAGTTAGTGGAGATTTGGTGTTACACCGGTGGGACGATTTGCCTGAGTCAGCTGAATCGATTGAAATATTTGTTGGAGTACTGTAGGTTGCGTTGTGTGCATTGCGAGTGTTTGCACACATTTGAAGCGAGCCACAGTACTCAATCGATTTTTTCGGGCGGTTTCTCTCTTTTTTTTTTGCTGAAAACCTGTTTTTTCGAGTTTTAGATGATTTTCAGTCTTGTAAATGGCTGGAAATAGTTATTTTCCATATATATAACACGTTTTCATTGCGAATTTCAAGAAAAATTCTTGAAAAAGTTAGAAAATCGATTTTTTTCATTTTCTCGCTGGAAATTTGTTTTTCTTCAAATTTTAGACTATTCATAGTTTTAACTCCTTCTGAAAATCACTTTTTTCTCTCTCTAAATAACATTGTTTCATTGAATATCAATGACAAATTATTCACAAATTCTCCAAAAAATTAGGAAGTCCATTTTCGTTCGTCAATCTCGCATATTTCTCGCGAAATTGAACACTCGGAAATTCTTCAACACTTGAATTTGGCGGCAAATTCGCGCGACATCTTTCGAGTTGCGTCATTGCATTATTCAGATAGTTTTGAAGATTTTCGGCGAATCGCAAAACTTCGAGTTTTGTCTCGAGAATTTCCATCGAATCCGGATGACGTTGCAAGAGCCTGTATAAACATTTTTGTTGAAATTTCTAAATTTTCTCCGAAAAACTCACAAATCCAAAGTGGTTTTTAAATGTGCAATCATATCTTCATAGTTTTTGTCAACGATTCGTTGATAGATTTGAATTTCTCGTAGTTTTTCGAGTTCGGACTTCTTCTCGTTGAGTTTTTTGATGACTGAATGGATGAAGGGTTTGCTTAGAGTTATGCTCATTTTCCTGTCAATTTCGGTGCGGAGCTCTTTTTTGACTCTGAAAACGTGACATTTGGCTTAGGCTCTTTTGGACTTAGGTTTGACATGTTAGCTTTCGACCTTTGTGACGTTTGGTTTAGGCTTCTAGCCTTAGGCTTCCAGTAAGCTGTTCCGCGCCGTTTTTCGAAATTCGGTTTTTTTGTTAGAAATGCTTATCGGTAAATTGCCACGTCATAGTTCACGTTCTATTTTTTCCTGTTCCATTGAAAAATTCAATAAAAGAGGCTTCGGAAGTCTAAAAAACATCAAACTACTTACCTTTCCGATTCCTCCTTTACTTTTGCAAAATCCTGAGTTGCCTGTTTTCCATGCCTCGCCAAACATCCCATATACCAATCCAAAACCTCAAAACTTTTTTCTCTTCCCAAAATGTCACCGCCACTTCCGACAATTATTGCGCGAATCGCTTCGCCAAACGCGCTAAATCCTCGCGTCGTCAAATCACACTCGATTTGCGTCTTCCAAACTCGTTCAATCAAGTTGTCATTCAAAAATTTGTGATGTCGCACCAAAATGTAGCAAATATCGCTCATCTCCAGAGCGGTTCGCACATCTTTCAGAATTGTTTTGAGCTCTTTGACTGGCCATAAGGTGAACGAATTGAGATATGGTTGATTTTCGTCGATTCGCAGGATTCGCGGGTGATCGCAAAAGTCGCGCATTTTTTGACAAAGTATCATGCCACGATTGTCACCCATAATTTCTGGCATTTTTCCGCGCTGAAAATTTCCACGTGGCAAAAAAAATGGCACGATTTTCAAAGATTGTTAGACGTTCAAATGAAAAAAACACAAAAGAAAAGCGTCCAGTTTGTTGAAAACATGTGATAACAACAGATGTTACTTTAAAGTTCACCAAAGTCTTTGTAAACACTATCACGAAATATTGCATTGATACAGTGCTCCACAAAATGATACGGTCAACATGAAAAATTCCAAAAAATCGAAAATCCGGAAAGCATTAAATTTTCATATTCATGGGGCTAAAATGGGCTCAAAAAGTTCAATTATTGGCCCAAAAACAAAATTGAAATTCCTGGTGAAAAAATGAGAAAATCGAAAAATCTCATTTTTAGGTTTTTTCCAATCCACAAAATGATACGGTCAACCATAATTTTTCTTAAATTTTCCAGTTTTTCGGTTAGATTTCAATGTGATTAAGTTTGAAATGGTGAATTTCGGTGATTTTAAAAGTTCGGTGTGAAAATTAGCATACCTAGCTAGGTCACGAGGTCCAAAAAGGACCAAATCAGGAAAACGTCTTTCAGAGTTCCAAAATCTAGCAAATTTTGAAACATTTCCAGGTAATGTCGACTAATTCGCCAGAAAAGGGTTAAATTTAGCCTTTCTGAACTTTATTGACAATTTTCCTTCCAGAATTCAGTGAAAATTGTGAAAAAATCGATAATTTTATTACGTCGACTTAATGAAAAAAGCAAATTTTCGAACTTTCCCAAGAAAATGAAGATCCCATGGCACGAGATTTTGAAGTTTATCCATCGGACACTTCGGAACATTCATCAGGTATGTCCACTGACACATGATAACCCAAAAAATTGAAGAAAATCCACTTTGGAACCTACCATAATGTACTTAACTTATCTTCGATGACGAGATCAGGCGAGTAATGAAGTCAAAAATCGATTTATGCTATTGAAAAAAAGTTTTAATGCATCTATTCATTTGCGAAAAAAACCGAAAAAAATGTATTTTTTTACAATTTTTTTCTATTCACCAAAATGCACGAAATAAATGTCAATCGTGACGAGACCCACACACATTTCAAGGAGAAAAACATGCGAGAAAAAAAACAAGAAATGAAATTTTCGAAAGCATGCATTTTTCACACCTTCTGCCTTGAAATGAGTGTGGGTCTCGTCACGATTGCATGTATTTCGCGACAATTTGTGATTTTGGTGAATAGAAAAATATTGTAAAAAAAATACATTTTTCTCGTGTTTTTTTGCAAATGAATAGATGCATAAGGCTTGTGGTTTTTTGAAATCGTGTTTTAATCAACAAAACTGACTGCTACCACTTGTTCCGTTGATCAACCACTTTTTTTGAAAATTTAAAAATGTTGAAATTCAAGTACGACGTTTTCCTGATGCTGTTTCTTCAATTTTTTGGGTTATCATGTGTCAGTGGACATACCTGATGAATGTTCCGAAGTGTCCGATGGATAAACTTCAAAATCTCGTGTCATGGGATCTTCATTTCCTTGGGAAAGTTCGAAAATTTGCTTTTTTTCATTAAGTCGACGTAATAAAATTATCGATTTTTTCACAATTTTCACTGAATTCTGGAAGGAAAATTGTCAATAAAGTTCAGAAAGGCTAAATTTAACCCTTTTCTGGCGAATTAGTCGACATAACCTGGAAATGTTTCAAAATTTGCTAGATTTTGGAACTCTGAAAGACGTTTTCCTGATTTGGTCCTTTTTGGACCTCGTGACCTAGCTAGGTATGCTAATTTTCACACCGAACTTTTAAAATCACCGAAATTCACCATTTCAAACTTAATCACATTGAAATCTAACCGAAAAACTGGAAAATTTAAGAAAAATTATGGTTGACCGTATCATTTTGTGGATTGGAAAAAACCTAAAAATGAGATTTTTCGATTTTCTCATTTTTTCACCAGGAATTTCAATTTTGTTTTTGGGCCAATAATTGAACTTTTTGAGCCCATTTTAGCCCCATGAATATGAAAATTTAATGCTTTCCGGATTTTCGATTTTTTGGAATTTTTCATGTTGACCGTATCATTTTGTGGAGCACTGTATTTATTGCTCATGTTATCCTATAGTGCAAGCGAGATTTGTGTCTAGCAAATTTCGAAAAAGAGCTCTTGAAAAAATTAGAAAACTGAAAATGTGTTTTTCTTCAAATTTTTGACTATTCATAGTTGTAAGTCCTTCTGAAAATCATTTTTTTCTCTCTAAATAACAATGTTTCATTGAATATCAATGACGAATTATTCACAAATTCTCCAAAAAATTAGGAAGTCCATTTTCGTTCGTCAATCTCGCATATTTCTCGCGAAATTGAACACTCGGAAATTCTTCAACACTTGAATTTGGCGGCAAATTCGCGCGACATCTTTCGAGTTGCGTCGTTGCATTCGTCAGATAGTTTTGAAGATTTTCGGCGAATCGCAAAACTTCGAGTTTTGTCTCGAGAATTTCCATCGAATCCGGATGACGTTGCAAGAGCCTATAAGAGCAATTTTGTTGAAATTTCTAATTTTTTTTCCGAAAAACTTACAAATCCAAAGTGGTTTTCAAGTTTTCAATCATATCTCCATAGTTTTTGTCAACGATTCGTTGATAGATTCGAAGTTCTGGTAGTTTTTCGAGTTGCGCGATTTTGGCTTTGAGATTTTCAATGTCTTCACGAGTTTTGTTTGCGTTTCGGATGTTTCTGATTCTCTGATTGTGCTTTTCGATGCTGAGCTCTTTTTTGACTCTGAAAATGTGAGATGAATAGGGCTGGACTAAGTTTCGCTTAGGTTCTTGAACTTGGGCTTAGTCTTGACATGTTAGCCTTCGACCTTTGTGACGTTTGTCTTTCAGGCTCCTAGCCTCAAGCTTCTTTTGGTTTTTTTTTGTTAGAAATGCTTATTGGTAAATTGCCACGTCATAGTTCACGTTCTATTAAAAAACTCAGTTTTCGGTTTTTTTTCAGTTGAAACCCCGAGTCTTTAAAAAAATGTTGGCACCAATAACATTTTCTCAAAAGTTATGAATTTTCCCTGCCTCGTTGGTATATGTAGTTGGACATCGACTAAATGAAGTTTTCATGTTTTTTAAGCAAATGAGTTGATATTATATTTGATATATATTGGGTAGAGCTGCAAAAAAACTGCCCGCTGCCCCCCGCGCACACATTCTTGATTTGCCCGGGTAGCCCGCACCCGCCTTCCCCTTTACCCGATTTGCCCGTTTGCCCGCTCATGACAGACGAGAGAGCTGTAGTAGACTAGATTTTCCCTGGATTCCTGACGACTAAATAAAATTTTGATGTTTTTTGAGCAAATGAGTTGAAATATTGGGTTCTAATTTCATTCATATGGTAGAATGGTCTAAGACGAACAGAATGATATAAATTTTTATGACTTTACCTTATCCATAAGTGATTTAACGACGTTTAGTCGATCGACTCGGCTTATCGACTAAATATCGACTAAACGTCGCTAAGTCACTTATGGACCATTCTATCATATGAGTAACTTTAGAACCCAATATTTCAACTCACTTGCTTAAAAAATATGAAAATGTCATTTAGTCGATGTATCACTATACTCGTAGGCTTCGGAAGTTTAAAAAACATCAAACTACTTACTTTTCGGATTCTTCCTTGACTCTCGCATAATCGCCAGATGTCTGTTTTCCATTCCTCTCCAAACATCCCATATACCAATCCAAAACCTCAAAACTCTTTCTCGTTCCCAAAATTGCACCGCAACTTGCGACGATTTTTGCGCGAATCGCTTCGCCAAACGCGCTAAATCCTCGCGTCGTCAAATCACACTCGACTTGCGTCTTCCAAACTCGCTCAATCAAATTGCTATCCAAAAATTTTCGATGTCGCACCAAAATGTCGCAAATATCGCTCATCTCCTCAGCGGTTCGCACATCGTTCAGAATTGTTTTGAGCTCTTTGACTGGGCATGAAACGAACCAATTGAGATATGGTCGATATTTGTCGAATCGCGGCATTCGCGGGTCATCGCAAAAGTCGCGCATTTTTTGACAAAGTACCATGCCACGTGTGTAACCCACGATTTTCGGCATTTTTCCTAAATCACAATAAAGTTTAAATTTTGGAAATTAAATGTAGAAGACAAGGAAAAATGGGGAAATCTAAGAATCATAAATCTTTTCTCTCGAGGCTCTCAATTTTCTGTGCTCTCTCGTCTGTCATGAGCAACGAGAAAATATATGGCAAATTTCAGAAAGGCTCTTAATTTTCGCGCCAAAACTTGCGAAAAGGCAAGATTTTCAGAAAAAAACAAGAAAAGGCGTTTTCGAAATAAACAGAGGTGCTAGGTTATTTCACCAATTTTTTGGCGCCAAAAACACAAAAGGTGTATAGAAATGGCGTTTTGTTGACTTTCTTTACAAAAAAAAATGAATCAGCCCACAAAAAATAGTGTAAAAAGCGTTTTTGGTAATCTTTCAATCAATTTTTTTGAAAAATTGAACAATCGGAAATTTTAGCTCACAAGGGAAGTGATTTACAAGGTTCTGAAATTAACTTTTGATGAAACATACTGAAATGTAGTATTTCGACCATGCTGAATACGGATGTCTTAACGTTTTCAGGGCAAATTTGCCAGGTCACGAAAATATCATGGTTTTCTGCCTAATTTTCATCCTAATAGTCGACTAAACGGATCCGTTTACCGAATTAGCATGGCACGTGGCAAAGTTCAGTTTTTCCTCAAAAATTATCGAATTTTCCCAATTTTCCGTCTGAAACCCGATGTTCTAATTGCTCTCCCCGTTCCACAAAACCGTCGAAAAATCAAATCATAATTGTTTCGCTCTTATCACCAAATTCCTTATCTTGCCTTATTTTTTAACACCTTTTTTCTCCCCTCCTCGTTTTTTCCTCAAATCGAAAATAAATTCGGCGTCCGTAAAGTGCGAAACTTTCAAAAGTAAGCAAAAAAAGTACGGGAAAACAAGCCGATAGAATATGGAAACACGAGAGACGCAGACACTTTCTGTCTCAGACATCAGGCTTCTGCTTTTTTCTCTCGCCTACTCTCTCAACCAATTTGTCACTCTTTCGCTCCCCTCGTTTTTTTTCTTACGTATGTATTACTCTAGTCATTTTTTAGGCCAACTAATTTTTTTTTTCTTCAAATTTTAATTGATTTAGGATAACTTCCTTTTTCACATGTGACACATTGTTTGTCCGCGAGAAATACACGAGATTGGTTTTTGGTTTTCTAGGCCATGCGATTTTTTAGGAGAGGATTATTTTTGCTTTTTTTTGGTCGGACCTTGGTCGGACTGTTTGGGGCCACTGAAAAGGTATCGTACGATTTTTGGTTTCTCGACAGAACGTATGAAGTAAGCCCAAAAACTGGGCCGAATCGGACTCCGAAATGGGCTTAGCTTGATCCAGATTTCTTGGTCTTAAATTCCTCCTTCTCCTCGAGAACTAGACAAATTATTGTTTGCGTGGTTTGAATTCTTGTTGATTTTTCGCTCTCACATCATCTTTGTTGGTTTTGACTTAAAAATTTTGAAAAATTCCCCTCCCAGCCAAAATTTTATCATCTCCTAAATTTTGGCAACATTTTTCCCCTTATCACATTTTCCGTGTGTTGAAAATTGAAAATTCGTTTTTTTTCTCGCTAGAGAAACTTTTTGCGATAATTAATTGGGCAGATGTGCACTTTTCAAAAGTGCGCGCAGCTTTTTCTTTGTTGATTTTTTTGCGCGCGCCCAAAATAAATTCGAATCTCAATTTTCGTTTTTTTTTAGAAAATGGTCTCAAATGCGGGTTCTTTGGCTGGCGGCGGCGATGTGGAGGCGACGACGAGGAAATCGGCAAAAAGATCGGTGAAAATCGAGGAGAATCCGATTTTCAGTCAATCTTCTGGTAGGCATTTTTTGATTTTTTTGATAAAAAAGACATCAAAAAATGTTTTTATTTACTTTACAAAAACATCAGATCACAAGCCAGCACCTTTTTTTGTTGCTGTAAGACAAAAATTTCATTTTTTTTTTTAGTTTTTGCGAAATCAGACCTGTCAAACCAAATTATAATCTAAACAAATCTTTTTCTCGTTGCAGAAGACGAGATTTCCCTTTTTTTGGGCCACTTCCCACATTTTCTTGCCCAGGTGTTCCAATAAACAAAAATGTAGCTATTATCTTGTTTTTACTATCTATTTTTGTTCATTTTTGGCTGGACGCGCAATATTTACACTTTGTTTTGTCTAGCTGTCATGTTCCTTTAAATTCCATATGAAAACGTGGATTTAAAGGCGCATGGTGGATGGGAAAATGAATAATTGCCACGTCATACGATCCTCTTGTTAAAGAAATAGACAACTTTTAAAACTGAGGTTCAGGCTGGCCCAATATCTTGATTTTGCTTACTTTTCTACATACTTTCCAACCAGAAATCATTCAAAATATGTGCGTTGATAGAAATGGCGCAAGGTTGAAAAAAATAATTCGAATTTGAACGCCCGCCGAGTTCTAGATAATCTAGTGCATTTTTGGGCGGCGGTGTGCGGTGTTTGCAGACTTTTTTTTTACTTTTCTTTTTTTTCGTTTTTTTTTTGCAAAAAACGGATTTTTGTGATGAAAATCGGTTTTTGACTATCGCAGCACTTCAGGAATCATGATTGTCGATATTTAGGTGAGTTTTAATGAACATTTCATGGTTTTCATGTTCATTTTCAGGAAAAATCGGCGATTTACAAGTTTCGAAGGATTTTCGATGGAATTCTCAATTCAAGTCGTTTTATGACGTTTGGTGAGTTTTTTGTCAAAGTTTTATGCTAGATGATAGTGATTCTAGGCAGAATCGAACAAATAACATCTTTAATTGTTAGTTTTGTAACGATTTTGGCTGTGAGTCCATCAAAATTCAAAGTTTTATTGAAAAATGAATCTGAAACTGATTTAATTGTTGTTAATTTCAGAGAACAACTTCAATGTGCTGTGTTAATGGATTTGGAGGCTAAACAAAGTGATGATTCGCCAAAAACATCCCGGAATTCTGCGATTTTCAGAAATTCGCCAATTTTTGAAGATTCGAAGCCTATCCAAAAATTCCTTTGCTCAAATGTTCACTCAAATGCTATGTAAAGTGTTTCTTTCAATAAATTTGCTAAATTTTTCCAAGTTTTTATTCGGTTTCTTGCTTTCAACAAACCAAAAAAATAAAAGTAAAACAACGAGACTCCGCGTGACACTGCGCTCACACAATCGCGGCAATTTTTTTATTTTCAAACGAGGGTTTTTTAATTTTTTTCTTTTGCTTCAAAAAAGGGTTAGAGTGAGTTTTGAGAGTTCTCTCTTTGCAGATGTGTTAAAAATAGTATGAAAAAAGTAATTTTGGTCTGTTTTGAACCGTAGCTTAAAAGTTGTCTATTTCTTTAAAATCTTGATTGAAATGGGTTATGACGTGGAATTTTGTCTAGCTTCTCATGTACCTTTAAATTCCATATGCAAAGGTGGATTTAAAGGCGCATATTTTTCTGAAGCCTTCTGAAGCCTTGTGAAACTTTCTGAAGCCTTCTGGAGCCACAGAAATTCTTCTGAAACCTCTAAAAAATTTTCTGAATCGTTCTGAAGCCTTATGAAGCCTCTAAAATTCTTCTGAAGCTTCTAAAATGCCACGTCATAGCTAAATTTTGACTTTGATTTTGACGTTAAAAATTGATTTTTTTTTGAGCCAAAAATCCACGTGGTTTCCACAAATTGTTGGCCAAATCGAATCTCACGTGGATTTTAGGCCCCAAAAGTCTTCACCAAGTTTTCGAGCAACACTAGAAATCTTGCAGGCTCATCCGTCAACGAAATGGTAAACCTAACCGACGAATCATCCAGTCCATCGGAAGAAACATCTCCACCGCGTGCCGCATCGCGTACGCGTCGCCGCACAATGTCGGGCGGTCGCGCCGAACACCATCTCCTCACCACCAAAACCGGCAAGAAAATCTACACCAAAGGTCGTCCACCATGGTACGATAAACGCGGCAAATCGTTGAAACAGTCGTTTTTGATTGGCATTTGCGGCGGAAGCGCGTCCGGAAAGACGACAGTCGCCGAAAAGATTGTGGAGCGCTTGGGAATTCCGTGGGTCACGATTTTGTCGATGGATAGCTTTTACAAAGTTCTCAACAAGAAACAAATTGAACAAGCCAATTCGTCCGATTATAATTTCGATCATCCCGATGCTTTCGACTTCGAACTCCTTCACAAAACCCTCGATCGACTCCGAGTTGGAAAATCAGTCGAAGTTCCCGTCTACGACTTCAACACCCATTCAAGAGATCCGAATCCGAAAATGATGTATGGAGCGGATGTTTTGATTTTCGAAGGAATCTTGGCTTTTCATGACAAGAAAATTCGAGATCTGATGGATATGAAGGTGTTTGTGGATACTGACGGAGATTTGAGATTGGCGCGGAGAATTACACGGGATGTTAGTGAGAGAGGACGGACTATTGATGGAATTACTGATCAGTATTTTAAGTTTGTTAAGGTGAGTTGGAGAATGGGTGTTTTTAATGGAAAATTCGTGATTTCTCACTGAAAATATTTGAATTTCAGTGAAAAATTCGATATTTTTCGTCCTGAAACATGATTTTTTCCCGAAAACTTGGTTTTTGACTGAAAATCCAGAATTTTTCACTGAAAATTCACATTTTCCATGAAAATTGAAGTTTCTGAAGTCATTTTTTCAAACAAAAATTTCCACGTGGATTTTTGGCACCGAAACATCAAAAAGGTTGGATTCTAACTGAAAATGAGGATTTCAATGAAAATTCAGAATTTTTCTCTTCAAAACGAGCGCAACGTCTGATTTTCAGGTGAAATATGCTGTTTTCACTGAAATTTCCGATTTCTCACTGAAAATGTGTGAATTCCAGTGAAAAATTTGATGTTTTTCGTCCAGAAACATGACTTTTTATCGAAAAAGTTGTTTTTTACTGAAAATCCCGAAATTTTCACTGAAAATTGACATTTTCCATGAAAAATGAAGGTTCTGAAGTCATCCTAAATTGCCACGTGGTTTTTGATAGAAAATTCGGAATTTTCAATATGAAAAAAGATTGTAAACCCGAATTTCGACATTTTCTTGAAGTTTTAACGCCCAGAAAGCCACGTGGCTTAAAAACTAACTCAAAAATTGATTTTTCAGCCATCATTCGATCTCTACATTGCTCCAGGAATGCAAGAAGCCGATCTAATTGTGCCACGTGGCGGTGACAATGACGTGGCAATCGATATGATTGTGCAAAATGTGATGGCTCAATTAGTCGAACGCGGCTACGATAGCAATCAAAATAATCGAGATCGTCACGATTTGGTGCGCGAAGATTTGCCCGATTGTCTGCCACAGAATCTGATTATTCTGAAGCAAACGCCACAAGTTCGAGGATTGGTGACATTTGTGAGAGATCGAACAACCAGTCGAGACGATCATATTTTTTATTCCGATCGATTGATGAGAATATTGATTGAGGAGGTTATGAATCATATGCCTTATCGGGATGTTGAAGTCGAATTGGCTAATGGCAAAAAGTAGGTGGTTTTTGGGCTAAAACTTATCTAGAACGGCCCAAGATCAGTTTCAGAACTCAAAACCTTGAAAAACCATTATTTTTAATGGAAAAAGCCTGAAAATTGGTCTAGAACGGCCTAGAATTATCATGGACACTGTGAGACTTGAAAATCGTTGTTTTCAGGTCTAATAGGACTTATAGTGATTCTAGGCCGCTCTGGACCAATTTCCAGGCTTTTCCCATTAAAAATAATGGTTTTTCGAGATTTTGCGGTCCGAAACTGAATTTGGGCCGTTCTAGGCTTGTCTCAAATATGTTTCTCGAGAAGAATATTCTTATGGAAACTAAGCCTGAAATTGGTCCAGAACAGCCTGAAATTTTTCTAGGCCTGGAAATATCGATTTTTAGTCTAAAATTACCTGGAAACTTGGACTTTAATCCTCAAAATAGTAGAAAATCTGAGAATTTCAACCCTAAAAATGACCAAAAATCATAATTTTTCTAAATATCCACGTCATAGACCACGCTGAAATTTTTATCTCTCATTCCTAATTTAAAAATCGTTGCAGAGCCGCTGGAAAACGCAAAAACGCTCAAATCTGTGGACTTCCAATCATGCGAGCTGGTGAATGTATGGAAAGTGCGTTGAGAAGTGTTGTCAAGGATTGTGTGGTGAGTGGCCTAGAAATCTAAATTAAAAACTAGTCCCCACAGGTTTTTTTGGCTTAAAAACACTCATTTTCATTTAGAATTTAGACCGTGGCCTAGAAATTTGAAAAGCTAGTCCTCCAGGTCATTTTCCTTGAAAATTTCGGATTTTTAGCTCAAAATTCAATTTTCAGATCGGAAAAATTCTGATTCAAACCAACGAATCAACATTCGATCCCGAATTGCACTACATCCGCCTTCCGCCACACATCACACGCTATAAAGTGATTATAATGGATGCGACTGTGACAACAGGCAGTGCAGCAATGATGGCAATTCGTGTATTATTGGATCACGATGTGAAAGAGGAGGATATTTATGTGGCTAGTTTATTGATGGGACAACAAGGAGCCCATGCTTTAGCCTATGCTTTTCCCAAAGTGAGTTTTTCGGGAAAATTTGGAGAAAAATGAGCCAAAATTCGGGATTTTTGGGTGAAAATTGAGCCACGAAAATCCAAAGATACTGTAGAATTTCTGACGCGAAAAGCTGATTTTTCAAAAATTCAAAAAATTGCAGGTCAAACTCATCACAACAGCCATGGATTCGCATATGACCGAAAATTGCTATCTGATTCCCGGAATGGGAAATTTCGGCGATCGATATTATGGAACTGGGCTCGATTTGGACTTGGATGAACCTTTTGAAGCCTAATTTTTCTTTGAAATTGCGTTTTTTTTTGTCGAATATTTATTATTCCTTGTTGCAAAATGTTGTTTTTTCTCACTTTTGGCGAAAAATTAAATTTTTCACCAAAAAACATAATATTTTCGAATTTTTTGAGGCGTTCTCCGTGGAGCGCACTTTCTCCCCTCTTGTTGTTTTGTCACCTTTTTTTTTCATTTTTTTCTGTTTTCTGTCCTTTTTCGTAATAAAACGTGTTTTTCCACAATTCTTAAGAAGAGTAGAGAATTTTCAGCATTTCTTGATAAAATTTTCAGATATGCAAGCGTGGCTGCAGGGAATGGGTTTGGGCGGAATGCCGAATATGATGGGCAGATATGATCAGAGTTTTGCTGTGAGTTTTTTTTTGCGGGAAAATGGGGGGTTTTGAGCAAGTTATGGGTTCTAAGCTTGAAAAATAGCTGGAAAATTGTGATTTTCAGCGATTTCTAGCCCGGGAGATGGGAGTTTTGGCTGAAAAACCAGGAAAATATCGATTTTCAGTGGTTTTCGAGAAAAATTGGTTGTTAAAGCTAATTAGCAAGGTCCTGGGCTAGAAATAGCTGAAAATTATTATTTTTCAGCTTTGGAAGCTGGAAAATTGAGATTTGCAGCTAGGGAGACTGGAAATTTGGCTGAAAATCGATTATGTCATGAAAAATTGGGGTTTTCAGCAAATTTTCAGGCTCTGAGGCTAAAAATAGCTGAAAATTATAATTTTTCAGCGTTGGGAGCTGGAAACTTGTGATTTTCAGCTATTTTTAGCCCGGGAGACTGGAATTTTGGCTGAAATTCATTCTTTCTAGCTTTAGGAGCTAAAAAATCATGAATTTCAGATAATTTACAAAGTTCTTGGCTGAAAATCATTATTTTCTAGCTCAAAAATGTGAAAAATCATGCATTTGAGCTCGCGGGCACAAAAAACGCTGAAATTTATGATTTTCTATCCCCGGGAGCTTGAAAATCATGAATTTTCAGTCCTAGAGCTTGAAAATCATCTGAAATTCCTGATTTTCGAGCTCCCCGAGCTAGAAATTCTCATTTTTACCACCCAGTGCTCAAAACCTGCAAAAACTCCAATTTTCCTTACAGTGTTATGGTGCAATCTTCATGCCCAACGCAACCGACGAAAAAACGACAGAAATCGATTACGGCGGCAAAATTCTGTTGCCGACAAGTGCTCTCGATATGTTGCTTCGAATGAACATCCAATATCCGATGCTCTTCAAAATCACCAATCCGAATCCCAGTCTTCAAAGGTGCACACATGCTGGAGTTTTGGAATTTTCAGGTAAAGCTTGAATTTGAATATTATGACGTGGCTGTCATGTTCCTTTAAATTTTCCATATGTAAACGTGGATTTAAAGGTGCATGATATGGAGATTGCCACGTCATAAGATCAGCTGAAGTGTACTAATATGAATTATGACGTGGCAACTATCATGTTCCTTTAAATTTTCCATATGTAAACGTGGATTTAAAGGCGCATGATGTGTAGATTGCCACGTCATAGCTAAAGTCATAGAATGAGCTATGACGTGGCAAATTTTCTACCTATCATGCTTTGTATAAAATATAATATAGCCTGATAGAAGTTTTGCCACGTCATAACCATCAAATTTCTGCAGCACCCGAAGGTCAAGCAATAATTCCACAATGGATGATGGCACAACTCGGACTACAAGACGGACAACGCGTTCGAATCGAGAGTGCCACGTTGCCGAAAGCCACGTTTGCCAAGTTGAAACCGATGTCGCTGGATTTTTTGAATATCACTAATCCGAAGTGAGGCTGGAATTTGACTATAGTCTAGTTTATGAGCTTTCTGGGGTCAAATTGAACCTAAATCTAGATTTCTAACATAATTTTGAGCCCAAATTCCAGCGCTAATATGAGCAATTGATTTTCAGAGCTGTTCTTGAAGTGGAATTGAGAAAATATGCGTGTTTGACGAAAGGCGATAAAATTCCGACTTCGGTGAGTTTTTTCCGGGGAAACTTTGATGACCCTACAATACTCCGCATTTACAGTACGCCGGTCAAACGCTCGAATTCCTCGTCGTCGACGTCAAACCATCCAACTCGGTTTGCATCATCGAATGTGACGTGAACCTCGATTTCGACGCTCCCGAAGGCTACGTCGACAATTATCAGCCGAAAGCCGCCGCAACTGCGCAAGCTGCCGGCCAAGTGGCTGCGCAAGCCGCTGTCGCACCCAAAAAACCGCCGGCGCCAACCGCGTTCTTCAGCGGGGCTGGACAGAGTTTGGGAGGAGGCGGAGGCGGAAGAACTGTGTCCGGTGGATTTGCGGGGTCCGGAAAACGGCTTGATGGAAAAACCGGTGGAAGTTCGTCGAAATTGAACTCGGTTTCGATAAATGAAGAAGTTGCCAAAGATTTGCCGGCTGTTACGCCGGTTGTTGTAAATGAGGATTATAAAGCGGGTAAGCGTTTTGGGACGGGAATTTGGTGAAAATTTTGGGAAAATCCAGTTAAAAATCCTGAAAATTTTACGTTTCATCACATTTTTATAATGAAAAATTGGAAATTTCTTTTCTTTAAAAAATCCACGTGGAAAATATCTGAAAATTCGAATTAGAAATTGAAAGTTTAAAAATAGGGCTCATGAGGAATTGAACCCCTGACCTTTTGACTCGAAAATCTCATCTAGAATTAGATTTTTTTGACCAGAAAAATCGATTTTTTCAAAATTCAAAATTAGGGCCCATGGGGAATTGAACCCCTGACCTTCTGACTAGAAATTTCAGCTAGAACTTGATTTTTTAGACCAGAAAAATTGAATTTTTTTCAAAGTTCAGAATTAGGGCTCATGGGGAATCGAACCCTTGACCTTTTGACTCGAAATTCTCATCTAGGGTTAGATTTTTTTGACCAGAAAAATCGATTTTTTCAAAATTCAAAATTAGGGCCCATGGGGAATTGAACCCCTGACCTTCTGACTAGAAATTTCAGCTAGAACTTGATTTTTTAGACCAGAAAAATTGAATTTTTTCAAAGTTCAGAATTAGGGCTCATGGGGAATCGAACCCTTGACCTTTTGACTCGAAATTCTCATCTAGGGTTAGATTTTTTTGACCAGAAAAATCGATTTTTTCAAAATTCAAAATTAGGGCCCATGGGGAAGCGAACCCCCGACCTTCTGACTCGAAATTTCAGCTAAAATTTGAATTTTCTAAGTTTTTAAGTCTGAAAATCCTATTTTTGACCAGAAAAATCGATTTTTTCAAAATTCAAAATTAGTGCTCATGGGGAATTGAACCCCTGACCTCTTAACTCGAAATTTTGGCTAGATTTAGATTTTCTAGGGTTTGAAGTTTCTAAAATCCTATTTTGACCAGAAAAACTTCTGAAGTTTCAGATTTTTCAAAATTCAAAATTAGGGCTCATGGGGAATTGAACCCCTGACCTTCTGACTCGAAATTTCAGCTAGAATTTGAATTTTCTAAGTTTTGAAGTCTGAAAATCCTATTTTTGGCAAGAAAAATTGAATTTTTCGAAAATTGCATCTAGAATTTGATTTTCTAGGTTTTGAAGTCTCTAAAATCCTATTTTTGACAAAAAAAAATCGATTTTTTCAAAATTCCAAATTAGGGCCCATGGGGAATTGAACCCTCGGCCTTCTGACTAGAAATTTCGAATTTCTAGGCCGTCTCTCCTTCGTCCGCTACGACTACAAACGTCTCGACGTGTTGGAGAAGGAGTTGCGCGAAAAAAACGCGGCTTCCGGATCGAAATCCGCGAACGCGTTCCAAGGCGGAAGCCGCACGTTGAGAAGCGCAAGATGAGCAACTGCTCCGCGAGCCAAACAACAAAAACAATCGATAAAATGTGTGTACTGTACTGTATTTTTAAAGCGCCCTTGATTTTTTCATATTTATTTGTTTTTTTTTCTTGCAAAAATGAACATAATTGAGAGATCTTTGAGAAGTTTAACTGAAAGGCCCGCGCCGGGCCGGGCCTTTAGGCTTTTTAGGCCCTAGTCGTGGAATTCGATGGCGTCCAAAACTTTGTCGATTTGTTCCACGGCTGAGAGGCCCAAACCGGTCCAGGTTTTGTCGTCGATGACCTGAAATTCAATTTTGAACTCCTAGGCTTAGGCTTAGAGAACTTAAGTAACTTAATTTCTAACAAGGAAACCTTTTTTACTCAACACTTCAAATCTTGATGAAATTTTGACCATAGATAGCTTTTGGGGTCATAAGAACACCCTAAAAATTTTAGTCTCCCAATGGACCTCTGAGCCAAGTTCTGGGCTCTCAAAAGTTCGAAAATTGTCAAAATTGGCTCATAAAACACGTCATAACTCAATTCTTGATCAATTTTATGAAAAACTGAGTAGCGGATGATGATCAGCGTGGTCGATTTACCCGAAAAATATAAAAAAAATCAAATTTTCAGAATAATTTCTGATTTTGAAAAAAAGAATGAGCAGGGGCACATATGAATTTTCATGAATTTTCAGCCGAAAAATAAAAAACTTCAAAATTTTTCGAAATAAAGTTTTTAATTATGTACTTTCAGGTAATCGACTATGCTGATCAATATCTGAAACTTTATTTCTCCCAAAAAAATTTTTGAAATGGAGCTATGATGACTTTTATGACCATTTTTAGGCCTTTTTTGAGTTTTTGAGAACCCAGAACTTGGCTCAGAGGTCCATTGGGAGACTGAAATTTTTAAGGTGTTCTTATGGTCGCAAAAGCTGTCTATGGACAAAATTTCACCACGATTTGAAGTGTTGAGTAAAAAAGGTTCCCTTGTAAGCCTAAACCTTAGGTGGCTAAGCCTAAAGTCTGAACCTTAGGCTTAAGGTTAGGCTATGTCTAAATCTTAGGCTTAAGGCTAGGCCATGTCTAACTAAGCCTTAGACTTAAGGCTCACCTTGACTCCTTGCTCCAAATCATCCATCTCGGTTTGCGCACCAGTGTCACGCAACGAATCCACGTCATCCTCGATGAATCGCAAACGATGGCGAACAATTTCAGCATTCTGGCTGCGACTGGAAATTTAAAAAAAAAATTATTATTTTTTTGCGCGAACTCACATCGATTCGCCCGCCTCGCCGCTACTCGAATATCCGGAACTCGGTGAGAATGTGTGAAGTTGTGGCAGTGGGTAATCTGTGAAGAGAAATAATGCTTTTCCGCGTTTCCGCGACGCGCAAGTCCGCAGTCCGCAACTCACCTCCATTTGTGTTCGTCGAATACGACGTGACTTGTCCCGGACTCAGCGGTCCGCTTCGCAACGACGCGTACATTGTCAGATCGTGAAGCGACGCGGACTTCTTCTTTTTGCCGCGACGCGGTTGTGCGTCGCGGTAGCTGGCGACGAGTCGCTCCATCTCGCGATGTTGCCGTAGAGCGGCGATCGATTGAGCCGAATGACCGTTGTTGTTGATGAGGGTGGCGTCGGCGTGGCTTTCGAGCTGCAAGCATTGCTCAGGTTATTTCGGCATTGCTCAGGTTAGCATTTTCGAGGTCTTCATGAAATTTGGAGTCTTTAGACACCCAACAAGCCTAGGCTTTGTTCAAAAATTCATTTTAGATAGAGGATTGCTCAGGTTAACTTTGTTTTGGCTCAAAAATTTCGAACAATGATTGCTCAGGTTAACATTTTCATGAAATTTGGAGTTTTTTGACACCTAACAAGCCTAGACTTTGTTGAAAAATTCATTTTGGATAGGATTGCTCAGGTTAATTTGGTTTTTTTTGAATTTGGGATTGCTCATGTTAAAAATTGAGTTTTTTCACTCAAATTAAACCCAGGTTGATTATTGAAGCCTAAAAATCATTGCTCAGGTTAACTTTGTCTTTTTTTGAAATTTGGGATTGCTCAGGTTAACATTTTCATGAAATTTAGAGTTTTTTGACACCCAATAAGCCTAGGTTTTGTTAAAAAATGAATTTTAGGATCGCTCAGGTTAAAAAACCGGAAAAAACCATTGCTCATGTTAAACTTTTCAAGAATTTTGGGATTGCTCATATTATAAAACCCACCATAAACAACGCGCAATCCAAATGATTATTCATTGCGGCCAGATGAAGCGGTGTGTTGCCGCGCGAATCGCGCAGCGTCAACACGTAGCTTCGTTTCTTCTTGCCGAACGGCGAGAGCAGTTGAGCCAACACTTGAACACTTCCCGAATCTGCAAGAGGAGGCTAATATGAGCAATGCGCGGAAGATCCGCGCGGAAACTCACAGGCTGCACAGTGTATCGCGGTTGCTCGATCATTCGTCGTCCACAAAATCGCATCGTTTCCGGCGCGACTCAAAATCCAGCGAACAATGTGATCGTGACCGCAAAGGCAGGCGATGTGGAGAAGTGATTGACCTGTGACGTGGCATTTTTTGGCGCCAAAACAGTTCAATTAATTTTTTTAACTTCTCAAAAAAATCCCGGAAATTTTACGTTTCAAAAAATTTTGAATTATTCAAATTTTTTTCAACGAATTTGATTCAACATTTTTTTGTTCCACGTAAAAAAAACGATTTTTTGCCAATAACAAATTGGCTGCGTACCTATGAACATTAGATACTCAGTCAACCGAACAATTTGGCTGCGTACCTAGATACATTTGATACTCAGCCAAATTTCGAAAAAAAAAATGTAGGTCATTTTGTTGATTGAGTATCTAATGTTTCCCCAGAAGTACGCAGCCAAATGTTCTGTTCTCATGCAAAATTTGACTGCGTATCTAGATACATTTGATACTCAGCCAAAAGAAAATTGGCTGCGTTCCTCTAGATGCATTTGATACTCAGTCAACTTATTGATGTACGCAGTTGACTGAGTATTTAATGTTCACACACCTAGATTCTCACAATAGATTGAAGAACATTAGATACTCAGTCAACGAAAATTTGGCTGCGTACCTAGATGCATTAGATACTCAGCTAAAACTTACCTCGATGACTAACACTTCCCATCTCACTCTTCGCCTTCTCCACCAAAAATCGTACCGTACCCAAACAGCCTCCCTGAATCGCGTAGACACTTGGCGTACATCCGAACTCATCCCGGGCTGACACCATGTTCTGATCGAATTTGATGGCGGCGCGAAGGAATTCGAGATTTCCTGCGAAGAAAATAACATTGCTCAGGTTATATTCCACGTAGAATTTGGAGCATTTTGAGATCGAACACGATAGGTTTTGGAGAATTTTTGAAAATTTGGCTGCGTACCTATTTACATTTGATACTCAGTGAAGTTTGTTATAGTTAGCTGAGTATCTAATGTGAAAAGGTAAATGCATCTAGGTACGCAGCCAAATTGTTCAGTTGGCTGAGTATCTAATGTTCATAGAAACGCAGCCAAATTCACACAATAGGAAGAATTCAGCTACAACATTAGATACTCAGTCAACAAAAAAATCTAAATTTTGTTGGAAATTTGGCTGCGTACCTGAGATAATTGCCTGAGTATCAAATGTGTATAGGTACGCAGTCAAATTTTCACGAGAACAGAAAAACATCAGAGTGAACAAAAATTTTTCGAGAAAAAAATCCAAAAATTTTGAAAAATTTGGCTGCGTACCTATACACATTTGATACTCAGCTAACAAAATTATACAAACCTTGCGCAGCTGCCACGTGTATCGGCAGCATTTTACAATTATTCTCCAAAATCGCCAGCGACTTGCCGAATCGCTTCAGCAGCCACAGTGCAATTTGATTGTCGCCTCGCGCGACTGCCGCCATCAGGACTGAAGTTCCATTGATGTCTCTGCAAATGCAAAAATGAATCATTGCTCATATAAACTGGCTAACCTGAGCAATGCGGATTTCATGGCAATCTTCAATTCGGCTCCGCCCAACAATAGTTCGATGGCCTTCAAATCACCATGCGCCGCACAAATGTGTGCCGCAGTTTCGCCGTTTTGAGATTGGATTTGGACCAACTCGGGAAGTCTATCGATGAGGTATCTGGAACGGGGTACTGTAGAGATACTGTAGTTCAAGATACTGTAGTTCGAAACACTAACTGTAGATTACTTAGGTCTAGAATTCAGAAAATTAAAGTTCTTGTTACTGTATTTCTTCTCAGGATACTGTAGCTCAAAGTACTGTACTTAGGGGTACTGTAGATTAGGGTCGATTAGGTATCTAGAAAGATTGGGGTACTGTAGATTACTGTAGTTCAGGGTCGTTCAAAACCAGGCTATTTTTTCACTTGCAAAAAAAATCTTGGTCAGGTTACTGTAGCTCAAGGTACTGTAGATTAGCCTACTGTTTAACAGGGTCCTGTAGTTGTAAGATATTGTAGCTCATTAAGAGAGCAAGAGAATCTGGGGGGGGGGGGGGTACTGTAGCTCTAAATTACTGTAGCTCAGGGTACTGTAGCTAATTCAAAGTGCAAATTGGGAAGCTGAAGTTTAGGTTATTTTTTACTAGAGGTATTGTAGCTCGGGTTACTGTATGTTAGGATTTTGTCAGTGTGGCTCAGGATACTGTAGCTCTAGATTACTGTAATTCAAGGTTACCGTAACTCACTTCAAAATCTGCGCGTCTCCAACGCGCGCAGCCAAATGAAGAGCATTTTGACCCAGCGCGTCTTTTTCCAGCAAATCATTATTCGAAAATCTGGAATTAGGGTTAATTAGGGGGCCTAATTAATTAGCTAGCTAATTAATTAATTAATTAATACCTGGCTAAACATTGCAAATGTTTACGAGTTAATGAAGTCATAACATCATCGCATTTATGGTTTTCCGCGTCTTCCGCGTCCGCAACAATCTCAAGCGGAAAATATGCGCTGGAAAAGAATTTTTGAGATTTTTCCGCATGCGGAAAGGTTGCGGAAAACACTTACTCATCTTCCACTGAAGTCATATTGAATATTTTTGGACAGAATCAAAAAGGTTTTTTTGTTGAAAAATTAAATATTATAAGTTGTAGTAACTCGGGAAAATGTCAAAGTTAAGAAGTGAAACACACAAGAAATTTTTTTGAGCACAAACAAATCGAGCCGGTTTCTGTGTGTTCCCCGCCTTGCCAGAGAAAAGTAAATAATGAAAAAAGGTTGGAGGGAGAGAAGAGAAGAGAAGTTTGAAATGTGAGAAGAGATCTTTCCGCACGCGCGGAAGAACATTTCGCACCTTCCGCAAGAGGGTTTTTCAGGGGATGCGGATAACTATGAAGCAACACTACTTTATTGAAAAAAAGCCCAGATCTTAGTTTTAGCTTAGTTTTACTATTTTCTAGTTTGCAGAAAAAAATTCATTGAAAAACTGCAAAAAAAAAACACACAAATTCAAACAACGCGGGCTAGCGTCAACGCGGAGTCTCGTTGTTTTCTTTTTATTTTTTTTTAATTTTCGTAAAATGACAATTTGCATGGAGAAAACCGGTTTTCTGGGTAAGAAAATATGATTTGAAGAAGTATGAACAGGAAAAAAATGTTTCGAGGGGTACTGTAGCACCCAAAAGTGTTTGCACAATTTTATGAAATTGCGGATCGGTGCAACCTGCAAGCAATTTTCAAAAAAAATCATTTTTTTTCTCAAAATCGGTTAATTTCGCTGCGTATCTACTTGATACTCAGTCAACAAAAAAACAGGGGTACGGTATTTTGAAGAACCTTCGAGATCCACGTGGCTTAAAAATGCCTAATATGAGCAATGTTTTCGGAAAACCCATATTTTTTTGCACACGGTAACTATCTAGATAACCCATAATTATTTTTTCAGTATTTGTTTTTTTGTGCGCGGGGCGAAAATTGCTACCTTTTTGCCCCAAAAATATGCCCTTTTTTGAATTAAAGTGCACATTTTTAGCCGAAAAAAATAGAGGAACAGATGGATTTTTCGATGTTTTTCCAGACATTGTTTTTTGTCTCTCTCTGAAAATATTCATTTTTCTTTTTCTTCTTCTGGCAAAAAAAATTAATTAATTATCAAAAATAATTAATTTCCTCGTTTCATTTATCAAATATTTGCCTGCTGTTAGAAAAATCACCGCGTGGCCGAGTGGTTAGCATCTTCGCGTTCGAATCCAGATGTCATGGGTTCGATCCCGCTTGCGAACTTTTTATTTTTTTTCATTTTTCAACTGGTCTAAACAACACTCCGCTTTTTTGCAAACAACACTCCGCTTTTTGCACTTGCCCCTATTTTAACCATGGCGCGTTTTTTATTTTATTTTTCATTTTCTCTGTTTTTTCCACTGTTTTCCTCGTGATAAATGATGTTTCGAATCGTCGAAACAATTGATAAAAGATGAGCAGAAAGGTGAGGTGAACTTATTTATTGCTGAAGATTCTCATAATTCTGTATTTTAGGACATATCAAATTGCTCGTGAGATTTGTGAAATCTAAGTTATGTGTTGCGAGGGAAGCGCGAAAAAAGGTTTGTCTTTATCAGATATTAAAATACTAAATTTAGTTGAAAGAACATTCAAAATAATGATTTTTCTGAATGAAGACAACTGAACTTCGTCAGTCGCGTGCGGCTGTGCGGCGCGGTTGGAAAACAATAACTCTTTTTTTCCGACCGCGCCGCACAGCCGCACGCGACTGACGAAGTTCAGGTTTTTATTTTTTACGGCGGCCACATTTTTCAATAGTAGTTAGAATACTTATTCATGTTTTTTCTTTGGATGAACTTCAAATCTTGATGAAATTTTGTCCAAAGACAGCTGGGTCATAAGAACACCCTTAAAATTTTAGAACCTCTGAGCCAAGTTCTGGGCTCTCAAAAGTACAAAAATTGCAGAAATTTGCTCATAAAACACGTCATAAATAATTTCGAAGCTAGTTATGTGAAAAAAATTAGATTTCTCTTGATTTTTTTGATCAGTGCACTCGAAGTTCTCCTAGAATCGGCCAACCTCGACTTCAACATAAATTCAAAATGTTTTTGAATCAATAAAAATTTCCTATTTGCAATAATGTGTATGATTTTGATTACGGCGGATAACGTTTACGTTAACGTAGCACAGCTTGGTCGAGTGGTTAGCTTCATTGACCTCTAATCTAGAGGTCACGCGTTCGATCCCGCTAGCAAACTTTTATTTTATTTTTTTCTTTTTCAATAAAGAGTAGAAAAAATTAATTTGCTCACATTCATTTTTTCTCAGGATTCTCATGATTTTCTTTTTGAGCCTTTTCTGTTTTTTTTCAGCCTCAGCTTTTTTTTCGCTTCTTCTTCTTCAATATTTAATAAATAATTCATTCTTGAGCCTGGCTAGAAAAACAACAACTCCTAGGCGAAAAAAGAAGGAAGAGGAGATGACTTTTTTTTTGATTTCATGGTCCCATTGCTCATATTAGATAGGTCTTTTTTTCCACGTGGATGGAAAACATTTGAAAAAATTTAAAATTTGATTTTTTTGCCACGTAGCAAGATTTTTCCACCTAAACTCAAGCTACAGTACTCCTCTGACCTCCAATTTTGGCGCCGAAATTTTATTTTTGATCTTTTCTCTTTTGCTCCCCCCATTTTGTGCTTTTTTTTCGGCCCCAATTCAATTATTCGGCCTCCAAAAATGCAACCTCGGCGAGGAAAAATTGGATTTTTTTTTTATTTTTTCCAAAAAAATTGCTTTTATTTTCTTTTATTAAGTGCTTTTTTGACAAATTTTTTTGAAAAGAAAAAAAAAATTTTGCACTTTTTTTCGCTCAAAATTTTTGTTGAAACTTGATTTTTGGCTGAAAATTTCTGATTTGTTTTCGAGTAGCTGAAAATATGGAAAAAAGGAACGAGAAGATTGAATTTTTATTGTTCTCGATGATTTTCCATTTTTTTTTTGATTCTGAGACGAAAATAAATATTATGAGATGCGGAGAAGGCCAAAAATCATATTTTTCGCGTTTTTCTAGGCTTAAAATTAGGCTAGCAGGCTTCAAAGCCTAGTTTTCAGCCTTAAATTTAGGCTTCCGCATTTGCAGATTTTTTTTTTGAAAAAAAACTTTAAACATACATTTCCTTGGTCACGAAAAAAGAAAAAAAAACAAAAATTTATAGTTTTCGAAAAAAAAATTGTATTAATTTTATTTTTCTCTGGATTTTTCAAACACTTAGGCTTATTTTAGGCCTAAGACCTAATAGGCTTGAACTTCAACCTTTTTTTTCTCAAAAAAAAATAATAATAATGTGAAAATTGCCGTAATTTTCTGCCAAGTTCGGTGCAATAAATCAAAATTTTAGAACTTTTTTTCTGAAAAAAAAAGAAAAGTGCAGCCGCAATTTTGCATTCGTGGAAGCTTTGCCACGTGTCAAAAATATGTATAGAAACCCATTAAAAAAGTTGTTTCAAAATAATGTTTTTATTGGTTCCTCCTAGAGATTGCTAAGCTAAGTACTTATGTTAGTTGAAAATTTTTTCGAGCGACGAAAGTCGCGAGTGTAAATCGCAAGAAGCCTAAGCCTAGGCTTAAGAGCCTAACCTTAATAAGAGCCTTAAATTTAAGGTTAATTGTAAGCCTAAATTTTAAGGTTGAGCCCTTGATTTTTGTACAAAATCATGATTTACCTAAGCCTCACGGCCCTTTTTGCTAAGCCCAAATCTAGGCCCAATTCAGCTAGGCCTATCTGAGTTAGATTCGTCTAAGCCACCTTTAATTCAAAGCCCAGGCCCAAGCCTAAAAAGCCTGCAGCCTGAAAGTCGATCTCCTTTTCTTGCTGAAACATTTCTCCTTCCTGTGCCATCCCTTTTTGCTCTTTTCGTGCTCCAGGAAATGTAATTTTTTGCTCTGCTCTCCGAGCAAACGAAATTTAATCTCGCGCGCACCCAAAAAGTAAGCATAGTTTTTCACTTTTTTTATGGTCCGACCAGCAAAAAATGTTTTAAGTATTCCGAAATGAGAATTTGATGAAATTATTCGGCTTGCGAAAAATTTAATTTATTTTTTTGCGCGCGCGAAAAACAAAAAAAAATTTTTGGCACATACACACACGGAAAATTTAATTCCGGGATTTTTAATGAGATACTTTTATTCATTTATTTTCGAGGTTCTTTATTTTTTAAGATATTTGAGCCTAATCCACGTGGATTTCTAATCTGAGCAATAATTTTCCAGAAATTTTCTTGAAGTTCTGAAAATTTTCAAAATTATTAAGCTGAGCAATACTTTTTTTTCTGAAAAATAAGCCTAACATGAGCAATCCTTCATTTTTGGGCTCATTAATAAATCCACGTTTTTTTAAATTTCTGAAAATTTTGAAAATTTCTTAGCTGAGCAATCATTTTTTAGAAAATACAGCCTAACATGAGCAATCCTCCAATTGTTGGCTCTTAAACAAATCCACGTGGATTTTTAACATGAGCAATCATTTTTCAGAATTTTTTGAAGTTCTGAAAAATAAGCCTAACATGAGCAATCCTTCCTTCTTTTTTTTCTTGAAACATTTTTTTAATGAGAAAAAATAATATATTTTTTCCGAACATTTTGATCTTGATTTGAATTTCTAATTTTCGCGCCGCTCACTTTTTTTCCCGCTATTTTTTGAGCTCAAAAATCTAATTTTTCTCAATAAAAAAGCCACGTCATTCCAATTTTTCGCGCAAAAAAAGAAAATTCAAAAATTTTCAGATGAACTTCACTGAAAACTCAACCGAAATTCAAGATTTCGGCGATCCTTGTGAATATGTTCTTCTACAACCCTCAATGCTCAAAATGCGAGTTTGGATGGTTTCGATTTTTGGATCGACAATCTCGTTCATTTCAATGATCGAGAACATCTTCCTTTTTGGCATTTTTGTCACCAGGTTTGGCTGAAAATCGGATTTTTGTCTGAAAATTCGAATTCTCTGGGAAATTTCGCGTTTTTTAACACCAAATGTTGATATTTTCGGGAAAAATTTAATCTGAGCAATCATTTTCATAAAGAATTTAAGATTTTGAGAAATTTCTGATATGAGCAATGCTTTTTCGAATTATTTAACATGAGCAATCCTTAGAATGATTTTCCTAAGCCTATTGGGTGTCAAACAGGGCTGGTCGGAATTGACCTTTCGGAATTTCGGAAGTCCCATTTTCACTCTCGATTTTTTTTTTCGGAATTTCGGCGTTCCGACTTTTTATTCCGAATAATTTTTCGATAGTTCGGAATTCCGATTTTTCTTCCGACTTTTTTTTCGGAATTTCGGAAGAAACTCGGAAGTCCAAATGTGCAGGAAAAAACTGGAAAACGACATTTTTCGATGAGTTATCAGAACAATTATAGTAAAAATATTTGCGAAAAACTGAATCTTGTTCTTTAGTTCATCAAAGACAACACATTTTTGTCTATTATCGATTATTAAGAAAATTTTCACCGTCATTTTAGTTTTAAAATAAAGTTTTCTTTATAAAAGCATAGATTCCGATATTCCGAAATTTTTCGAAAGTGATTCCGACAAAAAAGTCGGAATGAAAAAAAAGTCGGAACGAGAGTCGGAATTCAAGAAATTCCGAGTTTTTCTTTCGGAAGTGCTTCCGACCAAACTACACTTCCGAAAAAACGTCGATTTTCGGAATTTCGGAATTCCGATATTCCGATTCCGACCAGCCCTGGTGTCAAAAAACTCCAAATTTCACAAAGACCTCAAAAATCTTAACCTGAGCAATCCCAGATATTATTTTTTTGAATTGTTTAACATGAGCAATTCTAAAATCAACTTTTCCTGGGCTCATTTGGTGTCTAAAAACAGCAAATTTCACAAAGACTCCAAAAATCTTAACCTGAGCAATCCTATAATTTTCCAGCCGCCGTCACCGTCGTGAAAACGTCTACATGATGCTTCTAGCATTTTTCGACATTTTCGTCTCAATGGCCTATATTTTGCTAATGTCCGTAAATGTTTTGTCCGATTATTTTCTAGCACCATTTCTGGTGTCAATTTGGTATTTCTATATGATTCCGATTATAACAATATCACATATTGCTATGACGTCATCAAGTTTTTTGATTGTTGCCGCAAGTTTTGAGCGATATTGTGCCACTTTGAATACGAAGAATATGCGATTTGCGCAAAAGTGGGTTTGAGAAAAATTCTCCACATTTTTCTGAACAGTTTGGTGTATTTTTTGACCCATTCCAAGCAAAAAATACGGGTTTTCGCTGCGAGACCCAACATGTTCCTTTAAGAAATTTTTTAAAATAGATTTGTTGCCCCCAAAAAAATTCTCCACATTTTTCTGAACATTTTGGTGTATTTTTTGAGTTATTTTGGGCAAAAATAAGGGTTTTCGCTTCGAGACCCAACATGTTCCTTTAAGAATATTTCAAAAACAGATTTGTTGGAACCAAAAAAATTCTCTACATTTTTCTGATAGTTTTGATGTATTTTTTGCCTCATTTCAAGCAAAAATAAGGGTTTTCGCTTCGAGACCCAACAATGATCAGAAAAATGTGGCGAATTTTTATTCTATAAAAATGTTAAAGGCACATAGCAGGTCTCGAAGCGAAAACCCCTATTTTTGCTCTAAATATGGCAAAAAATACACCAAAATGATCAGAAAAATTAGAGGAATTCGAATTTTCAGAAATCGCAAGCTCATCGCCGGCTTCGCAGTTCTCCTCGGCGTCATTTCGAAAGGAACCATGTGTCTCGAATTCGAGTTGGTTTATCATGAGCAATGCGCCGGCAAAATGACGGCCACCACTATGAAATTCCGGAGTTTCGTATTCGACACACCCTATCATTATTATTTCCGATTTTTGTGAGTTTTGCGGGCATTGCTCAGGTTAGACGGGAAATTTGCTGTTTTTAGACACTAAATAATCCTAGACCGCAAGCTTCCGCGACCTTCCGCCTCCCTTCCGCAACCAACATTCTTTTTTTCAGATACCGTAACTTTGTCACAGTCTTTGCTCCATTTTTCATCCTCGTCTACCTTAATTTCCGCATCGTCCGCGCACTTACAACCTACACAACAGCTACAGTATGCCTGGTGTCAAGCGGAACCGGCGCGGATTTGCAGAAGCGGAAAGCGAACGCAAGAGCCGCAACGCGCACGTTGGTTGTTGTTGGATTCACCTACATCGCCTCCAATATTATCAATGTTACGCTAACTTCGTTGGAACAAGCGCATGATGATATTTCGCAACAGTATCCGAGGTTTGCGGAAGAGCGGAAGGAAAACTTGAATTTTTTCGTGAAAATAAAATTCTCCAATTTTTTCTGATCATTTTGATGTATATTTTACCCCATTTCGAGCAAAAATAAGGGTTTTCGCTGCGAGACCCAACATGTTCCTTTAACATTGTAAGAAAAATTTTCAAAAATCGATTTTTTAGCTTCAAAGTACATCAAAACGATTAGAAAAATGTGGAGAATTTTTATGGGTCAAAAATTCTGATTCAAATACCAGAAATTCTAAAGATGATTTCAAAATTTGTGAAATTTAGAGCATATTGAGCCCAAACATGTGAATTTTCAGAATTCCAAAATTTTCAAACAAAAATCAGATTCTCCTAATTTTTCTGATCATTTTGATGTATTTTTGCCCCATTTTGAGCAAAAATCAAGGTTTTCGCTGCGAGACCCAACATGTTCCTTTAAGAAAAATTTTCAAAAATCGATTTTTTTAGCTTCAAAATTCTCAAGAAGTACATCAAAATGATCAGAAAAATGTGGTAAATTTTTATGGAGCAAAAGTTCTGATTTTAAAAAATTTGAGTTTGAAACATGTTTTTTTTGTGAAATTTGGAGCATTTTAAGCCCAAACATGATATATTTTCAGAATTCCAAAATTTTAAGAGAAAAATTAAAATCCTTCATTTTTTTCTGATCATTTTGATGTATTTTTTGCCCCATTTTGAGCAAAAATAAGGGTTTTCGCTGCGAGACCCAACATGTTCCTTTAAGAAAAATTTTCAAAAATCGATTCAATATTCTGAAAACTGCTCAAGATGTACATCAAAGTGATCAGAAAAATGTGAAGAATTTTCATGAGTCAAAAATTGCAGCCTCTACATAATCGCCATTGATTTGGTATCGCTGCTAACGACATTCGCGTGTGCCGCGCGACTTCCCATCTACCTTTTCTGTCAACCTGTGCTACGCAATGAGATTTTCGAGCGACTCAAGCGATTTTGTGTGAGTTTTGCGCGAATTCGTCGCAGACTTTAAACTAAGAAAATAAAAATTTTAGTCCCTTCAAAAATCGCCAAAAACCGATGAAAAATTGGGCGAGCGCTTGAGATCAATGGAAACCGACACAAGTTATTTGAGCGGCGAAAAATCGACAAAATCGCTGCTCGCCGCCGAAACTGTGCCGATTGCCACGATTCCGGAATTGGATGCCAATTGCGAAAAAGATGCGGTTCGACAAATTCTACAACAATCACCATATGAAACTTTGCTTTGAGAGGAGAAAATGAAGATTTTTTGAATATTTTTCAGAGTTTTATTGTTAAAACTGTGGTTTACTAAAATAATGAAATCAAAGTTTGCTTCGTGTAAACTCAGAACACCAAATTTTCTCAAAAAAACTTACATTTCCTCCAAAATTATTTGACCAAAATTGTTCTCTGACGATTTTCCTGTAATGCATAAGGTAGCAAAATCTATATAAAGTAAACCAAAAGTAAGAAAAAGTCAAAAGAAAACACATTTTTCCATGTAATATCTTTTTGAGAACCAGTTTTTGTATAAAACGGCCAAAAATCAACTAAAATTATGCTAGTTCCATTCAAATTCATGAAAAAACAACAAAAAAATACGCGAAAAAAACATTTTTCGAAAAACAAAAACAAGAAAATAAAAGTAAAAATGGAAGTGCGCCCCATTGATAAAAATTTTATGTCTCGCACTCTCTCAAAAATGTGTTGTGTTTCGTCGTTGCAAAAAAACATAAAATCAAAATTTAAAAAACGTGAAACGTGTCCTAGTTTCAACAACAAAAAAGACGTGGAGGCTCAGTTGGAGCACAAAAATCAGTTTTTATATTTGTTTGGCTCGACAACTGGTCGGATGATTGGTTCGGTGAGTTTGACTGCATTGTACAGCACACTTTACATGGCAAAACGAGTCTGTAATGAATCCTGCAACACGGCATTTTAGAATAGAATTTCAAAATCTCATAAAATCCAGTTTTTTTCCAGATTTTCCCTACATCCACACCTTCACCAACTTGTCATGCATGTATTTCTTTTGAATAACGAATGTAAACTTAAATGTGGTTTCTCAAATGTCTTTTGATTAAATAAAAACTTTGATTTTTTGGGTTCCTTTCAATTTATTTATTTTGGTGTCACAATTCAGATTTTATCTTTTTCTTGAGATACAGTAACCCGAACTGCAAAAAAACTATATGAATTTTCTTTTTTTATTGAAAATTTGGATTTTTTGAATTACAGTTAAAGGTTTGCAGTTCGGCTTACTGTAATTTAGAAAACTAGATTTTTGAACAAAATTTTACAAGAATGCACATGATTTTTCAGCCCTACAGTAATCCGAGCTGCAAATTCGGAACTGATCCAAAATCTTTTAAATTAATAGGACCTTTTTATATTGATCCGATTATTTTAGAATTTCAGTAATCAGCTCAGAATTTGCAGTTCGGATTACTGTAGGGCTAGCAATTCTGTGCAATCTGAACATTTTTGCAAAAATCATTTTTGTCGCAGGTTTAGGTTTTCAAATAAAAATTTAAAAAAAAACAATTTTAGGTTTTTTCAAAAAGAGATTTTTCAAGCTAGAAAATCGATTTTTGAAAGCGACACAGGCAATTTTGAGGGTCTTTGGTTTGAGGGTCAAATGGTCTAGAAAATCAAAATATTCAATGAAAAACTAGGCCACAGCTTAGAAATCCAGAAAATTTTAATTTTTGCGAGTTTCCGCGCGGAAACCTAATTTAGCGCAAAATTATCATTTTTTTTTCAGATTTGCTGAATCTTCAACCCAAAAATCGACGGATTTTTAAATTTTTAATGTTGAATTTCGGATTTTTAACAAATAAAACCAGAAGGGCTCCGCCGGCTATCGCCGGCTCCTCCTTCTGGGTTGTCGCGGCTTCGCGCTCAGTGTTCTTTTGATAAACAGTTCGTTTCTTGGAAGTACTGTTAGGAATGGAACTAAACTTTTTTTCATTGAGATTTTGAACAATTTGTTGAAAACCCGAAATCATGTATCAAAATATTTAACATGATCGCTTATCTCAACGAACTGTTTATCAAAAGAACACTGAGCGCGAAGCCGCGACAACCCAGAAGGAGGAGCCGGCGATAGCCGGCGGAGCCCTTCTGGTTTTTTTTCAACCTACATCTAAACTTTTAATAAAATCACGAACAATGGTATTTGAGATATTTTTGTGATCACACAGCCGCTCTAGTCTTTTTCAACAGATGGCAAAAAATCACTAAACGATTGCTAAACGAAACCCTGAGCCTAACATTTTATAACTTTGATAAGAACTCTCAGCTCATTGGGGAATATTTGAGAACCCCATAGAATTTCAGTTTTTAAAGATTTAACAGCAGCCGCTGAAAAAACTAACTTTAAAAATTGCATAAGAATTCAAAAAATAATATTTTTGTGTGCACTTTTTTTTGAATATTGCGGTTTTCAGCACCTGCCTTTTTTGATAATTGTAAACCTTCTTAGGTTTCCAACAAACACTATGCAAGTGTTATTTTTCACTCGGGAAAGTAGTGAATATAACGGAAAGCCTTGCTCTGGCTTGACACGGCTTTCGCCCATCAGAGACTGGTTTTTTTTAATATGGATTTCCAAAATGGGTCTGTCAGTTTTAAGAGAAAAGCGTCAGTGCTTAAATTTTCGTTTTTTTTTCGAAACGAATATGCAATAATTTTTCAAATTCTTGCGAAAAAACGATTTTCAAAAATTTCTAAAACGAAACATCACCAAATCGAAATTTGACATCGGAATTTGTTAACAATAGTTCAAAATGCAAATTTAGTGATGAATTAGACATAAAAACTGTGATTCAATCAAGATTAGCTTCTAAATACTGATTTTTGATGAAAAATTGAATAATTATGAAATGTTGATTCAGAAGTTCGCTATATCTTGAATTTTATGATTCAAAACACATGTCAATATCGTTATTAGGGTAACTCAATTCAATATTTATAACAATCGAGGCTAATTCTCATTTTTGGGTGGGGGGTCCTATCTTTATTGGACGCTCGAAAATCAGCATTTTCACGTCACGTGTAGACCTCACAAATCATAGGAATGTGTTTCCTGGGTTATTTTTTGATTTAAAAACGATTCACATTCTCAAATATTAGTCATCTATACCGTTTCATTGGAAATCTCAAATTCTAGGGGGGTCCTATCTTTATTGGACGCACTGTAGAAGAAATCCGTTAAAGTTCTCAAAATTCCACGGTTTTCGAGTACTCAAATTTTCTTTAGTTTTTTCATTAAACAGATTTCAAGATAGAGATAATGTAAAAGGACAAATGATAAAAAGACATCTTCTTCCATGTGGATTCCGAGCAAAAAAAGTTGTGCTTATTTGAAAGAGCATGTTGCAATTAGTACAATCCTCGAAGGATTTTTCTGAAAGCTTCTCAAACATTTAATCCAAGCTACAGTACTTATGGACTTTTGAGCCATTTTACACGGTGTTTCACGGATTTTTTGAAATTTACAGTTTTTTAATTAATGTTTGAGAAGCTTCCAGAAAAAATCCTTCGAGTATTTTACTAATAAGAACATGCTCTTTCGAATGAACACAACTTAATTTGGCTCTAAACGGAAAAAGAGGGTTTTAGGAAAAAAAGAGGGGTTTTGCAAACTTTATGCTCTCAAATGTGGGAATATTTTCACTTTTCATAAAATTTAAGCGCAAGGATCAGATTGAGCTCGAAATTCTGAACAAAAGCTACTTCTGAAACCAATTTTTGAATATCATTTCAAGCTTCTAAAAAATCAAGTTTTTGAAAACCCCTCTTTTTTTCCTAAACCCCTCTTTTTTCCTAAACCCCTCTTTTTTTCCTAAACCCCTTTTTTTTTTCCTAAACCCCTCTTTTTCCGTTCAGAGCCCTTAATTTTTGTTCGGACTCCACCTTCAGAAGCAACTTCATCTCTTCCCCTACTCCTAATTTCAGAAAGAGTCCTTTGAGATAAATCCTTTATCCGATATTTTGCCTCTTCCAGACTTCCCACCCCGACCTCTTTCAGTTTCGACTTTTCTTTTCGTTTGGCGCCGAACCGGCTCTTGATCAGCTAGCCTAAACCTAAACCGAAACTCACGATAGAATACGATTCAGTTCGCCTTCTTCACTTAATTGGAAACTGCTTTCATCTGAAGTTTCAAATAACTAATGAAAATACAGTAGTTCAACTCACTTTGTTTTCTATTAATTTAGCCAACCGATTAGGAAGAAGCTATTATCGAGAAATGCCCAAAAATTGGTCTCTATGATTTCGAAAATAGAACGAACAGATAAGAAACGTGTCCTTTATTTTTTTTTTGGAATAAAAACGTGCTCATTCTTTTTTCCATGAAAAAAGTTTTGAATTTTCACGTGAAAACTCGCACACTTTTAGAAAAATCGAATATTAGCGCATCGATGGGGAAGGATTTGGGATAGAATGGTGAAAGTATCATGAAAAACGGCCTTCTGGGAGTTGAGAAAAGTCGAGCGACACATTTTAAAACCCAAAAATACATTGAAAATTTTGGATTTTTTTAAACTTTGATTTTTTTCGCGCACTTATCAAAAGAGTAGAAAATGATACATGGCTTCCCCACCAAGTAGACGTAATTTCCTAACGTTTAGTTCAGGAATTTTGAATTTTCATGCTCTGGGAGTGAAATGCGGGCTCTGGACACACATTTTTTATTTTTGTCAATTAGTATATAGTAAGATTGCTATTTTTCCGAATTTTCTGGTTAAAAAATATATAAATATCGATTTTTCTTCGAATTCGAAGAGAGAAAGACAAAGAGAAAAAAACTGCAAGTAAAAATTTCATTCACAAGAAAAAAAAGAATGAAATTAAAGCCAAAACTGGCATGACGAGTTGGTGTGGTGCGGATGAAGAACAAATCTGAAAAAAAAAACAGAATTTTATTAGATTTTGGAGAATTTTGTAGTGACCCTTTGGACATTTTTAGAGGAATCCGACTAACCTTCACGCAACCAACACAAAAACACACATAAATACTAGTATAGACGAGTAGAGACGAACTATTCCTTGCCAATTTCAAAATTTTTGGCGCCTTCCATCTCGCCCCCATCATATTTGGCCGGATTTTCGCCATCTCCATCAACTTCGGCCTCTTTCAGCCCGATTCCATCATTCTCCGCCGGGTTTTGACCGAATCCACGATATACAAGCAAATGCTCAGGCATGGGTTGAAGCGTGAAGCGCCCCTTCAACAATCCATCTTTATCGAAAGTTCCGACACGCTTTTTGCCCTTTTTCTTTCCATCTTTTCCGGCATTCTTTCTTCCTTTCCCATTATCCTTCTTTTCCACAACTTTCTTATTCGACTTTTTCGATTTCTTTCCGGATTTTTCAACCTTCTTTTCCTTCTTTCCAGACTTCTCATCCTTTTTTCCCGACTTCTCATCCTCCTTTTCTGACTTTTTCGATCCTTCTTCCTTCTTTCCTGATCCCTCTTCCTTCTCCTTTTTCTTTGCCTCTTTCATTTTCTTCGCTCCCTCCTCTCGTTTCTTTCTTATCAGTTTGTCGGCATAATCTTGATCGTCGATCATTCTTTCGTATTCCTCGTCGGTGTACTCAAGGGGGATGTTTCTTGCTTGCATAAGATACGCCGACGGGCTCTTTTCCTCAGCCTTTTCCAACGATGTCATTCTGTCTCTTTCAGATGGAGTCATTTTTTGAGCTCTCTCAAGACCTGGATGAGCGTATGCGGGCTTATTGACATCGATGTCGATGTTGTCTAATTTGACACCGCAAACTGTCTGTCCATCGGCTGTCGGCATGCGTTTTCCATGGTAATCGACGTATTTTATCGGCGCTGTTAATTTCATCTCCGACTTCTTTGAGTTGAGTTCTTTAGCTTTAGCTTCCGCTTTGGCTTTGGCTTTAGCTTCAGCTTTAGCTTTCGCTTCTGCTTCTGCTTTCGCCCTCGCCGCAGCTTCCGCTTCCGCTTTCTCCTGTTCCTCTGCTATCTTGTTATCATGCTCGATTTTTTTCATATCATAATAATGATAAACCCAAACAGCGATAATAGCAACAAGCAACAAAGCACTAATCCCCCACAAAATCCATAGTTCAATTGGAATTCCATCCGATTCCTCGTCAGGTTCTGAGGAAGATGATGACGATGTTGTTGTTGTTTTATTTTTGAAAATCTCGGAGACACTGAAAATAAATCGATTTTTGCAAAAATATTGATTGATTTTGAGTGAAACTTACATCTCATTTGCAAATGTTTCGAGTGGTTGCGAGGTGGCGGCTGAAAAAAAAGATTATTGAGGAAAAATACGCGAGATTTTGAGAATTTTATCGATTTCGAATCATTTTTCAAAGATTTTCGCAAATTTTTTGATGAAAAAGATTGAAAAATGCAAGTCTGATCGAGTTTTCAGCAATTTTCAGAGGTTTTTCTTGCTCGATTCGAACAAAAACTCACCTGATGAATCAATCGCAATGAAGTTGCCATAGTCATCCAACATTGATAAAGATAGGATGCCAGTCCCAATTTTTTTATAAAACAGAAACCATTTGTTGAGTTTGGAATCCAGTCCTGGGCATACTTCTGCTAAATCGATTAAAATGATATAATGAACATTTTTATATTGTTTGACGTGCGCATTATCCTTATGTGCTGCAAGATGTTTCTTCAAGCGTTTGCATGTGTCTTGATTTGTTGATCGTGCAGTCGGTTTCGCAAGTTTGTCCACAATTTTCCCACTATTCACAAAATCAGCATCAGTAAATGGAATTGGCTGATCTTGTCCAAAATAAAAAAGATGTGTTTTGATGTTATTGGCAATTGGAATCTCGCAGGCAAATTGTTTGAATAGATAACTTCTTGCTTTTATCTGAAATGAATAAGTTATAGGATTATTACCAAAAAAATGCGGACTTGTTTTGTCACCTAGAAGCACATCCCATTCAAACTCACCAAATCAGGATCTGCTATATGATCGAAAACAAAAGCAATGAGTGTGTTATCATTCATGGAATTTGTTGCGGTTTTCGGTGTGCAAGTTGGAAGTTGTGTGTTAGCATTTGGAGATGGTGTTTGTTGAACCATGGATCCAATCCAAAAGAGTCCAAAGATGACGGGGAATTTCATAGCTAGTAGTCGAACTGAAAAAGTAAACACTGATGATGTTGCGCTCGAAATGATACACGTCATCTTTTTCGAAACTAGGTCACGTTTCACGTGAATTTTATTTATTTATTTTTGTTTTTCTTTTTGAGAGAAAAACCCAACGGCTTATTAAGGTTCCTATTCCCCGGCTATATTTAGTGAGAACCCTAAGAATCCCCCAAAATACCTTCCAATTTCTCCGGAGAGTCTAGTTGTCGAAGCGAAATAAACTGATACTGATTTCGGCTGCTCTAGATATTAATCTACGTCATCATTTCGAAACTGGGACACGTTTCACGTTCCACGTTTTTTCGAAAATTTACTGTTTTTCTTTTTGAAAAACCTTTTTCGAGCCTATTTTCAGTAGGAATTCATGAATTCTCGCCAGTTTTTTGGCGTCTTCACTACGGTACACAAAATGTGCATTTGTGCGTCGCGGTGTTTGCAGGCCAAGCTATTATTTCAGCGCGTTTTCAGCAATTTTTCAGCAAAAAAGCAAGTTAGAGGGAATTTCAGGGAATTTTGAGCATATCAGCTGATTTGTCTCATTGAGATCAATCAGAACAACTATCTACTTGATTCTAACCAGCAATTTCAAAATAGTTAGAAGCTAAAAAGCAAAAATTTGCAGGAATTCAAGTTATTAGGAAAAATAATAATGATTCTCGTTTTCAAAAGCTTCTTAAGGTCCCTATTTCCCGATTATGTTTAGTGGGAAGCCAGAGAATCCCCAAAATACCTTTTGATTTCTCCGGAGAGTCTAGTTGTCGAAGCGAAATAAACTGATACTGATTTCGGCTGCTCTAGATATTAATCTACGTCATCATTTCGAAACTGGGACACGTTTCACGTGCCACGTTTTTTTCGAAAATTTTCTGTTTTTCTTTTTGAAAAACCTTTTTCGAGCCTAATTTCAGTAGAAATTCAGGGGAATTTTGAGTATATCAGCTAATTCTTCTCATTGAATTGAATCAGGAAAACTATCTACTTGATTCTAACCAGCAATTTCAAAATAGTTGGAAGCTAAAAAGCAAAAATTTGCGGGAATTCAAGTTATCAGGAGAAATAATACTGCCTTTCGTTTTCAAAAGCTTCTTGAGGTTCTCATTCCCCGGTTATATTTAGTGGGAACCCTCAGAATCCCCTGCATACCTTTTGATATCTTCGAAGCGTCCAGTAGCGGAACCAAAATAAATTGATACTGATGGTTTTGTGCTCGAACTGAGCCACGTCATCTTTTCGAAACTGGGACACGTTTCACGTTCCACGTTTTTAAAATTTTGAATTTATGTTTTTTTTTCTTTTTTTTTGATTATGCGGAATATTTCGAGGCTTCGGGAAAACTTCCGGAAAAATGAACAAGTTCACATTTTTGATTGAAATGCTGGATTTTTGAATTACAGTATAATATTTTTTCATCAATGTAATTCACAAAACTAGATTTTTGAACGAAATTTTACAAGATTGCACATATTTTTATACATTAGCCATACACTGCTCACATAATGCACGATCTTCGCGTCAAAATCTGGTTTAGAAGTTGCAAAATTCAAAAATCTACGATTTACTAAAGCCATTTTTCACTGTTTTTTTCGAACTTCTAAATCATCTCCGATGAAGAATCTATTGAAAAACTCAAAATGTTTTGGATAAAAAATATTTATTTAAAAAAACGCACGAAATTAAGTTTAATTTGAAAAAAATCGAGTTTGTGACCTTTTAACAGGCGTCATCATCAAAATCGTACTTTCTTGTCTTCTTCTGTGTGGTCGTTGTGCTCAAATCAGCCCGTGTTTCAGTGACATACGAATTGGCTTGAGAAGAGGTGTTATTAGTCAAAACACTTTGAGCACTTCCACTTTTTTCTGCTTTTTTCGGTTTTGGCGGCGGTTTTGAAATTGGTTTTGGAAGTTGAGCAGGTTTCGAAGCATTTTCTTTTGCCTTTGCTTTTGCTTCAGCTTCCGCTTCCGCTTTCTCCTTTTCCTCTGCTATCTTGTTATCATGATTTATTTTTTTCATAGCATAATAATGATGAACCCAAACAGCGATAATAGCAACAAGCAACAAAGCACTAATCCCACACAAAATCCATATTTCAATTGGAATTTCATCCGATTTCTCGTCAGGTTCTGAGGAAGACGACGATGTTGTTGTTGTTTGACTGTCGAAAATCTCGGAGACACTGAAAATAAATCGATTTTTGCAAAAATATTGATTGATTTTGAGTGAAACTTACATCTCATTGGCAAATGTTTCGAGTGGTTTCGAGGTTGCGGCTGAAAAAAAGGATTATTGGTGAAAAATACACGAGATTTTGAAAAATTTATTGATTTCGAATCATTTTTCAAAGATTTTCGCAAATTTTTTGATGAAAAAGATTGATAAATGCAAATCTGATCGAATTTTCAACTGTTCTCAGAGGTTTTTCTTGTTGGATTCAAATAAAAACTAACCTGATGTATTGATATTAATGAAGTTGCCATAGTCATCCAACATTGATAAAATCGTGCGGGCATTGTTAACTTTATAAAACAGAAACCATTTGTTGAGTTTGGAATCCAGTCCTGGGCATACTTCTGCTAAATCGATCACAATGATATAGTGAACATTTTTATATTTTTTGACATGTGCATTATTCTTGTGAGCTGCCAAATGTGTTTTCAAACGTTCGCATCTCGGATCTAAATTATCTCGCGCAGTAAATGGATTTGTTAGTTTTTCCACAATTTTTCCGCTATTCACAAAATCAGCATCGGTGAATGAAGTGGGTTCATTTTGCCCAAAATGAATAAGATGTGTTTTGATGTTATTGGCAATTGGGATTTCACATGCAAATTGTTTGAACAGATAACTTCTTGCTTCTGACTGAAATGAATAAGTTATAGGATTATTCACACAAAAGTGCGAACTTGTTTTGCCTCGTAGAATTTCATTAAAACTCACCAAATCAGGATCTCCTTCATAATCAAAAACAAAAACAATAAGTGTATCTTCATACGTGGAATGTGTTGTTTTCGGTGTGCAAGTTGGAAATGGTATGTTGACATTTGAAGAAGGCGTTTGTTGAATTGAAAATCCAATCAAGCACAGTCCAAAAATTATAGCAAATTTCATGATTGTTCAAATCAGACGAGAAAGTGAAGTGAAAAAAATAAAAACTGATTTTTTTTCGGTCGAATAGATCCACGCCATTTTTTTCGAAACTAGGTCACGTTTCACGCAAATTTTATTTTTTAAATGTTTTTTTCTGTTCCTTTAAATTTTTTTTGGTGATTACCGTAAATTCAAATGTTATTTTTAATTTTAAATTTTTTGATTTAAATTATTCCGATACAAAAATTCTGAGAGCTTCTGAAAAATTCTGGAGTAAATGTACTTTTGCAGTTTGCATTACTGTAGCCGATTATTTTACATCTACATCATCTCCAAGTTCGCAGTTCGGATTACTGTAGTGCTAATGGATCATGTGCAATCTAGAATTTTATTCAAAAATCTAGAATTCTGAATTACAGTAAACCGAACTGCAAGCAATTAATGATAATTTTATAAGTACTGTAATTCAAAAATCCAGATTTTCAATGAAAAAATAAATAATTCTATTTTTGCAGTTCTCTTTTTGTTTGAAAATTCTAGAATTTAAAATTACAGTAACCAGAATATTAAAAAATTCTGAAAAAAATTTCTAAAGCCTGGAAAATCGTGTCTTGATGTTTCCTCTTCTTCTCCGTCTTCTTCATCGTCAAAAAACCAAAAACGTCGGCGAAAAAACTCGATCCGAATAAACAGTTTCTGTCTGCCGCACTCTCTCCTTTCCCCACACTATTTCGTCGCACTTTTTTGCCCCCAAGGCCATAAAAAATAAAAAGTTTTTCCCTTTTTTTTGTTGGCCAGTACTGAAACTGAACTGAACTCTTTTACGGACACACACAGCCCCCAATTCGTTCATTTAGTCGATTTTTCGACAATTTTCTGATTGCGTTTGGGAATTTTCTTAGGAATTTCTAATTTTTACTTTTTTTGCTTGAAATTGTGCCACTTAGCAAGCTGAAAATCCACGTTGAAAAGTTTTTTTGCAATTCAATTTTTAAATTTTATTCAATTTCCCCCCTTTTTTAAACTAAGAATTCATATTTACAGCTGAAAATCCACGTTTTGAATTCCGAATTTTTTAAAAATCTGAATTCAGAATTTTTTTGAAATTTTGAAGTTCCAGTCAAATTTTGCAACGTGGTACTGATTTTTGGAATTTTTTTTCGGGAATTTCTTTGGAACTGAAAATCCACATGGCAAATTTTTCTGATATTCTAGAATTTAATTCCAATTTGCCACGTGGCACAAAAACTGTTAAAATATTTTTTTTCGAATTTTTCTTTTGAATTTAAAACTTTTCAGCTCAAAATCCACGTGGCAAAGGAAGTTTTTTGAAAATTTTTTAATTTTTAAAATTAATTTGCCACGTGGCAGTCAAATTTGAACCTAATTTTTCCGGAGAATCTTGAAATTCCAGAATTCAAAAAAAAAACAAGTTCAAGAAAAATCTAGGATTGCTCATGTTAACAACTCTCTGAAGCTAAAAAGATTAAAACTACCGAAAAGTTGCCACGTGGATTTTCTTCTATTTCTATTTAATTTTGAAAAAAATCCAGGATTGCTCATGTTAAAGTGAATTTCTTCCCCCAAGCATCATTTTCATTAATTCATTTTTTTTTGGGTTTTTTTTATTTTTGTGTGATAAAATCTCGCGCGACCTTATCTGATCTCATTTTTTTTCCGTCCGTGCACCAGCACTTTTCGCTTCTTCTCCACACACAAAAAACTTTCAATTTGACCCAGAAAAAAGGAAAATAAACATTCGAAAAAATGTTGACTGTTTCAAATTAATTAGTTAGGTTCTGTGATGTTATCAATTGTGTATGTGTAAAAATCATCAAATGACCTTTTTTTGTTGGAAAAAAATGTGAAAAAGAAGGAAAAGAAAGGGAAAGTAGCGACAAATTCGCAATTTTTTACCATGAGCAATGATTTTACCAGCGGAAAAAGTTTTCACGTTAACCTGAGCAATCCTAGATTCCTCTAGACTTTTCTATGGATATTTTAACATGAGCAATGCCAGTTAGAAAAATCCATGTGGCAACTTTTTCGAGTTTCAATTTTGTTGAAGCTTCTAACATGAGCAATCCTAGATTTTTTTTAATTTAAAAATTCCACGTGGAATAGATTTTTGCTTGAACTGATCTGAAATTTTTCAGATTTCAATTGCTAGTAGCTAAAAATCCAGATGGCATTTTTTTCGAGTTTCAAATTTTCGGAGCTGCTAACATGAGCAATCCTAGATTTTTTAAATTTAAAAATTCCACGTGGCAATTTTTTTTAGCTTCTAACATGAGCAATCCTAGAAATTTTTGATTCCTCAAAAATCCACGTGGCAAAATGAGATTATTGGAATAATTTTTTTTTGAAATTCTGAAATTGGTTCCAAAATCCACGTGGGAACAATTTCCAAAATCCACGTGGGAACAATTTTTTTCAAAAATTTTTTAAAATTGAAATTTTGTAATATTTCCGGGTCCCAGCTTTTAACTAAAAATTCACATGGCAATTTTTTTTCGAATTTTTAACATGAGCAATCCCAGAAAATTCAGAAAAATCCACGTTCTTCCGAATTCCGAAATTTTCAGGTCCCAAATCCACGTGTTTTTTTAAAATGAAATTCTGAAATCATTCCTTTCCTGGTCCCAATTTTAACATGAGCAATTCTAGAAAAAATCTAGGTGGAAATGAAATTTATTGATTTTTCTTGGAAAATTTATGAAAATGAAAATTATCGCAAAAATCAATAATTCCAACAATTTCTCTCCCCGAAAGCAAAAATCAGGTATTTTTTTATCACATGGTTTTTTTCGGTGGCTATTTGTTTCTTCTTCTCCCGTTTTCCCGTTTCTTGTGTCCTTTGTCTTTTGCAAACATCTACAGTAACCCATCTCCAGCTTCTTCCTTCTTTTTCTTGTTTTTTGTCTCTTTTTGAATCAATGAACATCAAGCCGAAATGATGTGTTCGTATATAATTACAGTATGATTTATTAAGGTATTGTTTGGAAGATGATGAGAGATGGAGAGACGCAGAGAAAGTGAGAGAGAGAGAGAGAGAGAGAGGGTAGAGACGCAGAACTTATGTTAGCTTGCAAAAAGTTCCTTAGGTTTAAGAGTTACTGGGCTAAGGCTTAGGCTTTTTTCTAAAAAAAAATAATGGGATTGCTCATGTTAGAAGCATAGATTTAAAAAAAAAACGTTTTGCCACGTGGAATATAGCATTGCTCATGTTAAAAAGGTACATCGAAAATTTCTAGGATTGCTCATGTTAGAAGCTCTGAAAATTCAAAACTTGGAAAAAATTGCCACGTAGATTTTCTGATAAAAATTGAAATCTGAAAAATTTCAGACAAGTTCAAGATAAACCTATTTTTCTAGAATTTCTAGGATTTCTCATGTTAGCAGCTCTAAACAAGCTAAGAAATTCGAAACTCAAAAAAAATCGCCACGTGGATTTTTGGTCTCAAAATTGAAATCTGGAAAATTCCAGACAAGTTTAAGAAAAAGCTTTTTGCCACATGGATTTTTCTGCTAAAAATTGCATACTCGGAAAAATTTTGCCACGTGGATTTTCTTCTACATATTAAAAAAATCTAGGATTGCTAATATTAAAAAATATTCCCACATGAATTTTTCTACTAAAAATCGCATATGTTTATTCCACAAATTTCCAGCATTGCTCATATTAAACCTCTTCAAATCTTCTCAAACTTTCCGCGTTCTCCTACCGCAATACCTTCCGCCTTATCTCCAAAAAATTTCCCTTTCATTTTCCAGGAGTAGCCCGAAAATGTTTCTTCATCTTCACGAAAAAAAAAGGGGCGGAGCCTTGTTCATTCAGGCTGCGCGGCTTTTCCTGGAAATTACTGTATTCTTCCTTGCCCATTGTTCCTTTCTTCCCTAATTTTTGACCACTTCTGGCTATTATTTTTCTGAATTTGTGAAAAAATTACCGTATGGACTACAGTATCCCGACTACCGTACCACCGCCATCAAATAATGATTGGTTTAATTCGGCCACTTATCATGATATGCGAAGTGTGGTTAATGCTACTTATGAGGTAAGCGATTTTTTGAAAATGACCTTAGGGTACTTAGGAGAACCTGAGAGATCCTAAAATGATATTCGGGTCTTAAAATGACTTTAGGGCACTTAGAAGAGCCTTAGATATTATAAAATAACCTTAGGGCACTTAGAAGAGCCTTAGAGTTTCGAAGATGATTTTAAGAAACTTAAAATTGTCGTTAAGAACCTTAGAAAGACATAGGATAGCTTTAGAGATCTTGAAATGACCTTAGGGTACTTAGGAAAGCCAAAGAGATCTTAAAATAACCTTAGGGTACTTAGGAAAGCCTAAGAGACCTTAATATGCTTTTAAGGAACCTTAAATTGTGCTCAAGCATCTCAGAAAGACATAGAATAGCTTTAGAGACCCTAAAATGACCTTACGATTCTTAGGAGAGACTAAGAGATTTTAAAATGACCTTAGGATACTTAGGAAAGCCGAAAGACTTTAGGATGATTTTAAAGAACCTTTAAATGACCTTAGGGTACTTGGGAAAGCCGAAAATACCTTAAGATGATTTTGAGGAACCTTGAAATGGCCTTAGGGCACTAAGAGCACCCTAAGAAATCTTGAATGGACCTTAAGGTGCTTAGGAGAGCCTAAGATATCAAAAATTGACCTTAAAGTCCTTAAAAGCAAGGGCCTTAACTAAATCTGAAGATTTTTAAGAATGTCTAAGGATACCTTTAGATACCGTAACTTTACCTTATGTTGCTTAAAAAGCCTAAAGCCATAACAATAAATTTTGCAGATACCGTACCCATCTACAGTAACCCTAAAATATACGAATTTCGGAACATCCAGCGATCAAATCGAAACCATTGATGCCGGAAGTGTTCACGATGACAAAGGAAGTAGCTCAACATCAGATTCAGTGAGTAAATAGATCAAAGTTTTGGCGCCAAAAAGTACAGTACCCCTTTTAGATGTCTCCCGACACGATTTTGATGCCGATGGTGAAACGTGGAAGACCGACTGAGAATCCGTGTTGGAGCTATTTTCATCGGATTGATGATCAATTGGTGAGGTGTCGAATTTGTACAAAGGTTAGGCTTGCGGAGAAAAAGTGTGCCGCAAAACTGCAAAAAGGGGCGGGGCTTAGGCTTATGTAGTCTCAAAATGATCCCCAAGAAAAACTGTGCCGCAAAATTGCAAAAAAAAAATTTTTCACCAAAAACCGCGCCGCAAAACTGCAAATTCTTCCAGCTCGTCAAATCGGCGTGCGCCACAAATATGACCAAACATTTGGAACGTCACCATTCGGATGACTATGAGAAGCTCGCCGAGCAAATCCGGCTCTATCGAATTAATGATGCCAGGTGGGAAAAAACTGTGCCAGGGTTGCAGGAAAAATGGGCGGGGCTTGAAATGGGGAGCATTTTGATATAAAATATGGCTTGTGGGGTGTCAAAAAGCATGAAATTCTTCAACTAAAAAAACCATGCGGCCAAATTGCAAAAGGGGCGTGGCCTAAAATCAATTTCTTCCAGCTTCCGCACCAAAATCCAATACCTCACTCATATGAATCCACCAGAAGACGATGCCACATCATATCTAATTCCCAAAGAAGAGTTCACTACAGTACCCCAAACCTACAGTACTCCCGCAACTACAGTACCCCAAAACTACACGGAATATTTCGATCCATCCACGTCCACAGACACCAATTGGCAATTGTCGCATTTCTGGGATCAACCACAACATCAAGCTCCAATTACCGTACTCCATCCACCACCGCCTACCGTAATTCAATCCACATCTACAGTACCCTCGGTGCCTACAGTACTCCCTACAGTACCCATATTGGCTACAGTACCCGCCGCGAAACGACCGTGGAATGGTGCTGGAGCGGTAGGAGGCGGCGGTGAACGACCGTATATGAAGCGGAATCGCAAGACGGAACATCCGGTTTGGGAGTATTTTAAGAGGACTGGCGACGGAAACGCGGAATGCACGATTTGCGGAGGAGTTGGTAGGTCAACAAAAAAGTGTGCAGCAAGATTGCAAAAAGGGGCGGGGCTTAAGATTCTTTTTTCAAAAGAACCCTAAATATAGGCTTGTGGGATGTCTAAAATCATGGAATCTTGTAACTAAGCCAACCCTCTGGGTAATAATTGTTGAAAATAAACCGTGCGGCATATTTGCAAAAGGGGCGGGGCTTAAAATTCTTAAAATTACAAGAATCCCCAAATATAGGCTTGTGGGGTGTCTAAAATCTCCAAATTTCCTGAAGAAACCAACCATGTAGGTCAACAATCTTGAAAATAAACCGTGCGGCAAGATTGCAAAAGGGGCGGAGCTTAAAATTCAAAGGAACCCTGAATATAGGCTTGTGGGGTGTCTAAAATCCGCAAATTTCCTAAAAAAGACAGTCCTCTAGATTAAAAACGTTGAAAATAAACCGTGCGGTACATTTGCAAAAGGGGCGGGGCTTAAAAGCATTCAAATTCAAAAGAACCCAAAAAACTCACCATATATCAAAAAAACCATGAAAAATCGCCAATTTCCAGTCAAATCACCGTGCTCCTCGAATTTCATGCGTCATTTGATGCGTCATCACACTCCCGAATACAACGATGTCTATATGAAGTGGGTACAGAAGCGCAATCAAACCGGCGGAGGACCACCCACACAGCAAATGTAGCCAATTTCGCCTCATTTTTCGATAATCAACGGGTTTTTGCTATAAATATTTGAATTTTATTCGGGAAAATATAGAATTCTAGTGAAAATTGCAGAAAAAACTATCTTTTTTGAATTTCCACCGCGTTGTGTGCAAACACTTTTGCCTACCGTAGTCAAATATTTTATTTTTTTTTATTTTTTTCGTTTTTCATATTTTTTTCGTTTTTCACGTTTTCCATCGAAAAACCCTGTAAAACTATAATTTCTAGGTAAAAATGTGCGAGGAATTCGACAAAGAATACGAGGAGTTGCGAAAAATCGCAAAAACCACCGAAAATTCGCTGAAAATCATGCGAAAATGCCGGAAACTTTGCGCAATTTCGCTGGACATCGCTGTCGAGAAGTCGCTGCTTTCGCGGTTTTGGCAAGCGGCCAGAAAGTTGTTGGAGGCGATTGGCAAGAGTGTGGAGAGGATTGCGCAGGAGAATGTGCAGAATTTGATTGTCGGCGAGCTCGTGGCACTTTCGCTGAAGGTTCATAGGATTTACGAGGTTCCCGATTACGGCCTGCCTGATTTCCTGACAGTTTCGATGATTGTAAACCCGGCAAAACGACGGATTTTGGAGAAAAAATGGAAATTTCGCATTTTTTGCGGATTTTTGATGTTGAGATTGGGCGATTTGATGAGATACAAAGGATTTTTGATGAAATCGCGAGAATTTTATGAAATTTCGCTGAAAATCAATCATACTGAGAGGGAAACTTGGAATCAGTTGGGAGTTGTGCATTTTAAAAGGTGCGTTGGGGGATTTTTGCGGGGTTTTGGGGGAAAACTTGGAGTTTTCATTGAAACATCTTGAAAAATGCACAACTTCAGCGAATTTTCATTTGAAAACTCTGAAAGTATCAATTTTGTATTAAAATTTTCATGAAAAATCTTGAAAAACTCACAACTTCAGTGAATTTTCATTCGAAAAAGCTGAAAAATCGAATTTTCTGCAATTTTTCATTGAAATAACTCTGAAAACCTCTTAAAATATTAATTTTAGTCAGAATTTCATGAGAAATCGTGAAAAATCGAATTTTCTGCAATTTTTCATTTGAAAATCTCCGAAAACCTCTGAAAACATCAATTTCAGCCAGAATTTCATTAAAAATCTTGAAAAATGCACAAATTCAGGCAATTTTGCTTCGAAAACTCTGAAAAATCGGATTTTCTGCCTTTTTTCATTCAAGTTACTCTGAAAACTTCGGAAAATATTAATTTCAGTCAGAATTTCTTGAAAATATTGAATTTTTTATTGAAAATCTTCAAAAAATGCACAATTTCAACAAATTTTCATTCGAAAAACCTGAAAATCAGATTTTCTGCTATTTTTCATTAGAAAATCTCCGAAACCTTCCAAAAATATCAATTTTAGTCAGAATTTCATGAAAATATTGAATTTTTCATTCGAAAAACCTGAAAAATATCAATTTTAGCAAGAATTCCATAAAAAATCCGATTTTTCGCACGAAAAATCATGAAAAATGCACAATTTCAGCCAAAAAAAAACAATTCCAGCGCGAATTTCCTTCGCTCCATCTACTTCCACACTCGCTCACTTCACTCATCATCTTCTCAACAATATCATGCGGCAGCCGCGAATTTGGACGCGATTTTCAAAAAATTCGCGAATCGCGCCGCCCACAATTCTTCGCAAAAACACGACGAACTCGTCGTGATTTACCTGGCTAAAATTCATTTTGTAAGGTTTTTTTGAATTGCCACGTGGCATTCATAAATTCCAATTTTTGCAGCTCCTCGACATCGACGACGCTGAAAATGTGCTGAAAGCACTGCAACCCTCAAAAGAGCTCATCTGCTCACTGATGTCGGTTTATGAGCATTTAGGTGAGCCCCGTGGCCACGCCCACAAAACCGTGCCGCAAAAATCCAACAGAATTTTTTTTTGCAGAACCCGGAACGCCGCTCGAAAATCGCGCGATTCGCCACGTGGAAATCATCTGGACAGCGTTGTTCAACAAATTATTGATTGATTTGTCTGAAAATCGCGCGGCTGCTGAAAATCAGCTTCACCTTCTTGCTCTTCTCCTTCGCGCACCTGAATTTTGTGTAGTTCTCGAGGAAAATCCCGGCAAAATTGCCTGCGATTCCACGGCGAAAATCGAGGATTTGGAGCGATTTGACGCTTTTCAATGTTTAAAGGAGCATGGGTTACGGTATCCGATTACTGTAGATCAAATTTTGTCGAAAATTCGAGGGGATCAGAGTTACGGTAAGTTGTTTTTTGAATACGGCATGGTTTTGTGGGCGTGGCCCAGTTTTTCCTATGAAAAATGATGGATTTTTAGCTGTGGCATGGTTTCAGGGGCGTGGCTTAGTGAAAAATGATGAAAAAACTAAGCCACGCCCCTAAAACCATGCCGCAGCTAGAAATCCCTAATTTTTCATAGGAAAACCTAAGCCACGCCCCCAAAACTATGCCGCAGCTAGAAATCCCTAATTTTTCATAGGAAAACCTAAGCCACGCCCCTAAAACCATGCCGCAGCTAGAAATTCATTATTTTTCATAGGAAAACCTAAGCCACGCCCACAAAACCATGCCGCAGCTGAGAAAACCCCCCAAACCCAATTTCCTCTCGCATTTTTTTCCAAAAGGCCTAAAAATCCCCGTGGGATTTCGGTGGAAAATTTGCGAAGCACTTGAGAAAAACTCATTTTTCGCTGGTTTTTTTTTCGCGCGAAAAAAATAAATAAAACATTTTCTTTTTGAAAAGTATCGAATTTCGCGCGGTTTTTTGAAAAATTTTGAAATTTCGGTACTTTTTAGCGCGAAAATTTGAATTTTTTATTAGAAAATTGACACGTGGATTTTTCGGCTAAAATTTTTCGAAAATTTGAAATTTCGCTACTTTATAGCGCGAAAATTTGAAAATCTGAATTTTTTATTTAAAAAAAGTGACACGTGGATTTTTCGGTTCAAATTTTTCGAAAATTTGAAATTTCGGTATTTTCTAGGCCCTTTTTCAGCGCGAAAATTTGAAAATTTGAATTTTAAATTCCAAAAAAAATTAACACGTGGATTTTTCGGCTCAAATTTTTCAAAAATCTGAAATTTCAGTATTTTCTAGGCTCCAGAATCTGAAAATTCAAAAAAAAATTCTGCCACGTGGATTTTTTTCCGCCAAAAATTATGTGTTCATCTCATTTTTCAATGCACATACACATATTTTTCATGTGCTTTTTTTCTTTCATTTTTTTTTCGTCTCGTCGTCTCACCACACTCTCCACATTTCCAATACTCTCTCGTCGCTTTTTTGTGTGTGCCTCCTAACTGCTTGCTCCCCTTTTCCCCCTGAAATCGATGGGCACCGAGTAATTTTGCATTTTTTTTGAAAAGCGCCATTTTTTTGCGTTTGTTTAATCAAGAAATGAGAAAAGTTTTGTGGTGGTTTTGATGAAAATTTGCGCATTTTTTCCAATTTTGAAGCTGAAAATTCGAGAATTTTGCAAAAATTTTTGAGCAAATTTTATCTCTGAAGCTTTAAAACTAGAAATTTCAAGTGAAGATTAGGTTTGTAAGCATTTTTTTTTTTCAGGCTGAAATTATGATTTTTGAGCATATTTGAGCTCGAAAAATCGAATTTTTAGGTTCAAGAGCTCTGGAGCATTTCCGGTCAAAATTTATTTTTTCGAAAATTTTTGAAAATCTCAGTTTAGCGCTGAAAAATCCACGTGTCACATTTTTTGTTTATGGGGCTATTCATGTTATTTTTCAACGCTGAGAAAACGGGAGAAAAGCGGAGAAAACCTATTCAGGTAGGCTGAGAAAATACGAAAAAAGCGGAGAAAATGTATTTCCTCCGCATTTCTCCTGTTTTCTCAACATGCTGAGAAAATACATGAATAGCCCCATTAAATTTTTGAATTTGAAAATTATAGCCTAGAAAATTCTGAAATTTCCTAATTTTCAAAAAAAAATTCCTCGTTTCAATTTTCTGTTTTAATTTTTGAAATTTCTGAAATTTTGAAGCCGAAAATTGTAGAGTTTCGAATTTTAGCGCTAAAAAATCCACGTGACACATTTTCTTTTGAAAATTTTTTGAAAGTTTCGAAATTTTGAACCCAAAAAAGCTTAGAAAATATTGAAATGTCCTAATTTTTCAAAAAAAAAAAATCCAAGTGTCACATTTTTTTGAATTTCTAAATTTAATAGGGTGATTCAGGTCAAAAAAAAACTAAAAAAAACGTTTTTTTTACAAAAAATTTCGATTCAGCAAATGTCAAAAAACTATATTTTTTTCCTATTTTTCGACATTGTTTGACATTTTTTTTCATTGCAACATTTTCGCTGCGAGATATCTTTCATTTTTGTGTGGAAAAAAATAGGGTTTTTTGACATTTGCTGAATCGAATTTTTTTGTAAAAAAACGTTTTTTTTTTTAGTTTTTTTCTCGACCTGAATCGCCCCATAAAAATTTCCCGTCAAAAAATTCCCATTGCTCAGGTTAGTTAGATTTTCCAAGAAAAAAAAAACAATGTTTTTTTGACACTAGAAATTTAGAATTGCTCATGTTAAAAATGTTCTCATTAGGATAGCTCATGTTAAATTCACAAGGGAACTGTTTTAGCTTTCACTCTATATTTTTAATAAAATGTATGTTTTCCAGTGGTTTTTTACCCGCTAATCACGATTCCGTCGTCTAAAATTGCAGAACTCAACTTCTAACATGAGTTATGACGTGGCAAAGTTCAAAAGTTGGGACTTTGAAGGGTCAGAATTCATGAAAATCATTTCGAAGGGGAATTCTGATCCTCCAAAGTCCCTTTTTTGAAATTTTCGAATTTTGCCACGTCATAACTCATGTTAGGAATTGAGTTCTGAGTTCATTTTCGCGCGATTCGCTCGCGTCGCGTCGCCGCCGCGCGTCTAATTTCCGCCGCGCCCCCACCTTCCCGTACCCCCTAATTTGCCCTTTTGTTGTCACTTTTATTTTTTTTTATTTATCTCTTTTTTTCTTGGTTTCCACTGGCAACGTATAGAAATTATTACTTTTTTTCGGTTGAAAAATGAATTGAAAATATATATTTTTTGAGATGAGCAATCCTGAAAAATAGGATTTTTTCAATAATCAAAAATTGATCATCTTTTTCCAAAAAAAACACGTGGGCTTTTTTTCAAGGGTTTTTGAGAGTTTAACATGAGCAATCTATGAAATTTTGATGAAAACTGAAATTTTAAAGGTTTTTGAGAGTTTAACATGAGCAATCTATAAATTTTTGATGAAAACTGAAATTTTAAAGGTTCTTGGGAGTTTAATATGAGCAATACCTAAATTTTAGTTGAAAACTTAGCTTTTTCAGGGTTTTTGAGAGTTTAACATAAGCAATGCCTAGATTTTGATTGAAAAATGAGATTTTTAAGGGTTTTTGAGAGTTTAATATGAGCAATCTATGAATTTTTCGCTCAAAAATTCCTCTTATTATTTTTTTTTCCAATTTTCTTAATGCATTATTTTTTTCAGACCAAGAAGACGAAGAGGAACAATCTTCAGAAATCGATTCAGAAGCTTCGTATTCGAATTCGAATTCTGGATCTTCTTCAGATTCAGATTCTGAATCTAAATCTCAGGATGAAGATTCAGATGAGGAGATTTTGCGAGCCGGAGCTCGTCGAAAACACGTGGAAAATTCGGATGTAGAAAACGAGGATTTTTGATTTGGATTTTCCAATAAATTTTCGAATTTCCGACCTCCTGCTGATTTTTTTCATTTATTTTCTCATTTTTCTGGTTCGCAGACCTCATTTTTATCTCATTTTCATATTTTTTCGATTTTTTCCCCAAAAAATCGCGTGATTTTTCCAGAAATGTTCTCGATTTTGACGCGCGGCGTCGCCGCGTTCGTCGCAAGCGTCAGTGGCGGTGGCGGAGCACAACAACAGCAGGATGCGACAGGGGCGGAAGATGCGGGCCGGGGCGGAAGCGCCGCCAGTAACCGGAGGACGTCGAGTGTGAGAAGTGAGTTGGGAGGCGGGAAAATTTGAATTTTGAATTTTCAAATTTGCCACGTGGATTTTCAACCCGAAATTTTGAATTTTGTTGAAAATTGCAATTTTTTGATACCCAATAAGCCATGGGAAAAACTAGAAATTTTGAATTTTGCCACGTGGAATTTTTGGTGGGAAAAATTAGAATTTGAAAAATTTGGAATAAAAAAATCATTTTCAAATTTGAAAAAAATTTTTGTTGCTGTAGAATTTCAAAAAAAAAAATAATGTGCTAGAATTGTGCCACGTGGATTTTTAACCCGAAATTTTGAATTTTTCGGAAAATTTGCAATTTTTTGACACCCAATTGGCCTTGGAGCATGAAAATTTGAATTTTGAATTTTGCCACGTGGAATTTTTGGTGGGAAAAATTTGTAATTTTGGCGGGGAAAAAAATGATTTTCAAAGTTTTTGTTACATTTTTGTAGCTTAAAATTATGCCACGTGGCATTTTTAGCAGCAAAAAATTCAAATTTTTTCCAAATTTCCACTCAAAAATCCGTAATTTCCCTCAAATTCCTCAATATTTTTTCGCAAAAAATTCGAAAAATCGTCAGAAGAACTACAAAAAACAATCCAAATTTTGTCCTCGTGAAAATACAAAAAATTTTTGTAGTCGCTTTTCGTCAATAAAATGGCGTGACGCGATTTTTTCGCGCGCGCGCAAAAAAATTTGATTCAAATTTAATTAATTAATTAGCTAATCCTTATGTTTTCCCCTTATTTTTTAAATGAAAAAGTATAGGAAAAATTCCAATTTTCCAGAAATTTCTGATTAATATGAGCAATCGCTGAATTTTTGAGCTGAAAATTGTTAAGCCACGCCCACAAAACCATGCCGCAGCTAGAAATTCATAATTTTTCATAGGAAAACCTAAGCCACGCCCTTAAAACCATGCCGCACCCTCTTTTTTTTCATTTCAAATTTGAATTGGCTCCTCTTCTGTCAAATGTGTCTCATTGAATTTTATGAGATTTTTTTTGCTCGCCGAGCCCCCGATTTTTCAAATTTCCTCCTTCTCCCGATTTTTTTTTGACCCAGCTCCGAAATTTTCCAATTTCCCCCCAAACACATTTTTTTGGCTGGTTGGCTCTCATTATTTGCTCCCAGAAAGTGTCAAATTTCAACAAAGTTGTTGTTTTCTTCGGCTGTTTTAAGGGGAAAATTTCGGATTTTTTGAGTTTAGGATGAGCAATGCCCAGATTTTTGCTTAGAATTTGAGATTTCAATGGCTTTTTGGGCTTAAAATGAGCAATTGATCAATTTTTGCTGAAAATTTGAATTTTTGAAGGCTTTTTGGGCTTTAATTTGAGCAATGCCCAAATTTTTGCTGAAAATTTGGATTTTAGAAGGTTTCTAGGAGTTTAAGATCAGCAGTGCCCAGATTTTTGCTTAGAATTTGAAATTTCAGAGGTTTTTTGGGCTTAACATGAAAAATCTATCGATTTTAGGATGTTTCAAAATTTAATATGAGCAATTGATTAATTTTTACTTAAAAAATGGATTTTTGAAGTTAACTGGGGCTTTAATATGAGCATGACCCAGATTTTTTCTTAGAATTCAAGATTTCAAAGGTTTTTTGGGCTTAATATGAGAAATTGATTAATTTTTGCTGAAAATTTGAATTTTTAAAGTTTTTTGAAAGTTTAATATGAGCAATCGGTGAATTTCAGCTGAAATTTGCGATTTTTAAAGGTTTCTGAGAGTTTGATATGAGCAATATATTTGTTTTTGGCTGAAAATTTGAATTTTTGAAGTTTAATATGAGCAATTGATTGATTTTGGCTGAAAATTTGGTTTTTTGAAGGTTACTAGGAGTTTAAAATGAGCAATCTATTGATTTTGGCTGAAATTTGAATTTTCAAACGCTTTTTATAGTTTAATGTGAGCAATGCCCAAATTTTTGCTGAAAATTTGGTTTTTTAAAGGTTTCTGAGAGTTTTGTATGAGCTATCTATCGATCTTAGACTTTAATATGAGCAATCCTCAGATTTTTGCTGAAAATTTGGATTTTTGAAGGTTTCTGAGAGTTTAATATGAGTAATCCCTTAATTTTGCCTGAAAATTTGGATCTCACTGTTATTTAGACTCTAATATGAGCAATCCCTCAACTTTTCTCTAGGCCACGCCCACAAACTTAAAAATGCGGCATGATTTTGTAGGCGTGGCCTAATAAAGTTGGGGTGGGGGGATTACTTGTTTTGCACTGCATTTCAGCACAAAAGGCAGAAATTTCTCGTCGTTTTCTCTGCCGCCCTCCATTTTTTTAACACTCTCTCGCGCTTCAAAATGAAGAGCAGTTTTTCTTCTTCACTCCTAATCCTTGCCTATTCTTCCTATTCTGGGGTTTTTTTGAGTTGCTTCATCATTTTTTTTCGAAATTAGTAGTTTTTGTGAGATTTTCTGGGTTTTGGAGCGAAAAATTTGCGATTTTTGGAGCCAAATTTGAAAATTTTGGATTTTTTGACACCTAAAAAGTTTGGGAAGCTGGAAAAAATTTGAATTTGAATTTTTTTGCGCGAAAAATTTCCCACATCATGTTGGGTGTCAAAAAATCGCAAATTTTCGAGAAATTTAAAATTTCGCGTTAAAAATCCACGTGGCAAATTTGAAAATTCAAATTTTTTGTTCCGACTTTCGAATTTTCAGAAAAATTTGCGATTTTTTGACACCCAACAAGCTTGGGAAGCGAAAAAAATTTGAATTGGATTTTTTCGCTCCAAAAAGTTCCCCCCAGCTTATTGGGTGTCAAAAAATCGCAAATTACCTAGATTTTCATGTCAATCTGGCAGGTTAAACAGCGTTGGCAGCGGTTAGTCGCAAGTTCGAACCCCAGCGCGCGCAAAATTTTTTTTGTTGAAATTTCAAAAATCCCTCATTTTTCTTGTCATCTACCCTCGTGAAAAAGTAATATGGCTGAAAAATTAGCCTAATTTTTTTTTGCGATGACTGCACTTTTTTTCAGAGTGAGAAAAATTAGATGATTTTCTCATTTCTCTCCATTTTTTGAATCATTTTTCCTCGGGGAATGCGGTTTTCTGATTAATTTTCCAATTTTTCTATTTTTTTAGTGGTTTTGGAGGCGGAAGTCGCGAAAATTTAACGCGAATCCCGAATTTTCGGAATCCTCAAGAAATTTGCAATTTTTTGACACCCAATAAGCTGGGGAAAACTAGAAAATTTGAATTTTGAAATTTGAAATTTGCCACGTGGATTTTTAACCTGAAATTTTGAATTTTTTCAGAAAATTTGCGATTTTTTGACACCCAATAAGCCTTGGAGAAAATAAGTTTGAATTTTGAATGTTTAAATTTGCCACGTGGATTTTCAAGCTGAAATTTTGAATTTTTCAGAAAATTTGCAATTTTTTGACACCCAATAAGCCTTGGAGAAAATAAGTTTGAATTTTGAATTTTTAAATTTGCCACGTGGAATTTTCAGATTTGAGTTGAAAAAATCGATTTTTTTAGCTGAAATTTCCCCAAAAATTCATAATTTTTCCAAAAATTCATAATTTTTGAGTGAAAATCATTGCTCAGATTAGAGTTTTCAGAAAATTTGAAAAATTTTGAAATCAAACAATACAAGAAAAATCATTGCTCATGTTAAAGTTTTTTTTTCAAATTTTCAACCAAAAATCAATTAGAGCTGAAATTCCCCCAAAAACTCATAATTTTTGGGTAAAAATCATTGCTCAGATTAGAGTTTTCAAAAAAAAAAAATAAATTTCGAAACCAAACAATCCGAAAAAAAAATTTTTTGTTGAAAAATTGTAGATCAAAAATTTTTTTCGCGCGAAAATTTGAATTATTGATTTTTTTGTAGACATTTCAAAAATTTTCTAGTTTTCTCAAATTTTTCCAATTTTTGCAGGTATGAATAGGCAACAAGGAGCACAACAACAACAAAATGCTCAATTCCAAATCGAGCACCAAAATCTGGATCCGCAGGAATTGATGCAATATCTTATGGAGAATTTTGTGCCAAATGAGCCGATTTTGGCGAGTTTAGCCATTCGAGAAGTGTGAGTTTTTGGGCTGAAAATCGATTTTTCAACCTGAAATTTCCCCAAAAATCAATAATTTTTAATAAAAATCATTACTCAGGTTAGGAATTTCAAAAAAATCCGATTTTTTTGAAATCAAACAACCCAAGAAAAATTATTGCTCATGTTATCATTAGGTTCATTTTCCATTAGCGATTTTCCCGGTGGCGAAATATTGACGTGTTCTTTTTCGGATTCTCTAGGCGCAGGATTTCTAGCTTTTAATACTTGACGTCGTACAATACACATTAGAACATTTTTTAGAAAATGAAAAGAAAATGAAATGTTAAAGTTTTTGAGCTGAAATTACTCCAAAAATCGATATTTTTGGTTAAAAAGCATTGCTCAGGTTAGAATTTTCAAAAAAATTTCGATTTTTTAAAACCACGCTATCACAGAAATATTATTGCTCATGTTAAAAAATTCAATTTTTCTGAAAACTCATTGCTCAGGTTAGAATTTTCAAAAAATCCGATTTTTTTTTGAAATCAAACAACCCAAGAAAAATTATTGCTCATGTTAAAGTTTTTGAGCTGAAATTACCCCAAAAATCAATAATTCTCAATAAAAATCATTGCTCAGGTTAGAAATTTCAGAAAAATTCGATTTTTTTGAAATTAAACAACCCAAGAAAAATTATTGCTCATGTTAGAAAAAATTCAACTTTTTGTTTGAAAAATCATTGCTCATGTTAAATTTATCATAAAAATTCCAAAAATATCAGATTTTTTGCCATAAAAAATTCGAATTGCTCATATTAGTTTCGATTTGGGAAAAACATTGCTCATGTTAATTTACTATCAAAAAACGTGGAATTTTCAGCCCTCTCTCAATTTTTGAGCTGAAATTTCCCCAAAAATCAATTATTTTTGGTTAAAAATCATTGCTCAGGTTAGAAATTGCTGAAAATTTCGATTTTTTTGATCTCAAACAACCCAAGAAAAATCATTGCTCATGTTAAAGTTAATATCCCCAAAATCGCAAAATTTTCAGCGAAGGCCTAAAACAAATGTTATCGGACCTAGTGCAAGATTCAATGCAATGCTCATCAACATGTATAATTCGCTGCCCGCGAACTCGCCAAATCGACGCCGTTTCGTTGGCTTGTAAAGCCTCGTTGTTTGATACACAGGTCAGATTTGAGCTTGCCATGAAATTTGGAGCACTTTGATATCCATTTTCATGGGTTTTAGATTTAATAACCTCAGGGACTTTAAGATTGTTAGGTTCCTAAGAATTTTCATAGCAAAATTTGGATTCAGCGTAAAATTTGCAGCTTTTTGAAACCCATATTTATAGGGTTCAATGAAATTTTTAAACCTTAATGATCTTAGCTTCAAGTTGCTCCAAACCCTATCATGTTTGAGCTCAAAATGCTCAAACTTCCAAGAATTTCGTCATTTCCGAATTCTCCGTAATATTTGGAGCATTTTGATAGCCATATTCATAGGGTTTATTGAAGTTTATACCTTAGTGACCTTAATAACCTTAACCTCAAAGTGCTCCAAAAGTTATCATATTTGAGCTCGAAATACTCAGAATATCATGAGGAATGTTCGAAAATTATTAGTTTTCTTCTAAACCCTAACCTTAAGCGCTAATTAACAACCTTAAGTTCCATATTTTCATTGTTCACTAAACTACACCTTGTTTGGGCTCAAAATGCTCCGAATTTCGAAAATTTCCTCATTTTCAGATTCTCTGTAAAATTTGGAGCATTTTGAGCCCCATATTGATAGAGTTTAATGAACTTTATACCTTAGTGACCTTAATGACCTTAACATCAAAATGCTCCAAACCCTATCATGTTTGGGCTCAAAATACTCAGAACATCATGTGGAATCTGAGAAAATGATTAGTTTTCTTCTAAACCCTAACGTTAAGCCTAATTAACGACCTTAAGGTTCCAATTTTCATTTTTCACTAAACTACACCTTGTTTGGGCTCAAAATGCTCCGAATTCTACGTGGATTCCAAAAAAATCGATAATTTTACAGATCGATCGCCTTTGTAGCTATGTTTTCGACGATGAACAAGTGGCGACAGCTTGCGAATTTCTCAAATACGTTTTCAATCGTCTCGACATCACCTATCATTTCGAAGAGAACCGCATCAGAAATCCGATTTTCATCGCTTTGGTTTCGGTTCGCCGCGAAAAATGGAGACAGGGATTGGGAGCCGCTGTTGTTGAATCCAGGTAGCGAAAAAGTCGCGCGCGCGACAAAATCGCAACACATTTTTGCAGCATCGAAGCCGCCCGCAATGATCGTTGTGATGGAGCATTGAGTTTGGCGAGCAATTCGGTCGCTTGTCGATTGATTACCAGAAGATTTCCGATTACGGTAGGGCTTTTTTGGGGTGCCACGTGGAATTTGGAGCATTTTGAGCCCGAATATGATAGGGTTTGGAGCATTTTGAGCTTAATCACCTTAAGGTTGTTAAGCCTCCAAACGCTATAAATGTGGAGCTCAAAATGCTCCAAATTTCATGGAGAATTCAAAAATCAGGAAATTCTTGGAATTTGGAGCGTTTTGAGCCCAAATATGATAGGTTTTGGAGCATTTTGAAGTTAAGGTCACTAAGGTTTAAAAATTTCATTAAACTCTATAAATATGGGGCTCAAAATGCTCCAAATTTCACGGAGAATTCGAAAATCCCGAAATTCTGAGCATTTTGAGCCCAAACGAGGTGTAGTTTAGTGAAAAATGAAAATTAGGAACTTAATGTTGTTAATTAGGGCTTAAGGTTAAGGTTTAGAAGAAAACTAATGATTTTCTAACATTCCACATGATATTCTGAGTATTTCGAGCCCAAATATGATAACATTTGGAGCAACTTGAAGTTAAGGTCATTAAGGTCATTAAGGTTAAAACATTTCATTAAACTCTATCAATATGAGGCTCAAAATGCTCTAAATTTCACGGAGATTTCGAAAAAATGCTTCAAATTCATGGTTTTGTGCTCAAAATGCTCCAAACTTCGCAAAAAAGCTGACAATTCTTTCCAGATTCAATCAATCCGCTACGACACATTCCGCGGAAGCCACCGCAATCCTCCAATCGTAATGCCACGCGAAGAAACGCAACGTTGTCTCTACGTCATGTTGGCTCGTTTCTGAGCTGACTCATTTCGTTGCCTGGGGTGATTTTTTTGAATTTGACATTTCGCTAATTTTTTTGCTATCATCATCATCCACATTTTTTTTCTTATCAAACAATTTGTGTTATTTTTTTTTTCATCATTATTATTTTTCGAGGGACTTTTACTGAAAAATCAAAAAATAAAGTGTATATTTTTGGGAAAAAACTTTTTTTAACAACAAAAAACAAAGAAAAATTAACAAATAAAAAAACAACAATTTTGGACACCTGAAAAATTGGGGGAAATTTTGAAATTCAAAAAATTTAAATTTTATTTCCACTTGGCAATCCACGCTTTCCGATCTTGTCTGAACAATTTTTGATCGCATTTCAACATGGCAAATCGCCAGAATTTCGAAGTGTCCTGAAATTGAAATTTCTTGGGATTTTTTGGAAGTTGTGCCACGTGGCATACATTTTTTTTTTCCAAATTTTAATTTTCTTTTTTTTTTTAATTTTAATTTTTGAAATTTTCTGAAATTTTGAGCAAAAATTGCTCTAAATTTCAAATTACAAACAGTAGTTCAGGTTAAAAAATCAAATTTTCCAAATTTTTGAGCAAAAAAATGCTCCAACTCACAAAAATGCCGACCAACACCTTCATAATTTCCTGTTTTTGTCGAACATCGACAAACGTCCAGATTTTCTCAAAAACATGACTTCCATAAGTGTCGGTGATGAGCGGTTGCCACGTGTCACGCTGCAAAAATGAAACATTGCTCATTTTAAAGGATTCTTTTGATACCATATAAGCCGGGAAGCATTTTGAAGGTGAAAAAACATTGCTCATGTCAGAATTTTCCAGAAAAATATGAAAAATGGGATAAAAAATAGGATTTCTCATATTAGTTTCAAAATTTTGTCAGAAATTATTGCTCATGTTAAACAATTTGGAGAAATTTAATTTTCTGATGAAAAAACATTGCTCATGTTAGAATTTCCCAAAAACGTGTCTACCGCAATTCCCGGCTTGTTTAGTATCAAAAAATAGTAAAATTTCAGGTCTAGACAAATCTAGGGCCAAAAAACGTGGATTTTCAGGCCTCGGCCTATTCGGGCCCTCAAAAAACCCACATCAAACAATCCAACAATTTTCTGCTTGACTTCCACATCCAAATTTTTGCTCGCCAACGCCGCCTGAATTACACGTGAACCGATTTTGTGTCGACACATTTCTCGCAAATTTTCCGGCGAAATTTCCATGAAACAAGCTGATAAGGTTTTGGTTTTGGAAAATTCGAGAAGTTCGCCGATCAGAAGACTTCCCTGCAAAAAAAAATATTTGAAATTGGGGGTAAAAATTAATTAATGACCTAATTAATTAAGAGATTTAAATTTCTGATAAGGAAAATTTGGAGCTTCCACCTGGTTTTCTTTTCAACTTTGAAATTTTTTTGAAATTAAAATTTTGTGAAAACTATAACTTGAGCAATGATGATTTTTTTTGAAAAATTGAATTTTCGGGGGGAAAATGCATTGCTCAGATTAGATTTTTCACAAAACAAAATTTTTTTTCAAAAATCAAATGTTCAATTTTTTTTTGAAATTCAAACTTTCCCGCCAAATTTGGTGTCAAAAAATCAGAAATTTTTAGATTTTTCAGAAATTTCGAATGCCACGTGGCAATTTTTTCAAAATTCAAATTTTTTGTGAAATTTATAACCTGAGCAATGATTTGAAATATTGAAAATTTTCAGAAATGAAGTTTTTTTTGTCAAAAATCAAACTTTCCAATGCCACGTGGCAATTTTTTCAAAATTCAAATTTTTTGTGAAAATTATAACCTGAGCAATGATTAATTTTTTGAAATATTGAAATTTCGAAGAAAAAAATGCATTGCTCAGAATAGATTTTTTCTGTTTTAATGAAATATGGTGTATTTGGTGTCAAAAAATCAGAAATTTCCAAATTTTTCTATCAAAAAATACCTTACCTGCACAGTAAATTTGTCAAAATTCACAAATTTCCCATCAAATGTGTTATTCGTCAAAATATTCCACAAAAAGTGCGTTTTCGTGGTCGTTTTTTCGGCACGAAAATGAGCTCGCAATTTTTTGAGCAACAATTCTTGGGTGGCATCGTGGCGGGCCGCGCATTTGAGGGCCGCGCGTGGAAGGCCCGATTTATCCGAGACGAGGATGTTGACGAAAAACGGGGCGAGTTCGTCGATGATGTCGGTGGCCTGCAAAAGAAATTCGGGAAATTTTTTGAAAAAATTCTGAAAATTTCAGATTTTTTGGTATATTATTCATGAAAATTGAGAAATTTCAAACGAAAAAAAATCAAAAAAAAATTACTGTTTCAAAGAAATTCTTACAAAATTCGAATTTTCGTGTTTAAAATACAGTACTTTTTGCAGTCCGGAACCTACAGTAACCCAGACTCTTTTTCGTAATACAAAACATTATAAATTTCCCACAGTTTCAAAATTTTGAACGAAAAAAAATATTTGAAAAAAATATTTTTCGAAAAAATTTTACTGTTTCAAAATTTTCATATAAAAAATTTTGAGTTTTTGAAAATTATTCAGCAATTATTTGTTCTTCTAAAAATATTTTGTGATCATTTTTATTTAAATTCTTGAAAAATTTAAATTTTCAATGAATTTTTAAAAAAATTCTGAAAATTTCAGATTTTTCAGTATATTTTATTGAATATTAAAAAATTTTCAAAATACAGTACTTTTTCAATCCGAAAGCTACAGTAATCCTTGTAGTCTGGAAAATTTCTGATAAAATTTGAATACTCTCTGAATACAGTAACCCTTGTAGTCTGGAAGCTACAGTAATTCTTGTAATTTTTTCCCAAAAAAATTACGTTTCAAAAATTTCATGAATATTTTTGCAGTTTTTCTCAAATCAATCACACATTCTGTGAGTAGAATAAAAAATTGATTGAAAATTTGAACAATTCGAATTTCAGCTCAAGTTTTGTCTGAAAATTTCGAATTTCAGCTCAAAAACCCACCAATTCCAAACTTGTCACCGCTCCAATCAATTTTTGCAGTGGAAAATTTGCAAATTGATCTTGAGCCAACTCTTCCAGGTGTCCGGAAATGGCTCCCATCCAAATCATATTCCGCGCCTCTTCCGCGCAGCTTTCCACAAGCTTTTCCCAGAATCGAGACGACTGTTTGCCGCGCCAAGATTGACGAAGTTGCGAGCCGTCTGAAACATGAATTTTGATCCTAGATCAAGCTTTTCTAGGCTGAAATTTCGGATTTTTTGATAGTAAATAGGCCTGGAGGCTTTTCTAGGCTGAAATTTCGGATTTTTTGATAGTAAATAGGCCTGACGGCCGAAAATTCGGATTTTTTGATAGTAAATAGGCCTGGAGGCTTTTCTAGGCTGAAATTTCGGATTTTTTGATAGTAAATAGGCCTGACGGCCGAAAATTCGGATTTTTTGATAGTAAATAGGCCTGGAGGCTTTTCTAGGCTGGAATTTCGAATTTTTTTAGAGTAAATAGGCCTGAGGGCCGGAATTTCGAATTTTTTGATAAAAAATGGGCCTAGGGGGGTTTTTTGGGCCGAAAATCTGAATTTTCTGATACTTAATAGGCCTCTAGGCTGAAATTTCGAATATTTTGATAGTAAATAGGCCTGAGAGCCTGAATTTCGAAGTTTTTGATAAAAAATAGGCCTAGGGGCTTTTCTGGGCCAAAATTTCAGATTTTTTCACCCAAAAATCCGCCAACCTTCATCCTTGGCCAAAAATTGCGCAACAAATTCGTCCGCCTTCCGCGTCTTCCACATTTTATCCGCCTCAATCAAATCCTGCAAAACCAGACTTCCGATCGGCTGCTGAACAATCTCTCGATTCAAATTCCAATCGAACCCCATCACCGAAACTCGTTCGAAAATTGATTTCATCTCGATTTTCACGTCAGCGTCCTTGAATTTCACGGGCAGCTCTTGATTTTCCACCGCGCGGTTTCCGCGCGTGAATCCGCAAGTGATGCGCAAAATCGCTCTCAACAGAAACGCGGAACTTTGTGTGGCCAAAATATCGTTCCAATTATCCACCATCAAATCGACTAATTTGACCAGGGGCGCCAAATTTTGCGCATTTTCCACGGGGCACATTTTGTAGAGGAGGTTTTCGATGGTCCGCGCGCTGGCGCCTCCGAAAATCAGGGTCAACACTTTTTTGTGTTTTAGTTTGAGAAGGGAGGAGAGGAAGAGATTGGCGCCGTATTGAGAGGTTCCGAACACATTTTCGACCTGAAAAAAAATTGACGATAGATTTCCCTGCGCGAGAACCCCGAAATTTCAGCGATTTTTCGATTTTCAGACAAAATCTTGAATTTTGACTGAAAACGCTTGAAAATCGCTGAAATTTTAAGGTTCAGGCAGAATTTCAGTAATTTTATACTAGGATTTTTTCTCTGATTTTTTTTCAAAATTCGATTTTTGACTGAAATTTCAAGGTTCAGGCTTGAATTCTTCAAAAATTAATGATTTTTAACCTAAAAATTGAATTTAGGTTTGATTTTTGAAGAAGAAAAATTGACGATAGATTTCCCTGCGCGAGAACCCGAAAATTTCAGCAATTTTTCGATTTTCAGACAAAATCTTGAATTTTGACTGAAAACGCTTGAAAATCGCTGAAATTTTAAGGTTCAGGCACACCCGCTCAAGCAACACAAAAATCAGCAAAACGCTGTAAAAACGGTGCACCCAGTAGCTCAAAATCTAGATAAGGTTCATGAAAAACTAAATATAGCATGAAAATCAGCGCCTCGAGTTCTACCTGACTTGCTACTTCTCTTATTTTTTGAGGTCCTACGAAGAAAGTTAGCAATCGCGACAAGACCCAACGCGTGAAATTTATCATGCTCCTTTAATACTGTAGTGCGAAATATAACGGCGAACAGAGAGAATTAGACAAAAGTGTTTGCACAGTTTTTTTCATTTGCAGATTTTTCGTTTTACAGTAGAAAACACTCATTGCGTGGCTTGAACGGGTGTGCAGGCAGGATTTCAGTAATTTTATACTAGGATTTTTTCCCTGTGCGAGAACTCCGAAAATTTCTTACAAAATTCGATTTTTGACTGAAATTTCAAGGTTCAGGCTTTAATTCTTAAACAAATTAATTGATTTTTGACTTAAAACTCGAAAATTCCAGTCAACATTCAATTTTTGACTGAAATTTTCGGGTTTTTGAAGTTTCTGGCTGAAAATTCCAGAATTCCTATGGGAAATTCTGGAATTTTCAGCATTTCTCTGTGCCACGTGGCAAACCTACCACAACTGCGGCTTCGGTCCATTCGAGAAGTGTCGATTCCTGGCCGGCGACTTCTTCAGCACATTTTTCGAGAATAAAATCTTCTGGAAAAAATGTTATACGGTATTTTTTGGCGCGAAATTCAAAAATTCAAATTCTCACCCAATTTTCCGTTTTCCTGTTTTTTGACCTGTTCAATGTTGCGCAAATACGTCACAATTTCTTTGGGAAATTCGCCACGTGTCGCGTCATCTTTCCGCGCTGCGTCCGAATTTCCTTCCGCTTCCGCTTCCGCGTCTTCGCCTCCAATTCGACCGTATTGCTGCTCGAAATTCGCCTCGTAGTTTGGTTTTTTCTGGGCGCGGAAATCTTGACGCGATCGTTTTTCGGGGAAACTTCGACGAGGTTCTGCTGGAAAAAAGTTTTTCAGCGAATTTTCGAGCCTGGGAGGATTTTCAACGCTGAAAATCATTCTAGACTTGATTTTCAGCGAATTTTTGACCCTGGGATGATTTTTAGCGCTGAAAATCACTTCTAGACTTAATTTTCAGCGAATTTGTGAGTCTGAGATGATTTTCAGCGCTGAAAATCATTCAAAAATGAATTTTCAGCGAATTTTTGACCCTGGAATGATTTTCAGCGCTGAAAATCATACAAAAATGAATTTTCAGCGAATTTTTGACCCTGGGATGATTTTCAGCGCTGAGAATCACTTCTAGACTTGATTTTCAGCGAATTTTTTACCCTGGGATGATTTTTATCGCTAAAAATCATTGTAGACTTGATTTTCAGTGAATTTTTGACTTTAGGATGATTTTCAGCGCTGAAAATCATTCGAGACTTGATTTTCAGCGAATTTTTGAGCCTGGCATGGTTTTCAGCGCTGAAAATCATTGTAGACTCAATTTTCAGCGAATTTTTGACCATGGGATGATTTTCAGCGCTAAAAATCATTCAAAAATGAATTTTCAGCGAATTTTTGAATCTGGGATCATTTTCAGCGCTGAAAATCATTCTAGACTTAATTTTCAACGAATTTTTGACCCTGGGATGATTTTCAGCGCTGAAAATCATTCTAGACCTTATTTTCAGCGTTTTTCAGCCCTGTAGCTCAAATTCCACCCCAAATCCCTACCTTCCGGTTCTTCTTTCTTCACAAATCCATAATTCTCAAAACTTTTCGGCGTTTCCCGATTCTCCTCCACATTTTTGCGTTTTCTCGTCATTTCCTGTCACATTTTATTACAAAAAATTCCTGAACTTCCAAATATTCAAAAAGGCCGTGAAAACCGTCAATTTCTAGGGGGCAAAAGCTCGAAAAATCGATAAATCAATAATCTTTATAGAGAAGACGAAGAAAAAAAATATTATAAAACATGTCTGAAATCTGCTGAAAATTTTAAGTACGGTGGGGGGGGAACAAAGTTTTTTTCGGGGAAAATTGGATAAAGCTTATATGGGGGAAAAAGGGGAAAAAGTGAAAAATCGGGAAAATTCTCTCAAAAAAAAAACGTGACGGGGCGAAAATGCATGACTATTTTTGCAAAAAATCAAAATTTTTGGGCTTTTCGGGAACAATTTGTGTGTGGGTGTGATATGAAATTTTAACAAAAAATGAAAAAAAAAAACGGGGAAATTCTCATCGTTACATATAAAATTTATAAAAAATTCGGGGAAAAATTCAATTTTTCGGGGGATGAGCAAAAAAAATTACGTGTTTTGGCTGCGCGACGACGAGAAAATCACATAATTTGACACTTCTTCTTCTTTTGCGGCTTATTGCTGTCGTGTCGTTCGCGATGCTGAAAAAATCGATATTTTCGGTCAAAAAGTGTGCCAGACTTGCAGAAAATGGGCGGGGCTTGGATTTCTGATCATTTTGATACTAAATATTATTGGGAAATTAGGCTCCTCCCACTTTTCTGTGCCAGAATTGCAGAAAATGGGCGGAGCTTAATTTCCTGACCATATTTGGTATCAAAATGATCAGCGAAGTAAGCCCCGCCCATTTCTGCAAGCCTCGCAAACTTTTTTCCCGCTCAAAATCACTCACTTTTCGAATCTCTCTAACCAATGTATAGAATGCGTCATCGACGCCGAGACGTGTTTTTGCCGACGTGTCAACCGACGGAATACCGTATCCCTTGGCAGTGTCGGTTACTGTACGTCCGTCGACGGCGCGAGACGATAAATCACACTTGTTGCCGACTAATACCATTGGAACCTGCAAGAATAGATGAGTGTGAAGGGATTCCTTGAGGTGAGAGTGGGGTCAAGGGATGGTTGCTTGAGGTGAGAGTGGGGTCAACAGATGGCTGCTTGAGAGTGGGATGATAAGCGTTGAATGCTTAAAAGAACTATTATCTAGGGACGACTACTTACAAGGGAACCTTTTTTACTCAACACTTCAAATCATGATGAAATTTTGTCCAAAGACAGCTTTTGGGACCATAAGAACACCCTAAAAATTTTATTTACCCAATGGACCTCTGAGCCAAGTTCTGGACTCTGAAAAGTTCAAAAATTGGCAAAATTGGCTCATAAAACACGTCATAACTCAATTTTCGATAAATTTTATCAAAAACTGAGTAGCAGATGATGATCAGCGTGGTCGATTTACCCAAAAAGCATCAATAAATCGAATTTTCAGAAAAATTTCTGATTTTGAAAAAAAGAATGAGCAGGGGCACATATGAATTTTCATGAATTTTCAGCCGAAAAATAAAAAACTTCAAAATTTTTCGAAAAAATATTTTTTATTGATTTACTTTTAGGTAATCGACCATGCTGATCAATATCTGAAACTTTATTTCTCATGAAAATTATTTGGAAATGGAGTTATGATGACTTTTATGAGCAAATTTTGGCTATTTTTGAACTTTTGAGAGCCCAGAACTTGGCTCAGAGGTCCATTGGGTAACTAAAATTTTTAGGGTGTTCTTATGGTCCCAAAAGCTGTCCATGGACCAAATTTCATCATGATTTGAAGTGTTGAGTAAAAAAGGTTCCCTTGTTAAGGAGAGCATGTCAAGGCGCGGTTGCTTGAAAAGGCCTCTTTCAAGGGTTGGCTGCTTGCGGAGATTAGGTCAAAAAATCGCTCCTAGGCTCATTTTTCGCGCCAAAATCGCTCGCAATGCCCAAAGTCCACCTACATCATCGCTATCCTTGACCCGTCGAATTTGTTCGCGATAATTGGCGACATTCTCGAACGATTTCGCCTCGTTGACGGCGAAAACCAGCAGAAATCCTTCGCCGGTTCGCATGTATTGATCGCGCATCGCCGAATACTCTTCTTGACCCGCCGTGTCCAATATGTCCAATAGGCAAGTTTCACCGTCTATTACTACCTGCAACAAACATCGATGAAAAGTGTGCCAGGCTTGCAGAAATGGGTGGAGCTTGATTTTCCGAACATTTTGATATCAAATATGGTCAGGAAATCCAAGCCCCACCCATTTTCTGCAAGTCTGGCACACTTTTTGACCAAAAATAGTGTGAAAACTGTGCGAGGCTTGCAGAAAATGGGAGGAGCTTGATTTCCCAATGATATTTGGTATCAAAATGATCAGAAATCCAAACCCCGCCCATTTTCTGCAAGCCTCGCACACTTTTTGACCGAAAATTGAAAAAATCTGTGCCAGGCTTGCAGAAATGGGCGGGGCTTGATTTCCCAATGATATTTGGTATCAAAATGATCAGAAAATCGGCTCCACAGTTTTCTCTGCGTCTCTCACTGCCTTTATCTCTCTAATTCCCTCCAGATGCTTCCAATTTGTAGTTTAATTTATAGGTAGGTGTGCTCTTTTTGATGGTGAAAAACAAAAAGAGCACACAGATTTAATTGATACTTCGTTTTCTATTTTTATTATCTTTGTTTTCCTCGCGCAGAGAGAGTGAGAGAGACGCAGAGAAAACTTAGAAATTGAGGCAATTAGAAATGATTTCGGGGGAATTTTTTAGGATCTCAAAAATCACTTTGCAGGCCTCGCACAGTTTTTCTTGGAGAAAAATGTGCGAGGCTTGCAAAGTGTGTGGAGCTTGATTTTTCAAGTTTTTGTCTGAAAAATCAGATTTTATGGTTGGGTCACAGGATTTTTGATGAATTTCTGGTCATTTTATAGCTCCTGAGCTCAATTTTTATGAATTTTGGGTCATTTTTCAGCTCCTGAGCTCAAAATTGCTCAAATTGATGAAATTATGGTTCATTTTATAGCTTCAGAGCTCAAATTTGCAAAAATTCATGAAAATTTGGATAATTTTCTAGCTCCGGAGCTCAATTTATAGAATTTGAGTCTAAAAATCAAATTTCATGCTTCAAGACCCAATTTTCACCAAAATTTTCAAATTTTAGGTCATTTTCAAGCTCCAGAGCTCAAAATTGCTGAAATTCATCAAATTTTGGCTCATTTTTGAGCCCCGGAGCTCAATTTTCATGAATTTTATCAAACTCTGAATCATTTTCTAGCTCAAGAGCTCAAAATTACCCAAATTTATAAAATTTTGGGTTATTTTTCAGCTCAAGAGCTCAAATTCATGAAAATGTGGCTCATTTTTTGAGCTACAGAGCTCAATTTTTCAAATTTCACGCTCAAAACTCTCACCTGTTTTCGATAACTATCCTCAATCGTCGGATCGTACTCCTCAACAAAATGATTTTGTATAAGTTGTATTGTGAGCGCCGATTTTCCGACACCACCATCGCCAACCACCACCAATTTGTATTCTGTCATTTTCTGAAGAAGAGAAAAATTATTGATTTTTTTTTTGGGGAATTTTTTTTCGAAATTGAAAAAAAAAGACAATAAAAAGAAGAATGGACCAACTTTACACTAAAAAATGGAATTTTTCAGATTTTTTGGCTGAAAAATTGACTTTTGACCCGAAAATCATATTTCTATCGAATTTTTGGCTAAAATTTAACTCTGGTTGAATTTCGGCTCGAAAAATAATCATTTTTGTGATGATAGATATGTTTTTCAGCCCAAAAATCGTGTTTTCAGAGATTTTCAGCGCAGAAATTGATCCTGGGGGTAGTTTTTCAGCTTTGAAATACTCTCAAGCCAAAATTTCGTGCTAAAAACAAGAATTTCTCATCTAGACATTTTTTGTGTCATCAGAAATGAGCTCTGATTGAACTTTTGACACAAAATACATCCTGTGCTCATTTTTGATGATACAAAAAGTGTCTAGATGAGAAATTCATGTTTTTAGCACGGTTGAGATTATTTCAAGGCTGAAAAATCACCCCAGGATCAATTTCTACACTGAAAATCACTGAAAAGATGATTTTTGCGCTGAAAAACAGACCTATCATCAAAAAAATCACAAAAATGATGATTTTTCGAGCTGAAATTCAACTAGAGGTGAATTTTTAGCCAAAAAATCGATAGAAATACGAGTTTCGGGTCAAAAATCAATACAAAAACCAATTTTTCGGCTGAAAACCACAAATTTTCAGACAAAACTCTTAATCAAATCAAAAGAAAAAGCAAAAAAAAGTGTGTCGAAAAAAATGGGAAAACTTTACCGGAAATCCTGCGAATTTCCGCTGTCTACCCGCAAAATCTCGACATTTCGAAAGGAAAAATGAAAATCAAAAAAGGTGAAACTGGCACTCACTCATAAAATATGAATTTACTCTTTTTTTTTCATATTTTTTTTCCGGAGCGCAGAAAAAACACACAAATACACACACATGAAAAAGTGAGTGTGAAAATGAAAAAAGGGGAGCCGCGACGCACAGTGACCGCGACGCGCCCAAAGACATTCGTTGTGACGAGAGAGTGTGGTGGTGCTGAAGAGACGCAGAGAAACGCAGAGAAAAGCGAAACCAAAAAAGGAACGGGAGCACAAATTGTGCATTTTTGCGGGTTTTTCTATTGAAAATTGGAATTTTTAGGGAGATTAGGGGGAATTTCTTGGTTTTAAAGCTAAAATCGTGGTTTTTCGGCTGGAAATCTAGGGTTTTTTCCGTTAAAAAAAAATATTTGAATTTTCTTATCGATTTTCAGCTTGAAATTTGGATTTTCAGCAAAAATTATTGATTTTAGACCAAAAATCATGTGGAAAACTGGTTATTGCGAAAAACAATAAGCAAAGTTTTGAATGATTATCGATTTTCAGTGAAGAACATGAATTTTTACCTGAAAATAGTGAATCTCCAGTGATTTTCAGACAAAAATCAATAAATTTCATGACAATCTGAAATTTTCTCTTGAAAAATTATGAATTTGAGCTAAAAACCTTGATTTTACGTTATTTTTGGGTTCTTAAGATGTAAAACAGTTGAAAATTCGAAAATTTCAAGTTTCCTCTCAAAAAACCTGATTCTTCCCGAAATCCCGAAATTCCCCATGCTCCCCCACTAGAATTTATCGATTTTCATCGAAATCCAATTTTCAACCCCCAAAAACCCAAGAAAACACAGATTTCCAGCCGAAAAACAAAAAATGCGCGCTCTCGAAAAAAAAAAGAAAAAAAAACAGTCTGCAATTGTGCGTCACCGTGTTTGCACACATTTGCGGCGCGGCGATTCAAATATTTATTTTTTGTTGTGTGCAAGAAAAAATATATATAAAATGAGAGAGTTCTATGCAAATATTGGTACAAAACGCGTTGCTAGGCAGCCTAACTTATCGATTTCCTTGTAAATAATGAAAAATAAGTAAATCCCATTCTATTATTCACAAATTTTTCATTAAAAATCAGATGTAATGCGCAAAAAATGCCAAATCGTCTACGGAGTTCCGCTAACTTGCCTCTTCTTTGTGGTGCTATGGAATGAGCGACTGGCATTTTGGTGGTTGGCAAGGAATTGGGAGATTCATGAGGAGAATCACGAGGATTGTGATCGTATTCTACTTGTAGCGGACCCCCAATTAATTGGCTACCAAAATGAGCAATGGGGATCTTTAGCGAGATGGGATAGTGATCGGTAGGTCAAATTCTACCATTTTCAGCGTTTTCAGCGCAAAAAATGAGCTAGAAATGTGAAATTTTGGAAAATTTCGTAAGCCACGCCCCTTTTTGCACTTTTGCGGCGCACCTTTTCTATACAACTACAAAAAATGTGTTTTTCTTGAAATTCTAGGTACGGTAAATTGCACTTAAACTTCTCAAAAATAGATATTTTTAAGCCACGCTCCTTTTTTTTGCAATTTTGCGGCATGAATTTTTGATTTGCAGATATCTGGCCACTGGATTCGCCTACGCCAAATCCTATTTCCACCCGAATTCCCTGATATTTTTGGGGGATTTATTCGATGAAGGTGTAGAAGCTGATGAGGATGAATGGTCCGAAACGTATGAGCGATTTTTGAGCATTTTTCCGGTGGAGAAAAATCAGGTGAGGAGGGATTTTATCATGAAAAACAACTTTATTTCAAAATATGTGTGAAAAAAAAAGACAAATACTGAATTTGTAAAAAAAATCAAAAAAAAAATTTGGCCACGGAGCGGGATCGAACCCATGACCTAAAAATTAACAGGCGAGCGTGTTAACCACTCGGCCACGCGCTCATCAAAATTCTATCCGCAAATGTTTGACATATGAAACAATGAAAAAAAGCCAAAAAAAATACATATTTCAAAATTTTTTGTTCTCAAAACTGCCTCACATATTGTTTGATTTGCTCGATTTTCGCTGCAAAATTCTTGAAAATTTCAGTTTCAGCCAGAACTTTCGCCAACTCCCACTTCATTTTCGCTTTATCCATTGCCGATTTTGCACGGCTTTTTGCCGAGGCATTGCTATCTTGTTTTTCTTCAAAATTTTTTTCGAGTTTTCTGAAATTCTTCTCGAGCTTTTGAATAGATTCATCATTTCCAATTCTTCCAAGATTTTCCGCATTTTCAGTTTCGATAATTTGCAGATTTACTTGTGGAAAATAGTTATTGGAGTTTTTGATGTGGATAATCTAAAATATTTTACGATTTAGGGCTCTAGGCTTGGCTACTTGAGGACGAGAATTTCTAGGCTTGGCTACTTGACAAATAGGATCTCTAGGCTTGGCTACTGGACAACTGGGATCTCTAGGCGCGGTGCCTTGTCAGAGTGAATGTCTCGGTGCGACTACTTGAAAACTAGGATCTCTAGGCTTGGCTACTTCTCACCATATTCTCACAAAAAATTTTTTCTCTTTTCCAAATCCGTCTGACATTTCTCCAAATTCTCTTTCAATTCTTCCATTTTCTTTTTCTCATTTTCATAATGTCTTTGCGAACTTTCACGCTCCCGCTTTCTTTTTCTCTCCAGTTTTTGCGTTGGGCTCAAAGTTTGCATAAGCGCTTTGGTAGCTCGAGATCTTCTCGGTCTTGGATTCGCATTATTTTGAGTTGGCAGCAATTCTGAAATTTTTTTGTTTAAAAAAACTTTCAAAAAAAATTACCCGCTTCCTGTTGTTTTGTATTCAAACAATTCTCTGGAGATTCTGAAAATTTCACTTTTTTGTAAAAAAAATCATTTTCCAAATCTAAATATCTACGAACCTGGATAATTTCCGTTATTATTTTCGCGCCAAATTTGAATGTCCGGGGGAATTTCGTCTGGAAAATGCATTTGCGCTCTAATGAGAACTGTTTTTGCTGCCTCATCTTGATCTCCTGGCATGAAATTGTTGTTGTTGTTGGAATTTTGAGCTGGCTGATTGGCTGAAACTTTTTGAGAATTTCCCAAAATTTTTTTCGAAATTTCTGACTCACCTTGATTTTCCGGCACAAAATTATTGTCGAAACTTTTTTTCCTCTTCATCAATAACTTTCACCCAACCATCGATAACTTCCTCAGAATTCTGACATCTGACAAAAAATTTTATATTTAATATGAGCAATTAAATAAATGTAACTCACGAATTCTCATTTTTTCCAAATATATTCGATATTACTTCATCAGATTCTTGTAAATCTTCTTCTGCGATATCGAAATCCATGAAAATTCTAAAAATAATGATTCTGTGGCTAAAAACTAAAGCGAATTTGAATTTTTAAAGCTCAAAAGAGTCGGTATTTCATAATTTTTTGCAAAAAAAACCTCGAAAAATCAAAAAAAAAATATTTTTAAAATGAGAGAACCTGTCAAATTTTAAATGATAAGAAAATTATCAAACTACATTGAATTTGACGACAATTTTCATTGCAGAACGTGATCTACATCGCTGGCGACAATGATATTGGCGGTGAAATGGAGCCGATTTCGGCTGCGCGACGCGACAAATTCGCCCACTATTTTCGCAACAACATCACCTATTTGCAGCGATTCTATAGTTTCAGCGAAACTTTTTTATTCGATCATTTGGCTGGAAATGCTGAAAAATCGTTGTCTCGCTCGAAAAACGCGAAAAAATTGGATATTTTATTGACGCATGTGCCGTATTTGGAGCAATTTTATAAATTTAACAATGTGGTGAGTCTGCCCATTTTTTATGCAACAATTTCGCCAGTAGGGAAAAATAGCCGCGTGGCCGAGTGGTTAGCTTGCGCGCGAATCGTTTGCACAACCCGGGTTCAATCCCACGTCGGCGCAAACTTTTTTCTTTTTTTCCAGGGCGCAAACAAGGATCTGATTCTCTCAGCTCACGATCATACAGTTGGAATCTACGAAATTCAACGAAGCGGACCAAAAGCCGTGCTTTTCACCACAATTTCCGACGCTTCACCGATTTACCGGAAAACTATTGGACCCGGAGAGCCGATTATCGAGCTAAAGACTCCGACTTGCTCTTACAGGTAAGAATTTTCAGATAAAAAATGCCACGTGGCAAAAATTCTTGCAGAATGGGCGTTGCGTCAATGGGATACGGTGCTCTCTCGATTTGCCGTTCGTCTCAGGACCCATACCGTAGTATCGAGGTGCAGTTCTCGATTCTCTGGCTTCCCGCCAGATTTGCTCAATTTTTTTTGTACATTTTTACATTGCTATTTTGTTGCGCGTGGATTTTTGTGCAGAAAAGATCGCGCGCGAAGAAGTACGCGTGGTTACAGTGAAGCGGAAGCTTCCGCGAATCTTCCGCGTCCCAATTTATGTACTTAAATTTGTAAATATTTTGTATTTTTTTGTGAAAACAACAATTTTTATTTATTTGGAAAAATTTTGAAAAAAAAAACATATAATACCATAAATTATTCACAGTAAGAATACTCGTATTAAAAAACTTACAAAAAACATTTGGGGAAAAAAATTTGGTTCAGAATCTTTTCAAAAGCTGCATTAGGGGTTCCAGTTTATAAATTCGTATTCCATTTTGTAAAAGGAAAATTCCAAGTGAAGAATCCTGGGACAAATCTGCAAAAAAATCGGGATTTTCAGGGCTTTCTGGGTCAGATTAGGCTTTTTCAGGCCGTTTTGGACCAAATTAAGTCGTGTCGGATAATTTTGGACTTTTTCAGACTGAAAATTAGAGTTTTCAGGCTTTTTCCGGACCGGAATGGGCTTTTGAAGCTTTTCAGGATGATTTTTGGACTAAAAAAATATATTAGGCTTTTCAGATAAATTTTCAGCCTTTTTTAGATCAAATTGAGCTTTCTGGGCTTTTTCAGACAGAAAATTAGAGTTTTCAGGCTTTCTGGACCAAAAATAAGGCTTCTCGGCCCATATTTTCAGATTTTTCCAGAGGAAGTTATTTAGGAATCATCCAGTAATTCAAAATATTTTGATCAGATATTTTTGAAACCTATTTTTTTCATGTTTTTTCAACTCACTGCTTAAATAAACCAAATCATGACTGGGATATCTTGCGGCAATATTCAACATACATTCTTCCGCTTCCGCTTTTCCGCGACTCGCCGTCTCATCGCATCGATGTTGTTCCAGAACGAAAACTATAGTGTCTTTGTGTTTCAACAAAATCGCTGAATACAATTTGTGATTGTCATTTTTTGAATTGACCAAGTTATTGAAAATTTGCGCGTGGATGTAGAGTTTGGTGGGAATTCCGCGCATTAGAAGCGATCGAAGACATTCGCAAAGTTCCATGAACATATTGGAATCCCTGGAAGAAAAAATTAATTGGAATTTTGTTAATTGCCACGTGGAATTTTAATTTGAAAAATCTCAAGTTCCTGGAAAACTAATTAATTAATTAAATTTCGTTAATTGACACGTGGATTTTGGAGATAATTCCGAAAAATTATTATAAAATACTTTTGAATTTTTTTTGAAAATTTCAATTTTGTGCCACGTGAATTTTAAAATTTGAAATGAAAATCCAAACATGAAAAATTGAAAATTTTTTTTTGAAAATTTCAATTCGAATTTTGGTGCTCATTTATTCTCAAATATTTTTCCAATAGAATTCAAAAAAAAATTGAAAAAAAATATTTGATAGAAAATTATACCAAAATTTTGAAACGTATTTTTTTTGGTTTTTGAAAAACTAGATTTTTCAAATTAAATTTGAAAAAATCAAATTTCCCGCCAAAAATTTTCATGCCAATTTTTGTCAATTTTTCAGCATTGCTCATGTTAATTTTCGGCCTAATATGAGCAATTCACCGAAAAATCGATAAAACCTTTGAAAATTTGAATCTCCCGCCAAAATTGAGCGCGGGAATCCGAAAAAGAATTTTTGTGAAATTTTTCGATTTTTAAAGGAAGGTACAGTACTCTAGGTACAGAAAACCCTCAGAATTTAACAGTTTTTGGGTCCTAGAGCAAACTAGAGTACTGTATGTAGGTGAATTTAAAGGGAGGTACAGTACTTTTCTGGGTTCGAAATTTTTCAAGTAGATTTTTTAAAAAAGCTTTTTTGAACCCTAAAAATCATAAAATAAATTTAAATTTCTAAATTTGGCCCCAAAAAGCCACGTGACATCAAAATTGGAATTTCAGGGCTGAATTTCAGGCCTAAAATTAAATTTTGGTTGAAAAAAAAATCGGCGATAGGTTTCCCTGCGCGAGAACCCAAAAATTTCAGCGATTTTTCGATTTTCAGTCAAAAGTCTAGATTTTGGCTAAAATTTCTCGAAAATCGCTGAAATTTCGGGGTTCAGGCAGGATTTCTGTACAAAATTTCAGACCTAAAATAAAATATTCAAAGTATTTAATTTTGTCATTTGCCACGTGGATTTCAATTTTTTTTCAAAAAAAAATCCACGTGGCAAAAAAAAACTCACATCACAGCCCGATTGAACATTATCGAATCCACCACCACAACAACATTTCGAGTTGGCGGCGGAAGTTGCGGCGTCGCAACCGCCGCCAGCGGCGGTGCCGCATTCTTAAACATTGGTCCGAAATGTGCCGCGGCTGGCGTCGCGGCAGGATTCGTCGCCGGCGTCCGAATTCCGCCGTGTCGCGACACAGTCGGGCCGCCGGGTAAAAGTGGAGCTTTTGTCGCGTGACCTGGTGGTTGGAAGTTGGGTCGGTTGAAGAATTGGACCTGTGGGGGGCCGGCCTGTTGTAGTGGAAGGGGGCCGATTGGGCCGTTCATTGGTGGCCCGGCGGAGAATCGCATTTGAGCCAATGGTGGTGGACCTTGATGGAATCGAGAAATTGGTGGAGGAGCCTGAAAATTATGATTTTCAGGTTGAAATTTGTCAAAAATCTTGAATTCTAGCTCAAAAATGTAAATTTTTAGCTGAAAAATCTCGAATTTCATCTCAAAATTACTCAAAAATGTAAATTTCTAGCTCAAAATTCATCAAAAACCTCGAACTTCAACCAATAAACTCACATCAAATCGACTTTTTCGCATCTGAATCGGTTGTTGTTTTGGTCGATCATCTCGATCAGCCAAAACTGTCGGAATTTGAATCGGAATTTGCGGAATCGGCGCAGTCGGTATGATTTTTGGCGGCAAATTCGGAATTTGCGGGATAATTCTGGGCTCGGTTGGTATTTCTTCGATAATTTCAATGTCTGGTGAGGCGATCTGGAAAAAAGGAAAATTGAAAAAGTCAGGTGGCCTAGAAAACCAAAATACAGTTTGAAATCTCGGTCACGGCCTAGAAAACCAAATTCCTAGAAAATTCATATTTCTTGTTTTCCAGGCCAAAATTTGTTCAAAAATTCGAATTTTCGGTTTAAAAACCAGTCCGTGGCCTAGAAATCTATTTTTTCCCCAATGAAAACTAGTTCGTGGCCTAGAAAACCAAAATAAATTTCGAAAACTAAGGTCATTTCGAAAACTCGGTCATGGCCTAGAAATCTGATTTTCTGGTTTAAAAACTAGTCTGCAGCCTAGAAATCCATTTTTTTCCCAATGAAAACTAGTTCGTGGCCTAGAAAACCAAAATAAATTTCGAAAACTAGTCCGTGGCCTAGAAAACCAAAATTAATTTTTAAAACTAGTCCGCGACCTAGAAATCCAATTTTTCCCCATCAAAACTAGTCCGTGGCCTAGAAATCCAAATTGTTTCACTAAAGTGGCCTAGAAAACCGAAAGAGAGCTTAAAACCTTAGTAGTGGCCTAGAAAACCAAAATAAAGTTCGAAAACTAGTCCGCGGCCAAGAAAAACAAAAAAATAGGCTTAAAAATTCAAATTTTTTTATTTCCAAGCCGAAATTCGTTCAAAAATCCGATTTTGCAGTTTAAAAACCAGTTCGTGGCATAGAAACCCATTTTTTTCCAATAAAAACTAGTCCGTAGCCTAGAAATCCAAATTGTTTATTTTTGAAATCTTGGTAGTGGCCTAGAAAACCAAAATAAAATTTTAAAACTAGTCCGTGGCCTAGAAACCACAATTTTTCACATTCTAGTCCAATTTTCCGGATTTTTCGGACTTCTAAGGTCGATTTTCTCTCAAAAATTCAAAATTCCCCCTACCTTCTCTACCTCCTCTCGTTTCTCTGCCGTCTCTTCGGCATCACTCAATATCTCTCCCTCCTCTTCGGTATCCGTCGTCGATTTGCGTTGTTGTCGCTGATCTTTGCGACGCGACGAAATCGCGTCCAACCAACTGCTTTCCGCTTTGATGTGCGATGATCCGGAAGCGGTGGCGGCAGCCGCGTCGAAGTCGCGCGGTTTTTTCCGCGTCGCGGCAGGCGGCGCGACTTCCGTCGCCGTGTAGAACTTGGTGGCGTCGCCGATTGTCGGAATTGGAGCGGGTGCGGGTTGGGCGATGGGAAGAATCGAGGTGGGAATTACGGTAGGCTCGTCGGGTTCCTCGATTTGTTTTGGCGATTCTGGAGTGTCCATGGTGATGACGGTTGGGATTATGGTGGAGATTATTAATGGTGGCGGCTGGGTGGACGAAGATTCCGGTGAAGCTGGAGAATCGAAGAGGTCCTGTAAAATTTTTAGAAGTTGTTGATTTTCGGATTTTTTTTTTCGTTTTCTAGAAAATTTTCAAGCTAGTAAAACAGTTTCTGCTCAGAAAACCAATAATTTGACCAAAAAACTCGGCCGCGGCCTAGAAATCCAAAAATCCCCACTTCTAGGCCATTTTCCACTAGATTTTTGGTTTTCTAGGTCATATTTTCAATTAGAAAAATGCTAGTGACCTAGAAAACCAAAACCGAGCTTTAAAAACTCGGCCACGGCCTAGAAATCCAAAAAATCCCTTTTTTTGGTTTTCTAAGTCAATTAGAAAAATGCTAGTGGCCCAGAAAACCAAAACCAAGCTTTAAAAACTCGGCCACGGCCTAGAAATCCAAAAATCCCTGGATTTTCGGTTTTCTAGGTCATTTTTTCGTGATTTGATGGCCTAGAAAGCCAAATTCAATTTTTCATAGCCTAGAAATCCAAAAATCTCCATTTCTAGGCCATTTTCCACCAAAAATCATGCTTATAACCTTTCCACATGCGACATTTTCATCTGATGAGCATTTTCTGGCCGCTGACACGGTTTGCGGTTGAATTCCGAGCATTTGGAAGATGTTTTGAACGGCGGAAGAGATTGGTGCGGAAAGCGGCGCGGAAGGCGGTGCGGAAGGTGTTGGAGTTGGTGGCCTCTGAAATGGATGGGGTGAGAAGAAGCATAACATAGGAGAAGTTAGGTGAGGCCTAGGCCTTTTTTAGGCTTAGGCCTAAACATAGGCTTAGAAGTGGGGGTAACTTAAATGAAGGATAAAGTTAGGGTAAATATTGCATTTTTGGGGTTAAAAATAGATTTTTGATAGGGAAAATAAGGCGTTCTGATATTATTAGAGATTTCTCATTTTTTGTTAAATGAATTTTGTGAAACGTAAAATTTTCGGGGTGAAAAATCTGATTTTGGACAATTTTTTGAATAATTTTCGCATTATTTTTTAAAAATTTTTAGTCTCCGAAATTGATTTCCAGCCAAAATTTCTGAATTTTCGACAAGAATTCGAGTTTTAGCTCATTTTCAACCATTTTTCAAGACTCCAGGCTATAAAATAGCTCCAAAACTGAATTTTCGAGCTGAAAATCGCTCCCAGGCTCATTTTCAGCCAAATTTTCTTAATTTTCAGCTAGAAATTGAGTTATAGCTCATTTTTCATCGATTTCTGGTTCTAGAGCTTGAAAGTCGATCCTGGGCTCATTTTCAGCCAAATTTTATGAATTTCCGGGTAAAAATTAGGGTTTTAGCTTATTTTTTATCGATTTCTGGTTGAAAACTGCTCCAAAACTGAATTTTCAAGAGGAAAATCGCTCCCATGCTCATTTTGAGCCAGAATTTTTAAATTTTCAATTGAAAATTGAGTTTAAGCTCATTTTTCATCAATTTCTGATTCTAGAGCTCAAATATCGCTCCAATGCTCAATTTTCGAGCTGAAAACTGCTCCTGGGCTCATTTTCAGCCAAATTTTGAGCTGAAAATCGCTCCCAGGCTCATTTTTTCCCGTTTTTTCACCCACCATCTCTCGTTTCTCATCAATTCTGCTTTCATAATCCTTTCCATTAGCTCTCAAATAATCCTGAACTCGATTATTCAATTGTTTCCTGGTCTCTTTTTCAATTTGCTCTTTTGGTGTCGGAATATTCCTCAAATCCTTGTCCTTCTCTTTTTCTCTACGTCTCTCACCACCACTTCCTCTCTTTCTATCTCTATCTCTATCTCTATCCCTCTCTCGATCTCTAGACTCTCTCGTTTCTCTATGATCTCTCTCCTTCTCTCTGTCTCTCGTCGTCTGCGCTCTCTTCCTATAATCCACATCCTCTTCTTTTCTCGCATCCTCGTTATCGGCAAAAATTCCGGGTTTTGGCAGGATTCCAGATTTTTCGACGGTTTTTTGAATTTGAAAATGAACAGATGATGACGTGGCACGTAAATCCACATCTTTTGGCGCCAAATTCGAATTTGAATTTGATGACGTGGCATATTTTGAGGCGAGCAGTTCACGAGTTTCCGGTTTCATTGTGCTGCAAGAAGAAAAATTGGATTTCTAGGCCGTGGCCGAGATATTTCTTGGTTTTCTAGGTCATGAATTATTGGGCTAGATGAAAAATGATTTTTTTTTGGATTTCTAGTCCGCGGCCGAGTTTTATCTCGGTTTTCTAGGCCATGAATTATTGAACTAGATGAAAAATGACCTAAACATCATGATTTTCGGATTTCTAGGCCACGGCCGAGGTTTTCTAGCTGGAATTTGGTTTTCTAGTCCATTCACTCCATTAAAACATGATGACCTAGAAAACCAATTTTTGTTAGGAATACTCGGCCACGGCCTCGAAAACCAAAAATCCCTGGATTTTCGGTTCTGAAAAACTCGGCCACGGCCTAGAAATCCAAAAATTACGATATCTAGGTCATTTTCCACCTAGAAAAATGGCTAATGGCCTAGAAAACCAAATTTTTGGTTTCCTAGGCCATTTTCAACCCAGTAAAATATTTGATGGCCTAGAAAATCCAAACCAGGCTTAAAAAGCTCGGTCACGGCCTAGAAAACCAATTTTTGTTAGAAAAACTCGGCCACGGCCTAAAATCAACCAATTTTCATGAATTTTGAATTTTGGCTCAAAAATCCATCATTTTCCGCCGGATTTTCAGATTTTCAGCAAAAAAATAGCTCACCCCAAAATTTCTAACAAGCTTCCTTCAATTGCCTTCGGAGCCACAGTTTCTTTGGGTTTCGTGGAGCTCAAGCAAAAATTTAAAATATCGTTAACTTCCTCTTCTTTTTCAGCCGGCGTGGGTTCTTCCACATTTTCAGCCGGAATTTCCGGATTTTCAGCGGGAATCTCGTCATTTTCAGCAATTTCCAGCAAATCCTCCTCATCATTTTCCGCCGTTTCCGGAAAGATTTGCGGAATTTCGGGAATGCGGATGGGAAGCGGAAGCGATTTGATTGTGCTGAAATTTACAGCCGGCAAGGATTTTTGTGTGGATAGAATTTCAGCGATTTGTGGAATTTCAGCCGATTTTTCGACGGGTTTTGGAGCAGGTTCTTCCTGGAAAAATAGGAATTTTTAGCTTGAAATCTGAAAATTTCAGAAAAAAATATGATTTTTGAACCTAGAAATCCGAAATTCTGTCAAGAATTCCAATTTTGTGTCCGAAAATGAGCCTAAGGCCTAATTTTTAATGTAGATCACGATTTTCAGGCCCAAAAAAGCCCAGAACCCCAGATTTTTCATTAAAAATGCTTGGACTGACTTCTGAATTTAAATTATTAAAATTTGAGCCCAAAAATCAATTTTGAACCTAGAAATCCAAGATTTTGTACCTTAAAAGCCTCAAGGCCTAATTTTTCAGATAAATCTTGCCCAAATTTAAATTTTTGGACCAAAAAAGCCCCCCAGGCCCAAAAGACCCTGAAAATATCGAATTTTCGGCCAAAAATCTCAGATTTCCAGCTGAAAATCCCAAAATTTCCCGCCCAAAACACTCACAATTTTCTCTCCATTCGTTTTTTTGACTCCAAATGCATCTATCTTTTCATTTTTCGGTTTTTCTTTTGGAATTGAATTTTGAGAAGCCAATGCCGATTTGAAAAAATCATTAGTTTCTCGAAGTGCTTCCGATTGTTCTTCAGTCAATTGATTTTTTCGTTCTTTTTTCTCCAATTCCATTTGACCCGAAGTTTTCAATTTATCACAATTCTGCAAAAAAAATTGGGAATTTTAAGCTGAAATTTCAAATTTGGCTGAAAATAGAGTATTTTTGCTTATTTTCAGCCAAATCTTCACGGAAAAAAGCCCCCAGGCCTAAATTTTACGTAGATCACGATTTCGGGCTTAAAACCACCCCAAAAAAAACTCACATCCACCACATTTTCGGCCCATTTCACTCTCACATCCGGTCGTCTTTTCTTATTTCTCATCGCCGCTCCAATCAACGCTCCTTTTTCCGCTTCTACGGTAGTTGCGCCTTTAAAAAGTATACTTTTTCCCGCAAATTCCGGAAGTGGAACTGGTGGCATTGGAATATCGATCCAATCATCTGCATTTTCAGCCGGATTTTCAGCATTTGGAAGAATTGCAGGTTTTGGCAGATTTGCTCCAAGTTCATTGTGCTCTTTGTAATATGCTGTGCATTGTTTGTGAAAAGCTTCATCGATTTTGATATCCGTAAAATCTTTCTGGTGTTCTCTGGAAAAATTCAAATTTTTGGTGAGATTTGGACATTTTTACACGGTAAATCGAAGAAATCCAAGATTTTTGAACTAAATTCGAAAGATTTTCAGTCAACAACTTGGTCATGGCCTAGGAAACCAAACGTTGCAATTTTTGGATTTCTAGGCTATTTTTTTTGGAGAAAAACGCGATTTCTGATAAAAATTGACCTGTTGATCGTATTTTTCGGTTTTCTAGGCCGTGGCCGAGTTTTCCAAGCTAGAATTTGGTTTTCTAGGTCATCAGCCATTTTTCTGGGTGAAAAATGACCTAGTAATCGTATTTTTCGGTTTTCTAGGCCGTGGCCGAGTTTTCAAAGCTAGAATTTGGTTTTCTAGGTCACCAACATGTTTTTTGTAGCAAAAATTACCTGAATGTAGCTTTCTGGTACATTTTCAACAGTGGATGGCCTAGAAAACCAAATTCTAGCATGGAAAAACTCGGCCACGGCCTAGAAATCCAATGGGTCATTTTCAACCTAAAAAACTAGCTGATGGCCTAGAACACCAAAAAAACTCGGTCGCGGCCTAGAAATCCAAAAATCGTTTTTTTTCTAGGTCATTCCTCCAAAAACCAACTCACTCTAACAAATATCGACTTTCTGCCTCAAAAACATTGGAAATCAAAAACTGATTGGTATAAAAATCGCGATCACTACAAGAAATCACATGAATCGCATCGGGAATAAAAGGCAGTCCAAAACTCGACGCAATTTCGCCAGACGGAAACATGAAATGCCGTGTTTCGCTGGCATCAATTCCGACGAGAAACACACCGGAAACTTGCATTGATCCGATGAGTTTTTGGAATTTTTGATGATTTTCTGATGGTATTTGATGGGCTTTTTGATGGTGTTGGTGGAACATGATATTGTAGGTGGCGTGAAGGAATGTGGGCTGGAAAATTGGAGATTTTAGGCTGAAAGAGGCCCATATTTCAGACCAAAATAAGCACGAAAACGCAGATTTTCTAGACCAAATTATGGATGGAATCAAAGGAAGATCAATGAATCATTTATATCCAAGATTAATATGAAATTTTTGAAACGTATAATTTCGAGGTTTGAAATTTTCAGAAAAAGTTGAACTTTTCAGCCCCAAAAAGCCTAAATTTTAGGCTCAAAAGAGTCCCGATTTTCAGTCAAAAATAAGGCTCAAAAAGCATCAATTTTAGGACTGAAAAATGCAGATTTTCAGGCTCAAAAGAAGGGCTCTCAAAAGCCCGGTTTCCTGACCAAAAAGCCCCCCAAAAAATCCCAACCTCTTCCCCTCCTGCCATCTCCACAACAACTTCCAATTGCTCCACAATTCGTCCAAAATTCGCGCGATTTTGGAGCATTCTAAGCTCTTTGAACTTGGCCAAACTCTCGAATCCATAAAAAATCTCCTCATCATTTTTTAGCCCAAAAACAAATTCGCCATCGAAAAGTCCGTCGGGAACTTCGGCATTTCTCAAAGGAGTTTGTAAATGCATTGGAAAATCGCCAAAATCCGGAATTTTTAGGATACAATGTGAATCGTAGACCGGGAACCATGTGAATTTTGTGAAGATGTTGCTTCTGCAAAAATATTCGGGCTTTTTGAGGCCAAAAATTCAATTTTTCAGCTTTTGAGTGTCAAAATCACTAGAAATTTCAAAAATTCCAGATTTTCAGATAGAATTGATAATTCAAATTTCAACATCTAAAACTCGGTCGTGGCTAATAAAACCAAATTTTTGGGATTCTAGGCTATATTTCATGCTATAGTGGCCTAGAAAACCAAAAAATACGATTTCTAGGTCATTTTCCATCAAGAAAAATGGCTGATGGCCTAGAAAACCAGGAAAACTCGGCCACGGCCTAGAAAACCAAAAAATACTATTTCTAGGTCAATTTTCATTAAGAAAAATGGCTGATGGGCTAGAAAACCAAATTCACGCTCGAAAAACTCGCATTTTCAGCTCAAAAACTCACAATAAACCATTAGGATTTCGCATCTTAACACTTCCATCAATTCGAAATCGCACCACAGCATACGGCAACACATTTGCCGGAAATTTTCGCGGCGAAAACCCGTCGAGCTCATATTCATAGTGATAAACGGCGGCCATACGATGAGCCAATCGCCTTTTGTGCTCATTTTGAGTGGTTTCTTCGGTTTCGGCTGCCACGTGGCAAAAATGACCGGTTTGTGGTTCGATGTCGCCCGAGCCCAAGCCTACTGTGTTCGGTTTTCCGCTGCAAAATTTTGAAACGTATTTTTTCCAGATTTTCAGTGCTGCTATCCCAAATTTCGCGCCAAAACCTACCGTAATGTTTTAAACATCATAATAGTCACAGCCAAATTGTCATAATAATGCAAAGTACTACTCGTCAAATCCGGACTCTTATACAAATAAACACCGTATTGCGGATCGCCGATATCGCAAAAATGTTGGGTCCCGCAACGAAGACCGTATCTCGCAATGTAATCCGTCTCTTTTTGCGACGATATTTCGCGGAAGCCGAGGGTTTCGGTGTCTGGATGGTTTTGTGAGCGTAGGACACGTTTGCATTCGGAGAACTGCAAGAAATTTGTGCATTTTTGCGTGGAATTTGGTGTTTTTTATAGAATTTAGGAGTTATTTGTGCAATTTTTCGTCAAATTCGATCGAAAATTCAAAAATTGTGCAATTTTTCGTAAAATACGATGTTCTACACCGAAAATTCATGTTTTTTCAACGTAAAGTGTGGATTTTACGTCAAATTCAATGTTTTGAGCTGAAAATGTGTACATTCGCGGGAAGTTTGTTGTTTTTTTTTTTGAAAATTGTGCAATATTCCGTGGGGTTCGGTGTTTACTCGTGAAGTTTCATGATTTCTATCAAATTCTGTGCATTTTCGCGTCAATTATAGTGTTTTTCACTGATCTCGACGAGAAATTGCAGATTTTTGTGAGAAAACGTGGAATTTCATTGTTTTTAGGCGAAAATCAGTTCCAAAACATAACATTTGACGCGAAATTGCGGATTTTCTGCACAAATTTATGAAAACCCACTTTTCAGCCAAAAATTTTTCGAAAAATAAATTTTTTCTCGCTCATTTCTTTTTTTTGAGTCAAGGTCAACACGTGAACAATTTTTCTTTACGCAAAAATTCAAATTTTTGAAAATTGACATTGGAGCGCGTTTGCATTTCTAAAGATAATTTAGGGGGAAAATCATTTTTCGAAAATTTTGGGCTTGAAAGTGACGATTTTTGGGTAAAAATGAACATTTTTCATTGAAAATCCGCAATTTTGCGTTGAAATTAATTGTTTTTCCCTCAAAAACTATTTAAATCTGCAATTTCTCGTCAAATTCAGTGTGCAAGAGAACAATACACAACATTTTACGCAAAAATGCACAGAATTTGATAGAAATATTCAAATTCAGTGCAAAATTTCCAATTTTTCCCGCACCTTCCAAGCCAGGTATTTATTTTCGATGATAAATACATTGGTATGTTTGACCTGCGCCCAAAATTCCTTATCCGCCGCACTTTCAGCGAAACGCTGAACAACTCCAAAAACTTCCGCACCAACTGCCGCCTCTCGAATTTGCCATCCTTTTTCCGGTGCTGGGAGAGCTGCAAAAACATTTTCGAGGTTTTTTGGGCCTTGAATTTTGGCTGAAAATTGTGATTCTATAGCGAAAAATATCTAGATAAAACTATACTTTCAGCTCTGAATTGCGAAATTTCATGGAAACCTTGAAAAAAAGTTTTTTCCGAGAATACTGAATTTCTATTGAAAGTTAGTTCAAGCTTAAATTTGAGCTGAAAATAAAGTTGAAAATCAGAGCTTCACCTATTTTCGACAGAAAATTACAGTTTACGGCTAAAGCTAACCAGAAAATCTGAAATTTCGACTTTTCACAAGAAACTTTGATTGAATTCACCAAAAATGTTGGTTTTCTCTGAAATTTTTTGAAGTTTCAGGATTCCAAGCAACAAATATTCTTGTAAACCTTGAAAATTCATCTGAAAATTGATACTTCCAGTGAAAAAATCAGACAAAACCAACATTTCGCAACGATTTTCAGAAAATTTGATAAAATAACATGGAAATAGTTGAATTTTCAATTTTCATATCACAAAAATGATTTTCAGATTGAATTTTTTTTGTGATATGAAAAATGAAAATTCAACTACTTTCAAGTTATTTTAAGAAATGTCGTTTTCGTCTGATTTTTTAGCTAGAAATTTCAATTTTCAGATGAATTTTCAGGGTTTACGTGAACATTTGTTGTTTGGAATCCTAAAATTTGAGAGAAAACCAATGTTTCTCGTGAAAATCGTTAGTTTTAGCCGCAAACTGTAATTTTCTGTCAGAAATAGGTAAATCTATGATTTTCAACTTCATTTTCAGCTCAAATCTGAGCTTCACCTAATTTTCAATAGAAATTCACTATTCTCGGGAAAAAATCTCAAATTTCCCGATTTTCATCTAGAAACTTTGATTATTTAGCTGGAAATCATTCGTTTCTCTCTGAAATTTACGGTTTCAACAATATTATAGTGGTTTTCTCATTGAAAATGCTAAAAAATTGAATTTCTGATCAAATTTCGCTGAAAATTCTGAATTTCTTCAATTTTATTAACCTTCTTCAACTTCCTTCACTGAAATCGTATCTTTTTGCTCAACTTTCTTCTTCTTTTTCTTCGGAATGGTGAAAGTTGCGTTTTCGACTTTTTTCATCTGAAGTTTTCACAATTTTCTAAGTTTTTAATACAACGTAATACAAATTCTAAGAGTTTTCGATAATAAATGCTAAAAATGTCAGTAATCAACTAATTTTCCCTAAAAAACTCCGTCGATTATCCACGAAAAATCAATAATTCATCATCGACCCTGAAAAAAGTGAAAAATCAATAAATTTATCAAAAAACAGCAAAAACGATGTGCTTTTCATGACTGTCATACGAAAATCCAAAATTATACGTCTGAAATTCTGCAAACCCCGATTTTAGGCTGAAATTGCAGCGAGCAACCCTAAAAATGGCTTTTTCGCCTGGCAGCCTGCCAATGTGTGCAATTGCGCGTAGCATTTGATGTTTGACTGCACACATTTATCGTGACCGTAGCCCAATTTTGAAAAATAATTTTTTATTTTTTGTTTTTTTTGGGGGGTTTTCTGGGGTTTGGAGTGAAATATATAAGTTTTAAGCGCGTAGAAAATTAAAAACGGTAGCTTTATGTACATTTCATAATAAATTAAGTATCAAACACGTCGTCTAACTTCCTGAACATTATAATTATTCACATCTTCATCAGAATTATTATCTTGATTCTCTAGGAGAGAATCAGATTCGTTAGAATGTCCCAAATGTTGTTCTTTCCGTTCCTTATAAAGTACAGGAACCAGGCAAATTGCCGTGCAAAACATCATAAAAATAAAGCCATAGAACACGGCATTCCAGCCAAACCATAACTGTACTGTTGGAATGAAGAATTGTCCAATAGCTGCTCCAACACTTCCAGTTCCATCAATAATTCCAGTCACTGTTGAGAGAGCTTCGGAATTTCCGCGAAGTTGTTCGCATTTTCCTAAATCAGCGGTAATCGAGCTCGAAATCATGTTAGCCGGTCCGCCGATGAAAAATCCAGTAATCAATAAGAGGAAAGCGTTCCAATTGTAAGATTCTGGTGATTTTGAATAGATATATAATGCGAGAGTTGAGATTAGAAGCATTGCGAAGACTAGCGGAGTTCTGGATCGCATACGGTCAGATGCGGCGCCTGCAAGCACTGCCGCAACGATTCCACCAACATCATACCAAGTGGATAATGCGTCGGCATAGGTTTCAGGCCAATGTAGGCCGGAATGAAGGTAGAATGGGAGCCAGAAGAAGAAACCGTAATTGACGAGTTTTAGACAGGCGTAGGCGAGAGAGTACTGAAAATTATGATTTTCTGAATTTCTGCCTGAACCTGAAAATTTCAGCGATTCGAAAAATCGCTGAAAATTTCAGGTTCTCGCGCAGGGGAACCTATCGCCAATTTTTTTTTTGAATTTTGAGACAAACTGGTTTTCAGATGATTTTTTTGAACCGAAAATCTGAATTTACCTCGAAATTCCATCCAAAATTGTGATTTTCGAACTGAGAAAAAATCCCGAATATTTTATGTTTCAAAAAATTCAAAATAATGTTGTTTCTCACGACACTTCATTGTTGAAATACCAATTAAATTCTCGATGAAAAATAACATGAAAATTCTGAATTTTCACAGAAAATTTTGAATTTGAAATTGACAAAAAGTGGAATTTTTGCTTTAAAAATCACTTTTGCCACGTGGCGAGTACGATATGTTAAAGAATTAAAGCCTGAACCCAAAAAATTTCAGTCAAAATAGTGATTTTGACTGAAATTTTCGGGTTCTCGCGCAGGGGAACCTATCGTCAATTTTTTCTCTCGAAATTCCTAAATTTAATTTCAGTTCTGAAATTCGGTTCTAAAAATCCGGATTTTCAGAGAAATATTCACCACAAAAATGTAATTTTAGTTGAAAAATCAATAATATTTGAAGAATTAAAGCCTGAACCCGAAAATTTCAGTCAAAATAGTGATTTTGGCTGAAATTTTCGTGTTCTCGCACAGGGGAACCTATCGTCAATTTTTTTTGAAATCTGAAACTTACCGCAATAACTCCAGGAAGTAGCCAGGCTTTGAAGAATCCAATAGGCGGTGGTCTTTCCTCATTTTCTTCCTCATTTTCCTCCGAAACTTCACGATTCGTCTCCCTCGGCGAGCTAGGCAAATGCCAAAATATCAAAATCGCATATGCAAAAAGTGCCAAGCTAACAATCGCAAAAGGATATTGATAACCAAATTCCAAAGTGTTACTAGCAATCAAAGTTCCAATAATATTTCCAACACTTGCGCAAGATGACCAAATTCCCATAATTGCACCCCGTGCATTATGTCCAAACCAATTTCCCATTATTGAAACAACAACTGGCCATCCGATTGATTGAAATGCGCCATTTGAAATCCACAAGGTTGCGTAAAGTGGTGCGGAATAGAGGTGGAATGTTTCAATGAGATATCCGAAGGTGAGAACGGCTATTGAGGAAAGGATCATTCCAAGAGTTAGGAGACGAGTCGGATTGAAATTGTCCCCGAGGATTCCGCAGATGTAGAGACCCTGAAAGTTAGGGATTTTCGAGAGAGCTAACTCAACTTGCCGCGTTCGCGGAAGCTTGCGGTTTACACTCGCGACTTTGTCGCTCGACTAACCACCGCATACGCGATCATAAATCCCGTATCCAAAGCTCCCAAAAATTCCGTAGCAGCATGCGTCGATGGAAATAACGGTTCCGTCGAATTTGATGTCCATGTATGAATTAGTGATGGTTTTACAGTTGATAGGGTTTTTCTGGTGGCGTGCAATAGAGCATAGCTGGAAATTTCTGGTTTTTTTTTTGAGCTTAAGGTTTACCTTTTACCTTAGAAATGTGTGAACGAATACGTGGATGTGATATTTTGACCAGTTTGTTGATGGGCTCCGAAGTCTGACACGTGGCGGCATCTTGAAATTTTTCTTTTTGGAGAAATGAATCAAATTTAATTAAATGAAAAAATTGGGACACGCGAATAAGTGAAATTATGCCTGAATCTTTAAATTTCAGCGATTTTCGTGAAGTTTTAGCCAAAATCCAAGAATTTGGCTGGAAATCGATAAATTGTTGAAATTTTGGGGTTCTCGCGCAGGGAACCTATCGTCAATTTTTTTTTCAACAATTAAATTTTTTTGCCTAGGTAATGCAAAAACATTTCGAAAATTTATCATTTCAAGGTCACGACCATACAAGGCGCCCGTTGAGTCAGACGCGAGACGACGAGAGTATTTTGCAAAAATATACCGAAAATGAATTTCGCTTCGAGATATTTTCAATAAAACATGTGTTCCTTGAAACAAAATACGGTATTTTTTCAAAAGGACACATATTTTCTCAAAAATATCTCGAAGCGATGTCTTTCTCTGTCTCAGATGACGTCATCAGACTCCCGTCGTCTCTCGTCTGACCCGAGGGGCAATTTTCTATTGGAGTAAATGGTCGTGAGGTCCTAAATCCAATAAAAACAAGTAGAATTCAAGATTTTGATTGAAAATCGAAAAATCGCTGAAATTTTCGTGTTTTCGCGCAGGGAAACCTATTGCTAATCGATTTTCCGCGCACAAAAATTACAATACCAAAAAAATCTGCTAACAATTAGATAGAGTAACTTCAAAACCAATCAATCAATAATTTCATTTATTTTTGTTAGGCTAACTATCGCCAACAAAAAAAAACATCGTTTTCCTATAAACAATTTTTTTCGCCGATGAAAAAATGAGAAACTAGCAAATGCGCTCCATTGAGAAGTGGCTATTTATTTTCGCTTGGGCTATCAAAATACCGTGTATCTTTTTATTTTTTCGAGTTTTTGCAGATGCCTGAGCTTAGTGCTGAGAAGCGAAAATCAATTTAGAGCTTAGAACGTAAGGAACTTCTCAAAAATCCCCAAGGCCTCTAAATTAGGGCCCTAGGCTTCCCGGGTATTAAATTGAAGCTCAGAATCCCGTGATTTCCCCCAAAATTCAACAAAAAACAGTAGACAATGATATTTTTATGAGCGAAAATTTCGAACAGGAACAAAATAAATGGAAAAAAAATTATCGATTTTTTGAAAATCCTACAATTTTGAATGTGATGGAAATATGAAGACCTGCAAAAAACCTTTTTATTCGAGACTTTTGCCGGAAAAACTCACCAGTTTATCATTATCTTTGAAAATAATTCTTTGGGTGTAGTACGGTATGCGCCTTTAATAAATTCAACTCAATTTTCATTGTGTTGTCCACTGGCCGCCATTGCTGACGTGGCAACCATATACAAAAGTGAGATGAGAATTGTCAAAATGACGACGTTGACGATCAAGATTAGTGTGTTTTTGTCGAAATGTTGCTCGGCGGCCTCGACAA